CGCACAAGCTTTTTAATTGCAGGGTGTTTATTGTTGGGCTTAAAAAAACAACACCCAAATGTACACAGGGGAGCATTCATATATACAGTTCCCCACCTCAAGTGGCACAGTCTCAGTCTCTGTGTTACTTTACAGCTGTGCTCTATTTCTTCAGCATTACCATTTTTTATTTTTTAGTAAATTGCTGAGTGGTCTCCTACTGAGTGGGCACTATATATTTTTGTTAACTAAAATTAATGTGACTCTTTCTGAATGTGTGTGTTAGGTCTTAGCAGTCGTGAGCTGGGTTTGCTGCCTCTTACCAAGAAAACGCCAGGCATAGCTTTGAATCTCCAGGTGTGACTCTGTTGCCTTCCTTCCCATCTGAGCTGCCTGCCCTCCTCACCTGCTCTGCAGCACCTGTCCCCAACTTAAGAGATGGCAAGGAACTGTGGTGAGCGTCGCATGAGCAAGCGGTAGTTACTCTGGATTCCTTATTGTAGAGCACAAGAACCAGTTGCGCATCTACACAGTTAACGCCACTCACGTTACAGGCTGCATCTTCGCTCACAGGGGCTGTAGTGACAAGAACCCAGATTCTAAAAGTAGCTTTGTGTATTAAACATGCACCAAATTATGCAAAAATAATAATCCTGGATGTTTATGTAACACTTTCAGTGTTCAAACCACTTGACAAACGTTATCAGAGTAACATTTTGCATTGTTTAAAGAGAAGAAGAGTTTGGATTTGATATCCCGCTTTATCACTACCCGAAGGAGTCTCAAAGCGGATAACATTCTCCTTTCCCTTCCTTCCCCACAACAAACACTCTGTGAGGTGAGTGGGGCTGAGAGACTTCAGAGAAGTGTGACTGGCCCAAGGTCACCCAGCAGCTGCATGTGGAGGAGCAGAGACTCGAACCCAGTTCACCAGATTACGAGTCTACCGTCTTAACCACTACGCCACCAGTGTGGTGTCATGCTTAGAGTGTCAAGCTAGGGCAGGGGTCGGCAACCTAAGGCCCATGGGCTACAAGCGGCCCACAGGGGTCGTTTAACCAGCCCATGAGCTGCTCCCGAACCGAGCCATGTGCTCAGTGAGTCCTTGCGTGCCACGCTAAACCGGCGCGGTGCGGGGACTCGCTTCCGTGGCACCAAAAATCTCGTCTGTGCGTGCGCAGATGCCGGAAATCGCGTCTGCGCAGATGTAGACACTGGAAATCGCGGGCACACACACTCATGCGCGTGCGCAATCCGGCCTGCAGAGGGATCTCTGCTGGAGTGAACCAGCCCAGGTGAGGTAAACCTTGCCGATCCCTGGGCTAGGGCCTCAGGGACCCGGGTTCAAATCCCCACTCAGCCATGAGGCTCCCTGGCTGACTTTGGGGGCTATTCACTGCACCTCAGCCTAACCAACCTCATAGGGTTGTTGTGGGGATTAAATTGGGGGGGCGAACCATGTACAGTATATTACCTTGAGCTCCTTGCAGAAAGAGAGGAATAGAAATGCAATAGATATATAAATACACCCTGTGAGGCAGATCAGTTGCTATTATCATTATCAGATGTAAGCACCTAAGACCAAGAAGCTGGGGAGTGGAAAAACTTTCTGGAGTATTTGGAAAATAATTGTAAACAGTTGAAAATGCTAGCAGCATTAAGGTCAATTCAACAGCATAAGAAGTCCTGGTGTGACTGATCTAAAAGGAAGGTTTTATCCCTCTCAACTGTATCCTGGTTTGCAGCCGATTTCCTTTTCCTAACAGGAGGAAAGAGGGAGTCATTTGGAATGGTTTGTTACTTGGTATAATGGGAATACTGGGTTTTTATTATAGGTAGGTGCATGTAAAGTAAAGGTAAAGGGACTCCTGACCATTAGGTCCAGTCTTGGCCGACTCTGGGGTTGCGGCGCTCATCTCGCTTCATTGGCCAAGGGAGCCGGCATACAGCTTCCGGGTCATGTGGCCAGCATGACTAAGCCGCTTCTGGTGAAACCAGAGCAGTGCACAAAAACACCGTTTACCTTCCCGCCGGAGCGGTACCTAGCTTTCGAACTGCTAGGTTGGCAGGAGCAGGGACCAAGCAACGGGAACTCACCCCGTCGCAGGGATTTGAACCACTGACCTTCTGATCGGCAAGCCCTAGGCTCTGTGGTTTAACCCACTGCACCACCCGCATCCCTAGGTGTATCCTACCACAAATATAGGGAATCAGTATGGGGGGGGGATTGATGGAGGGGTAGGAAACTAGTCTGATGGATACAATTTGCATCTCCTCCTCGACTGGCAACACCTGCATGTTGGAATGTTGCTAAGCCCCTGATGCACGGATAAATATTTCATTGTTATTGTTTCCCCAGATCAAAGGCCCAGTTTTATTTAGATTCTCGGAGGCGTCTTAAGCAGTAGAAGAAAGGGAGGGGAGGGGGAGGAACAAGAGAAATCTAGGCACTTTGGTTTCAGCATCTCAAAGCAAGACTATGCGGGTGAAGACAGCCTGAAACAGAGCTGCCCTCGAAGGCATCGCTTGAATCCGGGCACCAATCAAGTTGCTGCGCAGCTGGGAAATCCTATTGCTGACACCTGCACAGTGCGAGAGGTCTCTCTTCTCGTCCACTCTCTTCCCCTCGCAAAGAAAGCAGGATCCCGGCCCTCGTGGTTGCAGAGAAACATTTGGAAGTTCTGTGAGTGAGCTCAAAAGCAGGGGTCCAGCATTGCTCCATGCCTTCTTCCCAAGATGGTTACAGTGGTACCTCGGGTTACATATGCTTCAGGTTACATACACTCCAGGATACATACTCCACTAACCCAGAAATAGTACCTCAGGTTAAGAACTTTGCTTCAGGATGAGAACACAAAATCGTGCTCCGGTGGCGCAGCAGCTGCAGGAGGCCCCATTAGCTAAAGTGGTGCTTCAGGTTAAGAACAGTTTCAGGTTAAGAACGGACCTCCAGAACGAATTAAGTACTTAACCCGAGGTACCACTGTATTTTCTAGAGCCAGACATTCGTTTCTCATTTGACAAGGGAGGGCAGTGCTCAAGGCTGCACAGAAACATCACAAACCCAGAAGTCTTGAGATGAGGTTATGGAAATAATTTTGCACCTGATGGGAGGCGATCTGGGCTCTGGAAGCAATATTTGACACCTTCTCTGAAAGAAGCTGAGAGACACCTGCTCGCCTTATTTCAGTTACCAGAGCCTCCCTCCATTCTCCTCACAGCATTTTTCAAAGAGGGAGGGGAGGCAGGTTATTTGTACACCTGACTCTTAGAAGCAAAATTAACTATTTTTATGGGACAGAACAGTTGAGCTACAGAAGCTTCCATCAGGTTGTCTTGCTGGGGTGGAAGGTTCAAAGCTTCCCTTTTCTTTCGCCAGGGTTATGCAGGAGTCTGCGTTTTTATGGAGCTGCTCTGACAGACGACCAGCAGAGTACACACACAAACTTTGGAGGCAATAAAACTCTGTTGCAATCCCTGGCATCTCAGTGGAAGACCCACATAAAAACATTATTTTGGTTTTGTCTAGGAAAGGCTGAGCTTGCTGATCATTCCCGCTCTGTGATGCAAAAGTCCTTTCCTCAATGGAAGCACTGGGGAGGGGGGCAAGCAGTTGCCAAGCTCTGGGGCTGGGCTTGCGAGGTCAGGTGTTCACTAGGGCCACAAACACAGACCAGAGCCCACTGCCCCACCATTCTCCCTTTGCAGAGAGCTCTGGGGAGAGGCATGAGTAAATCCTTGGCTTGCATTGCCTCTTCCAGACAAAGAGGAGTTGAGAGAGCACCCAAAATGTTGCTGGGTGTCAAAAGAACACGGTGTTATAGGAATTCTAAGGTCTTATATAGATAAAATAAATGTTCATGAATGTACAAGGCAAACACATACATAAGTATATAAACCACGTGTCTGAAATAGTACAGAAGAACAATCCTGAAGCCATTTTGACTCTCCCAAATTGACCTCAAATATTTCTCTGCAAGGTGGAAGGAAATGGGAAAAGCTTTCCAATTGTCTTTGGACTGTAGGGGCTTACACCTCTCTGTAAATACAGTCTGGCAAGTATCAGTTAGGCTGAGCACACTATCAATATGCGTAAGACAGGGGTGCCCAAACCTTTTTCAAAGAGGGCCAGATTTGATGAAGTGAACATGTGTGAGGGCCGACCATGCCTGGTGTAAGAGATTCAGGAACTAAGTATTTACCATCTCAAAGGAATGGCCAGGCTGCCCAGAAAAGGCGATCAGATAAGGCATGATCAGGTATCCTGGCAGTACAGGAGAGAAGCAACACACTCAAATTTCTGCTGGGCACTACCTCTTTCTGTGATGTATGTACTGTATGATGTTTTGGGGGGTGGTCTTGAGCTACAGGGTAGGCAATTTCAAAAGTCTATAGAAGAGCTTGCACACCAATTTTCAGGGTTCTTCTCCCTCCCTGCGTGGGGTGAGCGGGGTACCCTGTTGCAACAGTTTAATAAAGATCAGGCTTACTAGCTGTTTGCTTCTCAATATTCTCTGGTTGGCCTCTGTTATTTTCTCCTACCGACAGAAAACCTACACAAGGACTCTATACGGGCTCTTGGATACCCCATAAGGGATAAAGGAGCAGTTTTTTCTTATAACACCGGGATGGGGAAGAACCAGGGTCACTTTACTTTGGTGATGTGCCTTAAGTCCCCACGACACCCCTCTCAAGTCTACAAATGCCACCCACCTGCCTCTTTTCAGTAGTAAGGATCTGCTGCAGGGCCAGCAAGTGAAGATTTGCAGGGGATGAGCGGAGAGGGGATCTGACTCTGGTCTAACCTCTTAAAAGAAAGAGCAGGGTGAACTTAGCTCAGGTGTCGATGCCACACCAGCAAACACAGCATGTCAAGCGCCATTGAAACAGCCCCCCCCAGCAGCCCCCACCCCTTACCATGAATCCAGGGTGCTGAAAGCAACTTACTCAGGCATAGAAAGAGGGAGGCTCAGCCCCTATTTCACCCCCTACCTCCTCAAAACAAGAACAACACACAGAGCTGAAGCCAGTCAAAAATCATTGTTTGCATTATCAGTTGCTCAACAATTACAGCCTTGTACAAGTCATTGATACGTTAAATAAAACACACACGCTACCCTCACCCAACAGGGGGAAAAAAAGTGCAGCTGGAACCTTGAATGAGCCCCAAGTCCCCCCTCCTGGAGACATAAGGGTTTTGCTCCGCTTGGGTCAAGTCCCACCCAGAGGGAGGGAATCAGCACAAATATATATATATATCTATATATATATTTATATTTATTTATCTATAATATTTTACCTTTTTTATTAACAGCAGCAACAGCTGGACAGAGCTGGGGCAGAATAAGATTCAGGACTGACTGAGCATGCAAGGTGATGGGAGAACAGGGGAAGGGGGTGTTGTGAATGAATCAGGAAGGTGAAGCTGTAGGATTCAGAGACATAGCTTGAGGAGTCGGAAGCAGACAGAGAGGCTTGGGAGAAAGTTAAACAACCCCAGAGCAATAGTATTTCAAGAGTGGTGCTTTAAATGGCTCTTTACCATGGCAGGAATGCCTCCCATTCTGCTTTGCAGCTCCTCTGTTATTCCCCTCTGTTCACAGCATCCCACTCCACCCTGGGTCAATTTTGAAAACCAAGCTGCAGTTTGCCCTCCAGCCCACAAGGAGTGCTGCTGCAGGAAGGCCACCTCAACCAGTGCTTCTTAAAGGGCCAGCATCTACAGCCTTAAAGAGAAGCAGATGGAGGATAGTCCGTGTGTGTGTTACTTAGGAGAAACAAATCCGTTTCAGGGCAGGGAGTGGGGAGGCCTGAGTTGGGAGGCGGTTAAAGGGCAAACTTGTTTGTTGGTGCCAAGAAAGGGAAGGACAGCTAGCTGGAGAGGACTGAACACCTCCCTAAAACAAAACAAGGTTAAGAGAATTGACCCATCGGGAGGGAGGCAGAAGGCGCCAATACCACCCCCTCTCCCATGCCAGCAGTGCAGTCGAGGGCAAAGTGAAGGATGGGCATCACAGGACGGGACTGAGCTCAGACGGCGTCATCCAGGGCAGGCTCAGCGTCAGGGGACGGAACACACTCCTTGCTGAGGCGGACAATCTCCTGGGAGAGCACTTCCAAATCCTGGCGAGAGGGAAAGAAAGGAAGGGGAAGAAGCAGGTCAGCTGAGCCCACGGGAAGACAGTGCCATCATCTCCCACAGGACAAACCCTGCCCATATTCACACTCTGCCCCTACTCAGGTTAATGGTTGACATTTGCAGCTACCTGGTAAAACTCTTAATCTCGGGATCAGGCCCAGACAGGGGGGGGCCATATGGGCCACTTGGCCCGGGCCTCCGATTCCAAAGGGGGCCTCGGTCACCGAAAGAAATTGAAGAAATTGCTGATCAAATACTAAACTTGAATTTGGAAAATGTTTTTCCAAATCTTCTAACTGCATGGCACATTTTCTTATCATTACCAGAAACAGTGGCCTCCAGTGAGAGACGTTTCAATATATTAAAACGAACTAAGTCTTTCTTTCGATCAACAATGGCTCAAGAACGCCCAAATGGTTTAGCAATGATAAACATAAACCACGATAAGGCGAAGTTGCTTGATTCTTCCTGCATAATTCAAGAATTCGCAGAAAAGAAAGCTAGGAAAGCATTTTTAAATGTAAATACTTAAAATAATCATTTTCCCTACGTATTTTAAAAAAGCACTATTGTATATCTATATTTTCCATTTTGTCTTTATAGACAGATATGGTTCAAGCCTTGAAATAAAATTATTTGTCAGCATAACTTTTGTGAAAATTATTTACAGTGGTGCACCACAAGACGAATGCCTCGCAAGACGAAAAACTCGCTAGACGAAAGAGTTTTCCGTTTTTTGAGTCGTTCCGCAAGACGAATTTCCCTATGGGCTTGCTTCGCAAGACAAAACGTCTTGCGAGTTCTTGCGAGTCTGTTTCCTTTTTCTTAAAGCCGCTAAGCCGTTAATAGCCGCTAAGCCGTTAATAGCCGCTAAGCCGCTAAGCCACTAATAGCCGCTAAGCCGTTAATAGCCGTGCTTCGCAAGACGAAAAAACCGCAAGATGAAGAGACTCGCAGAACGGATTAATTTCGTCTTGCGATGCACCACTGTATATACTTATTTATAAGACTTCAACTATCCCCAGAGTAAAAAAGGGGGGGCACATTATCTACCTGGCCTGGGCCTCTGCCTGGCTCTGCAAGGCTGTGCTCGAGATCATGGATTCAAGCCCTGCGTTGGGTAAAAGGTTCCTGCATTGCAGGGGCTGGACCAGATGACCCCCACAGCCCCTTCCAATTCTATGGTTCTGGTTGGCCAGTTTTCTTCAAGTCCTGCTTCTGGTCCATCAAGTTCTGGCTTGCCTCTGAGACACGACTGCCTTAGCTCTTTTTGTCCTCTTCAGGGATGGCCCGGGGGGGGGAGTCTTTTTTCAAAACAGCAAGTTGTCAACCCCGACAACAGAGGCATAGGCAGAAGCCACAGGCACAAATCTGAGTTTGGGAAAGGAACGCTTGGGAAAGGAAGGAGCCAGTGTGGTGTAGTGGTTAAGAGCGGTAGATTCATAATCTGGGGAACCGGGTTCCCGTCTCCACTCCTCCACATGCAGCTGCTGGGTGACCTCGGTCCAGTCACACTTCCTTGAAGTCTCTCAGCCCCACTCACCTCACAGAGTGTTTGTTGTGGGGGGGGGAAGGGAAAGGAGACTGTTAGCCGCTTTGAGACTCCTTCGGGTAGTGATAAAGTGGGATATCAAATCCAAACTCTTCTTCTCTTCTTCTTCTGCTTCAGTCCCCTGCCCCATAGTCATACCTCAGGTTGAAGTAGCTTCAGGTTGAGCATTTTCGGGTTGCGCTCCACGGCGACCCGGAAGTAACGGAGCATGTTACTTCCGGGTTTTGCCGCTCTCGCAGATGCTCAAAATGACGTCACGCGCATGCGAGGAAGCGGCGAATTGTGACCCGCGCATGCCCAGACAAGGGTTGCGTTCGCTTCAGGATCATAGCTGTCAATGTTTCCCTTTTTTAAAAGGGAAATTCCCTTATTTTGAATATAATTCCTCGCAAGAAAAGGGAAAAGTTGACAGCTATGTTCAGGATGCGAACGGGGCTCTGGAATGGATCCCGTTCGCATCCAGAGGTACCACTGTATTGGGAAAAGATGCAGCTAAGAGGAAACACCAGATCTGAACAGGACACCCTTCTCAGGCTGCACCTATTGATACACATCAATGAGATGACTTGTGACCAGAGCCAGGATTAAAACCTTATAAATATATAATTTCATTATGGGATTATGCAGTTAAAAATTGCTTATTGATCACCACTGGGCTTGAGTTCAGAGGGAAACTGTTTCTTAAAATCATGAGATAAGGAACCAATCACAATCAATAAAAGAGGCAGAGAGAGAACGAACCAAGTGTGGATTTTGAGAGCGAAAGGGTCCTCTTGGATGCAAGCCACGTGCTGTCTCTCAAACCACGCTCCCTCGGCCTCAGCATGCTCCCCCCCAAGGCTCCTTCTGACCAGTGCCTCCTTCCAACCACACCACCTGAAGTATTCCTGGCTGGCAGCCTCTTTCCCAGCTGCACAGCGCCCCCTAGAGGCCCCCACTCAGGTCGCCCACACACCTTAACCTGCCCCAAACCCCAAACCCCACACCCCTCCTCTCTAGCACCACATTATCTGTGGATTTGCACCCCCTGCAACACGCCCACCCTGTCTCCAAGACAGCATCCTCCCTCTGCCCCCCCCCCCGCTGCACTGACCGCTCCTTTGCAGCCCCAACCTTGACAGACCGTCCTCTGAAGCAGCTCCGCTCCCCCCCATCCCTCCCCACTCAGATGCAGCTATAAATAGCCACCTCTTTCCGCTGACATCACTCTTTCGTCCCCTTGCTCCATTAGGACGTTGGAAGGATCAGATTCTACATCAAGTTAATATTGAAAAAGGAAAGGGGGAGAAAAAAGGCCAATATGCTGCAAAGTCTTTTGCTGGGGCGGGCTCCCTCTCGCCTCTCCCTATAGCCTGTGTTGGTGAGCGCTGGTGATTAAAACAGGTGAGCACATGAACAGCCTTGCGGGATCAGACTTAAGGTCTACCCAGCCCTGATTGCTAAGCAGCCGTCAGCCAGATGCTTGTGAGAAACTTGTAAGAGCCGGGCAGGGAGACTGACGTCCGCCCGCTGCTATGTCCCCATCAGCTGGTATTTGGAGGTACATTGCCTCTGAACATGGAGGGTTCGCTTAGCTCTCGTGGCTGATAGGGGTGCATTGGAAGAGATATTTGCCATGAATTCCCCCCCCCCCAATAAGCTGCTGCAAGTTTTCCAAAGGCAAGAATACAGTGGGGTGGGGAGAAAACCCTTTGCATATGTTCAGAATATCCTATACAGTGGTTACTCAGGTTAAGTACTTAATTCCATATTCCTTATCAACACCCCAAAATCCCCTCCCTGCTCATCGAAAAATAACATGCTAGGGAGAAAGGCTAGCCAGGGGGTCAGCAAACTTTTCCAGCAGGGGGCCGGTCCACTGTCCCTCAGACCTTGTGGGGGGCTATTTTGGGGGTGGGGGATGAACGAATTCCTTTGCCCAACAAATAACCCAGAGATGCATTTTAAATACAGTGGTACCTCGGGTTAAGTACTTAATTCGTTCTTGAGGTCTGTTCTTAACCTGAAACTGTTCTTAACCTGAAGCACTACTTTAGCTAATGGGGCCTCCTGCTGCCGCCACACCGCCGGAGCACGATTTCTGTTCTCATCCTGAAGCAAAGTTCTTAACCCAAGGTACAATTTCTGGGTTAGGGGAGTCTGTAACCTGAAGCGTATGTAACCCGAGGTACCACTGTATCTGATGCTCCTCATCCTTAAGTGGGGTTCTGAGTGGCCAGGTCTTGTACCCAGTCTCTCACTGCCCCTTCTCAAGGAACGCTTGTACAGGATCTGACATTTATGGCTCTCCGAGCACAAGGGCTGGGGAGGGCACTAGCATCCTCTTCTTCTGTCCCCCACACCTCTGCATCTTCCCGGGATGAGGAGGGGCCAAGAGGGGCAAGACCCAGGACACAGCACCCCTGCTGCCATGCCCCTCTGATGGCCAGAACGGACCCCCCCCCCCGCCCCCATTCAAGGCTGCAGGGACAATTTCTGCCTTGCGCACCCTGTCCTGTTCTGTTTGACTGCTCAGCCCCAGAGGCAGCCTCGCCGCAGCCCAGGGAGCAGACTTCCTCTCTGGCTTTGGGTGGTCACCCATTTGTGAGAAGGGGAGAGAGGCGGCTCCAGCCCCAGCAGATCTCTGGCACAAGGAAGCGGCGGCGGCTGCTCCTCTGCAGCTCAAGGTCACCACGGCTCGTAATGGGGAGGGAAACCTGCTACTCCCTCAGCTGCCGCTCGGTGCCAGGAGCCAGGCTCCCGCTGGCCTCCTCGGTTCCCCTCGCAGTCACCTTGACCTGCATCCCGAGACCAGGAGGATGGAGAGAGGCAGCGGGAGGGCAGCTGCGAGAGCCGGCCCCCGTGGGCTCAAGGCAGGAGCACCCGGAAAAGATGCTAACGTCCCAGGAGCTGCCAACTGCCCTTATTCGCCAGGGGGAAATATCTCCCCATCTCCCGCAGCTGTGGAGCTGCTCCCCCTTCCGCTGCTTACTTTCAGCTCCCAGTTGTTCCTTAGCGGCTGGGTACATGTACCAGCCCCATGCATGTGGAATCAGGGGTGAGACGAATGCGGGCTTGTGGGGAAGGGCCCCGGGCCCCTGCTGCTGTTTCACTGTGATGGCAACCTCCAAGCTGGCCCCTTTGCCACCCTGCTTGCAATCTCTCTGGAACAGGGGTCGGCAACCTGCGGCCCAAAAGCAGTCCACGGGGGTCGTCTAAACGGCCCCTGAACTGAGCTGCCCACTAAGCGAGTCCCCGCGTGCTGCACTAAACCGGCACAGCATGGAGCAGGGACTCGCTTCCGCGCTGCCGCCCCACAGAGCGATCTCCGCAGTGAAGCAGCCCAGGAGAGGTAAAACTTGCCGACGCCTGGTCTGGAACCACCCCAGGTCCTTACTGGCCTCCATTTTGCAGTTGCATGTCCCTGTTAAGTTGCAGCAGGACTCTCCTCCCACTGACCCCACCTTCTGATGCTATTTGCTGGGGTCTCTCCCTCAAGAATTTGCCCCACCCAATCCATTTCTGCCACTGTTAGTCCCTGGGGGCTAGGTGCTCCAATAAGGCTTCCTCTCTTGACCCCATGCAATTCACATGTGCCAACTGTTTTGGGGGGGGGGAAATGCCCGAAAAACCCTACTCCCTCAGGTTGTGTGCTTCTGAGCATGTGCAGAGTTCCTTTTCCACACAAGGAAGAGTCTAATAATAAGAAGTAGAACTGTGAGGGGAGAGATTCCATCAGGCAAGGCCTCCTGCCTTGCCCCACCCTCTATTCTCTGCCTCTCAATTTGTATTGTATTATTTTATGTACTGTGGTTTGCCGTTGTTTTATTGATTATAGTTTAGAAATTATTTATTGCAACTGCTGAGTGGATTTCTGTTTAACTTTTATATGTTGTTATTATTATTATTATTTAATACTATTCTAATGATTGCTGAACATTACTTTTTTGATATAGGTTACCTATTTTAAAGTTATGTTTTATTATCACATTTTTCTATTGCATTAGATTGTTATAAGATGTACGTTTTTTGTTTCTTCAGCTTCTAAACCGCCTTGAGCATTGTAAGATAGAAAGATGGTATACAAATTAAAAATGATGATAAAAATTGATAATAATATACTGCCCTTCATCACAAGACCCCAGGGTGGTTCACAGGATAAAATACAAGATAAAAACACAAGTAAATAGTTAAAACAAAAACAACAAGAAGAAGAGTTTGGATTTGATATCCCGCTTTATCAATACCCAAAGGAGTCTCAAAGCAGCTAACATTCTCCTTTCCTTTCCTCCCCCACAGCAAACACTCTGTGAGGTGAGTGGGGCTGAGAGACTTCAGAGAAGCGTGACTAGCCCAAGGTCACCCAGCAGCTGCATGCGGAGGAGCGGGGAAGCGAACCTGGTTCACCAGATTACGAGTCCACCAGTCTTAACCACTACACCACACTGGCTCTTGGCTCTGCCGTTCTCCTGGAACCGACTCCCACCTCTAGCATCCTTGGATAATGCCCTCCCCAGGCACACACCTCACCCGTGATCCCCAAGGCTGCACCCACAAACCTTCTGCAAGTGCATGTTTTTGGTCAGCTGCTCCTCCAGCATGTTCTGAAGCTTCTTGTTCATCTCCCGCACATTCTCATCTCCCGGCTTCACCAGGTCCCGCAAGACGCTGCTCAGGCTGCTGCGGTCGACTTGCCCGTGGGCCCCTGACACATCTGTCAGAATTGGGCAGAGGGGAAGAGAGTCAAGAGAGAGAGGAAGAGAAAGTGGGTGTGTTGTGGTTTGATGAGCATCTCAAACTTAGGGGGACAAACCTCTGTCAGGGCTGCACCATTTGTGAGAGCAAAAGGGGGCCTCACACTCCTTAACCTGAAAACAATTCTCTGTACACAGAAAGCTAGCATGTCAGGACTCCGCTAGAATCCTGCTCCTTGACAACTAGCTTTCTATAGCCCCGTCTGCACCATACATTTAAAGCAGTATCATAAAACTGTAAACAGTCATGGCTTCCCCACAAAGCATCCTGGGAACTGTAGTTCCTTAAGGGTGCTGAGTTGCTAGGAGACCCTTATTCCCCTTCGGAAGGGAGACTGATTGTTACACACCACTGGGAATTGTAGCTCTGTGAGGGAAAGAGGGGTCTCTCCTAACGACTTTCAGCTCATTTGAGAAACTACAGTTCCCAGGATTCTTTGGCAGAAGCCATGACTGTTGAAAGTGATTGGATATTAAACGTATGATACGGAGGGGACTTGTGTAGAAGATGTACTTCTCTCCAACATCAGTCTGAAGTAGCAGCATCGGACACAAGTCTAGCACCTCAGAGAGGGAGAAAGAGACTGCAAAAAGCCACGTCAGGAAATCTGGTGGAATCCAGCAGAAGTTCAGTGCTAATTTTTAATTGTTCCCAGGAAAAAGAATCCATTTGCAACCCCATTTCCACTTGCAATTCAGAGAATTTTGCCATGTAATGTCATGTGATGAAAGGTGGAGCAGCGTCCCAGCCTACAGTTCTTTCCCACCGTTTGAAATCTGGACTGCCGAAAAGCCAAAGTTCCGTAACACAACCGGTAGCGCAGTGCAAAAAGGGAAATGCTGGAAAATGGGACAGAAGCACCAGCACTATAACTTGTAAAATGCAACAAACTTCATGTCCAGGACTTTCAGACAGCAGTCTTGCTCCAGGTCCCTTCCTAAACAGAAGACAAGCTATTTCACCTCCCGCTGGAGCCACGTCTCCCAGGCTCTTTCCCCTGGAGACTCCTAGGAAGTGCATTAACAAACACGGTTTCAGGTCGATACTGGCTGGCCTTCTCCCCCAAGCTGCTGAGCTGGTTTTATAGTTATTTTATTGTCAGGGTTTCCATATGACTGTCTGCTTACTGCAAGCTACCTTGAGGGCTTCTTGGCCATTTCTCCAATGGGAGTAACAAATACCATGAGATACCCTTGAGGAAAATGATTTCCCCTTTCTCTTCTTAGGCCCTTCCTCCTCTGAGTGATCCCAGGGATCATGTGGGAGACACGAGGCAATTGCAGCATCAGATTTGCTTATGTGACAATGTTAAAAAGCCAATTCAGAGTGAAAGCAGGCCATGCTATCCCTCGCTCTGAATGAGCATTGGGAGGGAGCTGTGCTGAAACAATCTCACCTTTGTTTGAAGGCCCCCATGCCTAGAAAAACCACTAAAACAATGAGCGTTTCCCCCCAAGGGCAACACAAACACACACTCCTCTCCCGCTAGTGGGAGTTACATTAAGTACAGTCATACCTCTTGTTATGTTCGGTTCAGGTTACATCTTTTCAGGTTGCGTCCTGCGGTGACCCGGAAGTACCGGAAAGGGTTACTTCCAGGTTTCGCCACTCCATATGTGCAGACACGTAAAATGACATCACATGCATGCAGAGAAGCCGCGAATCGCGACCCGCGCGTGTGCAGGCGCAGGTTGCATTCCGTTCAGGTTGCGAACGGGGCTCCAGAACGGATCCCGTTTGCAACCAGAGGTACCACTGTATACTAAAAACAACAACAGTGACACCCACCACTTTCCTCCCATCACCTGCTCCTCCTTTCAGAACTGGCAGCCTGCAGCTGAGACGTCTCTCTCCACAACCATCTCCTCCTTTGCTCTCTAACCATTGCTCACTGCCCTCTTCTCCAGAGCCTGGGACTGCTCTGATCTCCTTAGGGAGCTGACATAAATTTGGGGTCTTTCCCTGAAACCTGCTCAGCCACGAAATTAGCAAAACAGCAGGGGAACAGATAACAGCAGCCACCCATCCTCTCTGCCCCCACCCCGAGAAACTGGCTTCAAACAGGAAAAAAAAAAACTGCGGAAGAGGAACTGAATGAGATTCCTAACTCGTATGCTAGAAGGAACAGCCAAGAGGCCTTCCTGCTGTTTTGCAACTTCTGTGAGTGGGAAGGCAGGCTCACCAGACGGATGACGATGACATGGCCCCCATTAACATCACAGCCACTGCCTCGACTGGTGGGGTTAGGCAAACAAGCAAGTTGCAAGCAGGGCACAGGCTATGACCAGGTACAAGGGCATCATAAAACACACACACGTCACTTTGGAGCCTGTTTTCAAAAAACAGAGATGAGCTCTTGATGAACTAGCAACAGCTTCCTCTGAGCTTGTGCAGAGTGCTCCCTCTTCACCACTGAGTAACCACACTTGGGGAGCACATGTCTGGGAATTTCAGGGAATGAATGTCCACAGGCTAGATGCAACATCATCGAGTCGAGCCCAGGGATGCCAAGTGGTCAACCAGACTGCGTGGTAAAACCGTGATCTGTGAGTTAACCAGTACAGTGGTACCTCGGGTTACATACGCTTCAGGGTACAGACTCCGCTAACCCAGAAATATTACCTCGGGTTAAGAACTTTGCTTCAGGATGAGAACAGAAATTGTGCTCTGATGGCGCGGCAGCAGCAGGAGGCCCCATTAGCTAAAGTGGTGCTTCAGGTTAAGAACAGTTTCAGGTTAAGAACAGACCTCCGGAACGAATTAAGTACTTAACCTGAGGTACCACTGTACTGAGTTTCAAGAAACCAGAACCTGGAATTTACTGCCCATCTCCACCCAACAACCTGCCGGGTTCCATTCTGGTTCTGTCTTAGTCCATCAGATTCCTCTAGGTTCCACGTCTTGACCCATCACCCCTGGGTTTGACCCCACTTCTACTCCTTCCTATGGGGCCGGTAATTTTAGAATGCAAAAGTTCCAACCAACTCCCATGCTAGCCCTGGTTCTATGCACACAGCACAATTCCAAGCAGCTGCGAGGACGAAGCTTAGATGGTAGCACCCTCTGTGCTTTGTAATAAGTACTTGAAAGAGTCGCAGAGAAAAGGCTACGGCTGAGCACCAGGGTTCCTGTGCTCTTTCTGCAGGCATCTCCCCCCACTGCCCCAGTAGCTGTCCGTTGCAGTTTGCTCCCTTGATTCCCCAGACTGATGCCGAGCTAAAGTAACCCTGACAACTAGATCGATCCCACCTGCTCTCCCTGCTCTGCAGCTTCAGCACTCATCAGCCGGCCTGTCTCTCAAGACAGAAATCCTTCCATCCCTTGGCTGCGCCGTCATGCGTCGCTCACCCCCGCAACGCCCCTACCTTACACAGGACAGGAAGGAGCCAGGAATCCTGACTCCCGGCCTCCGCTCCTCCCGCCACCAAACCCAACTCATACGCAGGATCGCCTCTGACACCCTTCAGTTCACCCTGGGTGACTACCACAACCACTCCAGTGTCCCTTGCGCACAATTGTCAACATGAGTTATGATCTCTGTGGCGCCCTTCCCCAGGACTGAGGATACGCAAGTTTAAAAATTTAAATTCTCCACTTTTCAACAACAACAAAAAGCCCAATTCTGCGGCCTGCAAAAGTCATGTACCGCAACCCCACAGGGGCCCACCTCTGCCTGCTAGCATTCACTGAAAGGCGGGAGGAAACTCAGCCTTTTGCCCACCCTGAAAACAGTCTAAACTAACAGAAGGTTCTGCCAACCTGAGCATGAAGTCTGCCACAGCTAGGAAGCTGCTCTTTAGGGCAGGATAACAGGTGCATTAGCAATTGGGCCGCTTGCCTGCCAAAACTTCCCTCTGTGCTGTGCTTAACTGCTGTTGATAAAGAGGGCAGACTTGCAGCAGCATCCAAATGACTAGGCGTGTCTTAAAAGCACTGAGTGAAATCCCTGCATCGCCTCCAACAGCCCATGCAGCTCCTCCACATTCAAAATCACCCCTACCATCCAGTAGAGGTCGCAACCTCTGAGTCCTCCTGCTCAAGTCGGTCAGTGTGGGGCTTCTGAGTGCAAAACCCCTTTCTTCCCACTGATGTTATCATCTCCCCCCCCCCCCCACCCCAATTTGTTTTGTTTTTGATTTTTTGCAATGGCAATATGAAATATTTAAAGGGCCTGCATGTGCATTTGGGCTGACATGCTGTACTAAAGCAGAGGCGTCACAGAAACAGAACAATTCAGGCCTGATATATCTATCTATTCCCAATATATCGTATGCCTCATTGCCAAACTGCATCACTTGTTCAATCTCAAATCGTTTTTCTTTTGGTTTGGTTTGTTCCATGGATCTCTCAATAGCATTTTTTAACCTAAGTTGGAAACATTTAATTGTCAATGCTTTTTTTTTTACAATGGGAATGGAAAACCACCGATATTTTGTTTGTGGCACCCTTAGCGTTGCTGCTTCTCTCTCCTCTCCATCCTCCTAGCTGATGAGTACATTGACATCAGGCCCACTTTTCTCTGGCTGGTCCCAGAGTTCACAAGCCTGGCCCGCTCTCACAAGCTTTAGGAATAATGCCTAGAGCAGTGTTTAGCGTCCTTGGGTCTCCAGCTGTCATTGGACTTCAACTCCTAGCATCCCTGACCACTGGTTCGGCTAGCTAGGGATGATGGGAGTTGTAGTCCAACAATAGCTGGAGACCCACGGTTGAGAAACATTGGCCTAGAGTATGAGCCACTGTCTGCCCCCGCACAATTCACCAGGCTTACCATCCTTTCCCTGGATCAAGCCTCCCACCTGAAACGTCTCACTCTCCTCTCAGCCTCCTATCTGCAAAGCCCAAATCCATTGAGCCCACTCCCCTCCCAGAGATAGAGGGAGAGGGAACCTCAGTTCAATTATCAAAACCTAAGGTAATTGCCTGAGGCTAAATCCATCTAGTTTATATTGTAGGAGAGGTAGAAATAAAAGAGGAGTTAATTGGAGAGAGAAACACACACACACACACACACACACACACACACACAAACACCCTGAGGACTCCTGGGGCAGCGGGGTCAAGTGGTTGGAGCAGAAGGGCCAGCAGTGACTTCTGGGTTCAGTTACAAAGATTTGGAGGACAAATCTGCCTGAGAATGACAGGCAAAGGCAGAAGGAAGTGGCACAAAATGCAAGAGGAGGAGGAGGAGGTTTGTATTTTTAGCGTTCATGAAATATTCACTGGCTGGGCTGTGTGTTGCCAAGCTGAGGCGAAGGCGACCCTGCGCAAGCTATTTATAACCGGCTCCTGTTCCCTGCCCGCGGCGCAGTTCTGCGTGGAAGTATGGAAAACTTATCCACAGCCGCTCAAGAGGACCCACCACCCCGGCTGTCGGATTTTTACCTCCAAGCACAGGAGAGGCTCTTTGTACGTCGCCCCTCAACATCGTAGGACCCTCTCTCTCTTGCTCTTAGCACTGTGGCTGAGCCCAACACCACTGCTCTTTGGCAAGTTCAGGTGGGCCAAAGGAATGGCAGCGGGATCACCAACGGGGTGAGAGTAGGGTGGGGATTCTTATAGAAGGGGGGAGAGAGAGGGGGCCCAAAGCCAGGGAAAACAAAGCAGAACGGAGGAGACAATCCCTGTGTGAATGCTATGTGGGTTTGTGGGACTGGGGGACGGATTGCAGTCTGTCGGAGAGGGGCTCTGGGAATGAGAATCGGGAATGAGAATCTCATGGCCTGGAGACCTGGCTTCTCGCTCCAACTGACTTGCCAAATGAATCTGCTGAGCCGGCACATTCTCGTGCCAAGAGCAGAGACTCGAGGGCCACCTGTGCTTTCCACCTTGGTGCGCAGAAAGCGGGACAAAAAACCAAGAGAGCTCTCCCTGGACTCTCCTTCCACCTATAATGGAACCTCCAATCTCCAAGTCATGCAAGCCTTAAGAGCCCTGCTCCTCCTCCATTTCTTTCCCTCTTGCCAAGGAGGAAGCCCACAAAGCACAGAGAAGACACTTCCTTAAGAGATACGGGGGGCTGCTGCTCTCTCCACCCGCCCTAAAGCGAAGCTGAAGTCCCGAGCCACTGTCTCCCTACTTCAAACTCCCCCCAAACTTGTGGAATTTCCACTTCACTGGTAGCCGGAATAAAACCAGAGCAACTGTAGGCTGTGGTCAGATCCTTATCTGGGGCCCAGCCCCCTTACCCCAAGTTGGTTGGGACTATAGTTCTGTATAGGCTATGGTTCTGCAATCACACAGCAGAGCCATGGAATCTGGTGGCAGATACAAATTTCAGTAGCATGAGATTTGCAGCTTTGATTTTATTTTATTTTTAAGGGAAAGAAGCTTCTAGTCCTTAAGGCTGCTGGAGTGGAATTTTGGAAGGCACAAGATAGAGGGAAGGAGGAGCATGGAGGAGGATCTCCATTGGTCAGGAAATGGGGCTTCATTGCAATGCAAAGCATATTGACTCTATAAAAATTATTATTATTATTATTATTATTATTATTATTATTATTATTATTATTATCTCACTTGGAGTAGCAGAACGCATCATGCAAACAGATGCAAATCCTTTTTTGGTATAATTTATGCAGGTTGTAGAAATGTTCTTCCGTCGAGGCACAATTTTCAGCCCCATCCCCAACAAAGCATCTTGGTTAAGACTAATTGAATAAGCCAAGGGATCATGATCCCCAAAAACCAAAATGGGAGCTCCGAAAGCTTCAACAAGCTTTGGGAACGTTCCAGGTGGAATGCTGGCAAGGGTGCCGGAAGTATGAGAGAGGAATTTTTAAAAGATCAGTGGAATCAAACTTGCAAAGGATCTGAAGGCTCTCTTATATCAAAGAATCCTGGCTGAGGGCCGTGGCAGCAGCCCTCACGTCAGCCCCCTTTCACATCAAGGGTAATTTCACACCACACAGAGCTTGATGCCTCAGTCAGGTTTCTGATGTGAATTCAAAACCTACGTTGGCCACGATGCACATTGCATAACCAGAGCCTCTCCTGTACTCTCTCTCTTACATATTAGCCATGCAGGTAACATGCGGCCATTGAGAGATTCCACTACCAGCGTCTAGAGGGCAAATGGCAGCAACCCAGAAGCTGTGAAAGCCGCATTAGCAATGATCTGCTCTCTGAAAAGCAACATTAAGCAGGAATTCTGTCACAAGGATTATTTGATCTCGGAAATGCCGGAGTTAACATGCTAAGACACCAGTTCCATCCAGCACTGAGCACAGAAGCAGCTTATTCAAGGCAGCAGGGATGCCCAGACCTTACTTCTCCCCACAATTTGCGTGTGTGGATGTAGCAAACGAAGAAGCCACAGTTCGTGGAGCTCGGGATCCTATCTGAAGCTTAATACTGAACTCATGTTCACACCCACACAGGGTTCAGTCCTCTCATCCTCGCGGCAAAATTATACAGTAGAGGAGAAGGAGTGAGACATGGGTGGGCAGCAGGGGGGGAAACGGGCAGATCTATTTTTATTTGTACTTATTTCATTTTTACCCTGCCTTTCCTCTACAACAGACCAAGGCACGGCTGCAAAGATGGGAGTTCCCAGGCAGCCTCCACACACAGACCACTGTCTGGACCTGCTTCATCCTGTACCATCGGACCAGCTTGTGGGACTGACGACGGCTGGCCTGGGACTGAGCTGTCGAGTGGAGTCACCTCCCAGAGGGCCTCTAGCCAGAACCACAACTCTTTCAAGCTTCTTTCTGCAACCACATGGGCTAGAAACTTGTAAGGAAAACAAAATTAATAAATAATAATAATAATAATAATAATAATAATAATAATTAAAATAATAAAAATATTTTTTTATTTATACCCCGCCCATCTGGCTGAGTTTCCCCAGCCACTCTGGGCGGCTTCCAATCGAGTGTTAAAAACACTACAGCATTAAATATTAAAAACTTCCCTAAACAGGGCTGCTTTCAGATGTCTTTTAAAGATAAGATAGCTACTTATTTCCTTCATATCTGAAGGAAGGGCGTTCCACAGGGCGGGCGCCACTACCGAGAAGGCCCTCTATCTGGTTCCCTGTAACCTCACTTCTCGCAATCAGGGAACCGCCAGAAGGCCCTCGGCACTGGATCTCAGTGTCCGGGCTGGACGATGGGGGTGGAGACGCTCCTTCAGGTATACAGGACCGAGGCTGTTTAGGGCTTTAAAGGTCAGCACCAACACTGAAAAGCCAGGACTTTAATCTACAGAACGTTGAGGAGAGGTGTTAAAAGCAAGCCCTCCAGCAGATCCTGCAGACTTTGCAAGGCCTGCAAGAGGAGCTGCAGAGAGCCGAAAGGGCAGTGCAAAGGAGATGGCGCAGCCAGACAGAGGGACTTGGGATAGCTGCGCTGCACATGGTTCCCTTTGTACCGCAGTGAAGCCGAGTGGGAACAGCCCTTTCCTCCTGCCTTTGTCTGTGCCTGGTGATGGGAAGTGGCGCTAACAGGGTTTGACAGCAGGTCCCCACGGAGGCTGTCATTCCGGCTGCTGCAGGGGGAGGGGCCTGCCCCCTCGGCTTCACCGATGGCACAAAAAGGTCCCTTCCGCAGGCCCGGCCTGTCACGGAAGGAACGCAGAGGTGGGAGGGACAGGGACATGGGGAAGGAGGAACAGCCACATGCAAGCAGGGGACGTTTCAAAGGACTCTTTATAGCTCTACCCCTCTTTGTGGCCTAGCTTCACAGGCCGAAAAACCTTCCCAGTGCTTAAAAGAGGATACCTGCACCCTACCCCCAAATATGTGCAAGGCTGCTAAAGTAGAGGCCACGGTTCATGCCTGCTGCCCAAATTCACTCTATGCCCGTCAGCAGTCAAATATGCAAAAAGGGGGAACTGCTAATACAGTGGTAACTCGGGTTACAGACACTTCAGGTTACAGACTCCACTAACCCAGAAATAGTACCTCGGGTTAAGAACTTTACTTCAGAATGAGAACAGAAATCGTGCTCCGGCAGCGTGGCGGCTGCAGGAGGCCCCATTAGCTAAAGTGGTGCTTCAGGTTAAGAACAGTTTCAGGTTAAGAACGGACCTCCGGAACGAATTTAGGACTTAACCCGAGGTACCACTATATATGTGTACACTTGCCCGTTCCCCACAAGCTTGAGTTCTGCAAATATGGCCGGTTTGAAATGATTTAGCTTCTTCCGATTTACTCTGCGCCCCACACTTCAGGCAGGGACAAGGCTTTCTTAAGAGGTGGGGGACAGGCTGAAGGCAAAGCATCACTCCCATGGAATGGGCAGGCAGGTGCTGATTCAGTGGGAAAGTTCTGCGTGGCTGGACCGCCCCCCCCCCCATGGCTTCAGGCCTTTAATGAAATGTCACAGGTGTGCCATGGGATGAACCTACAGAAATACATTTCCCAGGGTACCAGTGTAACATTTAAAGGGCACCTCCTTTCCATTCTAGAGTGTGAAGTGTGGAATTTTTACCATCCTCTCTCTTCCCTCGTGTACAAGAGGGATGGCCCCATGGTGGAAGAGAGAGGTTAGCCAAAAAAGGAGGTGAGGCGTCAAAGTCTCAGGAGACCCCTCTGAGATCCATCTTCTTCCCCAGTTTTAGCCAATGTTATCCACACACCCTTGACATTCTTTCCCCTAGCAGCCATGATGTTGGTCTTTCTTTAAAATGAAGTTGTCAGATTCTGGACTTGCAAGCTAGCGTGGGGAGGAGACTCTAACTATAACACTATTTTTGTTTATGATTCATGTTATTTCTTTTATGGATGTATATCCCTAATTATAAAGTATTTCCAAAGCACCTTCAGTTTCTCCTAAGATCTATGAATATAGAAAGACTCATGGCTAAGCTCCAGTGTGACCAAGAGAGAGAGTGCAACTATGCCTGCCCAGTTCTGCCCCTCATTTGTTGCCAGTACTCCTGAGGGATGTGGACATTCCATTCGAACTTCCTTCCTGACTTAACATCACCTCTTATTCCCTGCAGACCCCAAAATGGTGCCCCTCCCTCACCACAGAAGAAGGGATGAGAGAAGATCTACACCAAGAATAAAGTGGGGGTGAGGAGAAAGATCAACATTGAGACCTGCTGCCTGAGGCAGCCGCCTCACTTTGCCTCCTGGCCTGACCAGGCACTACCCATTGGGAATTACACCAGAGAACTGTGTCAAGTGTGAGGCCCCAATTCAGAGCTCACCTCAGCTGCAAGCCTATTCAGCAGCCTCAGGGTTCCCTAGGACCACTACCTAATGGAAGCGGAGAGAATCCTCAGGTGTCCATAGTAGATCTGAAATTCCTGGACACACAATCTTTGCTTCGATCCACCCCCTTCCACCAAGCTGAGATCAAGGCCACTAGCCCCTGGTTTGCTCAAGCTTATTCCCTCCTGACTGCCAGGAGTCCTCACCGATGCGGCTGTCCATGACGTACGTCTCGATGATGGCACTCTTCCGACACAGGTCCTCAGCCATGGAAGCACTGCTGACCTCCAGGTGTTTCACCTAGCAAAGGGAGATGGCATCATTCCTCACAGTCAGTGCTGCTTACCTGCCCCCAAAACCCTGGAATCCAGAACCTCCACCAATGACAGGCCAGCCTGTGCCTCTTAGATCATAGAATTGCAGAGTTGAAAGGGACCATGAGGGTCATCTAATCCAGCCCTCTGCAATGCAGGTGTTCCCCCCTGGGGGGGGGGGGGCTTGAACCCATGACCATGAGATTAAGAGTCTTATGCTTTTACAGACGGAGCTCCTGGCTAAACATATTCCTCCATCTAACCCTAACATCGCTGACTTTCCTCTTGGAAGTCATCTCACCAGTCTGGGCTCTGGAAATAATCTCCAAAGGTTCAGAATGTGCTGCTACATGGTGGTTCCTCTGGGGACTTTAGAGGCCTTGGGGGCCAGATGTGGCCCTCAGGACTCTCACTAGGCCAGGGCTTGGGCCCTGCCACATTCTACTTGCTGGTACTGCTCCACACCCTCTTGGAAGTGTGTTTTGTGTGGCTGGAATGTAACCCTGAACTGCAACACCTCTTGCTTTTCTGAATATTTGATAGAGACAGGGGTCTATGTAGGAACCTCTGGCTTTGTGTGGCTCAAAATAGCCTACTGTACAAAGGTTAATAGGTGATGTGGGTGGCGCTGTGGTCTAAACCACAGAGCCTAGGGCTTGCCGATCAGAAGGTCGGTGGTTCGAATCCCCGCAACGGAGTGAGCTCCCGTTGTCCAGTCCCAGCTCCTGCCAACCTAGCTTGAAAGCACGTCAAGTGCAAGTAGACAAATCGGTACCGCTCTGGCAGGAAGGTAAAGGGCGTTTCCATGTGCTGCTCTGGTTCGCCAGAAGCGGCTTAGTCATGCTGGCCACATGACTCGGAAGCTGTCTGCGGACAAATGCCGGCTCCCTCGGCCTATAGAGCGAGATGAGCACCACAACCTCAGAGTCATCCATGACCTAACGGTCAGGGGTACCTTTACCTTTATACAAAGGTTAATAGTCACATCCATCAACCCACCTACTTTTTGCCCCTGATCTTACCACCATCCCTCGCATGCCCCCCCCGAAAAAAGTTATCCAGGGGAAAATGCCGCCCTCAGGCTGATAAAAGTTCTGCACCCCTACCACAGAGTCAAGCACAGGCAAAACTCCGGAGAGTTAACATTCTCAGTCACTGGCAGGAGCTGGGAGTGTATCACTGTGTACAGACATCCGGCTGGGCCAGCCATACTGCAGGAGAGCCAGTATGTGCCTGTCGTAAGGTGCCACGCAAGAGCCTATTCTGCCATTCCAAAAGGGCCTGCAAAGGTTACCATACCTTCTCCTCCAGCAGCCATTTCTCCTGCTGAACTTCTGCCAGACGCTGGAAGAGCTCGGAGATCTCCTCGTCCGAGAGGTCAGCTGGCCGAGGGGGTTGCGACTGTGACTGCGGGCTGCCTGTGGTGGACTGCAAGCGGAGAAGGGGGTTGGCAGGCAGGCTGGCAGCCCAAGCAGAGTCTTTCACTGCATCCATCACCCTCCGCCCCCAAAGTAATTTTAAACATTTCTCTCTCATTTTGCAAAGTGCTCAAAGGTGTCTCACTAATTAACTTTAACATCAAAACTGCATGTAAAAAATTAAGTAACCATTATAGGGATGCAGGCCCCAAGCTACCAATCTAGCTGCTAGCCACCCATAGAATATCTATCGTCCTATAGTGTAGGATGAGGAACCTCATGCCTGACACCCTGGCCAATTTTCCAATAAAGAACTGATTGGCTGTTTCTTCTTCTTACAGAAACCCATTTTCTCCAATCTTCAGACAAGACTTTGGGAGAAAAGAAGCCAGTGGGTGGGTGAGAGTTTCCCTTGGATATGTTCAAGATTATATTGCAGGGGTGGGGAATAACAAACCCAGTTTATTTTAAGAGTCTTTGTTGTGGCAACTTCAAAGGCAGGTCAAACAACCACACACACACAGGCAACCTTTAAAAACAACAACAAAAGGATTCCTTTGGCTCGTGCAGCTAATACATAGATCAAGTTGATCAGTTATGAACAATCACCCCCTGGGTAGAATCAATGAGCTGGCCAGAAATAGAGGAGATCCTGAGGAGTCTTTGTGCTGTCTGCAAGACCAGTTGCATGGGAACGGGACTCCTGCAGCACCATCCCTAAAATGGCACCATAGGAAAACTACCAACATATGCTACAACAGCAGCAAGAATACTCATTGCAAAGTATTGGAAGACACAAGATCTACCCACTCTGGAAGAATGGCAGATGAAGGTGATTGACTACATGGAATTGGTGGAAATGACTGGCAGAATCCGAGACCAGGGAGAAGAGTCGGTGAAAGAAGACTGGAAGAAATTTAAAGACTATTTACAGAAATATTGTAAAATTAAGGAATCTTAGAAGGATGTTGGATAGAAACTAAGAGGTTTTTAGCTGTAATGCTTTAAGAGATATGAAAAAAGGTTTACAATTGGGCAAAAGTTTAATGGTAAGGATTTGCTGAACTAACAACTGAACTGGAATACAAAAAAGGGAGGTATGAGGAGGTCCGGGGAAATAAGTCTAGGGAAGATAGGCTTGGAAAATTAATGTCTTTTTAACTGTTTTATTTTGTATGTTTCTTTTTTATCCTTTACTTTTTTGTTATACTTTAAAAAACTTTACTCTTTTTTCTGTATTTTGTATTTCTTCTACTTCTTGAAACTTTAATAAATATCATAAAAAAAAAAAAGGAAAACTACCAACAACCCAGAAGTGATGCTTTGGAACACAGGAAGCTGCTTTGGGTCCATCTAGCTCAGTACTGTCTACACGGACTGGCAGCAGCTCTCCAGGATTTCAGGCAGGGATCTTTCCAAACCCTACCTAGAAATGCCAGGGACTGAACCTGGGACCTTCCGCTTATAAAGCAAAGGATCTACCACTGAGCTATGGCCCTTCCTCTAATCTGAGGAAAGGCACTGCTTTTGAAAGGCAAGCTCCAGGTGTCTGCTCCCATCTACAGGCGCAGGAAGAGAAATTACAGACCTCACCCCTTCAAGAGCTCTGGCGTCCTTGGCACCTACAGCCAAACCTCCTGACACCTATCATGCCTTACCTTGTTGCTGCCGGCCCCAGATCCCTCTTTCATGATTTCACGGTAGCTGAAGGACGAGATGCTGCTGCTGTCTCCCGTCTGTGCCCTGCTGGGCGAGCTGATATCCGCCAAGACAAGATCCTCGATTCCTGGAGGGCAGAGCACAAGGTTAGAAATGCAAATAAGGGTGGCAGTTCTGGGGCCCAAAGCGGGCAGAAAGCCACAGCCGCTCCCCATTGCCCTGCCCTGTAACCCTCAGGTGTGTAGGTGCTAGCTGGGGGCAGCTCCTTGGCACAGGAAGAACACTCTCTGCATGCTCAGAGACAATACTTTCAAGAGTCAGAAAGTACACAGACGCATACAGCATAGCCTAGGTAATGTCCGTTGCACATCATGGGCTGGTATCTGCTCCTCACACGGGGCTGGCATGAACAAGATCCAGTTCATATTAAACACAGATTCAGGCTCTTCTCTCTCTCCCTCCCCACCCTCAAATCTCTGAAAGTACTTGGCTGCAAATAACCAGCTGAGTGGTTAGCTTAGCTCCCTGGGGTATCTGATTTCCCGGAAGGTGCTATTTCCTAGCATAGGAAAGGAGTATTTTGAAAAAAGATGGTGTCAGAGACTGTCCACCCAAAGCAGGATTTACTGTAGCGTTTGGATGTAAGTTCCAACCCCCGCACTGCTCTGCAGCTGAATCTTGTCCTAAACTGATCTCACTGTTCTCACATCTCCCCCCAAAACAACACCAACTTCTTTCCTTAGGAGAAACCACCTCTCTGCTTTTGAAGAACTCCCAAGTGGCCCCTAGGAGCTAGACAAAACCAATCTTGTTTACATAATCAGGAACACACAAGGTTCCCAGTGGAGGCAAGCGTTCAGAATCCATTAACCACAGATTAGGGATCAGGAGCAGGCTTCTGGATCCCAGAGTCGCATAGACCAATGCCTCCACCCCCCGTACAAATTTGACTTCCCTCTACTGGCTTTTACTCTCAGCTAACACTTCTTATAGAATGGTTAATGCTATGCATCTTAACCAGGACCCATAAGCTGGTTAAAACGAAACATTGGCCGTTGTAAAGGTTGGTGTCAATGTAACTCTGAATCATGCAAAAGGCCAGCAGGGGGATTTGAGAGAACCCACCCCAAAGCCCACTTCCCCAACCATGGTTAATGTATTGGGAGCATGGTGTTCACACACAAGCCCAAGGTGTTTGTCACATGGGAGTTTCCTGGCAGTCTGAAGTGGTTTGCTTGTGTTGAATTCCCAGCTTTAAGCTTCTGTGCTATGTCTGCTCACGTTCATGAAAGATTATTCTCAATGTACCAGCCAGCCTCATCTGGAATCCTTCCTGCCAAAGGTACCCTATATTTTATTTCTGGTCAGGATACACATAGCAGAAGTCCAAGATATTGTTACTGTTGAAGTGTTGTGGGGATCAAGGAGTTAAACACTCTGTGCTAATTGGGAATGCTGACTCAGCAGCATGTGATGACTAAGCATCACGAGACACGGGGCGTTGCCTAACTGATCCAGCTAGTATAAAGAGGCATGGTTGACTTCCCACTTCAGTTAGTTGGTAGGAGTATGAAGAGGTGAAGGCTTCTCCCTGAATATAATTCCATCTGTGTGCTGTGTATGTTGAATGTACCCACACAGCTTGTTTTACGATGCCGAAAGACTGCAACTGAATAAACCCATACTGAAAATCCAGCTTGATTCCTGAACGCTTCCTGTAGGGCTCTTGTACATCACAACAGTTACTACTACTACTAGCTGGGATGCGGGTGGTGCTGTGGTCTAAACGACAGAGCCTAGGGCTTGCCGATCGGAAGGTCGGTGGTTTGAATCCCCGCGACGGGGTGAGCTCCCGTTGCTCGGTCCCTGCTCCTGCCAACCTAGCAGTTCGAAAGCATGTCAAAGTGCAAGTAGATAAATAGGTACCGCTCCGACGGGAAGGTAAACGGCGTTTCTGTGTGCTGCTCTGGTTCGCCAGAAGTGGCTTAGTCATGCTGGCCACATGACCCGGAAGCTGTCTGTGGACCAACGCCGGCTCCCTTGGCCTATAGAGCGAGATGAGCACGCAACCCCAGAGTCGTCTGCGACTGGACCTAACAGTCAGGGGTACTGTTACCTTACTACTACTAGCATTGGTATTATTATTGCATTTTCTTCTCGTAAGGCCAGGAAGAGAAACATGTGGCCCTCCAGATGTTGAGCATTGGTCATGCTGGTTGGGGATGATGGGATGGGATCCAACAACACCTGGAGGGCTCCAAGTTCTCCATCTCTGTTCTAAGGAATAGGACCAAGGAGCTGTCCAAAGTGCTGAAATACACTGCAAAGCCCAAGTGCTGAGTGCTGATGTACAGGAATGAACCAACTAGTCTTGTGTGGTCTATCTTTTTAAAAATAGAATAAAAAAAGAAGGTCCACAGTCTACCAGTGCATTTTATAATGTACACATCAAGAGTACATACTCAAGATCTCTAACACAGCTAAAGTGTAACTCACATGTATGATCCTGAGTCTGTATTCTTGCTGCTGAAGAGCATAAAGTAGTACCTTAATGGATCAGATCAAGCTCTAGCTAGTCAAGCATTCTCTCAGAATCCCAGCAAAAAATGCCCACTAATCCATTAGTGGGTCAAGATTTAGCCCACCCTTGGTCTAATAAACAAAACTTTGCTATTAACATTCTTGCTTGGGCACAAAACTCGCTGGATTACCGTAGGTTATTATTTCTCAGTCTCACCTACCTCACATGGCTATTGTGATTATATAAAAATGGGGGTGGGGAACTGTGTACTCCACCCTGAATTCATTAGAGAAAGGGCAGGATATAAATCTGCTTGAGTACACACACCCCCAAACACACACACACACACACACACACACACACACACGAAAGACGAGGGACACTTTTTACACAGCAGATTGCAGAATGCAGCTTCCAGTACAGACCATCTGGTGCATTCACCAGACCCCCTAAACAACGGAGCCGGCTTCTTTTGTTTTGTTTTTTTAAATGCGTTTTAGCAAAGCTGACTGCAGAGAAGCCTCTGGAAGGGGAACCAGTATCCAAGACCAGAGGGGTTCCCAAACCATCTGCTCAATGGGGATCCAGGGGCCGTTTTTCCTTTCTTCCTAGCTCTCCTGTCTCAGTCCTCCTACCTGGGCTTGGCTGGTATCACAAGGGTGTCATCTACCAGCATTGCATCATTTCACAGTGAAGACGAATTTATCGTAATGTGGGATGACCCCCTTTGGCAAATCATTTGGTACGATTTTCAAAGAGGGGAGCGAAAGCAGGAGCTTGTCAATGAAACAACTGCAAGACTGCTATGAATTAAAGCCTGCAGTGAATTAATGATTTTTTAAAAAACAACAACCACAAATTATAAAGTTAAAAAGAATCTGGCCACTGTCACTAATGTCTTGCTAACATCCAGATTATATTACTTGAAATATACATGGTGTATGACCTTATTTTTGTATTTAAATAAAAATAGCAGAAGATGCTGGACTACAAGGCTGAAGACCACTGGTACCTTGAGGGCTGCTGTTTGACAGTGGGACAATCTGCCTTGAGAGCTCTCCTTCCTTGCAGGTGCTTCAGCAGAGGCCGTACAGTCATCTGTCAGGGATGCTGCAGTTGCAGATCCCACACTGAGAAGGGAGTTGCACGAGAAGACCTGCCAGGCACTTTCCAGCTCTAGGAGTCTTGCATAAGACACTATCTGGGCCCTTGAGTCACCCTCAGAGGCTTTGCTTTGCCATCTGAAGTGGGATGGGTAACTACACAAAGCACAGCCTTCTGAACAGTGTGCGGAGGTTACGAAACTCCTGTCCAGAGGACGTTCACAAGGCTTTAATCAACAAGCAGAAATGTAGTTTTTACAGGGGAAATGTGGGCTTGTTATGATGCATAATGTTGCTGGATTTTGTTTTTGCTTGTGGTTTGCAACGTCTTATGTGTCTTTATGTGGCTGGACCATAAAGAAGGCTGATCGCTGAAGAATTGATGCTTTTGAATTATGGTGCTGGAGGAGACTCTTGAGAGTCCCATGGACTGCAAGATCAAACCTATCCATTCTTAAGGAAATCAGCCCTGAGTGCTCACTGGAAGGACAGATCCTGAAGCTGAGGCTCCAATACTTTGGCCACCTCATGAGAAGAGAAGACTCCCTGGAAAAGACCCTGATGTTGGGAAAGATGGAGGGCACCAGGAGAAGGGGACAACAGAGGACGAGATGGTGGGACAGTGTTCTCAAAGCTACCAGCACGAGTTTGACCAAACTGCGGGAGGCAGTGGAAGACAGGAGTGCCTGGCGTGCTCTGGTCCATGGGTCACAAAGAGTCGGACACAATTAAACGACTATACAACAAATGTGTCTTAACCAACTGTGTTTTATGTTATTGTGGTTGTTTTGCCATAAACCCTATAGATTAAAAAGTTAGGGTATCAGGCACTCCCACATCCCCACACCATGGGACAGCTAAAATGAACAGTATCCTTTGGAACAAACCAAAAAGAACTAAAAGAGCACAAATTCCTACTCTAGAAAGACAGCAGAGGAAATGTAGAGAGAAGCTGAGCAGCAGACCCAATTTCCCCTCCATTGCATGGAGATGTGAAGACACTAATACAACTCCCACCTCTGCCACAAGTTTGGTAGTTAAAGGAGAGCCACATCTGCTGCAGCTTCACCCCCCACTAGCCATGGGAAACACAAGGGATCAGAATGCCCCTGTACAGGGCGGCTGTAAGCATCGCTGAGATAACCTAAGTGAAGCACTTTAAGCCTTTCGAAGCCTTTTATTAGCAAAATGCCCATTGTGACGATGGATGGGCTGTTTGTGTGATAGGGACTGAACCTGGGCTACTGGCTGCTTGCAAGGTGTACACTCTGCAATCGAGCAGAGGCCATTCCCCAAACAGGGGTAATATGGCCACTGTTCATTTTTATGGGCGGAAGTAAAATTTTGTATTCCAGGACACCCAAAGGCTAAATGTGGGCCCTGCTCCCTCACCCCTTCTTGATCCCAGCCACTGAGAACCAAGAACTGTTTACATATGCACAATCCCAACCCCTGCCCAGTTCCAGCCTGGATTCCGTTTCTTGGGTCAGGCTAGAGTGCCACATCTCCCTAAATAAAAATTCTCAAAAACTGTGGTTAGTTATAAAAAGTGGGGGAGTAGGGAAATAGAGGACGGGAACAGAGTCGGAACCTGGAAGCAACATGGCAAGCAGACAGTCGCCATTTATCTGCCATGCCTCAATCAAAGAAAGAGCAAAAAGAGGCATTTATTTATTTTTTTGAAACACACACACGTAAGCTTGTAATAGGTATGCTCTTGCATGGGGCCTCATGAGGAACTCCTATCCAAATGATCTATCAAGTCCTTTCTCCACTTTGCTCCACTAAACTCCCAGCACCTGGTGTTCCCAGACTGTTCCACAAGCCCAGAAATGGCATTTCTAGCCATTTGTGCTGCCTGCCTGCCGGAGAGCTTTGCAGAGGGAGAGTGCTGGGTGTGTAGGAAGTGAGAAATCCTACAAGCAAGTGCTGCAGCTGCCCAGCCCGGCTGGTTAATTTTTAATCCGGTGGTGAAAACAAGAGACCCATTCAATGCTGGGAGCTGCCGACTATACGCACCTCCTGAACTCCCTGCTGCAAGTGGCCTCCAGCGCCTTTCAAACCCACCTGTTAACTCAAGCGCTAACCTCCCCTGGGACCAACTGATGCCTTTCAATCTCCCGCTTGTGACTCTCTTCCTCTTTAGCTCAGCTTTCTTTCTTTTAAAGGAGCAAGCTGAGTTGGAGGTCACTGGCTCTTTGTTAAGAGGGAGAGAGAAGAGGGGATTACGCAGACGATGGCTTTTCAACAGAACTCCATGCTGGGAGAAAGCCCTGTGGAGGGAGAAGGACTCTTTTGTGCAGGCTGCTCTGGAAAAAACAGACGCGAGCGTGTGTGCGCACACACACACAAAACACACAAAACGGAGGAATTCAGAAGGCAATGAAAGTCCCTTCACACTCCAGGGTGCATTAGATCAAAGCAAGGCGATAAAAGGCATCCCTCCCAAGCAATTTGCCAGGGGCCAAATGACAGTGCCTCTTGGGGACCAAGGAAGGAATGGCGCTCACTTCAAGGCCTCCTTTAAAGAGAGAGAGGGAGAGGAAGAGAGAGAGAGAGAGTTCTCTGCAGGTTGCACTAGCAGCAACAGCTGACAATCCCTTTTCCCAACCATACTTGGAGGCAGAGAAGCAGGACACAATCAGGAAAATCGCTTTCAAACATGGAGGAACTGCTCCTTTAAATACCTTTTGACTGCTCTGCTGTCCTCAAAGCCAGGGAGCAGAGAAAGGGCTGCACTTGCGACCCATCGAACGCATGCCTATGGTTGGAGGAAAGATTTTCTAAGCACATGCAAATGATTGCCGGGTGCAAGGGTGAAATCTTGTGCTTGTGGCCCAAGAAACGCAAAATGGTGCAGCATGAAGGGATAAGGTGGTCTCCTGGGAGAGGAATGGATCCTAGTGGATGGTCCCAGGAGGAGACTGGGCAGGTTGGAAGTTTACTGTGCTTTTGTCCTTTAGCAAGTGAGCAGTGTTTAGTCAAGAGATCTGGTTTCTAGAACTTGACTGTAGCAGTTGATGGGACACCTTTCTGCGTGCTTGAAAACACTTTGTGCAGATTATGTTATTTATTTTATAACTGCAGACCAGGTGAAGCCAGGATCATCCCCTGCCGTACTGATGGGCAATGACTGAACTTGTGAAAGGGACAGCCTTCGCTTGCGAGATGGTGTCTGCAGGGCAAGGCTAGGAGTTCTAGTCTCCAAATTAAGGCCATGGGCCACTTTCACTTTCACGTGGTTAAATTCCTACATGGAACTCTTTTGTGCACTGGAAGATGGCAGAAATTCAGCAGCCCTAAAAGCTTGGGTCAACCAGAGCTACTCATCTGGTCCTTGAAATACAGAAACGGAGGAAGCTGCTTTATACTGGGTCAGACCCACTGGTCTACACTGACAGGCAAGTGCAATCCAGGTCTTCAGACGGGGTTCTCTCCCAGCCCTACCTGGAGATGCGAGGGACTGAATCTGGGACCTTTTGCATGCAAAGCAGATGCTCTACGACTGAGCCACAGGCCTTCTCAATAAGCCCTTAACATAAACCAAGACAGAAGACACTGAGAAAGTCTTACTTGCATAGAATCATAGAATTGTAGAGTGGGAAGGTCCCCTGAGTCCAAGCCCTTAAAAATGTAGCACAAACACTGACAACTGGGAAAGACTGGTCTGCAAGTGCTCTAATTGGAGGACAGCCTTTACCAAGGGTGTCATGGACTTTGAAGACTCTCAAACTTAGGACGAAAGGGAGAAACATGCTAAGAGGAAGGCATGTTTGGCAAACCCTCATCATGATCAACTCCCATCCGGAAACCTATGTCCCCACTGTGGAAGGACGTGTGGATCCAGAATTGGCCTCCACAGTCACTTACGGACACACCATTAAGACCGTGTTCATGGAAGACAATCTTATTCGGCTACAAAAGATCATCAAAGAAGAAGAAGACGCTCAGCTTCCCCTTGCCTGTGTATAATGAAACCCAAGAGGACATGATCACTTCCTCCCAAGGTTCCCTGTACTTTCACTTCGCCGAATAAAAACTCTGATGCGTTTCATCTGCAGCAAGGGGAAGTTCTTCCCATAGAAAAGGGAACATTTTCCAAACAGTTCTCGCCTTCCTACTGTGTCCTGACAATGTCTTCCAGTTTCCTGTTGATACTCTAAAGAATCAACCTTTCGACTTCCTCTCCCCACCTCCGTTACCTTCCTTTTCTCTTGCAGTCCTCATAGATGTCACCTGTTTCCTCCACGGAGAGCAGCTTGCTCTGACTGTGACCTCACACAACCCAGCTCTGCCCCAGCAGCAACACTCCTACACACACAAACATATGCAATCGTGGTGCAGGACTGCCAGACACAAATCTGACACCCACATTCTCTCTTCCCCATTATCCTCTCTCTCTTTCTCTGAAGCCTCAACCAGATGGCTCATTTAAGAGATCATCTGTTTTCATGCTTACCCACCTGCAGGTCAACTCTACCTTGGCACAGTTCCTTCTACCCTCCCTGGGCCACGCAGCTGACACAGCCAGGTGTCCGACTGACCACAGCACAAGCTGGGCAGCTGGTTTCCTACTGCAGCGGTGTCCAGGGATGGAAGAAGGGGCTGTTTTTCCCATTAGGAATGCTACCCATGTTCACAGCAACGCTGAGCCAGGAGCTTTGAAAGCTGCTGCCTGAGCAAGTTCTTAATAAATTTTCTGGAAATGCATTTCCTCCGAATGCTTCATTTATTCCAAACACAGAATTCAAGCGGACTTCGTTCAGCACTGCGGGGGGAGAGGTGACGTCTCAAGCAGGCCTGGTAAGTATCCAGTGCCTCCATCTATCATGGCTCTCCCATTCAGAGGTAGCTCTAAGCCACCCCAGTCCATCTCTTGCGGGGGCGCAATTAGTGCCAGCACCGTCCGTTAAGAGTTTGGGTGTAATCTTCGACACCTCCCTTTCCATGGAGGCGCAGATTGCAGCTACAACAAAGGCGGCATTTTTCCATCTCCGCCAAGCTAAGCAGTTGGCTCCTTACCTCTCTCGCCCTGACCTAGCCACTGTGATCCACGCGACGGTCACCTCCAGACTGGATTATTGTAACTCGCTCTATGTGGGGCTGCCCTTGAGACTGACCCAGAAACTCCAGCGGGTGCAGAATGCCGCGGCGAGACTCCTTATGGGGTCCTTGCCATGAGATCACATTCACCCGGTGCTATACCAGCTGCACTGGCTCCCGGTGGAGTACAGGATCAGGTTTAAGGTGCTGGTTTTAACTTTTAAAGCCCTATACGGCCTAGGACCCTCATACCTACGGGACCGCATCTCCTGGTATGCCCCACAGAGGAACTAATAAAAACATCTTGAAGGTCCCAGGCCACAGAGAAGTTAGGCTGGCCTCAACTAGAGCCAGGGCTTTTTCGGCCGTGGCTCCGATCTGGTGGAACACTCTGTCACAAGAGACCAGGGCCCTGCGGGACTTGACATCTTTCCGCAGGGCCTGCAAGACAGAGCTGTTCCACCAGGCCTTTGGCCAGGGCACAGCCTGACTCCCTCCCTCGGCAATCTTCGCGGAGCTCTGGCCCAATGGTTGCCAGTGGCTTGAATTAATTAATTTTATAATGAATGATTTTAGAGTGTTGTTTGTGCTGTACTTTTGTACTGTTTTATTGTTGTTAGCCGCCCTGAGCCCGGCTTCGGCTGGGGAGGGCGGGATATAAATAAAATTTATTATCATTATCATTATTATTATTATTATTATTATATCTTGAGTTGAGTCTCAAGAGTCAAGTCTGGAAAGTTCTCCAGTATCTAAAAGCTGAAGACACAAACGCTTTACCTGCTAAAAACTCTAATATTTTAAATGCCTACCATTCACCATTTTTAAACCTTCCATTATCTCACAACAATGAGTCATCACTGCCTCTCCTCCCCGGGGTGCATGTAACATGAGGTTGAGGACACAGACATGTTATGTGCTGCTAACATTATAGTTGGGGCTAAATATATATGCTATGATTCTAGAAGAACTGTGGGGTGGGGGAAGGAAATCCTATTCAGTATAAGGTGCAAAATTCAGCTTGTCTGTGAGAATATCAGTTTTTGCTTTGTTTTTGCTTTAAAGCAGGTTTCTAGTCCTTATAGTTCCACATGCAGACTCAAAGGAAGTGTGAGCAACAGCTGGTCAAGCTGAAAAGCCAGAGAGGGGTGGCAGAATAATAAAATTTCTAGTGGTCAGCAGGCAACCCTGAGTGGCCCTACGCACAGCTCTCTGCTCCACTCTACATGTAATGACACCAGAATTATGCAAAATAGCAAACGCTGGGAAATCAACTGTGCAGATCAACTTAAAGTGCATGATTTATATAGCCTGAAAAAAACAGCTTTCTCTTAGAGACGAAGTTAGGTTTCATTGGAGGAAGATTCTCATTATTCTTTTTAGGGCAAAGTGCACCCAGCTCCAAATATCATCTTAGTGGGTATGATATATTGGCCTGTTAGAAGAGTTTTGTGTGAAGGAGCCCCTAGAGAAGGACAGTTGAACAGGAAAAGCTACTTCCAAGATCCCTATCAGCTCGCCCATGGGGCAACTTGTCACACTGTTTTCTACTTGGGTACAAGCCACCAATCACTACATATTATTATTTTACCAGAAAGTCCCACAGCAGGTTACAGCAGTATAAAATACAGCATTAAAAGCTGTTTAGAACAGCTTGCAGCCTGCCAACTGAAAAGAACGCAAGCTTGTAAATCAGGGTGGGAAGTCTGAGGCTCGAATGTGGCCCTCCAGACTTTACTATCTGGCCCTTGGCAGTCTCCCCAAGCCACACCCCTCACTGCCCCCTTGCTTTGTATCCTGTTTCCCCCCAGAAAGAATGCTGATAATGCCTTTTGCTTGCCTAGAGGAAGGAGAGAAAGGGGTGTGCTAAACGCATGCAGAAAGCAGCCCACTGTACAAAGGCAACATTTCCATTTGTTGCCCCTCCTACTTTTGCCTCTGGCACCACCTGCCACCAACTTGTGGCCCTCAGCAGGGAATACCTCCACCCTTCTTGTAGATAGAGACACAGGCAGTGGTGGGGCAGCAGTTGACTGACCCCTTTCCTACCCAGCACTTCACAAGGAAAACATAGCTATTTTGAAAACACCTGTATTCTTCACAGCTGATTCACCAGGTGCATCTGTTCCAGGTACAGAAACACAGGACAATCCTCCCATTTCTGAGCACAACATTCTCTAGAGGGGAGGGGAAGTTCCTTCCTCTTCCTAGGAGCCCCCTCTCACCTGTCCGGCTCTTGCTATTGGTCAAGATCTCCTGGAGCCGCTCCTGGAGTTTGTCCGCTCGCTTCCGTTCCAGGTGCAGCTGCCTCTTGAGGTCCTTCAACTGTTGGGGGAGAGGGAGGGAGGCGCAAGGGAAATCAGGGCTGGAGGCAGGCTTCAGCAAGGCTCAGCCCCACAACCCATTTTCTGTGCCAGAACCCAGCCCTGAACAGGCCAATGCAACAGCATAAAAAAGGGTACCACTGAGCATGGGCAGAGTTAATACTCCTCCCTCTCTCTCACCAGTGCGAGCCCACAACCATCCAACCCAGAAAGAAAGATCAGAATTGCATACAGATCGCAATTTCTAAGCTCTGGTTCGAAAACTGCTGCTCTGAGTGCCGGGACCACGATGTGGGAAGAACGAGGTTCTCTCCTCATCCAGCTTCGAAGGCTGCCACCCAAATAGCTGCTATCCAGTGGAAACAGGAAACACCAGTCTAACTAACTCCATGGAGACCCCTAACCCTAATGCACTTCTGCAGTTAAAGGTCAGAAGACACACACTTCCAGGGATCTTGGGACCCTTCAAAATTGGGCATCAGTTGGAGGCCACAGTGGTGGGTAGAGCCTTGGGAGAGCTCAGCATCTAAGCAGGGGAAGGGGGCAATTTCTTAGTGCGGTGCAGGGTGGGAGGGGAAGAGGCATCACAGAATAATAGTAATAATTTATTTGTACCCCACCCATCTGGCTGGGTTTCCCCAGCCACTCTGGGCAGCTTCCAACAAAGATTAAAATACATTAAAATGTCACACATTAAAAACTTCCCTGAACAGGGCTGCCTTCAGATGTCTTCTAATGTCAGGTAGTTGTTTATCTCTTTAACATCTGATGGGAGGGCGTTCCACAGGGCGGGGGCCACTACCGAGAAGGCCCTCTGCCTGGTTCCCTGTAGCTTTGTTTCTCGCAGTGAGGGAACCGCCAGTAGGCCCTTGGCACTGGACCTCAGCGTCCGGGCAGAACGATGGGGGTGGAGACACTCCTTCAGGTATACTGGGCCGAGGCTGTTTAGGGCTTTAAAGGTCAACACCCACACTTTGAATTGTGCTCGGAAACGTACTGGGAGCACAGGGATGCTGTCCATAAAAAGAAGAGTTCAGCTGCAATTCTGTCCTCTGCATCCCAGCCTCTTTGCGTCTGGTCGCTCAGATAACCAGCTGGGAGTAAGGCAGACGGGCAAGAGGGCATGCGTGAGATGCAGCTCAGCACAGAGCCAGGAGACCCAAAGCAGCAGGAACAGCAGCAGCTCAGAGTTTGATGCACTTAAGACCCAGGCAGGGGGGAAACCAGGGGAGCCCAGTGGCTGTTGTGCCTTCACAATTCACAGCAGCTCCTTCTTTCTGGGACTTCAACCATAGTACCCCACCCCACTGCAAGTGATACATTTCAGTGGACAACTATCGGCCTGCTGCTCCTGCTGTTCTCTCTTTAGCAGGGGTGGGGAATGTAGCTCAGAGAGGGGGGTCTTCAAGACCTCCAGCAGCCTCCAGCTACATGCTTTCTTGGAGAGAGAGTGCCCTGCCTCTCAAGATGAAATGAGCCCAGAGGGAGAAGGTCAGTTAAAGGCCTGAGTCAACAAGGAACGGCAACCTGGCTTCAAAGAGAAAGATCAGCAGTCTCTTGCCTCGCCCGCCCCCCCCCACTTCCCTTGGGGAAAGCCCATCTCACCGCTGCGCTGCCTTTCTTCTCGAGGATCCGCTGCCCATCAACCGTGTCCTTCACTTCCTGCCAGGGAGACAAGGCTGTCACAAACCACTGGGACCAGAAGTGCCAAATGATGTTTCTATCACACTTTCGGGGGGTGAAAATGCTTGGCAATTCTCTCTGCTCCGTCTCACCCTCTGAGAGGCACAACAGTTATCATGGAGGGGACAATGGTTGTGTGGATCATGGCTATGCTGAAAGCTGTGGAATCTGGGTCCCACCTTCCGTTTCCCAAAAAATACTAATACCTCTTTTTTTAAAAAGGACACATTTCTAGTCCTCACGGTGGACTGGACATTCAGTTTTGGCCCATTATGAATTAAGGTCATTATGAATTCTGATTCCGTCTTGAGCGGCACTGGCTACTCCTCCCAGTTTGGTGTCATCTGCAAATCTGATGAGGATCCCCTCGAATCCTTCGTCCAAGTAATTTATAAAGACACTGAACAACAACAGGCCCAGCACAGAGCCCTGTGTCACCCACTTGTCACTTCCTTGCAAGATGACAAGGAACCATTAGTGAGCACTATACACACCTAGAATCTTCACACTTTGCTGTCTCTACTCACAGATCTCCCTTCCAAATCCTCTAGCCCCCTTCAACCCACCACCAGGGGCACATTCCTCCTGTCACTCTGCCATTTTTCATTTTTATCTCCCAACCTTTGGTCTAAGTAAAGTTAAAGGGACCCCTGACCATTAGGTCCAGTCGTGACTGACTCTGGGGTTGTGGCTCTCATCTCGCTTTATTGGCCGAGGGAGCCGGCGTACAGCTTCCGGGTCATGTGGCCAGCATGACTAAGCCGCTTCTGGCAAACCAGAGCAGTGCACGGAAACACTGTTTACCTTTCCACCAGAGTGGTACCTATTTATCTACTTGCACTTTGATGTGCTTTCGAACTGCTAGGTTGGCAGGAGCAAGGACCGAGCAATGGGAGCTCACCCCGTCACGGGGATTTGAACCGCCGACCTTCTGATCGGCAAGTCCTAGGCTCTGTGGTTTAACCCACAGTGCCACCCGCGTCCAACCTTTGGTCTAAACTAGGATAAATGGGATAAAAAGACTGGTGAGGCATCTGAAGAGAGATCCAAGGGACCCAGACCCAAGGATCTCTGCTACACTCAAACGTAGCACGGGGCACTTTCCACCTAGAGCACCAGACAGGGAACCGGGACTCATTGAGCAGGATCTGCAGAAGTCCAGTCTGGATATGTGACTTGGAGTGGGACAGCACCACCTGCCTATCTGTGCCAGACACTGCAAGCATGCTGGAAAGAAAAGAGGCACAATCCGGCAGATGGGCGAACCCGTCAGGAGGGAAGGGAACAGGTGGACCCAGGAACCTCATACTGCCAAGCACCTGTTCCTGGGGGAAGCTGGCAGGCAGCAACACACACACACCTGTTTCAGTCGGCTGATTGTGTCCAAGTGTTCATCCTTCGCTCTTTCAATCTCTTGCAGCTTCTCCTTGGTTGCTTCCACCTCACGGTCCTTTAGCTGCAGAGGAGAAGACCCAAGAGCAGGCATTGGGGAGCAGATATGGGATTTTCCCAACCCTGCAATTGTTGCTGGTTTAAAAAATGCCAGTGGCTGAGAAGGAGGCACTTGAGGGAGAAGAAAACGGGACCACACTTAAACCTGAACCCCCAGTCATTTCCCCCTGCCCATTTGACCAGCAGACATCTCAAAATCATCAAAAACTCCAAATCAAAGAGCAGAAGCAAAAAGATATCAAAAGAGAACCCACCCACCACCACTTTCCTCCCCTCCGCCGAATGCCAATGTTTTAGCTTCGGGGATTCATCCATGTGTTTTAAAGTATGCTTTCTGATCTTTTATGTGTTGTTCTGTTTCAGGTGGTTGCATTTTAAATTTGGGTCCCCACCCTGTTTCTATTATTGCAAATTGCCCCGAGATCCATTTTGATGAAGGGCAGTATAAAAAACATTTTTTGAATGACTGCAGCAATAGTTAAATAAATAAGAGGGTGAAAGAGGCATGCTACTGGTCATCTGAATAACTGAGCTTCACCGTCCAGTTGCTGTAATTCATGAGTAGGCAAACTAAGGCCCGGGGTCTGGATGTGCCCCAATCGCCTTCTCAATCCGTCCCGCGGACGGTCCGGGAATCAGCATGTTTTTACATGAGTAGAACGTGTCCTTTTATTTAAAATGCATCTCTGGGTTATTTGTGGGGGCCTGCCTGGTGTTTTTACATGAGTGGAATGTGTGCTTTTATTTAAAATGCACCTCTGGGTTATTTGTGGGGCACAGGAATTCGTTCTTTTTCCCCCCCTCCAAAATATAATCCGGCCCCTCACAAGGTCTGAGGGACAGTAGACCGGCCCCCTGCTGAAAAAGTCTGCTGACACCTCCTAATTAGTGAGAAATCCATTGCATCGAACGGCTGGTCCACACCAGAGACACTCCGCCCATCAACTTCCTGCCACAGGGTAACCCACACATACCTGGGCCATTATTTATTGCATATAGAATAGGGTGAAATGGCTGCTGAGCGACACCGACAACTTTGTTACTTATAAAGTAGCACTCTATGCTCTGGCAGCTAAGAAGATCAGGAAGAAGGAACAAGATAAAATAGCGGTCAACTGCAAAGGGGATTCGGATATTTAATTTGGCACATCTTACCTGAGAATCTTCTGCTACTCTATTCTATTTAATGCAACAAATAATTTTAGTAGCCGTGACCATGGTTTTATTGTATGTGTGGCGCCCTGTGATTTTTATGGTTATTGTTGTTTTTCTTGTTGTTCTCCTTCTGAATGATGCCATGGCCTACGGCTAGCGCAATAAAAAGTTTAATTGGGATTGGGTAACCCACACGGTCTGCATCAAGGCGGCTGCTGGAGAGTAGAAGTCAAAGAGGAGCGTCCGCCAACGGCATCACCTGAGTTCACTAGCCTCCCACAAGACTGTGGAAGCAGCTCAATGGCCAGAGTGGATCACTGCCATATTTCCGGTACCTGCAAGTCAGCCACATGCTGCTCCTTACAGACTCGCATGGCCTCTGCGTGCTCTTGCTGATGCTTCTCTATCAGCTCCTGGGAAAGAGGATGGGAACAATCAGATCCCTGGAGCAGGGCAGGAAGGCTTGGGGGGGCAGGAACCAAGCGTTTGGGTCCTACTGGCCCTCTGGTAGGGTACGCCAGTTCTGCCCTGTGACATGTCACTAAGGGGAAGGGGGGTCCAGTCACCTCCGCCTCTTTCAGCCGCCGTTCAAACCAGCCCTTTGTGCCATCCATGGACTGTATTTGGAGGCGCAGCTCTTCCACGGTTTGCTGCATGGACTCCAGTTCCTGACTGCGCGCCTGAAGGGTGAAGAGAAAGGGATACAATCATAGAATTGGAGACTTGGAAGGGACCCTGAGAGTTATCAACTCGGCAATGCAGGAATCTTTTGCCCAGCTTGGGGATCGAACCCACGACCCAGAGATTAAGAGTCTCATGCTCTACTAACTGAGCTATCCCAGATGCAGGCAGTAATCCCAGGGGAATTAGCACAAACAAAAGATCAGCACAGAAAACAGGCACTGGGCCTTTAAGGGCAGTGTAGAGGAAGTGAACACACTACCATTTGCTAACAAAATGGCCATCTCTATCACAGGTGAGCAAGGGAAGGGGTGAAAGAAAGGCTGTATGTTATAATAATACAGTGGTACCTCAGGTTAAGTACTTAATTCATTCCGGAGGTCCGTTCTTAACCTGAAACTGTTCTTAACCTGAAGCACCACTTTAGCTAATGGGGCCTCTTGCTGCTGCCGCACCGCCAGAGCACGATTTCTGTTCTCATCCTGAAGCAAAGTACTTAACCTGAGGTAATATTTCTGGGTTAGAGGAGTCTGTAACCTGAAGCGTATGTAACCTGAGGTACCACTGTAATAATAATAATAATAATAATAATAATAATAATAATAATAATTTATTTATACACCGCCCATCTGGCTGGGTTTCCCCAGCCACTCTGGTTGGCTTCCAACTGAATATTAAAAACGATACAGCATCAGAAATTAAAAGCTTCCCTAAACAGGGCCGCCTTCAGTTGTCTTTTAAAAGTAAAATAGTTGTTTATTGCCTTGACATCTGATGGGAGGGCGTTCCACAGGGCAGGCGCCACTACCGAGAAGGCCCTCTGCCTGGTTCCCTGTAACCTCACTTCTCACAGCGAGGGAACCGCCAGAAGGCCCTCAGTGCCAGACCTCAGTGTCTGGGCTGGATGATGGGGGTGGAGACGCTCCTACAGGTATACTGGAGTGGGAGGAGGTAGGCAAGATGCCTCTGCACATTTTATGTACAAGATTATGCCTCCTGTGGTGAGCAGGTGACAAATTTTGCTCCTGTTGCAACAGGAAGAAACTTTACTTTGAACTTTGGGGCAAAATGGCAATCATTCACTTGCACTGAGGGGGTAAGAAAAGGTTGTATCAAGGGACACTGACGGGGCAGGAGCTAAGCCTACCCCCTCCCCAACCTTCCTACCAAGGTCTGCCCCCAAGTTCCATTTCCTGGTCATTCTAGAAACTGATGCTGGCATGAAGCAGAACCTAGGAGGTGGTTTTTGAGAGCAAGAACTTACAGCATTGCAAAGGACTGTGTGGCCTTTGCTGTGCGTATTCTCTCACCGCAACGGCATTGTGAGTCGAATCAATGCTTTTCAAATTTAATAATAATAATAATAATAATAATAATAATAAATCATTTATATCCCGCCCTCCCCAGCCAAAGCCGGGCTCAGAGCGGCTAACAACAGTAAAAGTAACACAGTTTACACAAAATCACAATCTATTAATTGAAATACATTCTAAAATCAATTCATTCTAAAATCAATTCAGAATCAAATTAATGGCAACCATTGGGCTAGAGTTCTGCAGAAAGATGTCAAGTCCCGCAGGGCCCTAGTCTCTTGTGACAGAGCGTTCCACCAGATTGGGGCCACGGCGAAAAAAAGCCCTGGCTCTGGTTGAGGCCAGCCTAACCTCCCTGTGGCCCGGGATCTCCAAGATGTTTTTATTTGAAGACCGTAAGGTCCTCCATGGGACATACCAGGAGAGGCGGTCCCATAGGTACGAGGGTCCTAGGCCATATAGGACCCTCGTACCTACAGATGGAAGGCACAGAAATTCAGCCTGCTGAAAACCTCAGCTCTCGTTGAAAGAAGATATACTAAGGTTCTAGTCCTTAAGACCTGAACATGCCCATCTTGATGGGAAGACCAGGCCCAGGCACCCAAGCTCCTTTGACCAGTACCTTCTCCTCCTTCAGCTGGCCACGCAGCTCATCCTCCTGCCGTTTCTTGTGCTCATGCAGCTCCCTCAGCTCCCGCTCATATCGCGCACGCACAGCGAGCACCTCTTTCTCGTGCTGCAGGCGGAGGTTGCCCAGCTCTTCCTTGTGGCGCCCCTTCTCCTGCAGGGTCTCAATGGCCATCTCATCTAGCATGGCCTTGCGCTTCTCTGCCGTCTAGAAAGCAGGCACAAGTCAGAGCACTCTTATGAGACTGATATTTTCTAATTTTTATGGTTTACCACACATTGTAATAATAATAATAATAATAATAATAATAATAATACAGTAATTTATTATTTATACCCCGCCCATCTGGCTGAGTTTCCCCAGCCACCCCAGGACACGCATTGCTCTCCTGAATTGGAGTACCTAGTGGTGAAGTGCCGCCCTTTTTATTTGCCACGTGAGTTTAATGTTGTTATAATAACAGCGGTGTATATACCTCCCGATGCAAACACTACTACAGCTATGGGCCACCTGCTAACTGCTATTAGCAGACAGCAGCGGGCCCACCCGGATGGAGCATTTGTGGTTGCTGGTGATTTTAACCGAGCCGATTTAAGAACTGTGCTCCCTAAGTTCCACCAGTATGTTGATTGTCCCACTAGGGGGAGAAATACCCTGGATCGAGTATATAGTAACATCATGCATGGATACAAGACCAAGCCCTTGCCCAATTTGGGGCAGTCAGACCACATATCTTTACTTATGATACCATCATATAGACCTCTCGTACGCAGAATTAGACCATCAACTAGAGAGATACGAGTGTGGCCAGTAGGTGCATCTGAGCAACTTCAAGATTGCTTCGGAGCACCGAGTGGTCGCTCTTTGTGGAGAATAATGTGGACACATACGCTTCAACAGTACTGTTCTACGTTAAAAGCTGCATTGATGTTGTCACTACCACCAAACAAATACGGGTGTTCCCTAACAACAAGCCCTGGCTAAACAGGGATGTGTATCTTCTGTTAAAGGCAAGAAATGCTGCTTTTCACTCTGGTGATGCGCAACAGTATAGAGAAGCCAGAGCCAAATTGAAAAGGGCATTAGGAACGCCAAAGCTATGTACTGCCGGAGGATCGAAAAACATTTTGAGAGCTCCGACCCTCGTCGAGTATGGCAAGGCCTGCGACAAATTACAGGGCAAAATATTAAAAACGAACTGGCTAGCAGCAGTGCGCACCTGGCTGATCAACTGAATCAATTTTTTAGTCGCCTTGAGGTGGGAACTGGAACTACCGTCACTACAGCATTGGCTACCAGCACATCATCAGAAACTACTACTGATAGACAACCATTTTTATTACAGACCTGATGACGTACAACGTGCCTTTCGGAGCATTGACATTAGGAAGGCAGCTGGACCGGATGGAATCATGGGACGGGCTATTAGGGACTGCGCTGCAGAATTAGCTGGTGTGTTTACGGACATTTTTAATCTATCCCTGTTGCAGGGTTCTGTCCCTACCTGCCTGAAGACATCGATTATAGTGCCAGTCCCCAAGCAGTCAGTGGTGGTATCTCTCAATGACTATAGACCAATAGCCTTAACATCTGTCGTTATGAAATGTTTTGAGAGATTGGTGCTAGATCATATTAAGGCTGGTCTTCCATCCACTCTAGACCCGTTCCAGTTTGCATACAGAAGAAATAGATCTACTGATGATGCTATTTCCATCGCTGTCCATACTGTACTGAGTCATCTAGAACGACAGGGAACCTACGCAAGGCTGTTGTTTGTGGACTACAGTTCTGCCTTCAATACAATTCTGCCAGACAGGTTATTTCTTAAAATGACCAATTTGGGTATACATCAGAAGATCTGTCTGTGGGTAAGGAATTTCCTGACTGATAGGCCGCAGACAGTGAGAATGGGCCCTTACTATTCTTCTACTCTAGTATTAAGCACAGGAGCCCCTCAGGGATGTGTGCTAAGTCCCTTCTCTATTCCCTGTACACATTTGATTGCACCCACTGTATGAGTCCAACACAATCATCAAATTTGCGGATGATACAACAGTGGTGGGGCTCATTAGTGAGAACGATGAGACTGCTTATAGGAAAGAAGTACAGGGGTTAATTCAATGGTGTAAAGAAAACAATCTTATGCTTAACACCAAAAAACCAAAGAACTCATAATTGACTTTAGGAGAAAGAAAAGCGTATTTTTACCATTGCACATAAATGGCGAGGAGGTGGAGAGGGTTGGTAGTTTTAAATACCTGGGCACTTACATCTCTGAGGACCTCTCATGGACTGTAAATATTAATATGGTTGTGAGGAAGGTGCAGGGGGGTTGTATTTCCTGAGAATGCTCAGGGGACTGAATCTATCTCAGCACCTACTTCTGTCCTATTATCACAGTACCATCGAGAGTGTCTTAACATATAGTATATTATCGTGGTATGGGAGCAGCTCTGAAACGGATAAAAAGCTTTACAGAGAATAATTAAAATTGCCCAGAATGTTATTGGGCTCCAACTACCAACCCTGGATGAGATCTTCACGTCTCGCACTTTGAAGAAGTCACACAATATCCTGAGAGATCCCACCCATCCTGCTCACAACTTCTTTGAACTGTTGCCTTCGGGCAGAAGATATAGGACAATGAAAACACAGACCACACGCCTTCCACTCTGGGCGGCTCCCAATCAAGTGTTAAAAACAGTACAGTGTTAAATATTAAAAACTTCCCTGAACAGGGCTGCCTTCAGATGTCTTTTAAAGATAGGATAGCTGCTTATTTCCTTCACATCTGAAGGGTGTTCCACAGGGTGGGCGCCACTACCGAGAAGGCCCTCTGTCTGGTTCCCTGTAAACTCACTTCTCACAGCGAGGGAACCGCCAGAAGGCCCTCGGCGCTGGATCTCAGTGTCCAGGCTGAACAATGGGGGTGGAGACACTTCTTCATGTATACAGGACCGAGGCCGTTTAGGGCTTTAAAGGTCAGCACCAACACTTTGAATTGTGCTCGGAAATGTACTGGGAGCCAATGCAGATCTCTCAGGACTGGTGTTATGTGGTCCCGGCAGCCACTCCCAGTCACCAGTCTAGCTGCCGCATTCTGGATTAATTGCAGTTTCTGGGTCACCTTCAAAGGTAGCTCCACGTAGAGCGCGTTGCAGTAGTCCAAGTGGGAGATAACTAGAACATGCAACACTCTGGCGAGACAGTCCGCGGGCAGGTAGGGAGTACGAATTGGAGTACTATTTTGTATCATGCAGCTTTTCGGACTGATGAAGCGTGTAGCGAAACCTGTAATATATCCGGAGAACAGGTCTCCTTTTGCCCATTTGCATTATTCTCACCAGGGTGGTAGCTTTGATTTGCCTTCCTGTGACTGATCCATGCATACGGCTTTGTGTTTCCAACTCAAGACCCATTGAAGAACATCTCATCCAGTTCAATCTTTCAAAAACAGCTTTGAAAAATTTCTTCATATTCTCCAGTGGGCTACCCTTGCCATTGTGGCGGCACGGGGTTGCCATTCTGTGATTGCACTTACGCTACTTGTTGAACGGTTCATTTATCCAGTCTGTATAACGTTTATTGCACATGGAACTTGTTAAGATAGAGTTGTACATTTATCCACTCCATGTTTACAGTATTTCCAGGCTTCGTCTTGCACATGGCACCTTAGTATGTTTGTTGCTTGAATGGTTACAAGTCTATCTCTATTCTAGCTATTAATCTAGTAAATTTGGTTTTATACTTATAAGCCAGTTTTTCAAGAAAGCCTGGAAACCAGGCAGAATTCAGTAGGCTTTCATGAGTCAGCAGGAACCGCTACAGTTCACCGCAAGTTCTCAAAGCTACCATTCCCTGCCCGAATTCCTCTTCTCCCTTGTCTTTCACTTTCCTCCAGTCCCATCAGCTGTGGGTTTTCAAAATGCTTGAGAGCGGATGGAATCCAATCTGTGTCTTGTTTAAGGCAGGTAACAGGCTGGCCGTATCAAGAGACAGAGCAAACTATTGTTCGGTGTTCCATGCATGAGCAAAGCTGAGCCTCAGACCCACAGACTCACTCCTCCCATCACAGACCTGGGGATTTCTGGAACTGATCTCTTACTTGCCTTTTGAAAATCAGAATTCAGGGCAAAATATGTGTAGTGGTTCTAGGGGTTGCTCGTGCGTAAGCCGGTGCAAACACCTGGCTGGGTTGCCTAAGTGAACCTTTTCTGTCCGGACAGCCACTCACCCGTGGCTGACTCAATCGCTGGCAGAATCCGTCAGTGGGCATTTCTTAAACTTCTTCCAGCAAAGCAGCTCTTTGACGCCTTGTCTCCTCCTACTCTCTCTGCGCAAAAGCCTTCAGCGCAAGGAGGGCGTAGGCAGCGGAGGACCCCTACTCTCCCCCTGGTCCCCGGCAAGGAGTCATGGGACCACCTCACCGCTTCCCCCATCTGCCCCCCTTCTCCACTGGTGCTACGCTGATTCTCTTCCCCAGAAGATGGGCTGCTTCTCCCAATCCCTGGACGCTCTCTGGAATCCCTCTGGCTTTTGCTCTCTCCCTCCGGCACTGATGGCAGTTCCCTGACAATATGGTTTGAGGAAAGGGACGCGGGTGGCGCTGTGGGTTAAACCACAGAGCCTAGGACTTGCCGATCAGAAGGTTGGCAGTTTGAATCCCCAAGACGGGGTGAACTACCGTTGCTCGGTCCCTGCTCCTGCCAACCTAGCAGTTACAAAGCACATCAAAGTGCAAGTAAATAAATAGGTACCACTCTGGCAGGAAGGTAAACAGTGTTTCTGTGCGCTGCTCTGGTTCGCCAGAAGCGGCTTAGTCATGCTGGCCACATGACCCAGAAGCTGTACACCGGCTCCCTCGGCCAATAAAGCGAGATGAGTACTGCAACCCCAGAATCGGTCATGACTGGACCTAATGATCAGGGGTCCCTTTACCTTTATGGTTTGAGGAAGCCATAGCATGCCATATTCAGACACAACAACAAGCCAGGTTTTGCTGATGATTGGGGTGAGTGTCAGTTCAGAAACCCTGGTGCAAAGGGGGGAGGAAGAAGTAACACACGAGCCTCAGACTCTGTGTTCTGCACCATGGTTTGAAGCTACATCTGAATGTGGCCAGAGTCCAAAGTGAAGTGGCGAGTTTCTTCAGCTAAACTGGGTGCCAAACAGAATTAAATCCACTACCTGCCCCTCCCTCCTTCCTGCCCCCAAACTCCTCACCTTTCTGGTTTCATCAAGGTCTTGTAGCAATCTCTCCTTCTCCTGTCCTATTTCTTGTAGCTGCTCCAGGAGACGAGTGTTGGCCCGGAGAGACTCCTAAGGGAGAAAATTAAGATGGCTGTAGAGCAAGGCCCTTCCCCGTCCCCCACGTTATTTCCTCAGCACCCCAGTTCTGTCACATGGTGCACTTTGAACACTCATCTGCCCCCCGCCCCGGCCACAAGCACTTCATGTACATGCTAAGAACTTTAAATACCCTTTTGTGCTCACCATCCAAGTTAAGAGTGAAAAAAGGGTGGAACTTTTTCCAACATAGGCAAACGAAACTTAACCAAGTCATTTTTGTTAAGTGATCCCTCAATATACTTGAACCACCGTTTTGCACCCACCACTTAAAAAGAAGTTAGAGACAAAGTCCAGCACCGAAACGTCGGTGAAATGTTTCATCTGGAACAGAAGGAAGGGTGGTGAAGGTGAGGAGAGAAAATTGACTGAGCACCCAAAGGAATAGTTGAAAGGAAGGAAAAGATATGGCCAGGGTGGGGAACTAGAAGCAGGAAGGGGTACTATAAAGAGATAAAATGAAAGTAGAGGAGAAAATTAATAAGTCATGGAAACAAACTTTTGGGCAGCGAAGCAGGACCCGAGCCTTCTTTCTACCTTCTTGCTGTCGTTGCAATCTGAACGGCAAACGTTCTAAAACTGGCCATTTTGCATAGCGTGCCCCAAGGGTGGTGGGAGGAAGGAAATGCAGTGTGCTGAGATGTGCTTCTTCCCTCCCCTCCTGAATATGCAAAGTGGGTCAGCTGACCCCGTATGATGCAGCAGACGCCCCTGGGGGCCTCTGGAAAGGCCTGGGAGGATCAACAGAACCTTGGGCCTACCTGCAGCTGAGTGTTGAGGTCCTCCCGCTGGGCCGCCAGCACCTCCTTCTCGCTCTGCCGCTGCTGCAGCTCAGCCCCCAGTGCCGCCACCTGATCTCGCATCAGATTCATCTCTTGGGTCTTGGAGGTCTGTATCTACATGGTGAGAGAGAGGGTGCAGGTGGGGAAGAGAGGAGGCTCGGGTCATTTTGAGGAAACCACAGGATGCCTTGTAGACTGTACACCCACCCAAGTCACGCTTGGCCTTCTGGGATCTGGAGGGCCACAGGTTCCCCAAAGTTCCTTGCCAAGAGGGACCGGCTGTTAAACCAATCTGGGAATTGTGAGGGGAACAGGGGTCTCCTAACAACATTCAGCACCCTTAACAAACTACAATTCCCAGGATTCTTTGGGAAGCGGTGACTGTTTCAAGCGGCATGATGCTGCTTTAACTGTATAGTACAAATGGGGCCTCAGAGCTCTGGAGCTGAAAACAGGGTGCGTGCACATGTATGTGTGCATGCACACACCTGTTAAAAATTGCCAGCCTTGGTCTTTCCCATCCCAGCTTCCGCTGCCACCCTATACCACCCTCTTGAGCGCTTGCATCCGCAGAGGGCCTGGTACCTGTTCTAACGCTGCCAGATTGGTTCTCAGAGCATCGTTCTCAGACAGAATGGTCTCAACCTGTTCCTGGCTCTCCGCACTTTGGCAAGCAACCTGATGCCCAACGAAGCACAGGATGGGCAAAGGATAGGGACCAGAGGGAGACAGGGAGAAAGAAAGAAAGAAAGAAAGAAAGAAAGAAAGAAAGAAAGAAAGAAAGACCAAAGCAGGAGAAAAAGGAGAGAAGGGATTAAAAATACAAAGCAGAACACGGAGGCAGCAGTATTGCAATAGGGGGTTGTTGTTGCTTTTAATAGAAAAAGCAGGTTTCCTTTGCTTTAAAACCAAATGAGGAGGGGAAATCAACACGAACTGCAAATTTCAAAGAGACCAACAAAACAAAACATGTTTCGTACACATAGTTATTGAGACAAGGCACTGTTATTAAAGACTCAAAATAAGCACAAGGCATATTTAGAAAAAGGAGGAGTGTTGATAAATGCAAATGAAGAGGGGGAGGGGAAACCTCTTAGGAAGAAAAGAGGCCTAGGAAAAGAAACGTGAAAGCAAAACACGAAGGGGAAAATATTGCTGGATGGTAAGATAGGAGGGGTCGAGAAGGAGGTTATGGAGGGGAGCTGGCAAGCGCGAGACAGGCCCTCCACATTATGGCTCAGGGCCGGGGCATCTGCTTGCCTGCAAAGGTTCCAGCTTCAATCCCTGACCTCTCAAGTTAGGGCTGGAAAATCCCCTGTCTGAAACCCTGGAGAGCCATTGCCAATCACTGCAGACAAGACTGAGTGATGTGGACCAGAAGTGTGACTTGGTATAAGGTACCTTCCTATGTAGGGAGCGGGTGGCGATGTGGGTTAAACCACAGAGCCTAGGACTTGCCGATCAGAAGGTCGGCGGTTCGAATCCCCGCAACAGGGTGAGCTCCCATTGCTCGGTCCCTGCTCCTGCCAACCTGGCAGTTCGAAAGCACGTCAAAGTGCAAGTAGATAAATAGGTACCACTCCGGCGGGAAGTTAAACAGCGTTTCTGTGCGCTGCTCTGGTTCACCAGAAGCGGCTTAGTCATGCTGGCCACATGACCCGGAAGCTGTACACCGGCTCCCTCGGCCAATAAAGCGAGATGAGCGCCGCAACCCCAGAGTCGGCCACAACTGGACCTAATGGTCAGGGGTCCCTTTACCTTCAGGAGTCTGGCTAATTGCCTTTCCCTGATAAATAAGGCTGAGCCTCCACCTGCTCTGTTCCACATCCTGACTCAACCCCCAACCCCACACCTCCCAGTAACCTGAGGTTAGAAAACAAACCCTCCAGTTGATTCCTGACAAAACCACCCCCTGGCCCAGATCCCCTTGCCAACAGTGCTCTGTAGAAGAGGCACCCTGTACAGTTTTAATAGGCAAGTCATCTTCTAAGCTGATCCAGATGGATTGTATAAAGCAATCCAGATGGCTCAAGATTAGTGAGCTAGTATCTACTCCGTTTGAGAAGGGAGAAAACTTCCAGGATTTACTCTGCCACTCTAACCAGTAGCAGAAATCCTTCAGGTCCTTCTCCTCTCTAACACAACTATCAATTTCAACTCACTTATGAAGAAGAAAAGCCTACCCAAAGCAAAGCTTTTCTTTGGTTTCTCTCTCTCTCTCTCTCTCTCTTATGAGCCCCCAATTCAAGTCTGGGAAGCCTAGGGGCAGATCAAACTAAGCCCCAGCAGTTTTTCAGGCCACATCCAAAGCTACATGCTCCACAATCCAATGTTTGTGCCACACAGAAACTGGTATAGAATTCTTTCCTTAAAAATAAAAACCTGGGTCTTTAGACTGTAAAACTTGGTGTAAAAGTATATGGGCAATGACTGGTGAAATCTCAAAAGCTGGAGATGGATTTCCAGTGGTTAGTGTATGATAAGCCCAGTGCAACGAACTTGCATGGTGGGACATACACTGAGTCCACACACCAGGAAAGCGTCCCCATTATTGATTGCAACCAAACGCTAACACCAGATTTGAGGTGGGCCACTATACAAATTGGCACACTCTATGCAAGCTTCAAAATCCAGTTTCCCTGGTACAGAATCTGAGCTGTACCTTTCTAGCACACAATTTGTAATGTTCACACTTCAACATTTTTTGGCAGGGAAGGAACCATGGGGGCACTAGATTAACTCTACATATATTCTCAATGTTATAAACTCATAATATAGTTCTTTGCTCCAGAACTTGCCCTGCTCCATAGCTTTTACACATTTTTACATTTCATGCTCTGATTTTAGAACACGAGAAATGTAGAATGCACCATGAAAATGAACAAGCAATGGGATTTTTAAGATAGATGTAAAACATCCTTTGAAGGAGCTCAAGATGGAGGAGGGAGGAAGTGAAAGTGAACATTTAGAACAAGAAATCCCCTGTGGGCGTTACAGATCAGAAAACAGTAACTAAAAGTAAAGCACAATCCTTTAGAGGGGAATCCTCTCTCCAACACAATTCACAATCAGGCAGGTAGCCCAAATAGCAGATTGCCTCTCAAAGATATCCCGCATGGTAGCAGAGGTTTAGGATCAGAGTTTTCCTTCTCCTAGACGGGCTTTCTTCTCAGGTTGAAGAGCCCCATCACTTCCCTCTACAGCATGTGCAGAAACCCCTTTCTTGACCATTAAAAACCACTATTGTTCTTGTCTGCTCCATCTGCCAGAGACTGTCTTTCTTTCTTTTTTACATTTCAATAATTTTATAATCATTTTAACATTTCAAAACTTGACTTCCTTCCCCCTCTTTCTGCGGTTCCTTAAATTTCTTATATTTTCTGCGCATCCAAATTAACTTAATTTACTCATTTATTCATCTACTTTAAATATATACTCTTATAAAACTGCAGGTTATTACAATAATCCCACCAATGTTCTTATCTGTTTGTAATTTATTTGTAAATATTCAATAAACCATTTCCATTCTTATATACAAAGTTCGTTATCTTGATTTCTTATTTTTCCAATAAGTTTTGCCATTCCTGCATATTCCATAAGTTTTTGTATCCATTCTTCTTTGGCTGGGACTCCCTCCTTCTTTCCAAAGCCTGTCTTCACATGCAGGGCAAGTTCCTAACTCACCAGGGGTTTGAGACTTTTTAAATAATAGTAGCCATAATATTTTTATTATTTATATGCCACCCATCTGACCGGGTTACCACAGCCACTCTGGGCGGCTCCCAACAAATTTTGGGACCAGAAGCAAAATTATGCAAAATGCAGGACACAGAATTCCATTTTCTTGATGTCAAACGTTGATGTCAAGTAGTTCTGCCCTACCCATCCCAGCAAAAAAATAAAATAATTTCTTACCATAAGACAAAGATACATGCTCAAATGGAGAGGTTATTTACTCTGTATAAAACATGGGTAGGCAAACTATGCGCCCCAATCGCCTTCTAAATCCGGCGAATGGACGGTTCGGGAATCAGGTTTTTTTTTTACATGAGTAGAATGTGTCCTTTTATTTAAAAGGCATCTCTGGGTTATTTGTGGGGAATTCATTCATTTCCCCCCAAAAAATATAGTCCAGCCCCCCACAAGGTCTGAGGGACAGTGGACCAGCCCCCTGCTGTAAAAGTTTGCTGACCCCTGGCACAGACCCATAATAAAAGGGATTTATGCCTTGCCAATAAAGTTTGATACAGACCAGAGTTTCTCAACAAAGAGAGTGTGGGGCAGAGGGAACTCACTTGGTCCTGTAGGGCCTGCAAGGCCACCTCATGCTCTTTCCGACGGCTCTGCAGTTGGTCCTTTAAATCTGAGAAGCCCTGTGAAGCGAGGAACAATCTGATCAGGCAGTGAGATTCAGGGGAAGATTTCATCAACATACCAGTCACCGATATACAGGTGGTTCACCAATAAGGACTATGTAGATAAGTAGGAATCTGGCTCACAGCAAAACAGAAAAGAGATAGAAATGATATATTCTAGCCTTTCCCATTTTAATGTTGTTGTTTTTAAGGTTGTTCTATCTGGGCTTATTTATGGTACGTCAGTCATAAAAAAAAAGATAAAGTACCCCTGACAGTTAAGTCCAGTTGCGAATGACTGTGGGGTTGCGGCGCTCATCTCGTTTTACTGGCCAAGGGAGCCAACGTTTGTCCGCAGACAGTTTTCCGGGTCATGTGGCCAGCATGACTAAGCCACCTCTGGCGAAACCAGAGCAGCGCACGGAAACACCATTTACCTTCCCGCTGGAGCGGTACCTATTTATCTACTTGCACTTTGATGTGCTTTCGACCTTCCGATCGGCAAACCCTAGGCTCAGTGGTTTAGATCACAGCGCCACCCACCTCCCCTACGTCAGTCATAGCTGTCCTCAAACCAAGGAATTTGTGAACTGTTATTTAGTGAGATGCTAGGAATGTTCTGGTGAAGATCCTCAGCTCTCTCATTGAACCACAATTTCTAGGATTCCTGCGGCAGTTCATCATAGCAATAAAGATACACCTTTATCCATGCTAGGCCACAATTATGCCAAATGTAGATTTCAGAACTGAGGATGGGGTGGGTGGATGTAGAGAAACAGATACAGAGGTGAGGAGCTAGGCTGAGCTTTGAAACACTTCTATCAACAGGTTTTCCAGCTGAAGAAATAAAGGCCCTGAACTCTATTTCTGAACCATGAGGGGCAACCAATGAACTCGTGCCCTGAGCAGAGCTAAATCTGGAGCTCATCCTTTCCAAAGGAAGGGGAAGGCAACTCTCACCTGGTTTGCTGTCTGGAGCTCCTGCTGCAGCTTCTGGTTGCGAACCTGCAGGGATTTGAGTTCATCCTCCTTCCGCTGTTGGATCTCCTCAATTTTGGTCCTGAAAGGCGGACAAGAGGGCTTACTAACAGAGGGAAGGGGCTTCAACAAAATGCACCCATTTCCCCTCTTACTGGTAATTCTCACAGCCATTTCAATCTCATTTTTATGGGGACATTTTGCTGGACCAGGATCCAGGACCTCTTATGCCAGCAACCAGCAGGCGCTAGTTAGCCTACCACAAACTGGTCAAGCCACCTTCAGCTACAAGAGAACAGGAGTTCTCCGCAGCAGCACCCAGACTGCACAAACCCCTTGTCTCGCGCCCCATCTCACTCTGAAAACCTTCCTTGTTCAGGTGAGCCTTCAGCTTGCTTTCTGCCCAGTTCTGTTCCTGCACAATTCTAACCATGTCTATTCAGAAGTTGTCCCACCGAATTCACTGGGGCTTACTCCCAAATTCAGCGAGGTTAGCGTTGCAGCCTTAACCTCTCTGACCACAGCATGTTGCCCGGTTGCGGTTCGATATCGTGTTGCATCACTACGAGTGTCCTGTGCTCTTTGCCTTGCTTGCAACGTGTTGTTAAGCTGCCTTAAGCACTCTTCTCAGAGTGGAAGTAAGGTTTAAAATGGGTAAATAAAGCACAATAAAATATGGGTGGAGGCTGGGAAGAACGCAACATTTCCTGGCACAGTGCAATGCAGGAACGTTCCTGGAACTCCTGGGTATGTGACCATGTGCCTTTGCTCCAGCCCAACCAGGCATGTGACGCAGCTCATTCCACCCATTGACTGGCCCTCGCAAGCTCATATTCCTGGTCCCAGCCTGCCAGGCTACATAATGCCATCAGCCTTTTGTGGTCTTCTGCTGGTCAAGGCTGCAGCCACCAGCAGTGACTTCCACCATTGCCTACTGCTCACTTTGCCCCTCCAGGAGTCTTTGCTCCACCCAGGGGACTTTCTGCCATGGCCTTGTCCAAACTGTGAACCAATAATAATAATTTATTATTTATTCCCCACCCATCTGGCTGGGTTTCCAATCACTGTGTGTATGTGGGAACCACTAGCTAGGGTCCAAAAGCAGCCAGAGACCTACGTTTGGGAAACCCTGCTCTAGGAAACTCGCTCCATACCTGCTGTCATTGTAGAGAGCTTCCTTTTCGGTCTGAAGCCGCAGAAAGCTAAGAAGGGGGGAGGCAAGACAGAGGGAAATGTTAAACACATGCATCAGGGTAGGTTTCCCAAAAGGACACACTGTCCTAAACACAGCAAGAACTCCCCCCGCAGTACAGTGGTACCTCGGATTAAGAACTTAATTCATTCTGTTCTTAACCTGAAACTGTTCTTAACCTGAAGCACCACTTTAGCTAATGGGGCTTCATCCTGAAGCACAGTTCTTAACCTGAGGTACTATTTCTGGGTTAGCGGAGTCTGTAACCTGAAGCATCTGTAACCCGAGGTACCACTGTATTTTATGCTGTTGAAGTGTTATATGAGAATATATAATAAAAATATGCATATATATAAACCCAAATCAAACCAGTTGCAGAATGTCAGATTCCAGATTCTACAAAGATGCAGAACAAACTCAGCCCTGCATTGACTCCTCCGTGTCAATGCCCAATGATAGGAAGCACGCTTATTAGCTGGGTGTGGCAGAAAGTCCTGACTGCTAATAAGAAAGAAACTTACCTCTCCTGTTTCTTCTTGAGCTTCTCAGCCAGCTGTACAGGGGAGAGAATGGGCTGTGAGTTCCCAATGGCAACCATGACCGCCCCTCAAAAACATCCATGCCGCCCACCCATTCCACTTTCCCTGCCCACAAGAAGTGGAAAGCACACACAGGTGTTTACATCTCCTCCTTACCTTGCTGAGTTCTTGCTGCAACCGAGACATCTCTGTCGTCTTGCATGCCTACAGGAGGCAAACAAAAGTACACATTTCTCCAGGGTTCAGAGTGCTTCTCCTCCCTCTCTCTCTCTCTCTCTCTCAGAAAACCATTCCAGCACCCCTGCCAAGTCTGCAACAGCCTTCACAATCAAGCTGTACTGGCTGGGGCTAAGGGAAGCTGTAATCCACAACGTTCAGAGCACACCTGGTTGGCAAAGCCTGGTCCATAAGGGAACAGGGGGCTTAGTGCAGCAGCAAGAGAGGGGCAAGACCTTCGCTCTTCATTTCCACCACCAAAAAACTAGGGCTGACTCGGGGGTGAAATCCCCAAAAAGGGTGCTACTTTTTTTCTGTATGCCACAACAGCTGCGAGAATTTTATTAGCAAAGAACTGGAAGAAACAGGATTTACCAAGTATCGAAGAATGGCAGATGAAGATGATGGACTATATGGAACTTGCTGAACTGACTGGGAGACTCCGGGACCAGAGAGAAGAGATGGTGGAAGAAGATTGGAAGAAATTTAAAGAATATTTGAAAATACAGAATAGTTTTGGAAATGGATATAGGCTGTAGGATTAGCAGTAGAACACAGTGTATTTTAAAATAGTATTACTTGTAAGGGATAAAATGTTACGATTTCCATGGTAAAAGTAAGTGTGATTTAAAAAATGGTTTAAAATTATGATATATGTAAACTGCTAAAGATGAGGTAAAATGAAAATCAGATGGGAGAACTTGGGGAAGCTCACCTAACAATGTTTAGAAAAAATAAGAATAAGACAAGAATTAGTTTGTATTGTCTGTTTTTCTGTTTGTGTTGTTAAGTTGCGGTATAAAATAAAAAAATTTGAAGGGGAAAAAAAAGAAACTAGAGTGACTCAGCCCCCAATATAGACAAATTCATAGAAGAGTGGGCTATCAGCGGCTTCTCGCCACGATGGCTAAGCTCTGCCTCCACTGTTAGCGGCTTCTTGGTCTCTGAACACCAGCTGCTGGCAATCACAAGCCGAGAGAAAGGTCCCACTTCCCACAGACCTCTGGTTGGCCCCTGTGAGAACAGGGCACAGGAGGAAGTGCGCAACAGCCGGGAAGAAACACTGAATGACTTGCAGCACCCGGATCAGGGCCAGTTCCCCTGGAGCGCAGTTGGCACAGGGATGCTTAGCCAGGGAGTAGATGGCAGAAAACTGGGGAATGCTTAATCTTTTCCCTTGGTCAGCACAAGGCTTGAACAGTAGCCCTCGGCCCAGAAACCCAAGCTCCCTGCCATGTCTGGCTGGGCTCTCCAGCAAGGGTTTTTGGAGGGGAGACCAGAACTAGGTTTAATTTGCTGAGCATCTGAATTCCAGAAGGGGGTGCAAAAGAAGCAGCTCTCCTTGCAGGCTGCTTTTGACCAGCTCAAGCTGCCGCTCCTGGCTAGAAGCCAAAGGCTGGCAGGAGGATGGCAGCAGAACCCAATGGTGCCTCCTCCACACGCCCACGCACCTCGAGGCTCTGCAGCTGCTCCTTCAGGAGCCGTTTCTCCTCCCGCTCTGTCTGCCACTTCAGTTCCACCTCGGACAGGAGCTGCTGGGAGGTGCTGCTGTCAGCTGCCTGCGGCTCCGAACCCGCCTGGCCAGCAGGAGGAGACTCCACAGAGGCGTCGCCCTCCCCGCCACCTCGGTCTTCTCCCTGCCGGGCCACTTCCTTCTCATAGCGCTCCTGCAAAGCTGAGGAACAAGAGCTGCCGCTGTGGGTCCCCAGATTCAACCCAGATTGCCTCCAAAGCCCCATCCCCATCTCAACCAGTGCCCCTTTGCCCTGCAAAATTATTATTGGAAACCAGCCTTTTGAAAATGGTGCCAAGCGCTTTGCCATCGCTACAGTCGTGGGCCTGAGAAAGACTGGCAAGAGTCAAGACCACCCAATTTCAGATCTGAGACAGGATCTGAACTCTGGAGGCTCCAACCTCCCAGGAGGAAGCTAGAGAACCTATGGCCTCCAAGCGTTGCTGGGCTCCAGCTCCAAGGAGCCCCAGAAAGCACGGCCGATGATCAGGGATGATGGGAGTTATAGTCCAACAATATCTGGAGGACCACAGGTTTGTGTGTTCTGCTGCAGGCAAGGAACTCTCTTTAGACCAGGGGTTGGCAAGGTTTACCTCGCCTGGGCTGGTTCACTACAGCAGAGATCCCTTTGTGGGCTGGATCGCGCGCACACCTGCGATTTCCAACATCTGCATCTGCGCAGACAAGATTTCTGGCACCGCAGAAGCGAGTTGCCGCACCACGCCGTGCTGGTTTAGTGCGGGGACTCGCCAAGCAGGTGGCTCAGTTCGTGAGTGGCTCTTGGGCTGGTTAAACCACCCCCATGGGTCGCTTGTGGCCCATGGGCCTTAGGTTGTTGACCCCTGATCTTGACAAATACAGGACTGGGAGGACAGTTCAGCATGCACATGGGTTATATAACAGATACATGGTCAGGGATGGAGAAGCTATAGCCCTCCAGATGTTGCTGGACTCCAACTCCCAACACCCCTGACCACTCACTGCTGAGGGTGATGGAAGTTACAACCCAACAGTATCGAGAGGCCACCAGATGTTCACTCCTGGCTCTTGGTGCTCCACTTTGTTGGTCTTCCGCTGCATCCAACCAACCCCATTTCCCGGACTTTCTTGTGTTGATCCTGAGCAAGCCCAGCCCAATGCAGAGTGGTACCTGCCATGTTCTTCTGCAGTGCAGCATTCTCTGCCTGGAGCCTCAGCAGCTCCCCATCCGCAGGACTTGCTGGGGGGGGCCCTTCAGGGGCTGCTGGCCCCCCTTCCCGGAGACTCTTGTTCTCCTTCTCCAACTGCTCGATCTGGGCACACAGCTGGGTTAGAGAGACCAGAGGGTTAACTGCGGGCAACAGCACAGTCTTCAGGGAAACGGGGAGGCATTTGCAGCTGATCCATCTGGGCAGAAACAGGGACACTGCTACACCAGGATCTTCTTTCCCAGAGGAAGCAACAGCTACCTGCACCCTTCCGAAGAACAGTCGTTGGAGCCAGTCCTGCTCCAGCATGACGACTGCACAGCTCTTTTGCTCCTCTGACTGTTCTTTGGAAAGGTGCAGGTAAGGGCTGCAACAGCTCCAACTTCACAGGTCTGGAAATAAACCCATGATTGTATCAAAAACTCCTGCCCACATTAATTAACCCACACTATCCAAATTACAGTAACGCTGCGGCTAACAAGGTGCCGCCCACACAGGAAAGCATTCAGTAACTCGGTCTCTATGACTCAAGCAACACACAATGGCGAGGGAGGAGGGGAGGTGAAACCCTGTACTGGTGCCACCTACCAGTCTGACTGCCCAGCTGGGGCACAGGAGTAAAATATATTATTTCATAAACCCAAAGGAAGCCAAGCAATCAGGGAGACAGCTCTTGACAGCTGGTCCTTTGGCACATCTACCATGCTCTCTGTCTGGTACGCTATTTTGTTAAGCTGTGGTCCCCATGAAAAAGGGTGTAATAATAATAAATTTTATTTATACTCTCCCCCAGTGTAGGGGGACACAAGATCTTAGAGGAGGAAGTATCTCCTTGTGGCCACAGCTGTGGATGGAAGACTAAAAACACAGCATCATATACACAGTTAGCCTACTGTGTTCTGACAACAGTGTGATTCTTGTGCTCCTGTGAACGTCCATGCCAGAATTCTGGGCGGCTCATCAGCGACTCTCAATGCCATGTTGTGCCTCACAGCAGCGCCCTCTGGCAGGCCCCTAGCGCTACTGCAGAAGCAACTTCAGCAGTCAGTACCTTGGACAGCTCCTGCATGAGAGTGCTGTTTTGCAGCCTGAAGTCATCCTCCTGGCTGTGCAGTTTTCCCTGAAGCATTTCATTCTCACTGAGCAAGGCATCCACCTCCTGCAGGGGGAAAGAGAGAATTCCATGATACCTCGGACGCAAGCCCTGTGGTGCTCATCGTCCCTCCACTAGGGGCCAGCACCTAATCCACAAGCAGAAGATTTGTTTGCTTGTTTCCCAGCCACAAGAGGAAATGCCCCTACTTACTATCTTCCTGTTAGCTTCCTGCCTTTCTCCCAGTAACATACAGAGCCACTCAGCCTAGGCAAGTGGTACTTACCCATAGGCAGAGTGCCGCAACCTATAGGATGGGTAGCAGAGGTACTTGATTGGACAAGGGTGTAACTGGAAGGGAGGGAAGGGGGAGGAAAACCCGACCCCCCCTTCTACATTTTAGTGGAAGATATTTGGAAGGCATTATTCCTACTCAAGTGTCCACTGCCAGTTCCCAGATCTTCTCCCTACTTGACACTTAAAGGTAAAGGGACCCCTGACCATTAGGTCCAGTCGTGGCTGACTCTGGGGTTGCGGCGCTCATCTTGCTTTATTGGCCAAGGGAGCCGGCGTACAGCTTCCGGGTCATGTGGCTAGAATGACTAAGCCGCTTCTGGCGAGCCAGAGCAGCGCATGGAAACGCCGTTTACCTTCCCGCCAGAGAGGTACCTATTAATCTACTTGCACTTTTTGGCGTGCTTTCGAACTGCTAGGTTGGCAGGAGCAGGGACCAAGCAACGGGAGCTCACCCCATCGCGGGTATTCGAACTGCCGACCTTCTGATCGGCAAGTCCTAGGCTCTGTGGTTCAACCCACAGGGCCACCTGCGTCCCTACTTGACACTTGGAGCCAGATATAATCACACAAAAAGTAGCTGTGTCACTATATCCTGAATCTTCAAATGGCCCATCTTCCCAGAATGCCAGATCTTTTTCAAGTTCTGGGGTGGAGAAGGGCTGGGTAGGGAAATCAGTTTTTTTCTGGGGGGTAGGGCTGCTTCCACCTCAGCTTAGGTTATTGATACTCCCAACGAATGGGGAGGCGGACCTTCATCAGGGGAAAGGAGGCCTTGCAGAGCAGGGGCACATGAACTGTATCTCCCGCCACCTCACCTCTAGGCCAAGTTTGACAGGTGGAAAGGGTCAGTCACCCTACCCAGATGCCTGTTAGTGTGGCAGGTAGGTGTGTGGTCTGGCGAAAACAGGTGGACTAAATGGGGGGACCTGGTGGGCTCAGATAGGCCCACAAGCTGGAGGTGCTCCCCAAACCATTGATAGATGGATGATCAAATGATGACATATGTTGGTGGGAGAGATGGAGTTGACCTTGGCAGGATGATAATTGGGAGCACCCACAGCAAGCAACACATGCAAGAAGCCTTACCTGAGCCTTCTTGCTCTTATTCAGAGCCTGGGAAAGAGAGAAATTGGTTAATAATACATCAATGGGAAGGTGGGAAAACAGTTATCATTACACCCCAGAGTCAGAGTCAATTATTTCTATGGCAGGGTATACCCACTTGTTCCCATGTGGTTCCCCCACTCCCTTCCACACATCCACTGCAATGAAGAACTTTACCTTCTGAGCTTTGGTAAATTCCTTATCCAAATAGGTCACCCGTTGCCGAAGACCATTTAATTCTAAAGATATCAAAGGAACAAAGGATCAGAATTGAAGAAGTACTTTAGAGAGAGGGCCGCTGGTTTTCTATGATTCTGTACTTGTAGAACACAACATGAACTCTGGTATCTGACACAGAACTCGAATCTCAACATTTTAAATACATGCATATAAAAGAGTAAATTTCGTGTCCTCTCTTGTAACCGCATTTCAGAAGCAGAGTGTGTGTATGTTTCTGCTGCAGTGAGATGTTTTTCCTGGTCTTTGGAAATGACAGAGAGACCACAGGCTCAGGGAGCACAGCAGCCAAACGGGAGTGTCAGGGGAAAGTTTCACAAGAGGTAAGAAGGCATAGAAAGATGTTAGGCCTTCCAACAGTGCACAGAGAGCAGTCAGCCAGTCACCTTAAGGAAGGCAAAAGCAGCCAAAAGAAGGACAAAGGACGAAAGAGGATGCCAGTAGCGATTGGTTGAGGTGGAACCCTACTTCGTATCTGATGGCAAGGCTAGAGAGCTTCAATCTGGAGAGGGAAGTTGTCTGTTTGGCAACCTCTTCATCCCTTGTCCAAGGATGCGGAGGGACTGGCAAGCCCCTGGAACTTCAGCATAGTTTATTCTGCTTCTGCTACTTATAGGAAGGTAAAAGGCTGTGGTTAGGCCACCAACACCCAACCCTCTAACCACAGGAAAGGTGATGTGGCAATTTGCTTCAATTTTACAATTTCACCAGGCACTGCCTGTACACTTCCAAGCATGCCTTTGCAATCATATGGACTACTGGTGGTTTTTAATGAAAGCTGAATTCTGTGGTCAACACCAGATCCCACCCCCCCTTCCTTTTTGTTTGTTTTTTGCGCTCCAACAAAACCACAACACACAGGTAGCCTGGTGTGTACAGAAAATACCACTCCTACTTAATGTTTTCCTCCTGCAACCATTATTTTCCTTAAAATTCCAGACTCTACAACAGTTCCGTTGTGAAACACAGAACAGAGCACATGTTACATGTGTGCAACTATTAACATAAATAAATATGAGTCAAGGTGATTGTGATACTTTAATCCAGCCTTTCTCAACCTGTGGGTCCCCAGATGTTGTTGAACTACAACTCCCATCACCCCTAGCTAGCAAGGCCAGAGCTCAGGGATGATGGGAGTTGTGGTCCAACAACAACCCACAGGTTGAGAACTGCTGCTTTAATCTCAGTTGCAGAACACAGAAGCCTGTGAACAGCATGCTGTACCCAGTAACCAGAGATACTGGCAGTCTCAAGGGGCTGGCAGGGAAAGGTCCGCTTCTTACCAGCAGTGTTTTTGCGGAGTTCATCAGAAAGCTGGTAATTCTGAGTCCGAAGTTCCAGTAGCTGAGCCTAGCAAGAGAAACAGTAAAGAATGAAGAAGCTGGCAGGGCCAGTCAATGAAGAACTCTGGCCAGGTTTGTGGCCAAGAGCCCAGGGCTTTTTCCACTGATCAAGCCGGGAACATGAGTTCCTTGGGAAACAATGCGTGGGACACTTTTTGAATTGTGGACAATGTAATCCAAATCTTATTTCATCTGTCCTCAACCTTTAGGAAATAAGCCTGCACTACTCTCATTTTGCAGATGTGAGGCCCAGAAATCATAGAATCATAGAGTTGGAAGGGACCAAAAGGGTCATCTGGTCCAGTGTTTTTCAATCACTGTTCCGCGGCACACTAGTGTGCCGCGAGATGTTGCCTGGTGTGCCGTGGGAAAAATTGAAAAATTCGAAAGATTAAAAAAAAAAATGTCTAATTTTCGCCCACTAGGCGGGCGCCGGACTGTGTCCACCCTATTTTCCATCCGTCCTGGGTGGGGATCAGATTGGATGGGATCGGATGAGAGCGGACAGGCGGTCCGCTCTTATCCGATTCCCCATAGAGAGCAGCGGGGCTCTGACATCTCCCTCTCCGCACACATCTGGCCTGGTCTTGGTGAATTATATCCTTTAATAACACTTTCATACGGTGTGCTAATATAACTGCAAACAGCTTATAATCCATTAAGAGATCGGCCTATAATTTTAAACAGATAATAGGTCCGTTTCCTGTTTCGGGATAAGTGTAATATACATGTCTACCCTGGAGTTTGATATAGGGGATAGGGAAGCAGCAATCTGGAAGAAATGGAAAGACTGCCATCAGCCCTCCATATGTCTGCATCAGTTTCCCCCATTTGTTATTCTTGAATGCAGCCTTTCCCAACTTGTGGCCAAAGCTCCCATCGTCCCTAACCCCTGGGTTAAATTTGTTAAGTCGCTTTATCTTGCCCAGGGCAACCCAAAGTGAATTACTACCAAAGAGACGACAACCCCTTCCCCACATTAAAACCAATACTCCAAAACACTCGGAGGGGAGGGCACCAGCTTGGGGAAGGCTGTTTTGGCATCAAAAGCCTTGAAAGCAACTAGTTTTTCTGGCCACCAATAAGTGACTCTGGGATTGTGGGACGAGGTGCCAAACACCACGCGGTCAGCCATATTTCACCCAGGAGTTCAGAGCTGGGGACTTTCTGGGGAACTCCAGAGGTTGTACTCAAACAACACCCACCAAGTCCGGCCAGCAGAGCCAATGGTCAGGGCTAATGAGAGTTGTAGCCCAGTAACACTGGATGGTCACAGGTTTTCCCACTCCTGCTTTATAGTCTTAACTCTGTTCTCTCACAACAGCACACCCCACAACTTGCATATGTTTTTGATCTGTGAAAGAAATCATTGTATCAGCTGCCTTCTTCCCCACAAGAGATAGTTGTGTTTCAGCAGCAAAGCAAAAAGCATACATTGTTTGAGTGCTGGAAAGAGTTGCTGCAGGTATCAGAAAGTCAACATAACCAAGTCTGGAACAGGGCAGAAAGACTCCTTGTGCTTATCACATGACAAACCCCCTCCACGGCTCCTTTCACTGCTAGCTGGTTTCTCCTGACACTGAACTGACCCCCTCAAGGTCCTAAAACAAAATGAAGTGGACCAAGTTTCTTACTGTGTTATATTCATCAGGAACGGGGAACCTTGCTGTTGGACTACAGTTCCCATCATCCCTGACCACTGGCTCTGGTGGCTGGGGCTGATTGGAGTTGGAGTACAAGATCATCTGTAGGGCTACAGGTTCCCTCGTATACATCAAAAACCTACTTGCGAAAACAGGCAACACCCTTACAGTGAAATTAACATGCCTCTTCACAGGTAAAATTCTCCACTGTGCATGTGATTAATCAAGGACCAATGGGCCCTTATGCACTCTGGAAAAGCAACCTGTGATCTGGTTATTGGACCAAAGGTGGTTGGGGAGTGGGAGTAAGAGATCAAGGAAAGGGATATATCATCGTAGAATTGTAGAGTAGGAAAGGACCCCAAGGATCTTCTAGTCCAATGCCCTAAAATGCAGGAATCTCATCCAATTTGAAGCTATGCCAGACCCTGCTTAGGTTTCCAAATGTGCTAACAGTTTTATTGTTTGATCTCTTCTTTTATAAAAGCAACTGGAGAATGGGAACTTCATTCACCATTTTTTCATGCTTCAAAAGTAAAGCAGCGTGGCTGAAACTCTCAGCAGTGAATCAGGAAGGGCTACTGACTATGTTCTACCTCCAAGGTTGCAAGTATTACGTCTCTGAATACCAGTTGCTAGGAATCAAAAGGGGGCAGTTCTCAGGTCCTGCTTGCAGACTTCCCACTGACATCTGCTTGGCCACTCTGAAAACAGGGTGCTGGACTAGATGGGCCTTTGGCCTGATCTTCCAGGGCAGCCAGAGGGAAAACAACTGAGGAAAGCAGCAGCAAGAGAAGAAAGCAAAGGAGGACATGACACTGCTTCCCCTGCAGGGATGAACTGAGCCCCCAAAGATTCTGGGGCACAGCAAGGTGCAAGATGATGGAAATCAGCAAAGATACCTTGGCATATATTTATGTATGCTAGGAGGACCAAATAGCAAATGAGAACAGGGCTCCATGAATGGTTAAATAGAAGAGGAAATGGTGGCAGGAGAGAAAAGCGTACTGCTAGAATCCCTTCTTCTACAACTATTTAAAACAGATGTGAAGAAGCTTTGACCCTCCAGGTGTTGCTGGACTACAACTTCCATTATCCCTGGCCATTGGCCATACTTGCTGGGGTTGATGGAGTTGTAATTCAGCACCATCTGGAGGACCAAAGATTCCCCAGACATGATTTAAAGGGCAAAGGAACTCCATTCTTCGTTCTCTTTGTCTCTTAGTATACAGAGGGCCAGCAAGTCCTACAAGAAGTGGGGAGGCAAAAGTAGAGTTAGATCATGGTAGGGTGGGTTGGGGGAAGCATGTTTATTCTACTTTATTTCTTTAACATATTTAGATACCACCTTTCATCTGAAATGACAAGATCGTAAAAAAGAATGCACAATGCTGGCAGTAATGGCCAGTGAAGGCCAGAGAAAATAAGTTTTGAACAAGGGTTTTTAACGACGTCAGTGTTGGTGCTCAGCTTAGTTTAGAGGAGGTGACAATTCCACAGACACGAAGCCACGAAAAGGATGGGTTTTTTTTATTTAAAAAAATATGTGAACCATCCTGAGATCTTTTGCTGAAGGGCAGTATATAAATTAAAATAAATAAATTTATTTTCGGTTCATATGAGAATTTGCCAATGATAATTTTGGGGGAGGCAACAGAAAGCAGACCAAAAGGTTTAAAGCAAACATCAGCAGAGGCTGCCAATTCAAAAGTACTGTGTTTGATAATTCCCACAGGCCAAGGACTGGCTTACGCACGTTAAAATTTTAGGGATGCACTTAAGGCACAAGTGGGGAACCTGTGGCCCTCCAGATCTTGTTGAATTCCAGCCCCAGCTGGAACACTCAGTGGTCAGGGAAAATGGGAGCTGCAATCCAGAAACATCTAGAGCAGCCGTTCTCAACCTGGCAGGCAAGATGAGGACAGTTCCCAGATGTTGTTGGACCACATCTCCCATCATCCCTGACCACTCTTCCTGTTGGCTAGGGATGATGAGAGCTGTAGTCAAACAACACCTGGGGACCTAAGCTTGGGAAAGGCTCATCTAGAGGGCCACAGGCTCCTCAGCCCTGACCTAATGCGTTTTTAACCATGAACCGGAAAGAACAAATGCAGCAAACGCACACACACACACATATATATCACACAACTGATTAAACAATCAAGGTAAAGGGATCCCTGACCATTAGCAGAATGACCCGGAAGCTGTACGCCGGCTCCCTCGGCCAATAAAGTGAGATGAGCGCCGCAACCCCAGAGTCAGTGACCATTAGCTTCTGGGTCATGTGGCCAACATGACTAAGCCGCTTCTGGCAAACCAGAGCAGCGCACGTTTACCTTCCTGCTGTAGCAGTACCTATTTATCTACTTGCACTTTGACGTGCTTTTGAAATGCTAGGTTGGCAGGAGCAGGGACTGAGCAACGGGAGCTCACACTGTCGTGGGGATTTGAACTGCTGACCTTCTGATCCGCAAGTCCTAGGCTCCGTGGTTTAACCCACAATGCCACTCGCGTCCCTTTGATTAAACAATCTACAGCCTTTTAAATATGTATTGGAGGGGGCGTTGTTGGTTTGTTATTGGGGTTTTATCATCATGTATTTAGGTTCTCTTTATGGATGATCTTGGGGTGAAAGGTGCTATACAGATTTAATAAACAAATAATAACAGCTCCCACCCAGTTCTGGCCCCCAGCCTCAAATCTTCAGGAATCATCACTCTCTGCATCTCTACCCTGCCCCCCCAAAAAAAATCATAATGGCAACTGGACCCCCACCACCCCTGAATACTTTCAACGACACCTACCCCCACCCCCCGCTCATGACACCCACTGGGTGCTGTTCCTCCCCACGCCCCGCCCCACTCCGCTCCCCACCCACCCACCGGGCCGCCCGGCCATACGCACCTGCATGCGCTCGAACTCCTCCTCAGACAAGGCCTGCGCCATCTTCCCTCCCCCTCCGGCCCCCGGTTCGGATCCTGCTTGGTTCGACCCACGAGAGGAGGAGGGAAGGCGGGGGAGGAGGAGGGGGAGAAGCCCCGCCCCCGCCCGGCCCGGGATGGCTTTAAGAGGAGATCATAGAGAGGAAGCCGGGAAGAGGAACGCGCTGAATGGGGGGTTTCAGGCTCTCTCGCTCTCGCTCTCACCTCCCTCCCCACTCCCACCGGAAGCAGAGCGGCATGAGCGAAGGCGGGGGGAAGAGGGAAAGGCGCCTGGAGGCCGGAAGTGGGAAGGGTAGAAGGGCCGGAGACCGGAAGTAAGGGAGCATAGAGGTGCCGGAGACCGGAAGTAAGGGAGCATAGAGGTGCCGAAGACCGGAAGCGCGGAGGAGGAGGAGAAGCGCGACGAGCGAAGATGACCAAGAGGCCAGGAGGCAGCTTAACTCTTCGCGCTTCTGCTCTTCCCCGCCAGTCCGTATTATGGGATGGAACGGGGGAAAGAGAAAGTGCGGAGGCCACTGGCTCAGGGGGGAAGCTGTGCGCTCCTTTCCCTGCGCCTTAAGACGCGGAGCCGGATGACGGGGCGGAGGTGGAAAGAGGCCGCAGCGGAGCCCACAGAGGCCCGCGCTCTTGTATAGATTTCGGCGCTTTCCACAGCCGCCCTTTCGGCGGAGGGGGCACCGCAGCCCTCCTGGCCTGACTGGAAGCAGACGAGGGTCGTCAAGCTCCATCCTTTTAATATATCTCTCTCTCTTGTTGTTTAGTCATGTCCGACTCTTCGTGACCCCCTGGACCAGAGCACGCCAGGCACTTCTGTCTTCCACTGCCTCCCGCAGTTTGGTCAGACTCATGCTGGTAGCTTTGAGAACACTGTCCAACCATCTCGTCCTCTGTCGTCCCCTTCTCCTTGTGCCCTCCATCTTTCCCAACATCAGGGTCTTTTCCAAGGAGTCTTCTCTTCTCATGAGGTGGCCAAAGTATTGGAGTCTCAGCTTCAGGATCTGTCCTTCCAGTGAGCACTCAGGGCTGATTTCCTTAAGAATGGATAGGTTTGATCTTCTTGCAGTCCATGGGACTCTCAAGAGTCTCCTCCAGCACCAGAATTCAAAAGCATCAATTCTTCGGCGATCAGCCTTCTTCATGGTCTAGCTCCCACTTCCATACATCACTACTGGGAAAACCATAGCTTTAACTATACGGGCCTTGGTCAGCAAGGTGATGTCTCTGCTTTTTAAGATGCTGTCTAGGTTTGTCATTGCTTTTCTCCCAATTTCTTTTTCTCTCTCTTAGTGGACATTTTTTAGGAAGCGAGCGGCGTAGAACTATTGCAAGGAGAATTCTCAGAGATTAGGAAAACTACTAGACTCTTACCACGGGAAGGGGAGGTTTAAATGTCCTCCTTATTCCCGCATTCCTCCGCCCCCTCCCGCAAAGAATTAAAGAAAACAACAACAATTTACAGTGTTGTCAGGGAGAGGAAGTTACGTTCACACGAAGCAGAAGTCAGCTCCATGGAGACCAGGCACATTTCCCTCCTAGAGCGGCTTTCAGTCAGTGGAGGTTGGTTGCCCTTGGATAGGAGAGTTTAAGACATGATTATAGTTGCTGCCGCCGGGTTATTCTTGCAGAAGCACTAGAAGTTGCCTGGCAGCAGAGTGAGGCCATTGGGGGGGGGGTATGTACCATATTTTTCGCTCTATAACACGCACCCGACCATAACACGCACATAGTTTTTAGAGGAGGAAAACAAGAAAAAAATATTCTAAACGAAACAGTGGATGTATGATTTTTGTGGTTCATGCTGTGGCCACAGACATGTGATCTGATGGTGAGTTTGGGGTAGCCCAATGCAAAAATCCTGAGGATCCATGTGGATCCATGCTTTGTAATCACGTTTTTGCACCACTGCGGCCCCAGGCAACAGTGGGTGCGTGATTTTTTTGGTGCAAGCTGTAGCCATGGACATGCTATGTGATCTGATGGTGAATTTGGGGTGACCCAGTGCAAAATCCTGAGGATCCATGTGGACCCGTGCTTTGTAACCACATTTTAAGTGGGGAGGGAAGGAAAAGCACTCAAGGGACAAGGAACACGCGTGGGGTGGGTGGAGAAGGATGCTGTTAATAATGCAGAAGAGGGGTATAAGAGAAGGCTCCTCTCCTCTCCTGCTTTGCTCCTTTAAAGCAAGCAGGCTCTCTGTCCCTCTCTCCTCCCCACTCAGCAGCTCTTCTCCCGCTTTGCTGTTTCAAAGCAAGCCATGGAGGAGGGAAGGAAGGGGAACCATGGATCCTCTGCTCACGACTGCAGCAGATCCCCCCGCCATCCGTAGGCATTCGCTCCATAACACGCACAGACATTTCCCCTTACTTTCTAGGAGGAAAAAAGTGAGTGTTATGGTGCAAAAAATATGGTATGTATGTATATACATACATGTGTATGTATGTATATACACACATGTGTATGTATGTATATACACACGTGTGTGTGTGTATGTATGTATATACACACATGTGTATGTATGTATATACACACGTGTATGTATGTATATACATACATGTGTATGTATGTACATATGTGTGTATATAATATATACAAATACATAAATGGGTTGGGAGGGTTCTTAGGGGAGGGGTAGTACCTCTGGTGGGTGACACTTCCTACTCCTGGGTCATTTTGTCCACCTTTGGCCTCCGCCCTGCACTTGGCTCTTACCTGTGGCTCCTAGAAGCTGTCAGCATGCACCGGCAGCTACATCCCAGGAAGCAGCTTTGACTGGCTGGCTAAACCAGGTGAAGCGAGCCAATGAATCTCAAACCCTTGGGGCTTCCCCTGCATGTGAAGACAGGCTCTGGCAGATGGACGAGAACCATCATGGGTCCGACGGTCAAGAAGGCGGTTTCTGCACATGCTGTAGAGGGAAGTGGGGAGCAAATGGGGTTCGCCATCCTGGAAAACTGATCCTAAACCTCTGCTGCCTTGCAGGATATATTCGGGGGAAGAAAAGGTTAAGGAGTAAGCCCTACACAAAGGTGGTTGGATGGTGCTTCGTACACCTCCTTCCAGAAACTCTTGCAGCCAAGCTGATGCCTAACGTATTACTCTGCTTTCGTTTGGTCCACATCAGCGAGCCAGAGGAGGGTGTTGTCATCTGGGCAGCCCTGGACTTCCATACAAGCTTGTGCCCCAGGGAGGTCACTTTGGTGTTGCAAATGCAGTAGTTTGACATCACCTGTAGAGGTGCACTCTTTTGTCTCTCAGGAAAGATTTATGCCAATAAAAACACACGTGTACAAACGTGTATATGTATCTATGGTTTGGCATTAGCTGCAGTATTTCACAGTATGGCTGCCGTATACAAAAAAAGCTAAGCCTCTTGAAGTCTCCTAGAGTACAGACATGGCTTCAAGCTGACTGGTGTATAATATACAGTTCTTTCATTCAGTCTCACCAAGAGATTTAAAGTACTTGCCCTCAGGTTCTTGTACCACAGTTATCTGCCACTTACGAAGGGTAGACACCCGTATGATTGGCAGCATTCCCCCATAAAATATTCACAAGTGGCAAGAGGAATTACAACATCCCTATCTGAGAGTGACAAGTGAAAGAAGTAGTGACAGTCATACTGATGCACACCTTTCATGACTAGATATATGTCTATTTAGCAGTATGGTCTCAGAATTGGACTCTCAAGTGCAAAAGTGTACTGTGACCCTAATTTTGTTGTGTCTAGGTTTAGTATATGACTCCCAGAATGTTCAGCACCCAGATAGTAAATTGGAAGGCCCCCCACCCCACCCTCAGCTATACCAAAATTTTAATCAAGGTGTGGGGAAATGCTGTCCTGAGTAACCAAATGACTCCTGCAAATTCAAAAACTGACCATCCCTGGCCTAAAATAAGGTATATGTACAAACTTCATGGCTGCTGGTTTCTGCCAGCCTTAACAGCATCGTTTGAACTGAGTAGCAGTCTCCTTATTCAGCACCAGGGGTGGAATTCAGCATCACTCTTTTCCTCTTATTCCATCTGGTCAAGCATTTCAGTTTGCAGGACAGAAAGACCCCTCCCCCAAAAAAAACCCTTTCCCCATGCTCTGCTCTGGAGGATCTTCTGACCAGCACCCTGAGCCAAAGGGGGCTTCTCTTCCATGGAAGCCAGCAGGGGTGGAGGAAGAGAAGGGAGGAAAGCCCTATAGAGCAAGCAGAAGTCTTAGCACGACACTTCCACTGACAGGGTCTGGTTAGGTGACTCGCAACACCAAAGTCCCACCATCTTATGACATCCAGCTTAGTGTGGCTTTAAAAACATAGAGGAAAACTCTTTATATACACTCACGACTGAATTCTCCACACGACACAATGAGGAAACAGGTACTACAGTAGCTATAGAAAATGGTCATTGCTGGTTTATTTGTTTAGAAGCCTCTAGTACTGGTAGTGGGAATGTTTAAACATACAAAGTAAAAGGACAGAAGGTGCAATCTGGGTCATCACTGAGGATGTAGAATCCACAACAGGAAAACCAGCCCCTTCCCTCAGCCTGAAATTCTATCCCTTTCATCCCCTTAATCAGACTCAACCTTTAGTTAATGGAACCCAGTTCTACTCCTTTTAAGATCTACGACCACTTGCCCTAATCTCATTTTTCCAACTTCCTCTGCGCTCGGTCCTCTTGCTTGTTACAAACAACACACACTGGAATACCACTACAGTGTCTGGTTTACATTGAACACTCACTCCTGTTACCCTCATTTCCAGCTCAAAAAGGTCCCAGCCTAGAAACTACCCATATTTCCTCCTACCCAGTGACAACCTCCAGTAAGGCAGCTCTTCTCAGTTTCAAAGGGTGAAATTCAACATCATGCTAAGGTGATTGTTCCTTTTTGGCTTGCCAGATGGAGCAGTCCCCCACCCACTGTTCCAGAAGTTATCCCGACCTCCCCAGAGCCAATTTCATGGGACGTGTGGATGAAATGAAGAGAAGCCCCACACTAGAAATGGAGGGTCGAGCACTGGGCTTCTGTGGACAGGACTCATTAGTTAAATCCCACCCAAAATTACACTTTCTGAAGGACAGACGTCTGGTATTCCATTTTCCAGCACAGACTTCAGACTATGCTGTGATTCTAAAGTGCGGGAGAGACGCAAAGCCCTCTAGAAGCTGTTGGATTTAAGCTGCCATCAGCCGCAGCCAGGATGGCCAATAATCATGGGATGACGGCAGGTAGAATCAAATAACTTCTTAGAGGGGCACAAGTTACCCTAAAAAGCCATAAAAGCTTAGTGCTTTTAGATAACATTTTGAGACAGCTACTCCTGGGTGACCACTTCTGTTTCAAGGGGGTTCACACACATTCACACAGTGGTGAGGCTAATACTGGAGCCCAAATGATTGTCTCTGCAGCAATTGCGGCCACACTTTTACACCCAACGACGAGTTGGGTCATACAGAAGCCTGCTTCCAGTATTTTAAAAAACTAGTGGATTCAATAAACAGTACAGTCTCATTTGCTCTCTGTTTCTCCTAATGTCCATTTGGTATGCAAAAAGTTTTTGAGTATATAAAAAAAACTTGATTATAGCTTCATTTATATTAAAAAACAAACAAACAGGGGTGACAATTAAATGCTGTGTGGCAGTAATGTACCCTTAAATGCAACCACATGAGCAAGAACATTATTTCACGAATTTTTCCGCCTCTGCACCCCACTTTGCCCACAAAGAAGTCACAAGGGACAAAAATCAAGTTTTTCTGCGATCAGGTCAGAACTGAAGGGAAAGAGACGAAGAAAAAAAAATTAAAAGCGGTAGTTTTGATAAAACGTTGAATCTGCCGACTTAAACAAGGAAGGGTGAGAGTTACGAATAAAAAACGTCCGATAACTATATAAAATAAACCTAACTTCTTTTAAAGGGGAGAGTGCCTCTAAATTATGCAAAAGCAAGGAGGCCACTTTCTCCTCCTCTCCCACCTTAATTTCCCCAAATTATATACAGCAAAGGCGCAAGAATGCAAACTGAGGGTTGGAGTGGATGAACTGAGGTTTGTGGCTATACGCTCCTCACACAGTGTTAAAGAAACGCCCTACTAACGTTTAAAATGGCAGGTTTAGGGAAACGCAAAAACCCACTATTCCCAGAGTTTCTGAAGCTTGGGTCCAGAAGGCTTAGGGCCCCTCACTTTGTGATGGGACACCCTATTTCTCTTGCTCCAGGGGAGGACTGGTACTATATGGCTCTGCAAGCCCTCTTTCCCATGGCCCTCTTGCTAAAGAGGCAGCAGCTCAAGCTCTCCCAAAATATGGAATGTCGGGGAAAGGAAGGGGCACAGCCTATAGCAGCAGAGGGGGGAAAAGCCTCCAAGATTTGAGGGAGAGGAATAGTCAAGAGCAGGAGCAGGGCACGGTGAGTAAGGGTGGGAGCCTTCTCCGGCTCCTCTTCCGTTGCCGAAAAGTCCCAAGCGCTGCCATCACGAATCATCTTCCATGCTGAAACTGGAACGGCGGCTGCTGCCCTTAGAGGCGCCAGGCGAGACGGAGGAGAGGAGCGGATCAGAGGCACCCAGCGGGGACAGAGCGGTCCCATCGTCCATGAGAACATCCTGCAGGGCTCCCCCGTCGGAGCCCAGAGCAAGGCCCAGCCCCAGTTCCTCTGCTGTGAAGGGCAGGTCCAGGGACTCTGCAAAGGAAGGAACTGGGTCTCCTCCCAAGGGCTGAGTCAGAAGCCCCTGTGCGGAAGTCAAGGGCAGCCCGTGCATCTGCACCTGGAGTTCCAGCTCCTGGGGAAGAGACCAGAGACGGGAGCGTGAGACCCAGCAGCATGCCTGAACTACACCTTCTGCATCCCGCCCCACCCCTACCCCCTCCTGAGCATGGCACCCGCTCTTTCTACCTGCACTCGCAGCTGCAGGCTGCGGTTGGCCTGTTCCAACTTGCGCTGCCGGAGTTCCATCTCTTTCGAGTGCTGCTGCTCTTTCTGCAGCTTCCGGATGTAATCCACCGAGGCTTTGAGGATGGTTCCTTTGTTCCAGCGCATCTCCCTAGGGAGGAGGGGGAAGAGGAGCTGCATTCCTTTTTCTTTCTTTTTAATTTTATTAAAGTTCTTACGTTACATCGGTAAACATTATCATATTACATCATATACTATAATTTTCAACATGTATACAAAGTTTATATACTAAAAGGGGGGGGGGGAGGGCAAAAAACTGTTCCAGAATCATATACCATATTTTTCACTCAATAAGACGCACTTTTCCCCTCCTAAAAAGTAAGGGGAAATGTTTGTGTGTGTGTGTGTGTGTGTGTGTGTGTGTGTGTGTGTGTGTGTTATGGAGCGAATGCAGACAGGAGGCTCTGCTCAGCACTCCCTTTAAAGAGCCGCGTGGAGCTTTTCCCTGAGGAGGGAGAAGGGCTGCCCTCCACGCGCTCTTTAAAGGGAGCACGGGTCTTGGGGGAGCCTTAGCCATGCGCAGCCTCTCCCGGGCAGGGGATGAAGGCTCCCCTTGCCCAGGAGAAGCAAGAAGCAAGGACAGCCAGCGGGGTTGCTGAGCTGCAATCCCGCTGACTGTTATGGCTTCTGGCTTAGCCGCGCGAAGCCTCCGCAGGGCAGCGGGGAGCCTTCATCCCGCTGCCCTGCGGAGGCTTCGCACGGCTATCCCTGGCTTTTGTGGGAGGTGGGGAAAGTGACAGAGCCGCGAGCTCTGTCACTTCCCCCACCTCCCGCAAAAGCCCCCTTTAAAGAGCAGCGCTGAGTGTGTGTGTGGCTCTTGGGGGCTTTTCCCTGAGGAGGGAAAAGCCCTTCTCAGGGAAAAGCCTGCAAGCACCGCACACACGCTCCACGCGGCTTGTGAAAGGGAGCGCTGAGCAGAGCCTGGGATGCATACAAGCTCTGCTCAGCTCTCCCTTTAAATAGTATTTTTTTTCCGTGCATTCCCCTCTAAAAACTAGGTGCACCTTATGGTCAGGTGCGTCTTATGGAGCGAAAAATACAGAATATACCACCACTTTGGACTTCCTGTCTATCCAGTTGCATATTCCTTTTTTACAAATGAATATACTCGTATTATTGTATATTTCTTTACATTTTATCTAATACCCTTGGTCTTATTTCTCAACTCAGTCCCTCTCCAACTTCAACCGAATGCTAGCACAGATAGCGAACCTTTACTGTATTTTTGAACATACATCTTATATCTATCCCACTTTTCCATAATTTTTTGTTTTGAAGTGCCTCTCAGGCTATTTGTCAACTGCGCCATTTCAGCAAATTCTTGTAGCTTGTTATGCCAATCCGTTATTGTCAGGACTTCTTCCTTCCACCCCTTTGCCACCAAAGTCCGAGCTGCAGCCATTGCATATAAAAATACCTCCCTAACGGCATTTGGGATGTCCCTGCCAACAATCCTTAACAGAAATGCCTCTGGTCTTTTTAGAAATGTTTCCAAACTGTTTTTTAACTCATCATAAATTAAGGTCTGTGCGTTCCAATACATACATACACACACACTAAGAAGAATTACTGGACCAAGGTCCGGTTGAGTCCAGCATCCTGTTTCCAACAGCAGGACAGTCAGATGCCCCTGGGCACCAAAAGGATGCCAGCCCTAGAATCTGCAGCCCTAGTTATCATGGCTAGTGGACTAAGTAATGTAAAATGTTGCTGTGTGTACATGGCTGGCTGGCAGGCTCCCTACCCACTGCCAGGATACTCCATTCCTTCCTTCCTTCTCTCCTCCTGCCAGTCAGTCAGTTTCCATGACCACTGGGCATGCCAAGTCCTCATTGGTTTGTTTTCTGAGTTTTTCCTTTCCCTGCTGCCCAAGGGATTTTATCCTAAAGATTTTGGAGCTCCTCCAACTTTGGGGTTGCACCAAGCCTACTGACACCTCCCCACTTCTACACAGATGGTATCATTCTGGCTACATATGGAGAGGCATTCAGAGAATGAATCCTTCATGAGTATACAAACATATATACAATATATTCTACTCAGTACTGTATACACTGGTAAGATATAGCTCAAAGGACAAAAAAATCTTGCCACCCAAACAGGCAAACTATCAGTACTGAAGACACATTTAGAATACAACAGCAATTAGAAGATGGGTGAATGCACTGCCTCCAGCCTGATGCCCCCCTCCCCAATATTTTGGATTACAACTCCCATCTGCCCCAGTGAACACAGCTCATGGTGGCTTAGGGCCCTCGTATTTACGGGACCACCTCTCCTGGTTTGCCCCACAGAGGACCTTAAGGTCCATGAATAACCATAGCTTAGAGGTCCCGGGCCCTAAGGAAGTCAGACTACCCTCCACCAGGGCCAGGGCCTTTTCAGTGATGGCTCCGACCTGGTGGAATGCTCTGTCCCATGAGACTAGGGCCCTTCAGGATTTAATCTCCTTCCGTCAGGCCTGTAAGACAGAGCTATTCCGCCTGGCCTTTAATTTGAATTCAAATTAATTCCCCCTCCCCTTTTATGAAGATCACCCGCTCTGAGACCCCACAGCTAATTCTCCCCTGGCCTCCTCGCTGGCCCAAGTAGGACCAAATCAGCCAGCTAGCCCTGGGGATTATCTAATGCTTATTTCCCCTAAATTGATTTCTGAATTTTGAATTTTATTGTTATTCATGTTTTTATACTGTATTTTATGCTGATTTTACAATTAAGAGTTTTAAATTTGTTGTTAGCTGCCCTGAGCCCAGTTTTTGAACCGGGAAGGGCGGGGTATAAATAAAAATTTATTATTCTTATTCTTATTCTTCTTATTATTATTAGAGCTGTAGCCCAATACTTCCAGAGGGTGCCAGGTTGGCAGAGGGTGGCGTACACTTTCAGGCTTCTCAAGGGAGGGGAACTCACAGCTTTCCTCCACGCACCCCCCCCACCCAACAGGCCTTTATGTCACGGTGCTCAGCAATTGTCATTCATCTACTACACTTACGGATCATTCGATTTGGGGATGAGAGTCCCCAGCTCTTTGATACGGTCGTTGATATTGAACCGCCGCCGCCGCTCAACTGCCAAGAGGGAGAGAAACATAAGTGGCACAAGATATCATTAAAGCACAGCTACTCATGTTATCTTTATTAGTTTAAGAAAATAACAAAAAACCTCATTTCCACAGCACTTTCCAGAAAGCAAAGCATTTTGCCATTCGATCAACTCATTTAACCCCACAACAGCCCTATAAGGTAGGCTAGGCAGAGAATGCAGTGCCTTGCCCAAAGTCAGCCAGGTATTTCTCTCTGCCTGGTACACCTCCAAACCTCAAACTATACCTTACTGGCATGAGCCCTGGATTGAGGGCTGGGGGGTATGATGAAATGCCACACAAGCAGAGAACCAAGTGGAACTGGGCACCAGATTCAGCCTTCCCAAGGATCTCAGGTTTCTTCAAAGAGAGAACCCAGGCTTCCAGCCCTTATGGTTGTAAAAATAGGCTTGTAAACATATAGCAGTGCTGGATTTACGTCTAAGCTAAAGAAGCTATAGCTTAGGGCCCCACTCTCTTGGGGGCCCCAAAAAAATTTAAAGGGAAAAAAACTGGATGTACATTTCCAAAATATAAGATAAAAAACATATACAGTGGTGCCTCGCAAGACGAAATTAATCCGTTCCGCGAGTCTCTTCGTCTTGTGGTTTTTTGTCTTGCGAAGCACGGCTATTAGCGGCTTAGCGGCTTTAAGAAAAAGGAAACAAACTCGCAAGAACTCGCAAGACGTTTCGTCTTGCAAAGCAAGCCCATAGGGAAATTCGTCTTGCGGAACGACTCAAAAAACGCAAAACTCTTTCGTCTTGCGAGGCACCACTGTAAAATAAAACCTACATGCAGCAACAGCGTTTTGTGTTGTGTAGGCTCCTGTGATGTAGGTAATGCCTGCTAGCCTGCTCCCTAAAATATCACTGGTTTTGTTATGTGCAAATGGCTTTAGATACCTGTTAGGTCCATAAGTTACTATATAGCATATATTCAATACAAAAAACAGCCAAAATTTGTTGTTGACAAAGGACAGCTGGACATATAAAGGACCCCATTACCTTCAGTATCTTAGGGCCTCATCAAACCTAAATCCGGCCCTGGCATGTAGGCAGCGCCACTGGTGAAGTCTCAGGTGCCAGGCAGACTGCTCAATAATATTTCCAGTAGTCAGGAATTCAGTGACCTGAGTAGCTCCTTGTTCCTCCCCACCACCATCAACATGTGAAGGAGAAGCTGCCCAAACAGGCTTAATTTATAAAGGCCGCAAGAATCCAGTGCCTTTTTGCCACAGAAGCTGGGTGATCTTGGTGCAGGATCTAGGCTTATACATGGTCACAAATGCAGCTCAGATACAGGGCCCAAATGGTGTGTTGGTACATCACACAAAATGTTTGGGGAAATGCAGGGGAGAGAGAGCGAAGTTACATTGGCCGCTACCAAACAAGCTGAGTCAGCCAATCCTGTTCTTAACCCATCAGATTAGCCCAGGGCATACTCTGTTAACTGGCTCAGCCAGTTTGCACACTCCTACCTGATCAGGTCCACAAGCCTAGCAGCCTTGCACTTTTACTTCCTCTCCCAACACTGGTTTGAGTGGTGTCAACCAACCATCCCTCATTCCCCGCCCCTCTTTTGGATCAATCCAACAGGACCAACCAGTTTAGCATCGAAACCTCCAAACATATACCTTGGTTAACACCGCCACAAATTTCCTCTTGCCCTTTGCTTTAAAACAATACAGTGGTACCTTGGGTTACATATGCTTCAAGGTTACATACACTTCAGGTTACATACTCTTCAGGTTACAGACTCCGCTAACCCAGAAATAGTGCTTCAGGTTAAGAACTTTGCTTCAGGATGAGAACAGAAATCGTGCTCTGGCGGTGCTGGAGCAGCAGGAAGCCCCATTAGCTAAAGTGGTGCTTCAGGTTAAGAACAGTTTCAGGTTAAGTACTGACCTCCGGAATGAATTAAGTACTTAACCCGAGGTACCACTGTAATAGGTAACACAAAATTTAAAATATGCGTTCAAGTTTGGTAGGTTAAAATGCATCAGTGGAGCAAAGGCATTTGAGTAACTAACACCCCAAAAGAGTAGAGCGTACTGCAGGGGTCAGCAAACTTTTTCAGCAGGGGGCCGGTCCATAGACCTTGTGGGAGACCGGACTATATTTTGAAAAAAAATAATAAACAAATTCCTGTGCCCCACAAATAACCCAGAGATGCATTTTAAATAAAAGGACACATTCTACTCATGTAAAAACATGCTGATTCCTGGACCATCCATGGGCCGGATTGAGAAGGTGATTGGGCCGGATCCGGCCCCCAGGCCTTAGTTTGGCTACCCATGGTGTACTGTATCAACTCTAGCTTAGCCCCAAAATTCTACGCTCCTAGGATAGCTCAGTTGATAGAGCATGAGTCTCTTAATCTCAGGGTTGCTGGCCAAAAAGATTTCTTCATTGCAGGGGGTTTGGTCCCTTCAATCTCTACAGTTCTATGATTCTATGGCAACTCCCCTCATCTCTGAACATTGGCCATGCTGGCTGGTGATGATCCTGATCCTCTGTCGGGGACCCTGGGGGAGCTGCCGTCAATCAAAGCAGACAATGCAAACTGTCTGAGTCGGTATAAGGCCACTTTCTGTGTACCTACAAACTTCTCTGTCCCCCAAGTATGCAATGCTTAAAGGTAAAGGGACCCCTGACCATTAGGTCCCGTCATGGCCGACTCTGGGGTTGCGGCGCTCATTTCGCTTTACTGGCCGAGGGATCCGGGATACAGCTTCCAGGTCATGTGGCCAGCATGACTAAGCCGCTTCTGGCGAACCAGAGCAGCACACGGAAACGCCGTTTACCTTCCTGCTGGAGCGGTACCTATTTATCTACTTGCACTTTGACGTGCTTTCGAACTGCTAAGTTGGCAGGAGCTGGGACTGGGCAATGGGAGCTCACCCCGTCGCGGGGATTCGAACCGCCGACCTTCTGATCGGCAAGTCCTAGGCTCTGTGGTTTAACCCACAGCGCCACCCGCATCCCTACTTGACACTTGGAGCCAGATATAATCACACAAAAAGTAGCTGTGTCCCTATGCAATGCTTAGGTTTCAAAATAACAAATAGATAACAAATACTCTCCTGCCGTCACCAAGGCATTCCTTATCCTCAGAGCAGGCCCACTGAAATTTGCAGACATGAATAACTTTGCGTCCATTCATTTCAGCAGCACTTAAGTGGGACACAACGCAATATCGCATTAAACATTTTTAAGATGGCGTTTTCACCAGTAAAGGGAACTCACTCAGATTATGGTTGTCTTTCTTCTGCCTTTCCTTCAGGAACGCTTTGGCTTCATTTTCTGCTAAGGAAGACACATAAGCCACAAAAATGATGGTCAGGGATGACTCTGAAGTCGCTACCCCTTCCCAGCTGTACAGCCTCTTACTTCTGCTGAGCCCTGATGGTTTGGAATGCAAGAACCCCCAGTACCTGACATCTCTCTCTTGATATTGGGCAGGTCAGCCGGGCAGGAGTTGCTAACTGTCACAGCTGGCTCCATCATTCCTGGGTTGTTGTATACATCCAGGAGGTTTCCAGAGACTGGCAGCTGCACATAATCATAGGAAGAGTTCAACTTACTTTCACATAGATAAGTCTGGCCCAAGTCAGAAGTGGGCAAGGCCTCCAGGCCACAGGGCTCTGAAATCACCTTGCCAGCTCTCTGCTCTTCAGTGTACTACAATTCACAAGCTGGCTCCAGGTCCCTTTGGGGATTTGGTTAAAACAAGATATACGCTATGGACTATGCAGAATAAGATAAACTAACAGGAAGGATTCAAAATCTGCGGGACCAGAAATTCACAGAAGACTGGTGTAAATTTACAGACTATTTGAAAAGTACTTGTGATGATCAAGACTACAGTTGTAGGTTTGCAAGAAGTTTTGTGAGGTGAATTATTGGAACTATTGCAAAAATGGATAAAGGGGAGGATGGTTAGTTAAGATTATTAAAGGCAATATGAATTTAAGAAATGCATAAGAAGTGGTTAAAACGGTGGATCATCAGGGGTGCTGATGGAAGTCCAAAAAAAGATTGTATAAGTGGTGAAGTTTTGTGGTATGTATTATAATTTATATGTTAAAATTAATAAAAATTATTATAAAAAAACAAGATATACGCTACTGCGATTAACAAAAGAGAAATTTATTCAGCAACAGCATCCTCTCGTTTTTATCAGAGCTGCTGACGAAAGCAGAAGCTGAAAAGTTTCTCCGCATAAGTAAGATTTATTAACTTCCACCCATTAATGCAACAGAGGAGATTAAATCAATGAACTGTTTTTTAAAAAATAATAATAATCAGTTGACAGCCCTATAAGTTGTGCTAGCTATGGCTGGAAGTTCTGATCCATTTTAAATTCCATTTCCCCCCACAATCACGCCTCTGCCGAGAACCCACAAAAACGGCTACTCACAGTGCTGGGCATCTGTAGGCCTCCGTAGTTAAGGATTTCATCATTGTAGCTGGATTCCAGGCTGATGATCTCATCAATTACATCATCAATCTAATTTTTAAAAGGGAAGCAGTTAAACCTGAGATAAGAGACCTTAATCAGAAAAGCAAGGAGGGAGGGACAAACAAAAGGTAATTGAGGTAGAGTTGTACTCACCTCTTTCTCAGAACTGGAGCCAATGTTCAGCATAGCCATGGGGCTATTGGGGGCGCTGCCAGGACCCCCTGCCACTCCCGGCTGCTTGGCCAAACCATGTTGTGGCTCAGGAGCAGAGGCAGCCTGTGGGGAGCAGGTGGAGGCCCCTGGACTTGTCCCAGCTACAGCCTGTGTTGCTATCTTGCTCCCCATGGCAGTGGAGAGGTACTGCTTCACCTGTTGCCTCTGCGCCTGTTGGATGTGATACTTGGTGGGATTCTCCAGGTGGGTCTGGACCTAAGCTCAGAGGTGAGAAGAGAAGGGCCATTAGCCACAGGAAAAAGAACGCCAGCCAGCCAGAACTCAAGCGACTGAAGCCCAACCTCTGCACTTACGAGGGAGAAGGGTTCATTTCGAAGAATATGGAGCAACTGCAGGGGCAGCCTATGTGCTTGCCAGATGTTCTGGACTATCCCTGCCTTACAGCATGCTGCTGACTCTTCCATGGGATCCTTCTGCCCATCCCTTGAGCCGGGCTGAGCTCAAAGCGATGAGGAGAGTTATAGCCCAAAGCACTGCGAGGTGCACCATGTTGATAAAGTAAAGGTAAAGGGTAAAGGGACCATTAGGTCCAGCCGTGACAGACTCTGGGGTTGCGGCGCTCATCTCGCTTTATTGGCCGAGGGAGCCGGCGTACAGCTTCTGGGTCATGTGGCCAGCATGACTAAGCCGCTTCTGGCAAAGCAGAGCAGTGCACAGAAACGCCATTTACCTTCCCGCCGGAGCGGTACCTATTTATCTCCTTGTACTTTGACGTGCTTTCGAACTGCTAGGTTGGCAGGATCAGGGACCGAGCAATGGGAGCTCGCCCTGTTGCGGGGATTCAAACCGCCAACCTTCTGATCGGCAAGTCCTAGGCTCTGTGGTTTAACCCACAGTGCCACCCGCGTCCCTTATAGCATGTTGATAGCAAACCCCAAAGAGCACCTCAGCTGGCTTGAGACCCTAGAGATAGTCACGCTCGACAGCAATCGTAAAAGACACAGATTGTCTAAACCAGTAATTCTTAAAACTGAGCAGAATAAGCATCAGCAGAACGAGCCTAGCCTTGAGTAACAACTGCTGGACATGGATGCAGTCACAAGCAAACGCCGGTGTCAGAGGAAGGCAACTTGGTTATGTTATCTTGGTCATTAAGCAGACGTGAACTCTCCAAATAAAAGACAGGATGGAAATGTTTTGAAATAAATAATGCATTTGAAGGGAATCAAAGAGAGATCAAGCCCCTTCATGTCACCGGGCAGAACCACTGACCCACCAAGCCCACCAGCTCTGCTGATGGGAATTGCAGTCCAAAAACCTCTGGAGAAACACCACATTGGGGGAAGGTGACCCAGCTTCTTCCCGTACTGATCTACCAAAACCAGAGGCCACCAATGTCATTCCACTGGGCATGGTGCCCGTGAAGCCTCTGAGACCCCCTTCCCTATGTAATCCTCATAGAACTCTAGCCCAATGGTTGCCATTAATCTGATTCTGAATTGATTTTCGAATGTATTTTAATTAATTGGTTGTGATTTTATGTAAACTGTGCTATTTTTATTGTTGTTAGCCGCTCTGAGCCCGGCTTTGGCTGGGGAGGGAAGGATATAAATTATTATTATTATTATTATTATTATTATTATTATTATTATTATTATTCACTACCTCACCAGCAGTGAGAATTGCTACTTTTTTCTCCCTTGAAATGCACACAGAGCATAAGGAGGAAGTTGAAAGAGCGACGTTCTTTCCCACTTCCTTTTTTCGCCTTTATTGTGCTTTCGAAGGCTCAGATTCTGCTGGATCTGACTTTTGGGGAAATCATTTGTGTGTTGGGGGGGTGCACTTTCTCTTTGTTTCTCTGGGTGGGGGCTGATCCAGGGGAGGGGAGAGAGGAGTGACTGGAGAGGGTGGTACCTACTGAAAAGTTCAAATGTAACCACGGACCTAAACAGTCAATGAGCGCTAACCTCAATGGTACCACAAGCATGCCACAGAAAGACACTTCAATGGTGACTTATGCCAGCCAGCTCAAGCTGTGTTTAGAGCCATCAACCATTTCATGGCCATCTTGCAGTTTTCCCTGTTACAGTGCTATAGCATCCCACCCCCAAAGAAGGAAATGCTCCCACCACTAGGCCACCCAGCCCTCCTCCTGCCACACAGTCCCTCTGGGCAAGATCAGAGCCGACTGCCACCCCTCCTGGACTTCCTCTCTCCTTCCGACTCACCTTCAGTACCTCCACAGGAACCTGGGCAGGGGCAGGGCGAGCGAGGGGGCTCATGGAAATGGCGGGTGTGGAAGGCGCAGGGGGCGCCGGAGTGAACTGTGCCGCCTGCTGCTGCTCCCGGCGCTCTTGTTCTTGCGTCTGCGCCCGCATCAGCTGCTGCCGGAGAAGCACGCGGGACGACATGGCGGGACCCTGAGCTGGGGCACTCGGAGGGCTGCCAGAACAGAGGAAGGAGAGAGAGAACATTCAGCAGCCATCAAGGAAATCTCACTACAGTCATACCTCAGGCTGAATATGCTTCATGTTGAGCACGTTCAAGTTGAGCTCCGCGGCAAGCTGGAAGTAACGGAGTGCGTTACTTCCGGGTTTCGCCGCTCAAGCATGCGCAGACGCTCAAAATGACGTCATGCGCATGCACAGAAGCAGCAAAAAGCGATGTGCACATGCACAGACAATACGGTATCCCGAGATACCACTGTACCAGGGTTCTGCACACTCCTGTAATGAAACTACAGTCATACCTCATGTTACATTTGCTTCATGTTATGTTCTTTCAGGTTACATCCTGCAGTGACCCGGAAGTACCGGAAAGGGTTACTTCCGGGTTTCGCCACTCGCGCATGCACAGAAGCGCAAAATGTCATCATGCGCATGTGCAGAAGCGGTGAATAGCCAGACGCGCCACTGTGGGTTGCGCTCTTTTCATGTTGCAAACGGGCCTCCGGAACGGATCCTGTTCGCAACCAGAGGTACCACTGTAGTGACCAGATTCCCTGCCCTAGACACAACCTGGACGCAGAACGAAACAGGCAGTCAAAAGCTGATGTTACTAACGGAACCTTATATCAAGCACGTTAGAGAACTATTTCTTTAAAATGTATAAAACTGGGAGGTCAGCCTCAGAGATGGAATAGAAATAAAAACCTACTGAACAGGAGAATTTAATGTCGGATGTCAATAGAATACTTAATGCTGAGATTCTAATCCATTTGAGTGTACAGACAACAGTTCCATCAGTTGGTAAAGTTCTTTTAAAAGAAAAATTTGTTTTCTACATTCAGAGTTCTGCACTGGGTTCGGTTAAAGGTTAAATATTTGTCCCTATTGCCATCTTGTGTCTCTAAAAAGTTGAAAAACATAAATGGAGGCCACATGTGGGGGGGAGCTGATGTTACTGAATTTCATTTGGATAAACGTTAAATTATGCAAGGTTTCCTTTTTTTAATATGAAACAAAAATACCGTACATTTTCCCTTCAAGTTCAGGCATGGGGAACCTGTGGCCCACCAGATTTGACTGAACTGCAACTCCCATCAGCTCTAGAAATCATGGCAAATGGCCAGGGTTGATGGGAGTTGTAGTCCAGCAACTTCTGGAGGGTCTCAAGTTCCCCACATCTGCTCATGATCTTTTTCACGAGGAACACAGAGGGTATAAGCAAGAGATTCAGGCCTGTAATAAAGTATTAAGTTCTTCAAAAACGTTATCCCCAAAGCATGCCACTGCAGAACATTCCCAACCATAGCTGGCAATCTGTTCCTTTGCTTGCCCTACTCTTCCAGCAGGAGCGGGAGACTGTTTTGGATACGAAGGAGAATTTCTCCAGTGTGTAAAGGTAAAGGGTAAAGGGACCCCTGACAAGTCCAGTCGTGAACGACTCTGGGTTTCAGTGCTCATCTCGCTTTAAAGGCCGAGGAAGCCAGCGTTTGTCCGCTTCCACAGACAGTTTTTCCGGGTCATGTGGCCAGCATGACTAAGCCGCTTCTGGCGAAACCAGAGCAGCGCACAGAAACGCCATTTACCTTCCTGCTGGAGCGGTACTTATTTATCTACTTGCGCTGTGTGCTTTCGAACTGCTAGGTTGGCAGGAGCAGGGACCGAACAACGGGAGCTCACCCAGTCGCAGGGATTCGAACCGCGACCTTTCGATTGGCAAGCCCAAGCGGGCACAGTGTTTTAACCCACAGCGCCACCCACGTCCCGTTTCTCCAGTGTGCAATGCCATTTAGAAACCATTTGAAGCATTGCTTCTCTGACTTGGGCAGTGCCTTTTCCCAAAGATTGTTCCCTACAGCGTCACCATGGAAATCGTTCTCCCAACCATCTGTCAAACCTTGCAAATCCTCTCTCTCTCTCTCTCTCTTGTTGTTAATTGCTTGCAGGTAGCCTTGAAACCTGCCCTCTAGCACTGATGTCATGGGCAGAACTCGGCTCTCAGTTTAAAGGGGTCTCCCCTTCTTCCGCTTGCACAGAAGGAAGGACTGGAGGAGGGCAGTATTGAATTCCACATTATCAATCAACACTGATTCCACTCTTTGGCAGGTTTTAAATAATTACATAAAATTCTTTAGATAAAGAATCTTATGTAAAATTGTAATATTTGCAAGAATATTATTTGTGTGAATGAATTTGTAAAATCAATTTTTTAAAAAATAAAAAAAGGCTGATTCCAACTCAGCTCTGTTTCTCATGGCTTGCTTCTGTAGAGCTACTCTTCCAGTAAACGTCAAGGAAATACACAACTATTTGACTTTCCAGAGACCTGTATCGGGAAGGTTTCATTGTTCGACATTTATTGTGCTTTTAATGTTTTGTTAGGAGCCGCCCAGAATGGCTGGGGCAACCCAAATCAGATGGGTGGCACATAAACAATAAAATTATTATTTTTTATTATTATAATTTCAGATTTCAACAAAGGCTAGAACCTCCAGATACTTTTTATATGCTCTGGCATTCCTTTATGACCTGTGTATCAAAACCATCATTTGAAGACAACCCTCGTCACAAGCGTGCTAGATTTGGAACAAGACTTGATGATCTGATAAAGTTGATAATCTTTATTTGAACTTTGTTATTTTAACTCGTGTACAACTACTCATTCTAAATGCCTATTTTATATTTTTGTTTTTCATCTTTTAATTTGCCTGTTGTTATAAATGTTCTCTATCATACACATTATAAAATGAAATAATAAAACACTTTACAAAAAATAAAATAAAATAAAGTAAAGATCACAAAGTCTAATTTCTTTCCAGCCTACAAAATACCAAGGCCTGTCTTCATTTTTGTTTTTTAAAAAGAGGAGGTGGTAAGTAAGTTATGTGAGTGGAGACTGAACAAGTGCCAGGAGTTTCATTCTAGCTTTAAAAACTACACAGACAATTTATAAGAATGGGCTTTGTGTTATTGATTTTATTTATTTATTGGACTTATTACCTGCCCTTGAACTCAGAAGTTCCCGAGGCAGCTGACAACATTTTCATTACAAAAGCAACAAATCAAACAAAACATAGAAACTTGTAAAACTTGTCATAAACCCGCAACCCAGCAGAAGGGACTATAAATCAGTTCTATAAATCAGTCACCTCCACAGACCCGAACGAAAAAGTACATCTTGACTTGATGGTGACCTACTGACATGGGGGACCACCGTACGTCCAGTGGGAAAGAGTTCCACATCCAGAGTGCTGCAACATAGACCGCCCTGAGCACAGAGGTCGATGAGGTCCGTTCAGCCCGGACACTGAGGTCCAGCTCCGAGGGCCTTCTGGCAGTTCCCTCACTGTGAGAAGTGAGGTTATAGGGAACCAGGCACAGGGTCTTCTCGGTGGTGGCGCCTGCCCTGTGGAACACCCTCCCATCAGATGTCAAGGGAATAAACAACTATCTGACTTTTAGAAGACACCTGAAGGCAGCCCTGCTTAGGGAAGTTTTTAATGTTTAACGCTGTATTTTAATATTCAGTTGGAGCCACCCAGAGTGGCTGGGGAAACCCAGCCAGGTGGGTGGGATATATATAAATTATTATGAATTATTATTACAGTGATCCGTGCGAGATGCACATTCGCAACCTGCAGCATTCGCAACCCGCGTCTGCGCATGCGCGGGTTGCGATTCAGTGCTTCTGCAAATGCACAAAGCGTGATTTAGCACTTCTGCGCATGCGTGACTGCTGAAACCAGGAAGTAACCTATTTCAGTACTTCCAGGTTTCGGCAGTCCGCAACCCGAAAAAACACAACCTGAAGCGGCTGTAACCTGAGGTATGACTGTATATTATTATGAATAAGCAGGCCACCTTTGCATATGTAAATTAAACAAGTAATTGTGAGTGCCATTAAAGGATGGGAAATTCCATTAACTATCCATACAGTAACAAAATAAATGAACAAGCTTGGCTACTTTGATCATTGTGCTGGGAGTATGTCCTAATCCGTAACATGAACAGAGTACAACATAACTGCAGCTGATCTGCAGATCATCATACTAAAACACCCAGAAATGCAGGATAATGTTGCTGCGGTGGGATCCTTAAAATCAGAGCTTCAAGAAAGAGGAAAAGGGGCTGGGGGAAAGAGGAAGGAACATTTTCAGGCCCCCTTGGATGTGAGGAAGAAACTCAAAGATATGTGGTCAATTTCTGCTTAATAATTAGCCACAAAAATGGCAGATCCCTGTGATTAAGGGCCTATCTCCACTCACCGGTCATAGTCCTTTAACTGCAGCCCCCAACCCTTCTCCTCCAACACACCTAATCTCCCTGCATTGTTCTCTTTCCCTGCTATGCAACCAATAACTCTGAATCTCTCTCTTTAAGCAGCCCCTGCCTACATCCTGCAAGGAAGAAGTTGTAAAAAAATGGACTACTGGTAAAAAACACACACACAAAAAAAACCACTATGCCAGTTGAAAAACTGCGGCATACCATCACCCTTGTTGTAAACAAAATATGCCCTTTTCCCCTTATGGGGAATCCAAGAGCCCATATAGAGTCCTTACATGGGTTCCCTATTGGTAGGAGAAAATAACAGAGGCCAACCAGAGAATATTGAGAAGCAAAGCAGCTAGTAAGCCTGATCTTTATTGATCTGTTGCAACAGGGTGCTCCCCCACATGCAGGAAAGGAGGAACCCAGAACAAAGGTGAGTCTGCCCTTATATAGACATTTTAAATTCCCTGCCCTGGAGCTCAAGACCACCCCTCCATACATCATAGAATCATAGAATCATAGAGTTGGAAGAGACCACAAGGGCCATCGAGTCCAACCCCCTGCCAAGCAGGAAACACCATCAGAGCACTCCTGACATATGGTTGTCAAGCCTCTGCTTAAAGACCTCCAAAGAAGGAGACTCCACCACACTCCTTGGCAGCAAATTCCACTGTCAAACAGCTCTTACTGTCAGGAAGTTCTTCCTAATGTTTAGGTGGAATCTTCTTTCTTGTAGTTTGGATCCATTGCTCCATGTCCGCTTCTCTGGAGCAGCAGAAAACAACCTTTCTCCCTCCTCTATATGACATCCTTTTATATATTTGAACATGGCTATCATATCACCCCTTAACCTCCCTTAACCTCCTCTTCTCCAGGCTAAACATGCTCAGCTCCCTTAGCCGTTCCTCATAAGGCATCGTTTTCCAGCCTTTGACCATTTTGGTTGCCCTCCTCTGGACACATTCCAGTTTGTCAGTGTCCTTCTTGATGCATACATCACAGAAGGGGTGTAACCCAAGACCACCCCCCACAAACATCATACCTACAACACAGAAAAGGTGGTCTACAACAGAAATTTGAATGTTGTTTTTCCTGTCTCCCTGGTTATCTGATAATGCCTTATCTGATTGCCTTTCCTGGTAGTCTGTCACCCTTTGAAATGGTGATTACTAAATTCCTATAACATTGCTAAATTCCTGTAACGACTGATGTAGAAACTGCGAAGGACTCTCTAAGGGCTCTTGTGTCCCCCATAAGGGAATAAGGGCAGATTTTAGTTTATTGCAGATTTTTGTTTATTACACTAGGAAGCTAGACTGTCGGCCCACCTAGCTCACTGTTGTCTGCACTGACTGCAAACAGCTTTCGAGGGTTTCAGACATGACACTACCTACTCCTAGGTCCACCTGGAGATGCCAGGAATTGATGTGGGAAATTCTGCATGCAAAACTGATGCTCTACCTCTGAGCCAGTTGCAGATCTTGTGCTCTGAGGAATTGGCTGCAGGAGACAGCCATGGGGTGGCAGAGAAGGGGAATTTCCCCCGTCTTGTTTGCTTCCGTCCCCACTGTTTGCATTGCATCAGAAGGCTGCCTGCCTCACTAAGTCCAAAGGTGAACATGGGTGAGAGAACAACAGCCAGCTTCTACAGCCAGTGCCTACCAAACCCAGTCCAATTGACAGGCAATCGCCGACTTTTGCTGATGCACACATGGGAAACCCCCATGCAAAATGGTTACCACCTTTAAAAAAAACCCCAGAAGCCTTCCTTTGGGAATTATAGGGATACTGCCAGGGAGATAAAGTCCATCATGGCCCCCAAGCCGTCTGCGGGACGATCCATCGACCTCCCGTAGGCACGCAGCGACATGAGTTTCTAGAAAATATCTTGTACACATTCCAGAGCTCATGCACACTCTATCAGCAATTAGCACAGCCAAAAGTTGCACTCAGGAGAGCATTATTTACAAGTTTATTCAGCGTTGATCAGAACACAGAAAAACATGACTGCCTGCTTTTAGTGTCTGCGACACAGAGAGAAAACGAAAGCAACAGAAAACATAAACATCCTGTGAACAGGAAATACGCAGACTCTGTGACTCATAGCCTGCTCCCTTTTAAGGTGGAACGGAAATATCCTAACAAGAACTACCCAAACTGTATAGAAATATATTCATGTATGCAACTACAGTGGCGAGAATGCTACTTGCCCCAAAAATGGAAAGAAGAAGTCCTAGTGAAAGAAGAATGGATACAAAAACTTATGGAATACGCAGAAATGGCAAAACTTACCGGAAAAATAAGAAATCAAGATAACAAACTTTTTATAAAAGAATGGAAATATTTATATTTACAAATAAACTGTAAACAGATAAGAACATTGGCAGGATTGGCGCAACAACCTGCAGTTTTATAAGAGTATATATTTAAAGGAGATGACTAAATGAGTAAATTAAGTTAATTTGGAATATGCAGAAAATATAAAAAATGAATTTAAGGAACCGCAGAAAGAGGGGGAAGGAAGTCGAGTTTTGAAATGGTAAAATGACTGTAAAATTATTGAAATGTATAAAAAAGAAAATAAATAATAATACTGTAGTAGTAGTAGTAGTAATAATAATAATAATAATAATAGAATGGTCGCTGCCTGTACACCATGCTCAGTGAGACATTTGTACAGAGAGTCTCATAAAGGAACAGAGGGCAGGTGGGCAGGAGGATAGGAACCTCAGGGACAAAGTATAAGTCCATAATGCCAGGCCACCAAGGGAAAAGGGTGTCCTCATGTGTGCAAGGAAACATCCAGGTTACAAACCCCTCACAACTGTTCCCAAGAACCATTTGGGGCCTTTATGAAAATCCAGTGTTTTACACTGGAAAAAATACCCAAGCAGTCTGAATTTAACTTCTGTTTCAAATAAGGAAGCTTCCTTCTAGGTCTCCTGAGCAAGGACAAAAAAAAAAATAGCTGTGTCGGCAGAAGTCTCGGCCATTTCCTAAACATGTGCATTCCCCTATACAGTGGCACCTTGGTTCTCAAACGCCTTGGTTCTCAAACGCCGAAAACCTGGAAGTAAGTGTTCCAGTTTTCGACCGTTTTTCGGAAGCCAAATGTCCGATGCGGCTGTCAGCTATTGTTTCCGGGGCACCTGCACCAATCAGAAGCTGCGACTTGGTTTTCAAACATTTTGGAAGTCAAACAGACTTCCAGAACGGATTAAGTTTGGAGCTTTTGTTTTTGATATTTAATTTGCGCTTTTGTGGCTTTTTCGGTTAATTTGTTTTTGTGACTGTGTGAAGCCCAGTTCAGCTACTGATGGATTGATTGTGTGACTGCGGCAATGGATAAAAGCCCCCCATCCAAACAATGACTATCATCGGTGCAGGTAAGAAAAAAAATTAATTTTAATTTTTATCAACTACAATACCACCTTATTTATTTTATAGTACATTGATTACTGCTTTCATTTTATGGATCGATGGTCTCATTAGATATTAAAATTCATGTTAAATTGCTGTTTTAGGGATTGTTGTTTTTAAAGTCTGGAACGGATTAATCTGTTTTGCATTACTTTCTATGGGAAAGTGCGCCTTGGTTTTGGAATGCTTTGGTTTTGGAACGGATTAAGTTTGAGAACCAAGGCACCACCATATCAGAATCTTCAGCAAGGGCAGCAATTCTGTCCGGAGACGTGGGCAAGAAACCATAGCTTAGCCTGACCTGACGTCATCTTGCCTCTTTTTCTCTCCCTAGGAGGCTGAAGTCCTTATACGAGCCACCATGCTGCTCTAAGGATCATCAATGCAAAAATAATGGAGGCACCTACACATCCTTCTGCCCCAGTGAGGGGTAGCAGAAGCACCGCAAGGATCCAAACGTGAGGAAACCTGGGAAAGGATGGTCCGTCTTTGTTTCCCTTATTCACTTGCGCAACAGCAGCAGATCAAGCAAATCATCCAGACTGACCTCAAGGTGATCTTGGGGTATTCGGAAAGCCTTCCCCTTCTCTCCCCGCCGCAGCCCAGAGGGCCTACCCTCAAGCTTACTAGGCGGTTCAAAGATGGCAGCCCTCTGGCTCCTTACCTGACTCCAATGGGCTGGCTCTTCAGTTCGTAGAAGTTGTCACTGCTCAGCGAGAGGATATTCTCCAGGTCAATGTCAGCCACAATCCCAGACTCTGGAAGGAGGGAGTTGAAGCTGTTGGAAGAAAAATACAAAGGACACGGGGTCAGAAAGGCGAGTTCTCTTTGAACTGCAAGGGTTGTTATCTCGGACAACAGGCTGAGACACAGACCCAACTCAGCCTCTCTCCATAGGAGCAGAAAACATGCATTTAACCAGCTTTGATGAGGAGGCAAGCTGTGCCCTTTTCTAGAGACATCTGACTTGTCCAGGGCCGTTCACAATCTTCACAGTGGACTCCTGAAACATGCTCTACACAGGACTGATGTGAAGAAACATTCCTAACATTCAACAGGTGCAGAAATGCCACCACTGGACCAGGTCAGTCAGAGCATATTATTCCAGTCTTGTCCAATCTGCACTGATTGACTATTCATTTCCAGCTTTAAGTTAGGACACTGTTTGTATCTGGAAAGCGGCATCTTAAAAGTACATTAGGGATGGCCTTCTCTCAATATGCTCATCCCACTCACACCCACCTTGTGTCAATGCCAGTGGTCTGCTCTGTGTGTTCCTCACTGACAGAAGTATAGCAGATCTCCAGAAAGAGCAGGGGCGCAGGGTCATGAAATCATAGAATTATATATAGTTGGAAGGGACCAGGGGGTCATCCAGTCCAGCCCCCAGCAATGCAGGGTCTTTTCAGTTATGGCTCCAGACGGAGAGTGTTTTTAGATGCCCTGGCAAACATGGCTTTTCAGAGACCTCTCTACTGCTGCTGCAATGGACCTATGTCTTTTTTTTAAAAGCCTGCCTGCTGCATTTATTATTTTGATGGACTGTGCCTTTTTATTTGCTGCACTCTCGCTGTTTGTTTTGAGAACTGTTGTTCAAATTGTTCATCTTCAGTCTTGGTAGCAAATGTAGATCTTTTGAGGAAGAAAGCCAGAATTCTTGTAGTAACAACTGTTCATGTAGCAGACGGGTGTTCTCCCAAACTGGTGCACCAAAGATGTTCTGGACTACCACTCCCCTCATCCCTGATCCTTAGGCCTTGCCTGCTGGGGCTGATGGGAGTTGTAGTCCAAAACAACTGGAATGGGGAAAAGGCTATTGTAAGTATACCAACACTTGCAGTTTCTCTCGACTTCCTTGATGCCATCTTTTACTGCATGTTGCCCACCAGTCGGCAGTGTAAGCTCAGGTTCCTCCCTTCCTTAAATCTCTGTAGAGTACAACTTAGTCCTGTTTCACACAGCAAGGCTGAACCAATGGGAATGTGGAATGCCCACACCTAAGTCTGCGTGGCATACGACAGCAGCCACAATGGGACAGCGGCACAGAGATCACCTCCCAAAACCGACTTTATTGCAATTTATCAAGATGAGGCTGGAGCAGACAGAGGAGCATTGATGCCAGGGCTGTGTGGGCATAACAGAAAGAGTGGAAGGGCTGTGTCAGTGTGTTCATACGGCCACAGCCCCACGGCTACCTGCCCTGCCCAGTGACGTTGGCGTTGGGAAGGTATCTCCACAAGCTTTGCCCCACCACCCAGGCCCCTCCCGGTGCTGTGGGGATTAGAATGCTGAACAAGGACTTGGGAGACCCAGGTTCAAATCATCACTCGGCTGTGAAGCTCAGCAAAACAGAAAGGCTTTGGTGTGCCAAATATCAGGAAGCGAAAGAGACTTTCACAACTACGGACTGCACAGAATGTCATAATAAAAAGAAAGTAGCAGTATTGGGGCTGAACTTGGGGGAAAGGAGTGAGAATCCCACCCACAGAACTAAGAAACGTGGGGTTGTTGTGTTTGCAAACCCAGATATAGGGTTAGACCTGGCCTCTCCCAGCCACCTTGTCCCATCTTCCTAACAGGACTGCTTTTCTTCGACTCTAGCAGGGTTAACAGCTCCCCTAAAAAAATACCAATGGTGTATTTTAAAATTAAAAATTATCCACAGTGTTTCCAGCAATAACCTCTGGCCTTTCAATAAAGGACATTTCAGGTGTTCAAAAGAACATCCATGTACAGTACCTGAATCCTCGCAACAACCCTACAGTGTTGGTCAGTAGTAAAGACCATAAAGAAGGCTGATCGCCAAAGAATTGATGCTTTTGAATTCTGGTGCTGGAGGAGACTCTTGAGAGTCCCATGGACTGCAAGAAGATCAAACCTCTCCATTCTGAAGGAAATCAGCCCTGAGTGCTCGCTGGAAGGACAGATCCTGAAGCTGAGGCTCCAATACTTTGGCCACCTCATGAGAAGAGGAGACTCCCTGGAAAAGACCCTGATGTTGGGAAAGATGGAGGGCACTAGGAGAAGGGGACGACAGAGGACGAGATGGCTGGATAGTGTTCTCGAAGCTACCAGCATGAGTTTGACGAAACTGCGGGGGGCAGTGGAAGACAGGAGTGCCTGGCGTGCTCTGGTCCATGGGGTCACAAAGAGTCGGACACGACTAAACGACTAAACAACAACAACCATCCCTACATTTGAGTGGTGACCTGGAGGTGGAGCTGTCTGCCTCAAGCCAGCATCTTGTTCTCACAAATGTCACCCAGACACCCCTGAGAAGGCTGTAAGCAGGACCTGAGCTCAACAACATTTGTGATTCCTGGCAGCTGGTATTCAGAGACAGACTGCCTTCAACAGTGAAGACGGAACATAGCCATTATTCATGGCTAATAGCCATTGATAGCATTCTCCTTCATAGAACCACAGAACTGTAGAGTTCTGTTCAGTAGAGTAACTTTACAGTTACAGAACTGTAAAGCTTATAGCTTAAAGCTTTGGAGTTTCTGGCAAAGGGCAAGATTTCAACCAGGGACTTCTTGGTTCTGCCTTGTCATCCCTCGGCCTCTAGGTTCCTACTCCTTGTGGGATGAATGTACACGGCTGAACACCGCAGTAACCAAGATGTGTGGCAGACGGTTACACCAATAGTGGTAACAACAGGAATCCTATGTCACCTTTTAAGACTGACAAATTCACAGGTAGCACAAAATGTAGCAGCCCGTTGCTTGACTGGGGCCAGCAGTATGGAGTATAATATATCATGCCAGTTTTGAAACAGTTACTCTGGGCTACCGGTCAGTTTCTCGGTTCAATCAGAAGTGCTGGTTCCCACCTACAAAAGCCCTAAAGCGTTTGGCACAAGGGTACCTAAATGACCACCTGTTCCCACATGATGGTACATATTGAAATTGCCTCAGAGGCCATAAGCCTACCAACCAAATCTCAACCTTTTCATATTTACAGTGGTACCTCTGGTTAAGAACTTAATTCGTTCTGGAGGTCCATTCTTAACTTGAAACCGTTCTTAACCTGAGGTACCACTTTAGCTAATGGGGCCTCCTGCTGCGCCACCGCCGCACAATTTCTGTTCTCACCCTGAGGTCAAGTTCTTAACCTGAGGTACTACTTCTGGGTTAGCGGAGTCTGTAACCGAAAGTGTTTGTAACCCAAGGTGTTTGTAACCCAAGGTACCACTGTACTTCAGAAGAGTAATCTAGAGGAGTTTGGTAACTCCATTCAATGTACACCAAGCTTGGCACAGATATGGAGTTGGCTTGCTTTCTAGGTTCCCCCTCAGTGTATACATTCCTATTCCAACACTACCATTGTTGTCCAACATGCATCTGATAGCACAGGGACTGTGAGCAGATCCATAAAGCACATCCAACACTGTCGTTCATTAAGGGTACTGGGAACTGTAGCTTGTGTGGAAAACTACAGTTCCCAGGACTCTGTGGGATAAGCCAAGTGCTTTGAAGGTGCGTTGGATGGGCTTTCAATGTATGGTGTTGATCTGCCTTGCAGCGCCTTGGTTTGCAAAGTGCCTAATTCAATCCCCACTGCCTGATACCTTGAAGATTTGGTGTCAGCATAGACGATATGGATGGATCCATGGATCCATGTTCTAACGCTATATAAGGCAGGTTCTGATGTTCTACTAAGGATGCGGGCCCACATCGCAATGCATGTATCAATCTTTTTAACATTTATTAGCTGGCCTTCAGCCTTGGCTCTCAGAGCTGCTCACAATGTAGACTGCCAAATACAATAAAACAACAAACTGCAGCAGTAGATTAAAAGTCTGGATTGTTTGGTCTATAATGTCACTCCTGAAAGCACTATATAAACACTGAAGTATTCTTATTGGTCATGTACTACTTGTAAAATTGCTAGTCACAGACCACATACAAGGAATGAACTGCCTCAACTACACAAATAATTTCAACACATGCAACCTGCATCAACACAGAGAACCACAAGCCATGCAGCGGTTCCTATGAACACACCCTGTCAACCTTCTGGACCAATAGGCAAATGACCCACAGCATTATCTCCTTCCCACGTTTCATCTTACCCACTTGTGACAAGAACACTTTTTCTTTTCACACCTCCCATCAACATATATGCACCTCTAGCACAATGTCAAAAGTGTCTGCACTCCTGGAATAAAACGATCTGTACCTGGTCTGTGTAAGTAACCTCAAAAGTTCATCCCACTTGGATTGGCGGAGGAGAGAGAACTGGTACAGTATAGCATAAAATCTGGGGAAGAGGAACCTTCAGGTGCTGTTGTACCAGTGTTAGAAACTCAGATATATAAACTAATCACCAAATGGCATTTTAAACCTAGGTTACAGTCGCCATAACAGAATATCTAGGTGCTTTTGAGGGGGGGGTGAGATTTATTATTATTATTATTCTTTTAATTTCTATTTTGTTGTATATTTAAGAAAAAATATCAAAGTGGTTTATAACACGTTAAAACATCAAATAAAACAAGACAGAATAAAACAAATTCAAGCTTCAAGGAAAACATTTCAGAACCTTCTCTAAGGGATGTTTGGCTTTCCCCATATTTATTTACCTACTTTATTTTATAGCACTGTCCCAACGCAGAAGTACTCTAGGAAGCCAGGGTGGCCCCCAGATGTTGTTGGACTACAACTCCCATCATCCCTGAGCTCTGGCCTTGCTAGCTAGGGGTGATGGGAGTTGTAGCCCAACAACATCTGGGAACCCACAGGTTGAGAAAGGCTGGGTTAGTGTGTTGGACTAGGACCTGGGAGATCAGGGTTCAAATCCCCACTCAGACATGAAGCTCACTAGGTGACCGTGGGCCAGTCAGTCTCTCAACCTACCTCACAGTGTTGTTTTGGGGATTAACTGAGGAGGGGAGTGAACCATGTACTCCATGGAGAAAAAAGGGGGTATAAATGCAATAAATAAGCTCTTCTGCTTAAGAAAATTGGAGGGGGAAGCACCATTGGATTCGCACCAGTCACAAAACATGCCTGGGGGATTTCAAAAACAGGGCTGTTCTCTCATTAGACCCAGCCAAGATGGCCAATGGTAGGAGACAGTGGGTGATATAGTCCAACACCATCTCAAGGGCCACAGACTGGCCCTCCCAAGTGTAGTGGTTGAGAAGCACATGAACTGGGAGATGGGCTTCTCCAGTTCAAGATCTGAGCTTAGCCATGAAAGCACCAGGCCTTCGGCTAATCAGTACTTTCAACCGCAGGTCCCTGTCTGCAGTACTGAAGGAATAACACTGTCTCATCCCATAGGATTGTTGCTTGCAGCAATAAATATTTTTCAATATATACAGCACCATCAGTGCACTGAGTATGTGAAGCACTCTCCGCACCTGAATTCGCTGTACAGTATAAATAAATATCAGCTATTATTAGAGCTGAAATGCTTAATTAGCTAATCAGCTTGATCAATCAGTTAGAAGTGCTTTGATTAAAAGCATGCCCCCTAAAGAGGAGCAGGGTTTTTTAATTTTTTAAAAAAAGGAATTGATTTTCTATTTAAAATTCTAGACTTAGCGGCATAATCGTATAAATGTTTACATGGAAGAATGTCCCACTGTGGCTGGGAGATTTACTCCCCAGGAAGCGCCTATAGGATTGTACCCCTGAAGCATTGATACCACATTCCAAACCAACACAGAAGCCATTACTCCAGACAACACATTATTTCTGTCTCCCTAGTCTTATCTTATCCCAGTAGTGATGTATGGAAGTGAAAGCTGGACCATAAAGAAGGCTGACCGCCAAAGAATTGATGCTTTTGAATTATGATGCTGGAGGAGACTCTTGAGAGTCCCATGGACTGCAAGAAGATCAAACCTATCCATTCTTAAGGAAATCAGCCCTGAGTGCTCACTGGAAGGACAGATCCTGAAGCTGAGGCTCCAATACTTTGGCCACCTCATGAGAAGAGAAGACTCCCTGGAAAAGACCCTGATGTTGGAAGAGAACGAGATGGATGGATAGTGTTCTCGAAGCTACCAATATGAGTCTGAACAAACTGCGGGAGGCAGTGGAAGACAGGAGTGCCTGGCGTGCTCTGGTCCATGGGGTCACGAAGAGTCGGACACGACTAAACAACTAAACAACAACAAGTCTTATCTATCCACAGTCGCTACCATGCCCTTCCAAAACAACCTTTCCACAATTCCCCTTGTGCAGCATTCACACATGACATAGCTCAAGTTGCTGCTCTTCTATCTATGACGTACATTCTAGATCTGTGGGGCAAGTGTGAAAGCATTTGAACAGCAACATAAAGGAAATCCTCAGGGTTATCCGCACCGCAAATGTTGGGCTGTAATCAATTTATGAGCACACTAGACAATCCAACAGCAACAAAACTCTTAACCTGATTTTAAAACCTGCAACCTGGGATTACCCCCTCCATTTCAATTAGAACTTTACTTTTGATTAAGTGTGTGGATGGATCAGTCATGCAACTTTTGGGCAAAGATATTCACGATTGGCTTTAGCCAGTATCAGCAATTAGGGATGCAAGCTGTCAGTAGAAGATTCATCAACTACAGCTGTTGCAGTGTTTATTTTTACAGCAATAAACACTGCTGTTACCAAAGAATGGGGGGGGGGGTAGAATAGAAGGCAGCTTGTGCTCACAATGAATGGTGGTGGTTGTTTTTTTTCAGCTAAAGTTGTAACAAGAGCAGCCTTCCTGAACCTGATGCTCTACAGATGTTGGACTCCAACTCCCATCAGCCCCAGTCAGCACAGCCAATAGTCAAGGAATATGGGAGTTGTAAGCCTACAACATCTGGTGATCACTAGGCTGAGAAAGGCTATTGTATGTCCACTTCAGGCTTCCTCCAATATATATCCCCACCCCTGCCACAAAAAACACCATCTATGATGAGGTTAGGTAATATGTACATCAGGCATAGGCAAACTCCAGCCCTCCAGATGTTTGGGACTACAATTCCCATCAACCCTGACCACTGGTCCTGTTAGCTAGGGATGATGGGAATTGTAGTCCCAAACCTCTGGAGGGCCGGAGTTTGCCTATGCCTGGTGTACATCAAACTTCCCAACCAAACAACTTGTTTAAAAGCCAGTAATTTCATCTAAATCGGTGTTTCCCAAACTTGGGTCTCCAGCTGTTTTTGGATGACAACTCCCATCATCCCTAGCTAGCAAGGTCAGGGATGATGGGAATTGTAGTCCAAAAACCGCTGGCGACCTAAGTTTGCAAAACACTGATCAACATTATTTCTGTGCGCTCCTGCAAAGGTCAGTATTATTAGCGCCATATGGCAGACGGGAGAGAAGCACACCAATCCTATAAATATCTACTCGGAGGTAAGTCCCAGTGAGTTCAATGGCACTTTCAGATTGTGTTAGGTGCTGCAAAGCTGCAATCCTACACAGTGGTACCTTGGTTCTTGAACGGCTTAGTTATCTAACAGATCGGCTCCTGAACGCTGCAAACCTGGAAGTAAGTGTTCCGGTTTGCAAATGTTTTTCTGAAGCTGAACATCCGGTGCTGCTTTCGCTTGAGTTCAGGAAGCTCCTGCAGCCAATTGGAAGCTTTGCCTTGGTTTTCGAACGGTTTTGGGAGTCGAACGGACTCCTGGAACGGATTAATAATAATAATAATTTATTATTTATACTCCACCCATCTGGCTGGGCTTCCCCAGCCACTCTGGGCGGCTTCCAACAAATTATTAAAATGCATCAATGCATCAAGCTTCCCTAAACAGGGCTGCCTTCAGATGTCTTCTAAATGTCTGGTAGTAGTTGTTCTCTTTGAGATCTTGGAGGAGGGCGTTCTACAGGGCAGGTGCCACTACCGAGAAGGCCCTCTGCCTGCTTCCCTGTAACTTGATTAGTTTGAGATTAAGTTTGAGAGCTAACGTGTAAATAAGCCCCACTGACCATAGCGGGCATTACTTCTCAGTAAAAGCCATAGGATTTCACCAGAAGGCCACTTAGTGAAGGGACTGAGAACCGGTGGCCCTGCAAACGTTTTTGGCCATGGCTGATGGGACTCCTGCTACCTCCGCGGGTCACGAGGTTCCTCATCTCTGCACTGAATGACTTCTCAAGAGCAAAGATGAGATTTGAAGGGTGGATGTCCCAGCAGCTCCTCTTCCCAGAAACTGCGCCACCCAGCTCTGTGCAGAGGAGTTACGAAACCTCCCCACCAACCTCCCTCAAGTGGACTAGTAACTTCCGACAAAAAAGCCAACTCTCTCATTCTCTTGACACGAACCGGGAGAGGGACGCAGAGTGGCAAAAACTTCCTGCAATCCTTGGCTGGGCGCCAAGCTCGCTGAACGAGATGGGATTCATTTCGAACTTGGGATTGTTGGGGGCGCACATTTTTTAAAAATAATATCTGAATCTCAAACGCCACGTTACGTATTTTGCTTTGCTTTGCTTCGACCTGTCGTTATTTGTGTCCATTGATGCGCCAGAGGGCGGTGTTATAAGAAGCTGCGAAAGGAGATCGTTTTGCTGGCTGGTTTTGCGTAAAAGCGCTTTTCTGGAAAATAAACCCCAGCCCACAACTCCACCTCTTCTCTTCCCCCCCCCCCCAAAAAAAACACCCCCCAACCAGGTCAGACGATGTTGGGAAGGAGAGGGGCGTTGCTGGGAGTTTCCTAAGCCCGTGAGAACTAGGATCGGGCCCGGATCTCGCTCACCTCCTCCTCCTCCTCCTCCTCCTCCCTTGCCGGCGTCTTTTCCCCAGCTGGCCGCGGGCTGCTCGAGCTGCTCCTCCACCAGCTCCCCGCGGGCGCCGCGATCCTTCGCTTCCCTGCCCCACTTTAGGCCTCTGCCCAGGGCTGGCGGCGGCGGCGGCTGCATTTCCTGGTGCGGGCCATTTTGGAGAAGCATTTTAACCCGGCATCCCTGGCTGCGCGGGGAGGAGGGGAGCGCAAAAGCAGTGCCCGCCCTGGGTGGGTGGGTGTGTGTGTGTCGCACGCACACGCGCGGCGCCTTCTCCACCAGGAGCCCCAGCTGCTTTCCCGCGAAGGGAGCCACTTTCCCACCCGCGATCTCCCTTTATCTCTCCTCCTCCTCCCCCAATCCACACGAGCAAACGCAATCCGTGTTGCGCATCCGCAAACGCGCCCTTGTTTGGAAGCTATTAATAGCGAGCCCCGGAGCGCAAGCGGCTCGGCAGTGCGCCCCGCTGGCCGCCAGGGGGCGGCAGGGAGGCTTCATTCCAATCCCCCAAGGGGCCCCCGCCCTTTCCTCCAGCGGTGGGGGGGGGGACTGCTTAAAGGGACCGCGCCTGGATTCTTCAATATGGTTACTATAGGTCTTCTTCGTTTGCTGCGTTGTCGCCGCACCCTGAGCAGAGAAACGAGTTGCAGGCATGGGAAGGAAGGTATCGGAGGCAAGATTTTAAACAGATTAGTCTCTGTTATGTCTTGTAAATTTATCATAATATTTTACTTTTGTATTTTGAACACGGTTTCTCAAAGCTCAAACTGATAAAAAAACAAACGCATTCGCTCAACGATGTTGCAAAAGAGACTAGTTGGCTTGGCAACTATATCAGCTCAACATTTCCAGGCACCAGCGCTGGACCAGAAGGAATCAGCGACAAAACTTGCAAAGCAGAAGGCACAAAAAGTGAGGTTTTGATGCACCTGAAATTGAAACTTTTAAGACACTTAATTTTTAACATCACAATTCGCAGGATTCTTCAAAATGATTTGTGTGCTGAAACATTTTCTTTTGCATTTGAGAAAGATCATCACCCAGTGCATCATGTGGCTGAAATAAGACAAGGGGGGCCTGCAACAAAATGTTGCAGTGTGTCTCCCTCTCCTTAAGGTGGACTCCAGCCAGCCTGGAAGGAACAGAAGACCCATGGGCAGGAGGGAAGCAGATACCTTTGCTTGACCACCCCACAAGCCGCCTCCTGCTGTGCTACATAGCTACCCTCAGTGGAAGAGAACTGGCTCTGCATCCAAAAGACCCCAGGTTCTTTTGCCAGCATCTCCAGGTATGGCTGAAAAAGACCCCTGTCTGAAACCCTCAAGACTGCTGCCAGACAGTGTTGACAATACTGGGACAGATAGATCAATGATCCGACTCAGCCTAAGGAAGCTTCCTATAGTTCCAACCTCAGCATTTTATAGTTAGTGGTACCTCGGGTTAAGTACTTAATTCGTTCTGGAGGTCCGTTCTTAACCTGAAACTGTTCTTAACCTGAAGCACCACTTTAGCTAATGGGGCCTCCTGCTGCTGCCGCGCCGCCGAAGCACAATTTCTGTTCTCATCCTGAAGCAAAGTTCTTAACCTGAAGCACTATTTCTGGGTTAGCAGAATCTGTAACCTGAAGCGTATGTAACCTGAGGTACCACTGTATATAGGCGATGTGTTTTGGGGAGTGGGAAAGAATTCCCTCTCCCCCACCCAATCCTTCCTCCTATAATATCACTCTATAATACAGGCAAGGAGTTTAAATTTCACATCACCCCACAACCCTGATTCCTGCTTCTGAAGCTTACTCTAAGGGATGTGAGTTAACTCCCCTTTTTGTCTCCCGTCCCAAGACCTAATCTTTCCCTCATCTCCACAACCGGTACCTCAACATTTCATCCTGGAAACTCACAAGTCCTTGTCAGGCCATTTTGAGGGGTGTTACAGTTTAAATTTACAATTTTATATACTTTTGTATACCTAGGGCAGGTGTAGGGAACCTTTAAGCCACTAGATATTGCTGAACTACAACTCCCAACATCCCTGGTCATCAGCCATACTGGTTGGGGCTGATGAGAGCTGTAGTTCAGCAACATCTGAAGGGGCAAAAGTTCCCCACATCTCACCTAGGGAGTACTTAGAAGCTACTAGCTTCTTTTGTGTTGCTCTGTTTCACTTCCAGTTGATAGTGAACTTAGTGGCTGAGTGCCTATTAGAAGGCATGACAAGACATTAAAATAATATAGTATTATCCCTGTTTTGCAGATGGGACAAACTGGATCTGAGAGAATGACTCACTAAGCCCAATCCAGAGCTGTATCTATGGGGGGGGAGCTTTCTTTGTCTAGAGGGGCACTGTTGAGGCTCCCAGCCTATGTGTGTGCATACACAGATGCCAATCTGGGTCTGTGACCCGGGTGAAATAAAGCCTAGTTTCACCCCTCCCCAACCCTAACCATGTCTAGGTAAAGGTAAAGGTAAAGGTAAAGGGACTCCTGACCATTAGGTCCAGTCGTGACTGACTCGGGTTGTGGCGCTCATCTCGCTTTACTGGCCAAGGGAGCCGGTGTACAGCTTCTGGGTCATGTGGCCAGCATGACTAAGCCGCTTCTGGCGAACCAGAGCAGCACACGGAAACGCCGTTTACCTTCCCTCCAGAACGGTACCTATTTATCTACTTGCACTTTGACATGCTTTCGAACTGCTAGGTTGGCAGGAGCAGGGACCGAGCAACGGGAGCTCACCCCGTCGCGGGGATTCGAACCGCTGACCTTCTGATCGGCAAGTCCTAGGCTCTGTGGTTTAACCCACAGCACCACCTGCATCCTTGTCTACTCAGAAGCAAATCCTATTGAATCAAATGGAGCTTTATTCCAAATGAATGGGGTTAGTTAGGATTGCAACCAAAGTCTATGAGAAAGGTAAGACCTGAACCTGAGTCTCGCAAATCCACATCCAACTGCCCATACCTTACAAGCCACAAATGTATCTACTCTTAAGTCCACAGTTTCCCCAATCACCTCCCCAGACATATTTCAGACATAATGTGGGTAAACTACTGGGGTTTATCCAAAGGTGGCCCCGGAATTTGTCTTCCCACCTGGCCAATGGTCTGGGATGTAGCCAATGGAAGCTGTAATCAAGCAATACAAGTGTCTTTTAACCCTGATGGCTATATTCTAGCCATAGCTGTCAACTTTCAGATTTGAAAATAAGGGACCAGCAGCCTCAAAAATAAGTGATCAGCAGCCTCACCTGTCCCGGGGACAGTCTATGGGATATCTAACAATCCGGGATAGCAGCGGGAAACCGCGCTGGAATAATGGAATTTCCCGCAAAAAAAGGGAAGATTGACAGCTATGATTCTAGCTCTACTGGAGGGAGGGAAAATGCAGTTGCACTCAAATCCTGTTTCTGAGCTTCTTCCCCAGGCTGGGCATTGTGAGTGCTGCTGGCCTAGATTGGACCTTCGCCTGATCCAGCAGGGCTTTGGCATTCTTATGTTCTTGAGGACCAGAGGTTCCCCATCCGTGCCCTGATCAACAGAGACCACTATCCCGTTCCCCACATCATTGTCAGACTTGCGTCTCAAAGGTCCATCATCTACATTTGTTGTTTTTCCAAAGCCCAGTGAGCCAAGAGTGCACATCTCAGCAAAAGTCCAGCTCTTGAGTCTGAGGCAGGTGGCCTGGGGGTTGGGGGCAGGGAGAACGGAGCAGAAATGGGAATTCGAACGACAGTCAACAAGAGAGCCCATGGCTGGCACTGATCGGTTCGCAGGTAAAAGTTGAAATCAGCAGAAAGTTTTTGCAGAAAAGGGAAGAATTGGAAGCTAACTGCACCCAGAGAGGCACTGCTGTCAGCAAAACAGGAGGAAAATGAGTCACTGACTGAGCTACTTCTCTCTCCTCTCACCCCCCAGACACACACCATGAACACACAGATAATTTTGTGGTTTTCTGCAAATTCAAACCACGGGGCTGGGAAAACACCAGGAGCTGGCAGGACACAGAGCTTTTGTGTCCCTCTTCCAAACCCAAGAGGCCTGGATTTTGCAGGGGAATTCCTATTCCCTTAAGGGGTTTGGTCTAGGTCTTCTGTTTTCATTTTAATTGGGGTTATATAGTTAACCCTAGGTCATGGAAGTCCAGCCTCAACTGGGTGAGAGGTGGTAAGAGACATGCTTTTGGCACATGCTCAGAGACACCTCCTTTCCACTCTTCTTCCTAAGGCCCAGGCTTCTGACATTAGAACCAGCTCTCTGTGCTTAACCCAGGTGAGCCCACACTCAGATGAAAAGCAGTTTTACATGCCGTGCGCCGCAAGGAGGGAAATAAAATAAAGGTAGCACAGTTCCTAAACCCAGCTGGTCCACAGCTAAAGTGTCTTAAACTGAAAGCAGGAAAGTATTATCGACTGCATATAGGTCTCCAAGCAGGGTTCGAAACTCCCATTTTTCTAGGCGCATTTTGTGACAGGGAATTTCATTAGCGCAAGCAGTTTCTGAGCTCTGGCCACAGTACTGCGCCTAAGATTTCAGATTAAAACTGCATAGTGGAAGGAAAGGAGTACAGAGGTACCTCGGGTTAAGTACTTAATTCGTTCCAGAGGTCCTTACTTAACCTGAAACTGTTCTTAACCTGAAGCACCACTTTAGCTAATGGGGCCTCCAGCTGCCGCCGCGCCGCTGGAGCCCGATTTCTGTTCTCATCCTGAAGCAAAGTTCTTAACCCGAGGTACTATTTCTGGGTTAGCGGAGTCTGTAACCTGAAGCGTCTGTAACCCGAGGTACCACTGTACCTTTTTCTGCCTCCCCACTTCCAGCTACTCTCTGAAGACTGGAAACGAGACCCTCTTAAGAATATATAGGGGTGGGCAGGCAGGGGAAGGACTAGATCATATGAAAAATGAACATAATATTTTAGCTGCAGTTCATTCATTTTCAGCTTGGTATTCTCGTTATAAAAAAGTGCACCTAGACATTCTGTTGTTGCGCCCACAACCTAGAAAGTTTAAGGTGCCATTTAGCTCCTAGCTTTCATATCTCAGTTTCTAACAGTGCCTCCAAGATATTTGCAAAAGCCCTAACCAATAAACAACACTTCCCCTTCCATAATGGGGGGGGGGAGAGAGAGAGAGAGAAGAAAAAAATCACGGACCCCGATTCCCAATAACGCCAGTGCTCCAGGAGTCACTTCTGACCCTGTGCACAAGAGCAGAGTTCTCTTTTTTTCACGCCGCTCCATTCACACGTCGGGGGCCAATTGGACCGCGACAGCGAACACGCGTCGGGCCTCTCCCCACGAGTCGTCCCGTCCGCGCGCCTTGGAACGCTAGCCTAGCGGGAAACGCAGCCGGCCTTTCTTGCACGGGGATTCACAAGTGCCGTTGCACGGATAAGTGATCCGGGAGGCGACTCGGACTCCCCAGGGGGCGCCTGCCGAAGATGCCCCGCCCGATCCTCTTCCCGATCCTAAGCGCGCGCGGGGGGCGCCTTCTCACCTGAGCAGCTGGAGCGCGTCCGTGGATCGCGGGTCTTCCACGAGGACGTAGACCGTGGCGGGGGGCGGCTCCGGGTTGGGGGGCCTCTCGCTCGTGTCATGGGACATCATTCCCCCGCCCCCCCCCGACTGGAGCCCCCCCCCGGTAGATAATCTGGGGCTCCCGGCGATTAATGCGGGGAGAGGCGCTCCGGATCCAAGTTGGGGAGAATGGCGCAGAAGCGATTCAGGCCAAAGAGCTGCGGGTGGGCGGCGGGTTCAAGAGACCCGTCTCTTCCCAGCGCGGGAGAAAAACATCCAGCCGGAGTGTTGCTTCATTTTCCGGCTGGAGAGGGAGCAAGCGGGGGGAGATCTCCACGGGAAATGACATCAGACTGGGATCCTCCCCCGGGTGGAGCTGGGATCGGAGGCGATCTCTTCGCCGAGGCGAAGCGACGGGGTCTTAAAATTGGTCGGCGCTCAGCTGGGACGCGGACTGGGATCGCTAGCAAGCGTGCCTCTGAGCATGTGCAGAATGATCGCCGACGCGGATGACTGAGATTGCAGGTCCGAGTCTGGCTTGTCAACTTGCGCCCTTGAACCTCACATTTTCAGACGGATGGGCCACCTGCATGATGTTGCCAGCTGGGGGGGAAGGTTAGGTCTCCCTAAGGCAATCAGTAGCTGGGATCTGTGAGAGAAGCATCGAGGTAAATAGATTCCAGGGTCCGGATCTGATCTGGTGCTCTCCCAAAGGAACTTGCAATACTCGTCCCATCCTGTATTAATTCGACTATCAGCTAAGACCCTGTTCCAACCTTGCTTGTGTTACTCACGGTTATCATATTTTATTCATTCCTTCGCAAGAGCACCTAAATTATTGAAGAGATTTGTTATACAGACAAATCTGACAATACTGCCTTGCCATCAGAGAATCGAGCCATCGATTCCCGCATTGCAGGGGGTTGGACTAGATGACCTTTGGCTCCCTTCCAACTATGATTCTAGAAATCAATGGGTTTCATTACCACAGGTAACAGTTGCTGTCTCACATTCTCTTCTGTCTTGTCCCTTTGCCAGCAAACAATATAAAGCTGCCATACATACAAGGAAAGAATCTACGGAATCTCATAAATACCAGCAAAATAGATATTATTTGTTGTCATTATCTTCCAAATCTTCCTTATACTGCAGTCCGAGACACGTTACTTGACATTTCCCACAATAATCACATGTGAGTTTAGTGGTGAATCATACCCCATTCCCTCCCACCTCCTGGTTTCCAAATAAGTTGCTAGTACCTTAACTACCAACAACACAAACGTAACAGGCTATATGTAACTCTATAAATTCGTTTTCAAATGCAATTCAACATATATCAAGATATATGGTTCTATAGACCAACTTATCATATAAACAAAACATATTATGAGAAATTAAAGTCCAGCAGATTGATCAGGAAATACAATCTATTCAGATCTTATATTAGCAATATACACAGTGTGGAATTCTAATATCTTGTAGTGTTCCACGTGAAGATGATTTCAAGAATTCTAGCGTTCCTTGTATGCAGGTTTCTGACGAAGAACTTGGAAGAATGGCACATGCAGAAAATAAGACAAGGATTCCAGGATAATTCCTTATTTCGCCCAACCGGGCTTTGTCAGCCGTGCCTACTCGTATTCTTGTATATCAGAGACATGGAACATGGAACATAATGGATTCAGGCACAACCTTGCTACCATCTTATAATTCCACCAGTATGATTGCACTAAATGATTGTTTTATCTCTTTTAGGAATATCGCCATGAGCTACTGGATGTCACATTTTCCACCATCAGGAATTGTGGGGCATATTATAGACTTACTCCGTTTCATTCGTAAGATTTCTTAGCAGCCTTTCACCATATGTCAGTGGTGTCCAAACATTTTTCAAAGAGGGCCAGATTTGATGTAGTGAAGGGCCGTGGGGGCCGACAAAAGGGCCAACCAAAATTGTTGACCTTTTTCTTTTTTTAGGATTGAAGTTGTTGAAGTTTTAATACTTCAATCAAAATAAAAAGTATTATGATTGAATTTATTAATTGGATGTTTTTTATTGGAAAATCAATAAAAATGATTTTTTTTAAAAAAAAGAAGTTGTTGAGGTTTTTTTAGGATTTTACCCCAGAAAACAAACTGCCACAGGGGCTGGATTAAACCGGATTAGGCCCCTAAAACGGACTTTGGACATGCCTGCCATATGGTCTCTGGGCAGGGCAGTTTACAACAGTAGAATATAGAATTATAAAAGCAGATAAAATGGTTGCAATTGTAAAAACGTGTAAAGCCACTCCAAGTGGAGCTATGCCTTCACTATGTTAGATGGACCTCGGCAGGGAGGGAGTCCATAGTTCAGTGGCTGCCGCAAAGGAAGCCCTTTCCTGAGCCGCCGTCGCCCGCAGTTCTGAGGGTGGCAGCAGGGCTGGTCCAAGACATTTGGGCAATTGAGGTGAACCACCAAATGCTTCCCTGCCAGAGAATGTCAGCATCGTCCTTGAGCCAGTATCACCAACTGGACTCATCCACTTCAGCCCCGACTGGGCTAGGCGAGCTGGGTAGCACTTCCAGAGACCACCTTCTGCACAGGAACAGGTCAAAGTGCTGTGGACTCACAGCTTAGAGTTGTGAGCACCGGATTCACTTCCACAAGAAGACAGTCGTCGCACAGCAGAGTATAGCAGAGTATAAACGACTCGGAGAGCAGCTCTGTAGAATATCTTCTTTATTCTATCTACAACTATAATACAGTGGTGCCTCGCAAGACGAAATTAATCCGTTCTGCGAGTATCTTCGTCTAGCGGTTTTTTCGTCTTGCGAAGCAACCCTATTAGCGGCTTAGCGGATTAGCGCTATTAGCGGTTTAGCGGCTATTAAAGGCTTAGCGGCTTAGCGGATTAGCTGCTAAAAGGCTATTAAAGGCTTAGCGGCTTAGAAAAAGGGGGGGAGCGGGAAAAAAATCTCAAGACTCGCAAGACATTTTCATCTTGCGAAGCAAGCCCATAGGGAAATTCGTCCTGCGAAGCGCATTGCAAACGGAAAACCCTTTCGTCTAGCGGGTTTTCCGTCTTGCGAGGCATTCGTCTTGCGGGGCACCACTGTACACAACTATATACAGAGCTAAATGAGGTCTAAACGAAAAATGCTGAACTGCACTGAGTGTCTGCAGCTGCTCTTAGCAGCAACCTTATCTATACACACGATCTCTCTCTAACACTCAGTCTCTCTCTTTGATGTGAGGCTGGAGCAGAAATCACCCCCTCCTCTCTGGAGAATCAGCAAAGAACATCAGCAGATTCTTGGATGTGGGAGGGGTGAAATCTCCTCAGAGAAGATGGGGAAGAAGGCTTCACCTGACCTCGAGGGAGTCTCACCTACCAAGATCTTGCACACAAGAAGCTTGGTCAGTAGCGATGGAGACATTCCTTGGATATTTGGGGCCTATGTTGTAAGGCAGAGCTCTCCAAACTGTGTGTCACGACACGTTAGTGTGTCGACTGGAGTCTGTAGGTGTGTTGTGCGAACGCTCCCAGGATTGGAAAGGGGTTGGTGGTAGGGGTGTACAAAAATAAAATGAAAAAGGAATATTATTTATGAGGAATTAAAAAAAAAAGTTTAAAAAAACGTTTGCCCCCCCAAAACCCAGAAGCCTTTCTTCTAGGCATTTTGACAACAGATATCCAAAGTGATAAAAGAAGGGGATTCCTATATGCAACAACAGCAGTGAGAATGTTGTTTGCTAAGAATTGGAAGCGGGAGACAATTCCAACGAGAGAAGAATGGCAGATAAAACTTTCTGAATATTTGGAACTTGCAAAAATGACACAAATAATCAGGAATCAAACAAGCCAAAATTTTATAAAAGAGTGGGGATGCTATGGAGGATACTTAAAAAAACATTGCTCCCAAATAAAATCTTTAGTGTGCTTTGATTAATTTTCACAAATTGCATGACTGATGGATAATATAGTGTATATGATGCTGATAATTGATAAGGTGAAAAAGGACGCAGTTAAAAAAGGAAGAAAGGACCCACAGTGAGGCAGATGGAAGTCACACTGGAAAAGTAGAAGATTATTTATTTACGATTTAAAGTTATGGAGGTGTTGATTTTTTAAATTAATTTTGGGTGTTTTTTCATGATTTTTTCTTTTTTGTACTCTATGATATTTTTGATGATGAATGGAATAGATGTAATATCGAATTAAACCAATAAAGAGCATTGACGGGGGGGGGATGGAAAGGGGTTAGTTTAACCTCCGGTTTGCTAGTAACACTGAATTACAGTGGTACCTCGGGTTAAGTACTTAATTCGTTCTGGAGGTCCGTTCTTAACCTGAAACTGTTCTTAACCTGAAGCACCACTTTAACTGATGGGGCCTCCCACTGCTGCCGCACGATTTCTGTTCTCATCCTGAAGCAAAGTTCTTAACCCGAGGTAATATTTCTGGGTTAGCGGAGTCTGTAACCTGAAGCGTATGTAACCTGAAGTACCACTGTATTGTGTCGCGAAATAATGCATGTCTACAAAGTGTGTCACCAGCAAGGAAAGTTTGGAAAGCTCTGCTGTAGGGCTTTAAGCACTAATGTGAGCACCTCAAATTGCATTTGCAAAAGAACTGGCAAACCAGTGCTAGACTAGAGCACACACTCAGAAGCATTGCCTACACCTGCAATAGAATCAAGGGCTGCATCCTGAGGTGCCCTAATGGGGTGTACCACTTCGGAACTGGAGTCTGGGGATGCTTTTCTTTCTTTTTAATGTCGCTGTACGCTGTGGTCTAAACCACTGAGCCTTGGGCTTGCCGATCAGAAGGGCGGCGGTTCAAATCCCCACAACGGGGTAGCTCCCATTGCTCAGTCCCAGCTCCTGCCAACCTAGCAGTTCGAAAGCACGTCAAAGTGCAAGTAGATAAATAGGTACCGCTCCGGCGGGAAGGTGAACGGCGTTTCCGTGCACTGCTCTGGTTCACCTGAAGTGGCTTAGTCATGACCCGGAAAAACTGTCTGCAGACAAATGCCAGCTCCCTCGGCCAGTAAAGCGAGATGAGCGCCGCAACCCGAGAGCCGTTTGTGACTGGACTTAACTGTCAGGGGTCCTTTACCTTTTTACGTGAAAGAGTCCTGTCACTCCTGTAGGCTGTAGAAGTAGCATCGAGAGGTGGGAGAACAGCAGTTACAAGTACAGTCATACTTCAGGACAAATACGCTTCAGGATAAGTATTTTCGGGTTGCGCTCCACGGCGACCCCAAAGTAATAGAGCCCTTTGCTTCCGGGTTTCGCTGCTCGTGCATGCGCAGATGGTCAAAATGACGTCACGAGCATGCGCGGAAGCGGCGAAACACGACCCGCGCACGCGCAGATGCACTATCACGTCTTACGTTTTGTTTAGGATGCGAACGGGGCTCTGGAACGGATCCCGTTCGCATCCCGAGGTACCACTGTACAGTGGTATCTTGGGTTACAGACGCTTCAGGTTACAGACTCCGCTAACCCAGAAATAGTACCTCGGGTTAAGAACTTTGCTTCAGGATGAGAACAGAAATCTCACAGTGGCAGCGGGAGGCCCCATTAGCTAAAGTGGTGCTTCAGGTTAAGAACAGTTTCAGGTTAAGAACGGACCTCCAGAACGAATTAAGTTCTTAACCTGAGGTACCACTGTATGAGCTGTGAAGCAGAGAATCCCTGATTCAGATCTCATCTCTCTCTACCATGAACTCACTTGATGGCTTTAGGGAAGCCACAAAGTGGGGGCAGGAAGTAGTGTTGGTGGAAAGCTGATAATGCACAGTTTTTCAAAAAGGAACGGCAATCAGACACGTTAGGCGAATGACTTTATTAAGCATCATGTCAGGAACAGCACGTACACAAATTAGAAAAGGATAGAATGTGCTGAAAACTGAAACCGCCCAAAGCAATTTAAAACACCTTCTTTTGGGCTGGAACCTCCTCTTCCGCACCTTCATCTCAAGGCAGGTAATGCTTCCTTGCACCCTTGTAAATATAATGAAAGCACTAGGATGTCTGAGCTATGTGACACTCCTGGGTAGCTCAGATGGGAGAGCATGGGACTCTTAATCTAAGGGTTGTGGGTTTGAGCCCCATGTTGGGCAAAAGTTACAATTCTGTGATCTGTGTCCCACAAAATCATGAATCTGAGCTTTAAGAAAAGTTCTCTCTCTTTGTGCCTGTTAATGAGCTGAGGCAGATGCACAAATGAATTGTCACTGTATGGTACATAAGAGCCACGGGCTCCTTTGGAGAAACTGCCAGTGATGCACGGTGCAGGCAAGGAACAAAGCATGCTTTGTGTTTATTAGGCTTTTTCTTTTAGTGTGGGGTATCTGGTGGCGAATTTGCGCAGCTGGTAAAAAACAAAACACAACCCCATGAGCAGGAAGGCTCCCAAATGGCTTGCCATATGTCGAAGCAAATGCACATTACTATCTAAAGAGAGGATTTCCATAAGACTATTGCCCAGAGTCTAAAATAAATCTATAAACACAGCATTCTCCTTCAACCTCAGTCTCCCTCATCTGCAGTATGGGTGTGATAATAGCACTGAACTATCTAACATTGCATTAAGGTTAATGCTGAAGCCTTACAGCTGAAAAATCAGGTAATGGTTGAAGAACGTTTATACCATAACAAATTTGTGGGTCTTTGTCGTGCCACAAGATCCCCCTTCACTTATTTCCACTCTCATTTCTTTTAATGTAACAGACTCATATTTAAAAAGTGCTGTTTGAATAAATGCCACAGGCATAAATGGGGTGAACATCAAAATCAAGACCACCGAGGTTCACATCCAGCCTCTTTCTAGTTGATTTATTTGATTTATTTAACCCTTCATATGCCACCATCCCCATCTTTCCTCTATAGCTGCTCAAAGCTGCCAACATGGAAAAAAAATATAACTTTTTAAAAGTAAAGGCGGCACAATGAAAAATTAGCAAAATATTTTCCCACCCTCCCAATGACCGCGGTCCCCAAGGCAAGCTCTGCGGCTGGTTGCCTCTAAGTTTCATCAATCAAATTTCATCAAAAGCTTTTTTTTTCCCCCGCTGAAAGTGAGCGCAGGGAACGCGCCTGCGGCTGGAAGCAGAGTCAGAAGGGGGCGCTGTCGCCACGACCTGCGGTTTCCAAGCTGCCGGATTCCTGCTCTCTCCAGCCCACCTAAGATGCAGGCGAGGAAATGATGGGGCGATTTGCAGCTGCCGGGGCCTCTGTTGCAGCTCAGCTGATGGAGCCAGCAGCACTGCGCGGCGACCCCTTGGCGATGCTCGCGGATGGGCAAATGGTACCCCTTCCTGCATTGCTAACACCACCATCCCCAACAGCCGCCGGTGTCATTCCAGGACTCCTGGGCTGGGTCTGCAAAGCTCTCTTTCCTCCCTCCAGCAGAGGAGCGGTGTCTTCTCGGGAACTGATGGAGATAGCGAGGAACAGACTGTGTCTGTTTGGGGCGCGCATATGCCTGGTATACAAAGCTGTGCGAACTGCTGGCTGCTCAATGCCAGGCTTTGCAGGGATTAACACACTCTCTCGATGCTTCCCTCCTCTCTCTCTCTCGCTGCCTGCACTGTTCTGGAGTCCTGCATGCCTACGTTTCTGCATGCAGGGTGGTGCAAAGAACAGACCTGGCTTCGAATCCCCGATGCAAAATTAATAGGCAAGGATATGAACACACTGTCACTTTAAAGCAGGTGTTAGAAGCATATTCCCCACCCCACCCACAACCCAGCAGTTTACCCCTCACAGAGTTGCAATTCCCAGCAACCCTTAACAAACTACAACGCCCAGAATTCTTTGAGGAAAAAGAATGTGCTTTAAAGGTATAGGCAGGAGTCAGCAAACGTTTTCAGCAGGGGGCTGGTCCACTGTCCCTCAGGTCTTGTGCAGGGCCAGACTATATTTTGAAGAAAAAAATAATGAACGAATTCCTGTGCCCCACAAATAACCCAGAGATGCATTTTAAATAAAAGCGCACATTCTACTCATGTAAAAACACCAGGCAGGCCCCACAAATAACCCAGAGATGCGTTTTAAATAAAAGGACACATTCTACTCATGTAAAAACACACTGATTCCTGGACAATCCATTGGCTGGATTTAAAAGGCGATTGGGCCAGATCCAACCCCTGGGCCTTAGTTTGCCTACGCATGGTATAGTGTAATGCAGCCCAAATCTACCTTACAAGGCTGCTGTGAAAATAAAATGAGATCATATCCACTTAAGGATATACATATAGTATATGTATATACTCACTATCTCTTCATTACTCTCTTCTCTACTTCTGCTTTGCAACTATGGATTCCACCTGTCAGTTATCCTTCTGTCTTCCTATTATCTACCCATTCCTCTCGGTTTCTATAGTAGCAGGGTGGAACATCTGGTGCCCGGGCCTAATCCTGCCTCTCAGGGCTTTCTAGAGGGCCTGCCACACCTCTTCCAGTCTGCCATGCCCACTGCGCATCATGTTCCAGCTCTCAGTCATGCCCTTGCACCCTTCCCTGCCTTATTCTTCCCACACTGAGCTCAATTCTGCCTTTATTATGGTGCAGAGTGCGCGTTTGGTGGATCAGGTAGAAGGCACACCTGCATCTTTCTCATTTGAACCTATAATACCTGTCATTCTACTACTTTAGGTCTCATACCCACACTAATTTCAGTAAACTAAATAACACTTACTTCTGAGCAGTATGCCTAGGCATACTGTGTGCTTCGAGCGCTTCACATACAGTTCTGTGGAGTCAGGACAGGCCTTCTACAGCATTAACAGGTTTCTACAGCATTAAAGTAGATCTAATGATGTGCACAGGACATGGGTGGCGCTGTGGGTTAAACCACAGAGCCTAGGACTTGCCGATCAGAAGGTTGGCGGTTCGAATCCCTGCGACGGGGTGAGCTCCCATTGCTCTGTCCCTGCTCCTGCCAACCTAGCAGTTCGAAAGCACGTCAAAGTGCAAGTAGATAAATAGGTACTGCTCCGGCGGGAAGGTAAACGGCGTTTCCATGCGCTGCTCTGGTTTGCCAGAAGCGGCTTAGTCATGCTGGCCACATGACCCGGAAGCTGTACACTCGCTCCCTCGGCTAATAAAGCGAGATGAGCGCCGCAACCCCAGAGTCAGTCACGACTGGACCTAATGGTCAGGGGTCCCTTTACCTTTACCTTTAATGATGTGCACACACATGTGGGAATCAGACTTTGGTGACTGGCAACTGAGTGCATGAACTGACATAACTAACACTATTGCATGTGTAGTGAGATAACATGAAACTGTCTCTGGTGTTATATTTGTGACGGACCATTCACACATGCAGATAGTCTTTGGATTTCGTACATCGAGTGATGAGCCTGCATGTTTGTGAACCAGGCCAAAATTCATTTCCGTAGTGTGTGCATAATTGTACCAATAAGCCAGTAGTTCTCAGTTGTCACAGTCGTGCGGCTGTATATTTGACTTAATCTTTGTGCTGTGTGCTGTCATTCACCCTTGCCTGACTGTTCCTCATTATCACATTGAAAGTGCAAGGTCACTTTCATTCTCACAACAAACAGTGGTGGTTTCATTCTCATTTCTTTTCTTTTTAAAAAGACGAGCTTCTGCAACCCTGCCTGCAAGCAAATAACTTTCGATTCAGAAGCCCCGATTTATCAACGGATCCCTAAGCATTCTGCACGTGTTCAGATGCACGATTGTCATTTTAACCTCTTCTCTCCCCTGTCCAGTATTCAAAGCAGCTTCTGGGGTTCAAGTTGAACTACACTGTTTAGTATAGCTTCTTATTCCATTCCCATTTTTTCGAATGGAGAAAGGCGGGATTGAGTGACATCAATCCACTGAGAGAGGTTTGGAAAGCGGGTGGTCCCCCAGATCTACGGAACAATCAGTAAATCAATGATTTACTTGCAGCTAAAAAAATTGTGTAGGATCGGGATGAAGGAGTACTTGATATCGGCTGGATCTTGTCCTTTGTTTTAAATGCCAGTGGCCAGCGAAGTCAAAACATATGCATATGCAGAGACCCCTTTCTTTCCCCTCCTCACCTGGCAATCGCAACCTACGTCTTCTCTCAGCATCCCAAACACACACCTGAGATTATAAACGGCAGGGTCTTCCAGGATTAAAAGGGCGTGGAGGGGCTTCCGAGGAGGAGGACCCCCGCCCCCTCACACATACATATACACGCAGCAGGGATGTTCAGATCTGTGTCTCCAGCGCCCGAAGGGTTAAAGCAGACAGCAGGAGAATAAGGCGCGCACACGCGCGCACATGCACACACACACACACACACCCCGACACACACACACACACACACACACACACACACACACACCCGTCCGTCGGGGTGTGCAGCCAACAAGCAATCCTGCACGACAGCCGGCCTCTCTCTGCGTGTCTGTGTTTGTGTGAAAGTGGGAGACGCGCGCACGCGCCACCGGGAAAGAAGGATGACCCGCCAGGGGCCGGACGCGAGGAGGTAAACAAACAATAAGACCACCTCCCCCCCCCGCATTCCCGCCCGCGGTGTCTCCGCCTCCCCCGCCCCATTTCGCCCTCCTGCTCGGAACCCCAGGAAGGGTGAATCCCCCCCCCCCCTGGACGGAGATTACCCGAGACCCCCTTGTCAATGGGGCGGAAGAAGGCTGGCTTGGCCGGCTGGAGATGGGGTCGGCGCCGGGAGTGAAGACCCCGGCCACACATACACACACCTGGCTTGTTTACACGGCTAAAAGGAAAAGCCCAACCCGGATCAAGAGGGAATCCACATTGTCGGGTAGGAAATGGTAAGCATTCAGGGAGACGGGCAATTGAGGAGGGGGCCTCTCATCTATATATGTGTGTGTGTATATGTGTATACTGTATATATATATTTGGCGTCTCTATTGTAGTTCCCTATCCACCCACCTTAAAAGTTTCCAGGGGGTGGGTGGCAAAACAGCTCACCCATCTATTTCAGGGTAGGAGGTGGAATATTGTGGGGAGGGGGAAACAGCCTTGGCGGTGGGCCAACCCTCCCCCAGTGTGTTGGGGCTGGGAAGAGGAGGAGGAAGAGATGAAAACAACACAAAGGGGCAGAATTGGGACGGGAAGACTTTGTGCTCCATAGGAATTCCTTAGCTCTGATCCAAGGGTTTTGTGTGTTGTGCATGTTCTGTAGGGGCGTCGGGGGACAAGGGATCGGAAATCACATCTTTATTTAGATTTAAAGTCCGCCCCTTTCCTATGTTTCAAGGCAGATAAACGCATGCTTGTTTCTCTCGGCTATCCTGCAAGGCGGCGTAATTGCTAGCATTGCTCCCATTTTACAGATCGTAAATTAGCGAGGAGAGACAGGGGCTTGCCCAGCACCAGTACCAAGATCTGTGGCAGGGCTGGGATCCGTGGTCACAGCTCTGTTCAATGGCTCTAATGCAGCCCCGGGTGTAGGAACTGTGGGGAATGGGTAAGGACAGCAGACAGAAGATCTGGTAAAGCACATCGCTTTGCCTTTAAGCAAGTCTCCCAGAGTTGTGGCAGAGCAAAACCCCCAGTCTCTCATTATAGGACACCCTGGCAGGCCTGTCTAGACCACTTCCCACTCCTCTGCAGGAGAATCTGTGTGAGTTGGTGGGTATGATTAAGTATCAGCTGCTATATATGGTAATGTTGGTAGGGGGCATGCAGCGGAAGGGAGCCTTTCTCCCCACCTCTGGAGAGTCAACAGAGGGCAGAAACCTCATGAGATGGACAAATGACATTTGAGTGATACCTGGATGTGGACACTGTGACCTTTTCCCCTCCTCTAGTCAGGAAGCGGCTGTGATTTGGTGTGGGTTAGTGCATTCCTGGCATAATAACCCCTCCCTGTGCAGGAGAAGTGTCTGAACCTTGAGCGTTTGGGTGAAGGATCGCTGCATAAACAGCTCCTCTCCGCAGCCACCCCAGAAATAGAAGCCTTTCCGTCTTGGATAAATAAACCTCTTGAATACACAGTTGCTCAACCTTAGCCAGAGAGGTGGCTGCATCACTCTGGCAAGACAAACTTGCACTTCCCATTTGTTTGGGTCTTTGGTGCTGTTTGGGAAGATACAATCTCCTCGTGAATTAACCTGACGCCGAGACCAAAACCACCCTCTGTAGTAACCAGGGCTGACACCGATCGCGGCAGGAACACACCCACCCATCTCATATCACGCTGCGAATTAGCCACAGGGACCGGTTAAATATTGAATGAGTGAAACAGGGCAGAAAGCGGAATGAAAGGAGACCCAGCCTGATCAGGGGCAAAGCCTGCGGGAGACAGCGGGTCAACAGCTCAGCAGTGTGTGGAGGGGTGCCTGAGAATTGGGACCCCTGTGTTTGGAAGCGACCCAAACAGCAGGAGTAAATGAAGTCTAGGGAGACCAAGGCTGTACATGGTGGAAGCTGCAACTTCTGGGTCCTGTTCCCAACTGCAAAGCAATTGCTGGCCTAGTGCAGGGAGACTGGGAGCAGCTCTGCGGCAGGCTGACCTAGTTTAATTTACCGGGCTGGTGGTGAATCCCATCCACTCCTCTCCCCCACCCCCACTAAAACCGGTGGAAGAATCAATGGGATTTTTCTGTAAGTAGAAAGCAGACACCAGAGGGGTAGCTGTGCTAATCTACTCCATCAAAGATAACAAGGACGCATGAAGCTCAAAGTGGTACAAATTTATTGTGGCATCACTTGAGCCCACTTTTGTCAGGTGCAGACATCATCTAATAACTTAACCAGCAGCTGGGGGCCAGGCCTGGGAACTGAGAGAGGGCTGGATCAAAGAAGAAGCAAGCTAGAACTCCTGGATTTGAATGTGTGCGCCAGGTGTGCACCCTGGATCAAATTTGGATCAGGACCCACAAGCCAGTCCAAGATTTTCACCTCCAAAGGTTATTAGTAAGGACTTCAGCATGTGCCAGGGTGGGGTGGGGAGAACACAGATTTGGTCCAAGGCAGATCAGCTGCTTCTGTGTCGCTTCCTGGGCTGTTCCATTCCTCCAGGGAAGCCAGGGAGGAAGGAAGCACTTGGTGAATTGTCTAGAAACTATCTGATGTTGTTACCATTGGGAGGGAAGGGTTGCAGGGATGTGGGTGGCGCTGTGGTCTAAACCACTGAGCCTAGGGCTTGCTTATCAGAAAGTAGGCGGTTCAAATCCCCGCAACAGGGTGAGCTCCCATTGCTCGGTCCCAGCTCCTGCCAACCTAGCAGTTTGAAAGCACACCAGTGCAAGTAGATAAGTAGGTACTGCTCCAGTGTGAAGGTAAACGGCATTTCCATGCGCTGCTCTGGTTTCGCCAAAAGCGGCTTAGTCATGCTGGCCACATGACCCAGAAGCTGTCTGCGGGCAAATGCTGGCTCCCTCGGCCTATAGAGCTAGATGAGCGCACAACCCGAGAGTCGTCCGCGACTGAACCTAACGGTCAGGGGTACCTTTACCTTTATCTGATGTTGTTACCATTGGGAGGGAAGGGTTGCAAGTTTGTGAGCGGGGTCCACTTGGTGGAAATTGTAGAGAGACTGGCCTGAAGCATCTAAAACCTACTGGAACAGGAAATGCAGGAACAGGAAAAACAGATTATACAGTGAAGAAAGCTTTGGCGGGGGTAATGAGAGGAGAGAGGAGATCATATTTCAAGGAGTTTATCCCCCCCCAGCTACAATTTCCAAACTACAGTTCACAGTATTGTTGGGGAGAAGTTATGTGTCTTTAATGTGTGGTGTGTATGCAGCCAAGACTGAGAAGGAAACAATGGTTTTGTTTTAGTTGACTGTATGCACACACCCGTGGGAGCCTTTTTGGCTGGAATGTGGGGTAAAAACCGTGTGTGTGTGTCTTTGAAGCTCAGAGGCTAATAGTTTCCACAAGCCCTGATGCAAGGTGCAGTCCATGTCTCCGCTGTGTGTGGTGCATTCCACGCCCTGAGTGCTTTCCTTTTAAGCTGGACTTTTTATGTTCACGATCCACATTCCTTCATTCCCCTCCTCAGGGTGGGTCCAGGAGAAAGGAATCTGGGCTCTGGGAAGGGAAAGGAGACCTGTTGTAGAGGATTAGAACAGGAAGAAGAGAGCGCCCTAGACTTCTGCTGTGTTGTGTGAGGACCGTGCGTGAAAGGATTTAGAGAGTTAAGCCCTCCAAATGCAATGGCAGGGAGCTTTGAGGGGGCCCCTTGTCTCCTGATGGGAAGAGGCATTAGTGGGAAGGAGCAGGGAGAATTATTCATCCGGAGTCCTTCCCTGGTCTCCCCCTTTTTTCCCCTTTCTAAGCCGATTTAAAGTCAGGTGACAGCTTCTTCCCCTGCAAACTTTCTAATCCCAACTTCAATGGAAGAGGAAGGAGTGGGAGGCAGACGGATAAGTGGGAACCAGAGAAAGCACTTAGTGGTCTAATCCCCACGTCCCGTCCCACCCCAACAGACCCCAAATCCTGGCTTCCACTCTCTCGGGCCAAAATCACCTAGACTCACTAAAGGAGGGACAAAGCCTGTGGGCATCTTGCTGGGCACTTTTGAGAGCAGAATGTGGGACCAGATGTTCTCAGCTTAGGTCTTTATAGAGGCCCAGATTCATTCTTCTCCTGGGTCTCCTCCCTCTCCTGTTGGAAGTGCTTGATGGGAAAATGATGAAATCAGTTCACGGGGTAGGAAGGACAGGTAGCTAAAGATAGGAGGGTGGCTGTAACACACCCTCCAACATTTCCCTGATGAAAATAGGGACGTCCATCACCAGTGCTTTGCTTCTAGAAAAAAAGGTGCCAGAGCTGTGTACCCATGCGAAATCCCAGAAAAAACCCCCACTGATAATAATTTTATCACTTAGACTCACTCTGACCCCTTATATGGGATTTATATGGGATTTGGTGTATAAATTTTCCCTTGGCTTTTTTGCTGGCCCATGTAGGACCAGCATGGATAGCTGGCTCGGGTGAATACCTGATGTTTCCTCCCTTTATGGTCTTGATTTATGGGCTACTACTAAAATGAGGCTGTATTTTAAGCTGTATTTTAATTAACTGTTTGTTGTTGTTGTTGTTTTTCTATTACATTTTATTGCAATTTATATTTGGTGTTAGCCGCCCTGAGCCCGGCCCTGGCCGGGGAGGGCGGGGTATAAATAAATATATTATTATTACTGTATTATTATTATTAATTATACCCCTGGGTTTTCCCAGCCACTCTGGGCAGCTCCCGGCATATATAAAAACATGACAAAACATTAAACATTTAAAAACTTCCTTCAGATGTCTTCTATTTATTTTTTTTATAATGATATTTATTAAAGTTTCAAAAAATACAAAAAATACAGAATACAGAAAGAAAAAGAATAAAGTTTTTTAAAATATAACCAAAAAAGTAAAAAATAAAGAGAAACATACCAAATAAAACAGTTAAAAAGACATTAATTTTCCATAACCTATCTTCCCTATACTTATTTCCCCGGACCTCCTCATACCTCCCTTTTTGTATTCCAGTTCAATTTGTTAGTTCAGCAAATCCTTACCATTAAAATTACCCAATTGCAAACCGTTTTTCATATCTCTTAAAGCATTACAGCTAAAAACCTCTTAGTTTCTATCCAACATCCTTCTAAGACTCCTTAATTTTACAATATTTCTGTAAATAGTCTTTAAATTTCTTCCAGTCTTCTTTCCCCGACTCTTCTCTCTGGTCTCAGATTCTGCCAGTCATTTCCGCCAGTTCCATGTAGTCGATCACCTTCATCTGCCTAGATGTCTTCTAAAGGTTGTATAGTTACTTAGCTCCTTGGCTCGGGGGTTGCATAACTCCATACCCTCCAACATTTCTCCAATGCAAATAGGGATGTCCTAAGGAAAAGTGGGACCATCCAGAATCAAATCAGAAACCGGGATGGCTTCTGTAAATCAGGGACTGTCCCTGGGAAATAGGGACACTCAGAGGGTCTGGTGTGATGGGGGCCTAATTTTCCACCAGGCCCACATAGCCAGCCTTTTCCGTCAAGTCTGAAGTTAGAGTGAAACCCTCTCTCTCCCACCTTCATTCTGGCTCAGCAATTCTCTTTCCGTGGGAGGGCGTTACTAACAAGCAAATACCAATACAGGCATAATAAAATGTATTCTCAAAGGGGAGATCAGTTAGAAAAGAGAGGCTGGTGGTAGTTTTTAAAAAATAAAAATAAACCTACCCTCATGAGCTGCCACAACTGAGTCTCAGGTGCTGTGTACACACCATGCATTTAAAACACATTTTTCTCCCCAAAGAATACCGGGAACTGTAGTTTGTTATGGGTGTTGAGCATTGCAGCACTGCAAGGCATAAACTACAGTTCTCAGATTTATTTGAGGGGAGAAGTATATGGTGCATATGCAGCCGATCTAAGCCTCAAGAGATCTGCTGGCAACCCTAAGCAACCCTCGTTTCATTTCCACAGTCTTCCCCCCAACCTCCTGCCCCAAAACACATTTCTTGTCATGAAGCCTTGACCTCTAGACTCTTTTGGAAGTTATTTCGCCTGCTCCTGGCTGAATGTGAGAGCCAGTGAACCTTGTGCTGGCACCCAAAAACGCTTCGTCAACAATTAAAGTGCAATTATTGGATCAATATCCATGTGCAGGTATGTTTTATTTTAGTAAAACTGAACTGCAAGTATTATTTTTCAGTGTTCCCTGATATGCCCTCTGTGGGACGGAGGTTGGATCCAATAACCATGACGTTATTTTCTTTATGGTTTCTTTGTTTTGTACGTTTATTGCCCTTCAGCAAAGTGATCCTAGGGTGGTTTCTAGCAAAACAAAATAGCAATCAAATCGATACCAAGTTGAACACAAATAATCACCACCAAGACCCAGAAATTAAAAGCACCTGATCAAAACAGTTTAAAACACACACCTTAAAGGCCTCGGAGAACAAAAATATATTTGCTTGGCACTGAAAATATATCCTGGTTGGGCAGGGAATTATAGAAATGGGGCGTCATTTCTGAGAAGGCCCTCAGCCCTGTCATTACCCAGCTCAGCTCAGCTCAGGCACCCAGTATTTTTTTTTCTGGGGGGATGCAGGGGTACGCATATCCCTAAACATTTTGTGAATCTTTGTAGTTTTGTCCATTTACAGTATTTATTTTTTCCCTACTTGAAATATAAAATGGTGATTTTCTTGAGTCAAAATGAGAGTAAAGGTAAAGGGACCCCTGACCATTAGGTCCAGTCGTGGCTGACTCTGGGGTTGCGGTGCACATCTCGCTTTATTGGCCGAGGGAGCCGGCGTACAGCTTCTGGGTCATCTGGCCAGCATGACTAAGCCGCTTCTGGCGAACCAGAGCAGCGCATGGAAACGCCGTTTACCTTCCCGCCGGAGCGGTACCTATTTATCTACTTGCACTTTGACATGCTTTCGAACTGCTGGGTTGGCAGGAGCAGGGACCGAGCAACGGGAGCTCATCCCGTCATGGGGATTCGAACCGCCAGCCTTCTGATCGGCATGTCCTAGGCTCTGTGGTTTAACCCACAGCGCCACCCATGTCCCTCAAAATGAGAGTACCCCTAAACATTTTTTTTTTAAAGCACTGGGGGCACCTAAAGGAGAGCCTGCACTAATGGCTGTTGCATTCCACTACAAATACAGTTGCTCAGACCAGCTTTCTCTTATTAACAAACAGGCATAATCATCCAAAACATAGGCCGGAAAATATAATGTTTGTTTCAGCAGAACATGTCTTCATGTTCAAAGTACCAGATTCTGGAGCCAAAGAACGAAGATGTTCTTACAAGAAGCATCCAGTTGTGTTGGGCTGGTTGTTGCTGGGGTCAGAATACCGGGGAAAGTGGCAAGTCAGTTTTTACTGTTCTTTCAGAATAGCAATACCTTTTGAACAGCTAGTTGTTTTAAAATATTGCACGCGAACAGTTTGCTTCTCTTTGGCCCATAAATACAAGGCTGGATAATGAACATTGGTTAACTGGGAGATGACGATACAGTACATTTAGTGATGTGTCTACACCACACTGGGCATTTTGTGTGCGTGGAAAAGTCACCTTAATTATAATGTGTATGCATCTTAAATCAGCTTATCATGGTGATTAATAATAACAGCAATACTAAAAATGATAAGTGGGCGCGTAGATTGTAACTGTTACTGGTGGCGGACCAGAATGTCTGATGGTCAGAGCACTTTATTTAAAGCGTATAATGAAGTATAATGACACAACAATTGGTTCAGAGGGGTTAACTACATCCATAGCACATAGTTGGTGGAGCTAATTCCTGTTTTGTTGTGGACACATGTCTTTAGCCATGGATGACACACAAAGTCTTAATTACCTACATTCCCCGCTTGCAAGGAGGTATAACCTTGCAGACCTTCTAATTAATTATCCACACACTTTCCCAGAGTCCATTTGCATTTAGACAAAAGACCTCCTGATTACATTTGTTGACATGGGCTAGAATAGCAAAAGGGATATATGAAGGATACCAGCTTCCAATGGTCGGTTGCTACTGGGATTAGCTCAGAATGGGGAGTACTGGGATTAGCTCAGAATGGGGAGCAGATTTCATCCTTGCCATCAGCCATTGGAAAGAATTTCTCCCAGGAGAAAAATCCTCTGAGTGGTACCATGTGTAGAGATGGATGTGATTCCTGCAGTCCAGAGGCACAAGCACATTTGAGTCAGGCAGGTAGTAATCTGGTTGTCACTGTCTGAGGCCAAGGCAGACCGGAGAGCAGGTTGCAAGCTACGCGATTGTAGTTTCATGTTTCCTCAGATTTTCCACACTGAGGAACAAGGGGTGGTTAACTGTGGACCTCCAGATGTTAACCACAGGTTAGCCATCCCACCCTTAAAAGGTAAAGGGACCCCTGACCATTAGGTCCAGTCGTGGCCGACTCTGGGGTTGCGGCGCTCATCTCGCTTTATTGGCCTACGGGAGCCGGTGTACAGTTTCCGGGTCATGTGGCCAGCATGACTAAGCCGCTTCTGGCGAACCAGAGCAGCGCCGTTTGCCTTCCCGCCAGAGCGGTACCTATTTATCTACTTGCACTTTGACGTGCTTTCAAGCTGCTAGGTTGGCAGGAGCAGGGACCGAGCAACGGGAGCTCACCGCGTCGTGGGGATTCGAACCACCGACCTTCTGATTGGCAAGTCCTAGGCTCTGTGGTTTAACCCACAGCACCACCCGCGTCCCTGTGTCTCTAAAACCACTGTGGCCCCTTGTGTTACCACAACTGCTGAATCAGGATAGATAGATAAAACTTTATTTGCATTAGCCAATGGCCATAACAACCGTAAAACATTACAGTTGTGCGAGGCTTTTATTAGGCTGTACCAGGCGTTTCTTGCAGCTCTCTGTCTTTTCCATTTAATTCGTTGTTTGTACTTCCATCTAAAATAAATGTACAGTGGTACCTCGCAAGACGAATGCCTCGCAAGACAAAAAACTCGCTAGACGAAAGCGTTTTTTGTTTTTTGAGCTGCTTCGCAAGACTATTTTCGCTATGGGCTTGCTTCGCAAGATGGAAACGTCTTGCAAGTTTGTTTCCTTTTTCTTAACACCGTTAATACAGTTGCGACTTGACTTCGAGGAGCAACTCATAGAACGTGGTGTGGTAGCCTTTTTTGAGGTTTTTAAAGACTTTGGTGATTTTTGAAGCTTTTCCAAAACTTTCCCGACACCGTGCTTCGCAAGACGAAAAAAATCGCAAGACGACAAAACTCGCGGAACGAATTAATTTCGTCTTGCGAGGCACCACTGTATGTAGTAAATAAGAGAGGCGACCTGGAGGTCCTATATTTACGTTAAACTGTCTGCAGGTGTCCCTTTGCCTGTTTGGCAAATTCCGTTAACCTTTTTGTGGCAGTATTTTGGATCACGGTTGTTAAGTGTAGTTGCTGAACCTTTTGCTGAGCACTGGTGGTACCCAAGTCTTGTGGCTACCAGCAGGCAGCTGCTTCTTCTTCTTCTGCCCCAATATTACAGTGAATATGTTTGTGGATGGGCAGCCTTGAGGCCTGCCTTTAAGATGCATTTAGCGAGTGTGTGTGGCAGCTGCTTTTGGGATGGAGGCCGTTGTTTATACAGTAATTCCTCGCCTAATGAGGCAGCCGCTTACAGATGAAGTATATTGATTTGTATCTCCCCCCTCCCAAACGAACTCACTACCCACCTCTCCATTTTATTTTCACAACATCCTTGTTAGGCGAGTCAGGCTGAGAGACGGTAACTATTCTGATGTTACCTGGCCTGCTTCTGGGCGGCCTGTTTATTGAGCGTTCATTTTGATTCGTTTGCAGGGAGGTTAGACGCTGCTGCATCAAAGCATGTATTGCCGCACACTTTTCGGTGCCTTTACCCAGTTACTTTCCTTATTGCGAAAAGCCGGATCTTTGGGGGATGGTTCAATGTGAAAGACTTTCCAGTCGGAGAGAATTTGCTGGAATGTGATGGAGGCCAGGCTGCGGCAGATTGAGTGGACAAGACCGATAGCGGATCCAACAGTCAAGAAGGCAGTTACTGAATGTGCTGTAGGGAAATGAGGGGCAGATGGGGCTCGTCAACCTGGGAAGATAGCCCGTCTAGGAGAAGGAAAGCCTTCGCTGCCTTGTAGCTGTTCTCATTCGTGAGAAAAGCTTTGTGTGGTGGCCTGACGGGACTCGGGCTCGGACTCGGAACCAGAGGAGTCTCAGTCTGCACCAGATCCGTTGCCTCACGCATCATCTGAACCAAGTCTGGGGCCTGATCCTGAAGAGCCCCAGTCTGCACAGGTTCCCCTGCAACAAACACCATAGCTGTCAACTTTTCCCTTTGAATCCTATTCGGAATAAGGGAATTTCCCTTTAAAAAAGGGAAACGTTGACAGCTATGAACAAGCACCAGCTGGGCCAAGTCAGGGGCCTGAGCCTGCCCTGGCTCCAGATGCGGGGATTACCTCGTTGCCTTCAGCTGGCCATCATTTACAGCTGCTCCACCACCGGTTTGGTCAGGGGAAGCTGAGGAGGCCTCTGGGTCTAGTAACCCACCAACGTCTCCCGAGCTGCAGAGACTAAGGTCTGAGAGAAAGAGAGACCTGAGTACTCCCAGGAGGAGTGCTCGCCTTCGGGCGAGACAGGGAGGTGAGTCGCCGGGGGATCAGGACCAGCTGCTACCCCGACAAAGATAAAAGGCTGTCAGACCCCACCCCAGGTTGCGGGAGCAACATTGCTGTATGCAAGATCCTGCACCTGTCCTTGCCTGGTTTCCTGCCTTGGCCCTGTCAGACTGACTCCTAGCAGAACCTTCAGATTCTGGACCGCGTTTCATGGGTTACCCCTGGGCCCAGCACACTTTGGGAGTAAACTCCGAGGGACAGTCCGTACCCCCTGCCTTGTGGAACATCTTTCGGAGAAAAAAAGGCTAAGGAGTAAAGTCTACACAAATCTGGAGTGGAGTCCCTAAGGCGGTTGGATGGTGCCTTGTGCGCCTTCTTCCGGCAATCAAGCTGGTGCCAAACGTCTTGCTCTTCTTTCCTTTGGACCTCATCAGAGAGGCCAAGAGGAGGGTCTTGTCTGGGCATCCCAGGACCTCCATACACACTGCCCAGGCTTGCACCCCAGAGAGGTCGCTTGGCTGTTGCAAACACAGCACAAACAATATGGAATGGAATCAGCACCAGCCTAGAAGGATTCCCAGATCAAGAATTGATTTGAATCTTTAACCTGGGCCTTCTCAGGAGCCCCAACACTGTAGCCCAGCAATGATCGAAAATAATAATAATAATAGTAATAATAATAATAATAATAATAATAATAATAATAATTTCTTTACACCCCGCCCATCTGGCTGGGTTTCCCCAGCCACTCTGGGCGACTTCCAACAAAAGATTAAAAATACAGTAGACACTTGGGTTGCGATTCGGCGCGTCTGCGCATGCACGATTTAGCGCTTCTGTGCATGCGCGACCGCCGAAACCCGGAAGTAACCCGTTCCGGTACTTCTGGGTTTCGGCAGTCTGCAACCCGAAAAAACGCAACCTGAAGCATCTGTAACCCGAGGTATGACTGTACATTAAAACATCAGTCATTAAAAACTTCCCTAAGCAGGGCTGCCTTCAGATGTCAGGTAGTTGTTTATCTTTTTGACATCTGGTGGGAGGGTGTTCCACAGGGAGGGTGCCACTACCAAGAAGGCCCTCTGCCTGGTTCCCTGTAACTTCGCTTCTCGCAGTGAGGGAACCGCCAGAAGGCCCTCCCCTTGCTGCTGGACTCCGGCTGTCATCATCCCTGATCGGGCTGGTGGGGGTTGGGGGTCAGCTACAGCTGGGGGGGTGGCTGCATTCACGATGGCACCGGCAGACATAGAAGACTGCGTTTTCCAGAGAAGGTGGAGAGAGATGGCGGGTTCTGGAAACTGCTTATCTTTGATGCAGCCTCCTCTGAGGGTAGGAGCTGGCGATTTATGACGGCGATCCCTCACCGGCTGCCGTGGCGCCTCTCGAGTTGGAGAGTTAGGGAAGGGTTGCAGATGCTGTTGGTTCCCGTTATTGACCAAAGGAGGGGGGGCGGCGTGGGAGGATCCGGGAGAGCTTTGTTCATTTGCCTGCAGCCAGCAAAGCAAGTTTCCTGTGGCAGGAAACCCCAAGCTCTGCAAGTGCACTGGGAAGAGAATTAGCCAGGAAAGGTTTATTTCACATGATTCCTTTTCCGGCTTGGGGAAAGAAAGAAAGAAAAGAACCTAAATAACCCCAGAGCTGAACTGATTTCATTTGTTTCTTTTCCGCCCGTCACGCAAAGTAAGAAAGAGAAGGGTGGGAGTGACCCATGCCATTGTGATTCCATGTTAAAAGGAAAATACAAAACAGGCAAGGTGGCCTTTTTTATTATTTATCTCTGGATAAAGGAACCAGCGTTATGTCGAAAGCAGGGAGGGTGGGCAGCTGTATATTATAAATATTAAGATTCGCCTTTTAATATAGACCCATCAATGTACACAGTGATTCATGGAGTTTCCATACACATGAAAAAAGTCTGATTCCAGAAACCTAACAGTTTGACGGCAGAAGAGGCGATCAGCGCAGGGTTGCCATATTTCAAAAAGTAAAATTCATATTTTTTTTAGGAAAACACCAAAATTATTGAGCTTTTTGGGTGAGACCACCCCCAAAAATCGTGATTTTGAGCTTTTGTAGCCATTTTTACACCTGAAAACCAGGACATAAGGGAAAGAAAGAAAGAAATAAAGAAAGAAAGGAAGAAAGGAACGGGCAGAAAGTGGGGGGGAGGAGAGTCAACAATAACAAGCCCAAATACAACAAAATGACCATTATATCCTGCATGTTGAGGCTTGGCTATTTCTGTTATCGGTAGAGACTTGTCTGTGTGGGAAAGCTAAATAGGTTCTGGACTTGCTGTTCTATCTTCTGCTGGGAATATTTCTGATAGGCTGGAGATGAGCACAAGGAAGAGTTTAGCAGGGCGGGCCACGTTATAGATCAAGGCCCCAAAGACCTGATCAATAGGCACTTTTCTGCTGCAAGAAATAAGACAATCACTAGGGGGCATTGCTGTGTCATAAGGACCGTTTCCTCTTTCAACATTTCCCCCCCCCCGCCCCCCCAAAACAACACTCACTTGCAGAGGGTCTGTTTTTGGTGGTGAAAGAAAGCACTGCAGGTACGGAGGAAAACAGCCCAGGCTTCAGGGGAATAATTGCTGGTTTTGTATTTCCAAACAAGATTCTTCGCTTGGTTCTCTGCCTCAAAATACCTCTGCTTCACCCAGTTACAATGGTACCTTGGGTTACATACGCTTCAGGTTACATACGCTTCAGGTTACAGACTCCACTAACCCAGAAATATTACCTCGGGTTAAGAACTTTGCTTCAGGATGAGAATAGAAATCGTGCTCTGGTGGCAGCAGGAGGCCCCATTAGCTAAAGTGGTGCTTCAGGTTAAGAACAGTTTCAGGTTAAGAATGGACCTCCAGAACGAATTAAGTACTTAACCCGAGGTACCACTGTATAGATCTGGGTTAGCACAAGGCGCAGCACCAACGCAAGTGATCAACAAGAATTTCTTAAATCCAAACTCTGGCCTGAAATCTTGAAGAGCTTCCAGTCAGAGTGGACAGTGCTGAGCTAGATGGACCAACAGCCTGACTCAGACTCGGCACACACATTACCGCTTCCTCTGGCTCCAGCATGCGCTCTTGCCGCTGGTGCTTGAAGCCAATGCGCATAGCGTTAGTCGTGAGGGTGTACATTTCAAGCAGCCACTGCCCATGCGCAGAGGACAGCTTCAGTGAATTTGGCGCAGGGAAACGCATCGGTTAACGGGCATTGGGCGAAGGCCTCTCCACCGCCTCTTTGATGTGAACAGCAACGTAAAAAAGCTACTTTAAATGTGGGAGGGAGGAGGAAAATGCCCCTTCTGCCACGAATGTGCACATAGCCTCAGTAGAAACCCTTTCCTATGTCCTTATAATGATTGACCCACCCACGGTGAGTGGGTCTTCTTCCTCCCTTTCCCCTATGGGGCTCAGACTCCCAGGAGGTTAGATTGGCCTCAACCAGGGCCAGGGCCTTTTCAGCTCTGGCCCCGGCCTGGTAGAATGCCTTACCGCAGGAGATCAGGGCCGTGTGGGATTTGACCTCTTTCCGCAGGGCCTGCAAGATGGAGCTGTTGCGCCTGGCCTTTGGGCTAGACTCAGTCTAACACACACACCCTCATTTTTTTTTAATGGAACCCCTTATATGGGATTTTGTATATAAATTTTCCCTCGGCTCTTTTGCTGGCCCATGTAGGACCAGCATGGATAGTTGGCCTGGTGAATATTTGACGTTTTCTCGCCTTATGGCTTTGATCTATGGGCTACCACTAAAACGAGGCTGCATTTTAAGCTGCATATTAAACTGTATTCAAACTTATATTTTAACCAACTGTTTGTTTGGTTTTTTGTTTTTAATATTTTTACTGTATTTATATTCGGTGTTAATCTCCCTGAGCCTGGTCTTGGCTGGGGAGGGCAGGATATAAATAAAAATTTATTTATTTATTTATCTCCTGTTCTTCAACCCGGTGCTCTATGTATAAACGAGGCACAGTAGGAGGCAGCTGTTGGGGTGGGTCTGTCCTTGTTTTATGTCCTGTCTGCTTTCTGCTTGTCAATAGTGTCTTTTTCTTCCTTAGTGGGTCTTGAACCCTCCTGGCCAGGGAGCTATGTGGGCAGGGTGTCGCGTGGGTTTCTCCTTGTTTCCCATACGTGTGCTGGGCTCCAGAGTGGTGACTGTCAGGAACAGAGCAGGATTCGAACCCTTGCCTGCAGAACTTTGAGTAGTGGGTTCATGGCAGGCTGCGGGTGATGTTTTGGGAACAGTGTGTGTTAAGGCCATGTCCCTTTTGTGAATTCAGTTGCTCTGTCTTTCCACGTGCAAGCGGCATATGAGCTTCAGCACCACCCCTCACTACAGTGGTACCTTGGTTCTCAAACACCTTGGTACTCAAACAACTTGGAACCCAAACACTGCAAACCAGGAAGTAAGTGTTACAATTTGTGAACCTTTTTCGGAAGCTGAACGTGCTCCATTTTGAGTGTTACGCTGAGGTCTGTCTATTTTTGCTATTTATTTTGCGTTTTTGTTTTTGCTGCTCTGTTTTCTTCTTTTTGTGACTGTGTGTAACCCAGTTCAGCTACTGATTGATTGTGTGACTGCAGTACAGTGGAGCCTCGGGTGACGTTGCCTCCGGCTTACGTCACCCTCAGCTTGCGACCATCGGAAACCCGGAAGTACTGGAACAGGTTTACTTCCGGGTTTGCACCATTCGCGCATGTGCAGAAGCGCTAAATCACACCGCGCACATGGACAGACGCGATGTTTTGGGTTGCGTCGTTTTCTGGTTGCGGCAGATCCCTGCCGTAACCTAAGGTTCCACTGTACATTGTTTACTGCTTTCCTTTTATGGATCAATGGTCTCATTATATAGTAAAATTAATGTTAAATGGCTGTTTTAGGGGTTGTTTTTGAAAGTCTGGAATGGATTAATCCATTTTGTGTTACTTTCTATGTGAAAGCGCGCCTTGGTTTTGGAATGCTTTGGTTTTGGAACGGACTTCCGGAATGGATTAAGTTTGAGAACCAAGCTACCACTGTAGTGTGGTACAGCGGTGATTCTGGAGACACTGCGATCTTTACTCTGTCTTGGGATTTCCCGTGTTGTGCACACTTTCCTCTCCCCTCCAGAGCACATGTCTTCAGAGCAAAGCAGTGGCATATCTCTCTCTCACCCCTGACACAAATGTTCTGTTTAGCATCCAGCCTGAAGAAGTGTTCAGTGTAAGTCAAAAGCTTGCTTGCTCTATCAAAAACTTTGGTTGTTCCTAAGAAAGGCGTTGTTTGCAGCCCGTGCTAAAAAAGAGGATATCAAAGATCTGAGTTCCAGAATCAGACATTAGCAGACCTGCCTGTCCTGTGCTGTTCTTGGCTGTAAAAATATTGGCATCAGACTGGAAGCAATGTTCTGCTCTTTGGGATTGGGGAGTGACCTGTGGGAGTACATGATTTCTGATTCTCTGTTCTCCTGCATTCTTTCACAATAGCAATGCGTGTGAAATGTGCAGTGCAGCAGGAACCACAGAGGTTTTCTATCTAACTTCTCCCTGGTGTCCCATATCCAGAAGAACCTAAGGATGCTTTTTTAAAACATATATATTAATATTCTATTATTACACTTTTTAGAAACCAAAATCATTATACAAGCTTGCTTGTCAAGTTGAAGTTGCTTAAGATCCTAGCCTGTACTTGTTTGTATAATATTCAATACTTCAGAAAAGTCTTAAGATTTTTACAGCTCCAAAAGATTCATTATTTTGAAAGGAAATAAAAGCTATATAGGGACACGGGTGGCACCGTGGGTTAAACCACAGAGCCTAGGACTTGCTGAGCAGAAGGTCAGCGGTTCGAATCCCCGCGACGGGGTGAGCTCCTGTTGCTCGGCCCCTGCTCCTGCCAACCTAGCAGTTCCAAAGCACGTCAAAGTGCAAGTAGATAAATAGGTACCGCTCTGGCGGGAAGGTAAACAGGTTTTCTGGTTCGCCAGAAGTGGCTTAGTCATGCTGGCCACATGACCCGGAAGCTGTACGCCGGCTCCCTCGGCCAATAAAGCCAGATGAGCGCCACAACCCCGAAGTCGGCCACGACTGGACCTAATGGTCAGGGGTCCCTTTACCTTAAAAGCTATATATCCATGCACGTTTCAAGAAATGGATTTCATAAAACCCCCAAATAATTTCCCGACTTACTTTCTGCTCAATTCTGTTTGCTTTTCAGACCAGCCAGCCCCTTTTTTCCCTCTGAGCATGTTACCCAGCCACACACAAAGGTTTTCATTCCCCAGTTCTTCAGCCATGCAGAGTAGGGGGTTTGTTGCAGGTCCTGGAGAGATCAAGGTAGCTACTGGGGACGATTCATTTTTTGAACCAAGAGCAACAGACTGAAGCTGGCAGGTAATTAAGGGTCTGCGGACGACATTTCAGTCGACATTGCAAGTTAGGATAGCTCAGTAGCAGCAGCGTGTTGCAAAATATTGCAGTGAGTTTGGCAGGGCATCCTGCGGCCCATTTTTTTGGGGGGGGGGCGCAGGCTGCTAATGGATCAGAACTGAGAAAGGGATCATGATGCTGAATTGAAATTAAACGATAGATTGAACTCACTCCTGCGGGGTAACTGCCTTAAAAAGTGTGGCGTGTTTTCTCTCTTACAGGTATACGTACTGTATTCAGCCCTACCTGGCACTTGAGCTTGGGAATTTCTGCATGCAAGGCAGATGTTCTGCCTCTGAGATGCAGCTTCCCCCCGAGCTGTTGCTTCCGAGCTAAAAACAGCACCATTCATAACATGCTTTAATGCATTCACAGCCATATCTGGTAGCTGAGCCAAAGGATAGGCTTGCCCTGGAATTTATCTGATTAACTGATCAATACGTCTTCTTAAAATTGCATCGCAGCCCTAGTAAGAATTACCAGGCACAAGAATCCTTGAGCTGCGTTGTATAAATGGTTAGCGATAATATTTTTTTAATTAAAAAAATAACTGTATGCCCATGGTGTTGTTAATTCGAGTCAGCTTGAAAGCTTGCTTTTTCCTTAGGAAGGTGGCAAGATGGAAATGGGCAGAGAGATGGTTCTTTCTTCTCGGCAGCTCTGTGGTTTTGGTTAGACCGAGATGTAGTGATAGCCGAAACTCTCTCCCTCCCTCCCTCCCTCTCTCGGCAACACACTTTACTGTGCAACAATCTGCTGTTGTAAGAATGTGGTAGGAACAGCAACCATATGGCCCTTGTTATACCAGTTCTTTTGAAATAAATGGCAGGTCTTTGTGAAAGGGGTCAGACAACCACTAGATGGAGCGAGAGGCTCAGGGCGGTCACTCTGGGGACGCTGTGGGGCCCTTTGGCTCACGCTCTCTGCTTCTACCTGCAGGGCAGGGAGCCAGGAATGTGCGGAATCTGATCTCATCCCAGGCTAAGACAAACACCGGGCAGCAGTAGAGAGCTGGGCTGTACCACCCCCTGGGACAGAGGGGTAGGAGGGGGCAGGGAGCCAGGACTGAGCTAGAAGAGGGGGTGCTCAGGAATGAAAAGGTGTCTGGATTCACAGGAGAATGTTCCAGGTGGTGCAGATTATGCGCATATCTCACAAGCCTGTTCACACGCTTGACGTTTTATTATGTTTTTACAGGTGCTGGAAGCCGCCCAGAGTAGCTGGGGAAACCCAGCCAGATGGGTGGGGTATAAATAATAAAATTATTATTAATTATTGTTACGTTACCCGCTGATTTATGGTCCATTGGTGCTTGGCCTAAGGTGAAGGGAGGGCTTTTATCTCAAGGCACCGAGTTCAAATCCCACCATTGCCATAAAGGGCTGGGAAAGACCCCTGTATCAGAAATCGCAGGGGGGGCGCTGTTGCCAATGGTCTGACGCAGGTGGCGCTGTGGGTTAAACCACAGAGCCTAGGACTTGCCGATCAGAAGGTCGTCGGTTCGAATCCCTGCGATGGGGTGAGCTCCCGTTGCTCGATCCCTGCTCCTGCCAACTTAGCAGTTCAAAAGCACGTCAAGTGCAAGTAGATAAATAGGTACCGCTCCGGCGGGAAGGTAAACGACGTTTCCGTGCGCTGCTCTGGTTCGCCCGAAGCGGCTTAGTCATGCTGGCCACATGACCCAGAAGCTGTATGCCGGCTCCCTCGGCCAATAAAGCGAGATGAGCGCCGCAACCCCAGAGTCGGTCACGACTGGACCTGATGGTCAGGGGTCCCCTTACCTTTACCTTTTAGATTCCCACATTCCTTTGCTATATGCTGATGCCACGTTTATGGTATCATTTTAAAATCTGTGTACATGGCCAGGTCCGTACATTCAGCAGAAAGAAGTGGTAGAGTCCCAAGCAGGCAAACCTACCTTACAGGGGTGTTGTGAGGATAAAAAGGAAGCCGGAGGGGGGAGGAGAGGGCAGGATTTATGAACTGCTTGGAAGGATGCGAAGTTGATCAATAGGTATAATGGATTGCATCACCGTGAGGGCGGCATTTTAAGCATAATTCTCTGGGTATACAAATGAATCTACCCTGAAAGCAAGTAGCACAACAGGGAGAAAGCTAGGCTGCGACCTCTACCCTTATTTGATGCCATTATTTCTGCAGGATTTTAAAGAAAGGCAACAGCAGCATTCAAACACAACCTTCTGGCCTCCAGGAATGGTGCAGCCCATTCCATTGCCACCTCCGTTCTTGCCCACGAGTAGACCAGGCCGCAATGTCCAGAACCAAGTGGTAGAATTCTGGACTGGAGTTCTTCAGACTGCAGTGTGGGGTGTGGATGTGCCCCCCCCCCCCCGTTTTTCAGCACTTTCCCATCTTAAAAACAGCAAGACACAACTCCATACATACAGCAAACCTCAGTATTTCCTTGTTTTGTTGGCAGCTTTAAAGCTTCTTGTTCACCCGGGAGAACAGTGAACAATGCATCCCCCCCACCTCTGCTCTGAAATGGTCCAGTCCAGAATTCTACCTGTTGGTTCATCCTGCAAAATATGTTAAAGGTCTCTCACCTCCCCAAGTTTCCTCCTTGAATCCAAATGGTTAGCACAACAGCATGCAGGAAGCTAGAAACCAGGCAAAGCTACAACAACCTCATTTGGAGGTTTAAGCTGATGAAATCAGGAACTTTTTCCCCTCCAGGAATTATTCCTCAGTGCAATTGTTGCAGGAGCATCTCTGAAAACAGACGTTAAATCAGTCCTCGGAATTGATCTGTGAACTCGGATTTTACACAGTGTGAGCTAAACAATGGCTAGGGTTGGGCAGTGGGGGTGCTGTGTGTGTGTGTGTGTGTGTGTGTGTGTGTGTGTGTTTAAGGGTTTGGGGAAGAGTGTTTTTACTTGGCTTTTACATTCATTACTAAACCAGAAGCAAAGAAAAAGAAAAGCAAAAATATCAAGGAAATCGAAGATAACCCATCAAGCCCACAAAAAACACTGGCAGAAACTTTACAACCTACTTCCACCATCCTCTACACCAGGCTTAAATAAATCTGCCCCACGGGGCAGTAAAGAGAAAGGCAAATGTGTGTGTTATAACACTGTGTGTTACTTCACTGTACAGTGGTACCTCTGGTTACGTACTTAATTCGTTCCAGAGGTCCGTTCTTAACCTGAAACTGTTCTTAACCTGAAGCACCACTTTAGCTAATGGGGCCTCCCGCTGCTGCCACACCGCCAGAGCACAATTTCTGTTCTCATCCTGAAGCAAAGTTCTTAACCCGAGGTACTATTTCTGGGTTAGTGGACTCTGTAACCTGAAGCGTATGTAACCCGAGGTACCACTGTATATCCGCTGCCTGTTTGCCCATATGTGTTTTGTGCCTCCATCGTGTTGGAAAGGATGAATTGCTTTGGGTTGTGTTTACTATGCAGAGGTGGCAGCTAGTTCCTTTCAGCTGTTGGACTACAACTCTCCTCAACTGCTTCCAATATGGGCAGTGGTCAGGGATGATGGGAATTGTAGTCCATCAACATCTGGTGAACACCATGTCCACTACCCCTCCTCTCCAACCAGATTATTGAGCATGGAGTGTGTGTCCCGTCCCCGGTCCCCATTCCCTGTGGAGGTGATGGCCCCTCTGCTGCCCCCTCCTGGCGGGGGAGAGGCACCTTAGTTGCGGTTGGCTAGTTGTCCTTCACCCCTTCATGGATGCCGTAGCGAAGGGACTTGAAGAACTCAGAGAAGCTATGGAACTATGCCGTGCAGGGCCACCCAAGATGGACAGGTCATAGTGGAGAGTTTTGACCAAATGTGATCCACCTGGAGGAGGAACCGGCAAGCCACTCCAGTATCCCTGCCAAGAAAACTCCATGGACAAAGACAACAGGCATATAAAAGTTATGACGCTGGAAGATGAGCCCCTCAGGTCGGAAGGCGTCCAACATGCTACTGAGGAAGAGCAGAGGACAAGTACAAGTAGATTCAGAGCTGATGAAGCGGCTGGGCCAAAGCCGAAAGGTCGCTCAGTTGCGGATATGCCTGGAAGCGAAAGGAAAGTCCAATGCTGTAAGGAAAAATATTGCATTGGAACCTGGAATGTAAGAACCATGAACCTGGGTAAGTTGGATGTGGTCAAAAATGAGATGGCAAGAATAAATATTGACCCCTGGGCATCAGTGAACTAAAATGGACGGGAATGGGCGAATTCAGTTTGGATGACCATCATATCTACTACTGTGGGCAAGAATCCCGTAAAAGAAATGGAGTGGCCCTCATAGTCATCAGAAGACAGGAGTGCCTGGCGTCCTCTGGTCCATGGGGTCACGAAGAGTCGGACACGACTAAACAACAACAACAGTTGTCCTTCAAGGGTGCTTCTGAGCACGTGAAGAGCGTCCTTTTTGCTCACTGGGTAATCGCCAGCCACCTGCGCACCCATGCGCATCTGGGATGAAAGAAGAAGGGCTCCCCCTCCCAAAGGATCTGCCTACCCCCCCTTTCCCCCTTTCCCAAATCCCCTCCCCCACTCGCCTGCCAGCCTCTGCGCTTGGCCAGCCCGCGGCCAGGCGAGGGTTAACAGGTGTGGCCCCTCCCCCTGCCCGGCTGCCTTTGGCGGCGCCTTCTTCTGCTCCGCAGGCAGTTCGGGTTCGGCCAGCGCTGCCGCCGTTGGCCCGTTCTGGGTCTCCTCCCCAACTCGCCCCCGACCAGCCAAGGAAGGAGCGAGGTGAGGGCGCGCTTCGGCAAGGCGGGGGCGCGCGTCGCGGGGGAGGCGGCCACATAGAGTCGCCCAAAGTTCGGGCAAGTTTGCAAAAGTTTTTTTGGGGGGTGGGGGTGGGAAACGACGGGGTAGGAGGGCGATCCCAGCCGCTTCCGGGGGGGGCAGGGATCCTAACCCCCCCAAGACATCCCTCGGGATGGAAGCTCCCGGTTAAAGCCCCACGTTTCCTTTTTCTGCTTTGTTTCCTGATCTGCAAGCCGCCGGGCGGGGGGGGCGGCGCAGGGGGAGCCTGAGTTGGGGGGTCTCTCACTAGGCTGGACCCGGGAGCCTGATTTAAGCTGACCCCCCCCCAGGCGAAGGGGCACGAGGTGGGGGGGGCGCCTTGGAAACTTTGGAGAAGTTGCGGGTTTTTCCCACGAAGGTGCCGCTTCCAGGTGGGAGAGCGGAGAGAGGGGTCGGCGCCGGAGGAGAAAGAGCGCGCTCGGATTTGCTCCGAGCTGAGCACGGGACGAGGGTCCTGCCTTGAACCGTATGAGTATTTGGCTTTGGAAGGAACTGGCCGCACCTTTCTGTCCTTAGAAAACACAGCAGGAAGACTTGGGGGAAGGGGATGCTTCAATCCTGTGCGCATTATTCCCCCCCCAGTGAAGTCCCACTGAACTCAGTGGATCAGAGTTCCGAGTAGACGCGTGTCTTTTGCAGCAGTGAATCACAGTTCCGAGTAGACGCGTGTCTTTTACAGCAGTGAATCAGAGTTCCGAGTAGACGCGTGTCTTTTGCAGCAGTGGATCACAGTTCCGAGTAGACGCGTGTCTTTTGCAGCAGTGGATCACAGTTCCGAGTAGACGCGTGTCTTTTACAGCAGTGGATCAGAGTTCCGAGTAGACGCGTGTCTTTTGCAGCAGTGGATCAGAGTTCCGAGTAGACGCGTGTCTTTTGCAGCAGTGGATCAGAGTTCCGAGTAGACGCGTGTCTTTTACAGCAGTGAATCAGAGTTCCGAGTAGACGCGTGTCTTTTACAGCAGGCTTTCTCAGAATGGGTGTGGGAGAGAAACCCAGGCAGATGGGATTATTATTTAAAAGAAGGCTGGAAATATCTCCGATGCCTGATCACCCAGGCATTTGAAATGTAATGATGGCACTGCTTCTCTTCCAAACACTAATTACTTTGTTGTACATTAATTTTATGTATAGACTTGGCACAGCTTTGTGGCTGTAAGAGACTAACTATGAATCAAAAGTCCTGGGTTTGAATCATGCATGCCTTTGCCATCAACTCATCAGGTGGCAAGCAGCTCTCTCCCAGATTCAGCCCCCACTCGTCTTCTGCAGTATATAGAGAGAATCATAGAATTGTAAAGTTGGAAGGGACCACGAAGATTATTTAAGTCCAACCCCCTGCAATGGAGGAATCAAAACGACCCTGAGATTAAGTCTCATGCTCTACCAACTGAGCTATCTGTGAGTAATAATGACGCTCACCTGCTTTACAAAGTTGCTGTAAGTATTTTGAGCATGCAAAAACACTACATAAATGCCTGGGATAACTACTCTGCTTCTGTACAATTCCGAGGTCAGACACTAGCCATCCCATTGCACAGGTGAGGTAAACTGAGGGTAAGAGAGATCCCAGTTTGTTCCAGACCCACTGAATGAGTTATTGGCTTAAACAGGGACTTGAACCCCAGGTTCATTGCCAACCCAATATGACCCAGTGAAGAGAGACAAAGGACTGTACATGATGTCTTGCATGATTTGGTCTTCTTGCCACATGAGAAACACTGTGGTGTAGGTGGTTACAGTGTCAGGCTAAGATTGGGTAGACCCAGGTTCAAGTTCTCCCTCAGCCATGAAGCCTTGAGCGAACAACTGAGCTGGCTAAAGTAAGGAGGGCTGTGGAATATAGAGGGAAAATGTGAAATAGTTCTTCATTTCTGGCATTACTGGGACCTAAGACTGCGTAGAAATCTCCTTCTTTAGCTTGAAATCCTCTTTCTTTGTAATGTGTGGTGGAGCCTGATTGTGCCTCCGATTGTGGCACCCATGCTCAGAGGCGCATTGTCTGCTTTGTGTGTTCAGGGGTGAGCCCAGGTATTGAAAAAGAGTCCTGGGGCTGAGTCCTGGCTCAAAAACAGCTGTGACTGGAAGCCAGGATTCCTGGATGGTATATTTTGCTCTCGGAGATGATTCCATGGTGGAAATTAATGCTTTTCAAGGCAAGATCTAGGGGGGAGGGGTTGCAGGAAATTGCTACCTTGCTGACTCTGGAAGATATGTATTGGCCTGCCCATTTTGACTCTTGTCTGGGGATTAGGTGAACCTTTGCCTCAGGCAGCCAGCCAAGATGACGTGACCAGGTGTTGCAAGGATTTCCGGGGAAGGGCTCCACCTGCTGAACTCTGCCCATGCATCACAATCCCAGCTCATAAAATGCTGGGTTCTCTCCCTCCCTCCCCTCTCTTTCTCTTTATTTTTCCTGTCCTCCTCCTCAAACCTACCTGAATTTACCCTCCAGCTACTGTTCTCCTGGTCTCAACCTTGATTTGCTCTTTTGTTTTGAGAATAAGCCAGTGGTAAGAGTTTCAGAACCCTGCAGGCCAGGGTTCAGCCCCCTCCCTTTGGCTTTCTCCGTTTCTGCCATATGTAAAACAGGAATGATAGCAGCTTTTACGGGACCCGTAAACAAGGATGAATTGGATGGGGGAAAGCCATACAGTCACCGAAGTGAGAAAATACATACTGGTAAATTCCAACCCTGTGGAAGCATCTCCAATCCCATCGTTTGCCCGGACACTGAGGTCCAGTGCCAAGGGCCTTCTGGCAGTTCCCTTGCTGCGAGAAGCCAAGTTACAGGGAACCAGGCAGAGGGCCTTTTTGGTAGTGGCACCCGCCCTGTGGAATGCCCTCCCACCAGATGTCAAAGAGAAAAACAACTACCAGACTTTTAGAAGACATCTGAAGGAAGCCCTATTTAGGGAAGCTTCTAATCTTTAATAGACATTAAATAGACAATGTTTAATGTTTTAATATTTTGTTGGAAGCCACCCAGAGTGGCTGGGGAAACCCAGCCAGATGGGTGGGGTATAAATTATTATTATTGTTACTGTGCCCCCTTTAGCACAGCATAGTTCAAGGCTGATTATATTCTATGCCCCTGCATCATGTGTGCAGAGGGCCTGGTGCTTCAACCACAGGCTGGTAAAGGTAAAGGGACCCCTGACCATTAGGTCCAGTCATGACTGACTCTGGCGGCGCTCATCTCGCTTTATTGGCCAAGGGAGCCGGCGTACAGCTTCCGGGTCATGTGGCCAGCATGACTAAGCCGCTTCTGGCAAACCAGAGCAGCGCATGGAAACGCTGTTTACCTTCCCACTGGAGTGGTACCTATTTATCTACTTGCACTTTTTGGCATGCTTTTGAACTGCTAGGTTGGCAGGAGCAGGGACCGAGCAACGGGAGCTCACCCCGTCGCGGGGATTTGAACCGCCGACCTTCTGATCGGCAAGCCCCAAATGCCCCCATTCCAGCTGCACATGAGAAAGACAGAGTCTTGAGCAGAGCGAAAAAGCGTGTTTTCATAGGGTCATTGGAAGCTGCCTCATATCTGAGTCACATTGATCGGTCCATGTGACTCAGTATTCTTGATACTGATGGGTAGCGACTCTCTAGCGATTTGAATCTTTCTCAGCCCTACCCAGAGATGCCAGGGTTTGAACCGGGATCATTTGCACGCCAAGTGTGCCTGCTCTGCCCCTGAGCTAATGCGCCCTCTTGCAGAATAGAGGACTTTGCAGCTGGAGGGAATCTCAGGTAAGGTAAGGGGAGGGGTCCACTAATGTGCTCTTTCTCAAAGCGCCACAAAGCTCTGGATCAGGGGTAGGCAACCTAAGGCCCATGGGCCGGATGTGGCCCAATCGCCTTCTCAATCCAGCCCGCAGATGGTCCGGGAATCAGCCTGTTTTTACATGAGTAGAATGTGTTCTTTTATCTAAAATGCATCAGCGTTATTTGTGGGGCATAGGAATTTGTTCATTCCCCCCCCCCCCCAAAAAAAGTCTGGCCCTCCACAAGGTCTGAGGGACAGTGGACCGCCCCCCCCCACTGAAACAGCTTGCTGACCCCTGATCTAGTCCATGGGTAGGCAAACTAAGACCCGGGGGGCCGGATCCAGCCCAATCCGGCCCGTGGATGGTCCGGGAATCAGTGTGTTTTTACATGACTAGAATGTGTGCTTTTATTTAGAATGCATTTCTGGGTTATTTGTGGGGCATAGGAATTCGTCCCCCCCAAAAAAAAAATATAGTTCGGCCCACCACATGGTCTGAGGGCCAGTGGACAGGCCCATGGCTGAAAAAGGTTGCTGACCCCTGCTCTGGATCTACACCAGGCTGTCACCTTGAACCCTCAGCAACACCCCTCCCCCTGCACATTTTATTTCAGGAGAAAAAGTTTTTCAGAGCAATAGAATATGCGGGGAGCTGATGTGCTGTCAGCACTCAATTTGGGTTTCCTTGGCTCAGGTTTGCTTGTTGCTGTTGTTTTTACCACAGGGTACATGCAACAGCTCTGCCTTCTTCCACCCTGTCTCACAGCAGATCCCTCCCTCATCCACTCCCTGGGAACAGGGAGCCGCCAGCAGTGGCTGGGAGGGGTAGGGAGAAAGGTGTTGACACTAAACAGTCATAGCAAAGGAATTGACTGCGGTAGTTTGAAGAGCCTGGGGCAGGGAAGGGGGAGAGGAGAGTCTGGCAGAGCCTCTGCTCTGTGCCACCCCATACCCTTCCCTTTCCCACGTTCGTCACGCTGGCGTGCAACGCGACCGATCTCCTCATTGAGGCATAGGCGTGCGTGTGAATTTCGGCTCTGTGGATTCACATTTGGCAATGCTGTGTGTGTACGAGAAAGAGAATTGGGGGTGGGGGAGTGATGAATGCATTAAGTGTTGTGGCACAAGGAAGAAGAATCTTTGGCGCAAGGTGCGTCTGCGCTCCACAGGGCATGCGGAGAACGCTTTCTGCGGCCCTTGTACCTGATGTGAATGTCGTTCTCGGTGTGATTCATGCCGAGAGCAGTTCTGGTCTCTGCTGCGACTGGGATTAGTTACGTAACTCGGGGAGGCTTCCTGGCTGTTCTCTGGACTCCCAGCTGGGCTCAGCCTTGATCTGGTCTCGCAGGGAAGCAGCTGTGGGCTTTGGCCCGGGCCCAGAAATGTGGATGTCGCTGCCCCCAGACTTCCCACCGTGGATGTCTGTGGACATATGAGTTGACTGGCGAGCCGGGCGGAGGGGAGGGGAGCTGGGGGTGGGGGCACTTCAGCTTCTACCCCATCCGGAGCGCTGGCTTTGAGCCAGCCTCAGGTACGAGGGAGAGGTTCGGGTTTCTCTCCCTCTCTAATAACTGGGTCTTGTTCTCTGTCAAGGAAACCCTGAATTATTCCAATCAACGTAATACACGTAAAACGCTTCTTTCAGTGGAGAGCACTATTGCGGGGGCATGAGACAGGCAAACCATAGCTTTTAAAAGCTTGTCTAGCCAATTAGAGTGAAGCTACAGCAGGGAAATGTAATTGCTAAATGCAGTGTCCATATTCAAGAGGCAATATGCCTGTGATTATTAGATGCCGAGGGGCAAGCAAGATGGCGGTGGTGGTGTTTATCTTCACATGGTTTCCTGGACTATTTATCTGGCCGCAGACTGCTGGACTAGGTGGTCTGACCCTGGCAGAGCCTAATGTTTGTTCCTAATCCATGATACCCCCACAATTACTGACTTAACCTCAGCAACTCAAAACTGGCCAAAATACTGCCCCTGAACAGGGATGGGAAGGGAGCCTTTGGTCATCCAAATGCTGTTGTACTACAACTCCCATCATCCCTGGCTGCTGGCTTATGGTTCCAACAAGCCCCAGAATGTGGTCCAGGAACGGCCATGTTGAGGTGGTTCAGTCTGTACTCGCTGGAGCCCGTAGTCACCATGAAGTAGGTTGAGTGACCTGTTGATGTCAAGCATCCTCTGAGACAGGAGTCTCTTCTGCAAGAAGCCCTCCCACTTCTCATGGTGAGAATGCCAGCATGGCCAGTAGTCAGGGGTGATGGGAGTTGTAGTCCAAAAACATCTGGAGCACCACAGGTAAACACAGCCCTGATGTAAGAGAAAGGCTGGGATCCCACAGCCAATCGTAGTCTCCTTCTGAGACCTGCCCATCGGGTGGATTTGCAATGGCTGTCATGGCTTGCACTTCAGGTACATGGAAGAGTTCCTGAAGAAAGACCCGGGGAGATTAATAATAATAATAATTTATTTATACCGCTGCCCATCTGGCTGGGCTTCCCCAGCCACTCTGGGCGGCTTCCAACAAAATATTAAAATACCATAATACAGCAAACATTAAAAGCTTCCCTAAACAGGGCTGCCTTCAGATGTCTTCTAAAAGTCTGGTAGTTGTTGTTCTCTTTGACATCTGGTGGGAGGGCATTCCACAGGGCAGGCGCCACCACCGAGAAGGCCCTCTGCCTGGTTCCCTGTAACTTGCCTTCTCGCAGTGAGGGAACCACCAGAAGGCCCTCGGCGCTGGACCTCAGTGTCCGGGCAGAACGATGGGGATGGAGACGCTCCTTCAGATAATAAGGAAACATTTCCTCTTTCCTTCTTTAGTGCAGCCTTGATTCCAGCACACTTGTGGGGCTAGCGATGCTTGGGCAAAATGCCATCCTTGGGACGCTCTGCCCCCCTTTCCAATACCATATAAGCCCCACTGTGCCCCATGGCGGAGATGGGGGGCACAAGAACTTACCCAGCCCTGGTTTGACCAATGGCTGTGTAACATGGAAGAACCTGGAAATGCCAGTCCCATTCAAGGGCTACCTGTGGAGTGGCAGCTGAGGGAAGCAGAGCGTTCCTGTGGAGACAAAACCCTCTCTTGTGGGGAGAGTGGCTCTCCTGAACCACCTCTGTGCCCAGCTTTCCTAACCCTGAATAGATGTGCACTCTGCCCATGCTCCTCAGCTCTCCATTGTCTGAGATGCTTCTCTACCCTCTTTCCTTTTCCTTGTGATATTGCCTTCCCTCCACTTACTTCAAGCAGATCCTATCTCTCTTTTTTTTCATCCTTCTTCTGTAGCATCATGCCCTCCACAGATGACTCAGCTGCTTGCATCTGCAGAATCACACCCGCTTCTTACTCTCTTCTTGTCTCCCTATGGCAGTAACCAGCTGAGGCCCCCCATCCGGGAGTTCCAGATGGGTCTTGGATCAAAGTGATTCCCGTCCCTCAGAAGCAGGAGACAAACCAATCTTCCAGACATGGAGGTGAAGGGGCAACTCATCAACTCATCCAGCTACAGCTCTTCAGGTACCTTCCTACTGATACATCTGATGACACCCCCCTCCCAAAAAATTAATTTTTTCCCTTCCTGCCTGGCTGATCACCTCGTCCTCCCATTTCTGCACCCTGTGAGAGTTAAATCTTTTTTAAATTATTATTTATTTAAATATTTTATTATTAAAATAATTCAACATTAATACATATTATGAATATACAAACATTGTATGAAATGTATGTTTCTGTGAGAGTTAAATCTGGGGCTTGCCATGGATTTCAAACCTTCACTGACCCTTTTATTCAGGCGTGGGGAAACACAGACCTGGGGGCTCAATGTTGCCCTCCAGACCCCTTTATGGGACCCTTGAAACCCTCTCTCAGCCACATCCCCTCCCCCCAGCCCTCACCCCTCACGCTGCTTTGCACCCCAAGCGTGTGCCCTTGAACTCTGATCCTGCCTCTTGACAAACAGGGAGGGTGTGTTTTGTGTATGTGTGTGGGTGTAGAAACTCGCCTACCATACAAAGATGAAATTTGAAATGTTCCATTGCCCTGTTGTCGAATTTCGCCCGTTAATTTGGCTATTTCCGCATATTCCAGAAGAGTGGCAGTACAAGGTCATGGAATATGCGGAAATAGCTAAATTAAGGGGGTAAATTCAACAACAGGGCGATGGAACATTTCAAAAAGAATGGGGGGAAATTATGTTATATATAGGATCAGTGAAATCAGTAGAATGTATAAGTGAAATCAGTAGAATGGATATATAGGATAAGTAAAATCAGTAGAATGGAAATAAACCTCTTAATGGGAAATTAAAAGAAACTTTATTGGATGTTAATGACAATATGAATTAAGATGTAAAATACAATCAAGGTAACTAATTGTATCTGTAAATGAATATAGACAAACAACAAGACGTGTACATACAGAAAGATTTATTTGTATATAGACACTGTACGGATAAAGTTGAAAGAAAAACAATAATATACAAAATCGATAAAGACAATGCGAAAAACGTAGAGACGACATTAAAAAGCCGGAAGAAGAAGGAAGGAGGGAAGTCAACTCTTAAGAGTAAATGTAAATGTAAAGTAATGTGTATAAGCATAGTAAAAAGGTAAAGGGACCCCTGACCATTAAGTCCAGTTGTGACCGACTCTGGGGTTGCGGCGCTCATCTCGCTTTATTGGCCGAGGGAGCCGGCGTACAGCTTCTGGGTCATGTGGCCAGCATGACTAAGCCGCTTCTGGCGAACCAGAGCAGCGCACGGAAACACCGTTTACCTTCCCGCCGGAGCGGTACCTATTTATCTACTTGCACATTGACGTGCTTTTGAACTGCTAGGTTGGCAGGAGCAGGGACCAAGCAATGGGAGCTCACCCCGTAATGGGGATTTGAACCACCGACCTTCTGATCGGCAAGCCCTAGGCTCTGTGGTTTAACCCACAGCGCCACCCGCATCCCTGTATATGCATAGTATGTAGTTATAAAATCAATAAAGATTATCTTCAAAAAAGAAGAAGGTGAAATTTGAGTTTGTTGCTCTGCTAGCTTTTGCTTCTGGCCACCCCTGGCATGTGGCCCTCAGAACATTGCCCACAAAGGACTGCGGCCCTCAGGCTGGAAAAGGATCCCCTCCACCCCCGCTTTAATCATCTGCTTCGCTCTTTCCTCCGCAGAGGCTTTGCAGCGGGACCTCTGTCCGCGGATCCGGCTGGAGCGGGTGCAAGAGCTGCTGGAGAAGCAGCGGTCGCTCCAGCAAGTTCTCAGCCTGCGCCTTAAGGAGCTGCGCCGCATTTGCCTTCAGGAGGCTGTGAGTACCCGTTGGCCGGAGCACGGCTTGATGTGGGCGGGCGAGGGGCTGGCGCTGCCTCTGGGACTAGCCAAGACAGTTCCGGCGGCGTGGAAAGTTGAAACCGTCCCTGGATGTAGAAAGCAGCTTGTGTCCCGTCAGACGGCAGATTCTCAAGAATCTCAGTTTCAATAGGGCAAATTCCTGGTCCGTGTTTGCTGGGGAGCAGAGGGTGAAATCCGAGGAGAAGTAAAAAGTAGAGACCTCTTGAAATTCTTCTCCCTATTTGTGGGTAGAGAAATTGGAGCAGAGGAACCCAGGAGATGAACAGCGATCCAGTGGTGTCTTGGGGAAGGAGGTCACCCTTAGCAGTGGCAGGAGCACAGTTTATTTCTTTTTTCCCTAAAAAGGGGGCGGGTTGTGTGACCAACACACACACATACACCCCCCAAAAAATAAAGTGAAGGGTGTTTGAAAAAAATTCTGCCAAGCGGACTCCTTTTTCTTTTTTAAAAACATTTTTATTGATTTTCCAATAAAAACAGCCAATCAACATATCCACATCATAATCCAATTAAAAACAAGAAACTAAAATTTTAAAAAGACCAAATTGTAATCCAAATTGTAATTATTAATTTTTCCGGGTTCCCCATAGTCTGGACCTCTGAAGCATATCTCCAAATCTTCAGTCCTGCCTCTTCTCATTGTTTCCATATTTTCCGCCTTCTGGTTTTAACGCTTTAAAGTTCTCTGTCCCTGGCTATGCGATTCTCAATCATGAAAAAAATTCTGCCAAGCGGACTCCTTTTTCTAAGGAAAAAAGAAAAACCTTGAATTTTTCTCTGGAAAAAATGTATCCTCAAGATTTCAGTGCCGCTCTAGTTTAAAACTGACATTGGAAAGAGTTTGGGTAGTGGGCTGGCTGTCCTCCTCCACATGTAAGAAAATGCCAGCAGATGCCACCCCCAAGTAGGTCCTGCTCTGTGCTTTGTTAGACATAGATAGGTCAGAGTTCCATCCCTGGGCCTGAAAGCATAAAGAGGAGCACACAGGGGGAAGGCCTCTTTAGAAATAATACTTCCAGCCTGGGCTGGTCAGGCCACTGGGCGCCACATTCACAAACAGGAGCGCAACTCGAGCAGGGCAGACAGATGGGTCAGGGGGTGTAGAAACTCAAGTGATTTGAGGAACGGTTGAAAAACAGATGGGCGCTTATAGCCGGGAGAAGAGGAGATGAAGGTGAGACTCAACAGCCGTCTTCAAGCATCTGGAGAGCTGTCACACAGAAGATGGAGTAGACTTGTTCTCTGTTACTCCAGAGGGAAAGACTAGTAGAACCAAGCAGTATCCAAGCAGGTTATATTCAGAGCAGGCCCAGCGGAATGAATGGACCCAAGTTAACCACATCCACCAATTTCATTTGGTCTACTCTGGAGTATGACTAATGTGGGATGCAATGCAAGGAAAGTTCAGGGATTCAGAGTTTGGCCTGGCAGGATGTCCTGCCAAACATATGGCCAAACTCTGGTTCCCTGCACTTTCCTTGGGTTGCATCCCACATCCCACAGTGCAGCATCCCGGACAGGTGGCCAACCAGCCTCTGTTTAAATCCCTCAGCAAAGGACGGCTCGGAAGGCAGCCTGTTCCACTGTCAAACAACTCTTAATGAGGCTGCACTGCAGGTCCTGCATTGAGCAAGGGGGAGAAGGCTAGTTGACCATCAAGATTCCATCCAACCTTTCATTATTCTAGATAAGTTGGATTCATATCATCTAGGACGGGGATGGGGAGCCTGTGGCCCTCCAGTTGCTGTTGAGAGTCCAGCTCCCTTCAGTCACTCTCATCAGCATGCCCAGTGTTCAAGGATGATGGGAGATGGAGTCCAGCAGCCTCTGGGGGGGGGGCATAGATTCATCATCCCTGAAGTAAAGCTTTTATTTATTTATTTTTCAAGAAAGAACGGGGAAGGTTTATTTAGGAGAACCACTGTAAGCGAATGAAAACGCTAGCAGGATCCTATTAACACTCGAAACGTAACAAATACCATGGGCGATACGGAGAGATGCAAAATACGGACGGTGAAATATTACACAGTTGAAAACGTTGAGAATATAGGACCCAGGGAGGGGATGGAGGGAAGTCTGGAGTTTCGGAGAAATCTCTAAAATATGAAAATGTATTTGGTATTGTGATAACTTTACATCAAATAGAAATTATTGAAGTAAAGCTTTTAGAGGTTGCGAACTGCGACAGATCGGTTTTGGAAGTGCGCTGCAGAACAAATAAATGCATGCAGATCTGGCTGGTTTTGTGTGAGCTACCAAAATCCAGCTGGTCTTGGTGCAGAATTTTAATCTTGAGCACAGAAGATGAACAGGTGTCTCAGCCTGGCCCAGGATGTCTCACCTGGGCAGTATTGACAATGCCGCTTGCATCCCTTCCCATTGCCAGGAACTGACAGGACAGTTGCCTGCCGAATACCCCCTGGAACCAGGGGAAAGACCCCAGCCTGTGCGCCGGAGGACGGCAGTTGCCTACCGAATTCCCACTGCCCTCAAGAATGAGGTGAGCGGAGGGGGTGGGGGAGAGCGAGTGGTGGGGAGGGGGGGGGTTTCAGGGGCGGCTCTGACAATCCTCCCGTTGCCTTGCAGGAAGCTCCTTCCCTGGAGGAGCTGACTCAGGAGCTGGCTCTTCAGCAGCAAGTGGCGGAGGCTGCCCGGCGCCTCACCGTGGCTCCAGATCTGACAGCTGAGCAGCGCCGCCGCCGGAGGCAGGTGCAGGCAGACGCCGCCCAGCGCCTGCGGGAGCTGGAAGCTCAGGTGGCAGAGTTCCGGGTGCGACTAGGCAAAGGGCCCTCCCAGAGGGGCAGCCATGGTGCGTTGCTCGTCCACCCTTTAAACCCTGTCCCCCTGCCATCTGTGGGTGCAGTCCACCCTGCTGTAGCGCTTGTGCAGAACATTTCTGCTTGTGCCCGGGATGGGGGAGCCAGAGGTCCTTCACGTGTTGCCAGACTCCAGCTCCCAACACTGACCGTGCAGCCTGGAGGCGAAGGGAGTTGGAGTCCAGCAACGCTGGGAGGGCCACATGTTCCCCACCTCTGGTTTGTGCCATGGAACATCTTCCCCTTCCTCTCCATTCCACCACAGCCTTCAAAATCTGATACACGCCTTCAAAATCTGCTTCATGGGAGCAGGGAGACCCTCCAGGGCATATTTTGTGGGTTGCCCTAACCACTACTGGAATGCAGCCCTTGACAGCTTTCCACTGGGATAAGGACTCTTGGTCCAAAAGGGGTCCCCTCCCCCAGTAGCCAAATAGACTGAGTGCATTTTCTGGCAATGTGAGGGTTTCCTACCATGATTCCTCCTCTTGTAGGAGTGAACTTGTGTGAATGTAGCAGTTCTCCTATCCAAGCTGCTCGGTACCCGCCCTATCCTTCTGGTATGGTCTGAGGAATATTAGTCATCACACCCTGTTTTCTGATTGATCCCTGATTTATCTCTCTTTCATCAAAACAAAACAAAAAAGAAGAGGCTTTTCATTCAGAGAGCAGCTCCCTCTCCGAATCAGCCAGCCATGAAAATGGTAAGTGTGGTCTGCGGCCCCCTGCGTTTCTTTCCTAGATTAAGGAGGGAGCAGTTGGTGGTTCTGGGTAAATGACAAGAGGCTAAAGGGATGCCTTTGTCTGGTTTAAGGTGCTGGTTTTAACCTTTAAAGCCCTATACGGCCTCAGACCTACGGGACCTCCTCTCCTGGTATGTCCCACGGAGGACCTCATGGTCTTCAAATAAAAACATCTTAGAGATCCCAGGCCACAGGGAGGTTAGACTGGCCTCAACCAGAGCCAGGGCTTTTTGGCTGTGGCCCCGATCTGGTGGAACGCTCTGTCACAAGAGAGTAGGGCCCTGCGGGACTTGACATCTTTCCACAGGGCCTGCAAGACAGAGCTGTTCCACCAGGCCTTTGGCCAAGGCACAGTCTTTGGTAATCCTCATAGAACGCTAGCCCAATGGTTGCTATTAATTTGATTCTGAACTGATTTTAGAATGTATTTCAATTAATTGACTGATTTTATGTAAATTGTGCTATTTTTACTGTTGTTATCTGCTCTGAGCCCGGCTTTGGCTGGGGAGGGCGGGATATAAATAAAATTTTATCATTATTATTATTATTATTATTATTATTAAATGTGAGGTGCTGAAGGCTCAAGCTACCTTGGCCCCTCATCTTTGGCCCGGAGATGATGAAGCAAAGGGACTCTAGTATTAAGGGGTGTGTTTGTGGGTGGCGTCTTAATGAATGCCTGATTTGAGTGCATAGCGTCATCAATGGGATCCGGACGTGAATTGAAAATAACTCCTACTTTGGAGTCAGCTTCTTGGAAGAAGCATGTTCTAATGTGGAAGGGGTCAGGGTGGGGGAAGAGAACCTTCTCATAGCACATTTGCCAGACCAAATCAAAGGTGGCAAAGAAACCCTCAAATGTAATGTGGCCAAAACAGCTTTGTTGGTGTTACTTATTTTCTGCCCTCAAAATGGGCCCATCTAAGGAGGGAGACTCATTGGCCTGTAGCATCGTTTACTGTCCCCACGGTGTTGGGGCACCAGGAGAACAGAGGAGCAGGTGTGGCCCCAGCATTGAGCAGTGCTGTTGATTCACCCAGCCGAGTGAGAGCACAGAACCCAGTTGATGCAGCATACGGGGGAACTGAGTCGCATGAGCTGGTACCTCCTCGAGGAACTCCCTGGTCCTCCTCGGAAGGACCCTCGTCCTATGGTAAAACTGCTCCTGGGGTGTACCATTCCAGACTGCAGGCAGCAGCTGCATAACGGCATGCTTTCTGCCCCTTTCTGCTAGGACTTCTAACTTTCTCCCTTGCATTGTGTCCAACTGCCTGCAATGCAGGAATATGCAGCCGTCCCTTATAGGGATCAAACCTGCAACTGTGGCGTCATCAGCATCTGAAATATCCAGGCTGAGGATGATCACATTTATGTTCAGAAAGCATAAACTGTTGGACTACCATTTTTTTTATTGTTGTTGTTTTTGCCGAGGTAGGGGTGTGTGGATGCTTCTACTCTGTGCCCTGTGCTCTGTCCTCAGACGACCCCCACAGCTTCCACCCCTCCAAAGTCTCCAACCACCAGGGGACTTTTTTTGACCGTCCTTCGCCCCCTAAGGCCCGAGATCACCTGCGTGCCATCTCCAGTAGCCCCGACCGCAGACCAGGATGGCGGCTTTTGCAGCCGGACCTGTACAACGAGGGCAAGGACCGCAGGAACTCTGTTGCCAGCCCTGCCAGGTGACTAGGAGATGCTTTTGGCCTTTTGTGTGTGTCTCTCCAGTAACAAAGTGAACCAGAGGGAGGAGGGAGTTTGTTGCTGAGCTGATTGACACCCAGGGAGCCCCCTTAAGGGCCCATTGCAAGGACACGTGCAGCAAAAGGAGGTGGGATTGTAGAACGTCAGGCTGAAGAGGCAGGGTGCCATTTTGAATGCTGCCCCACATAAAAATGCCCACAGAGGTGAAATAGATTGCTCGCCTCTTCTTCCCTTTAGCAAATGACTGTACTGTTGAAATGATGATGAGATCCCATTGGCCTATTTATTCTGAATGTTTTTAAGTGATGCCAGTAAAGGTTTGATGATGGTGATGATGATGATAAAAATGCAAAACACACAGCTCCCTGACAATAGAAAGCTGGCCCATGACGGAGAAAGGGAGTGAGCTAGACTGTAAGCCAAGTGCTGGCCTTCCATGGCAGGGTGTTTGGGTTTGTTTCTTCAACAGAGAGAAACTTAAAAAAAAAATATTGATGCCTGCCTAGCAATCTTAAATGGCTTCTTCTGCTCTGCCTCCTCAGGAGTTTGCTCCCTCATTCAGTTGCACATGTAAACCTGGCCACGTGTGTAGTAGCTGATTTTCCTTAAAGGTTGGAGATGGGGAGACCATATAACTCTTCCTAAAAGACCTGCATTGGCTCCCAGTATTTTTCCAGGCACAATTCAAGGTGTTGGTGCCGACCTTTAAAGCCCTAAATGGCCTCGGCCCAGTAGACCCGAAGGAGCGTCTCCACCCCCGTCGTTCAGCCCAGACACTGAGGGCTTTCTGGCGGTTCCCTCACTGCGAGAAGTGAGGTTACAGGGAACCCGGTAGAGGGCCTTCTTGGTAGTGGCGCCCACCCTGTGGAACACCCTTCCATCAGATGTCAAAGAGAACAACAACTACCTGACATTTAGAAGACATCTGAAGGCAGCCCTGTATAGGGAACTCTTTAAAGATTGATGTTTAATTCTGTTTTTATATTTTGCTGGAAGCTGCCCAGAGTGGCCAGGGCAATCCAGTCAAATGGGCGCCATATAAATAATAACATTATTATTATTAAGAAAGGAAAAGTATAGCTGTTAAATTTCTTATTTTTTGTGTGCTGGCCAAGACTATCACTTTGGTTCTGGCCTTTGTGGCCACCAAACCAGGATCACGAATGAGAAAATGGGTGGGGAAAAGACTGGCAAGCCCTATTGTGTAGTCATGTACCATTATCCAAGTGGGCATTTGCACTGTGTGGTTAGGAACCTCTCCCCCATTTCCTGATTCTGCCATGAGAGAAATCATTCTAGGCTGCAACGAAGGGTCAGTTGCCCTGTTTTACTGTGTCCAGGGCTACATGGGCTTTTTGGGCACAATCAGCTTTGTTGAAGCCTTTTTTGCCAGAAAACTGTCTGAGAGCTTCAATGAGGCCAAATTCATCACCTTCAGCATGTTCTCGTTTTGTAGTGTTTGGATCTCGTTTGTTCCAGTGTACCTGGGCACGAAGGGGAAATACATGGTGGCTATGGAGATCTTTTCCATCTTAGCCTCCAGCACTGGCTTACTGGGCTCCATCTTTTTCCCAAAATGCTATATCATTGTGTTGAGACGTGACCTGAACAGCAAGGAGTGCTTAATAAAGAGGAAATAAGGAACCCAGCCAACTGACACTGCCTTTTGTCTTAACAATAAGGGCAGATTAGAGATGGTGCCTTTCTTCCCAGATTCATAAGGATGATAGAGATTGGCACTTCAAGCCTCTCTTGACACCTTTGCCTCTAGGGTCAGCTTTTGGAGCAGGAGTAGCCCTGCAGATGGTCTTGGGACTCCCATGAACCCTAGTCAGCATGTCGAATGACCTGGGATTATGGAGGTTGTAGTCCAAGAACATTCGGAGGGCACTCTGGTGTTTTCTGCAAGCAGAACTGAACTACTTATAACTCAGCTTCTTAGAGTTAGCACATACCTCAAAAGTAGATTAGGGAAATGACGCTGAAACTGATAACTTGGAATATTAATGGTCTTAATGAGAAATCTAAAAGAAATAAAGTTGAACATGTTTTTTGGGGGGGAAAGAATCTTGATGTAATCTGTTTACAATAAACCCATGTTGCTAAAAAACACAGACATATTTTAATTAACAAAAGGCTGGGTAGAGAGTTTATAACTTCGGATGTTAATAAAAAAAGAGGGGTGGTCTTCTATATAAAGGAGAGATTAGATCCTAAACTGATTTCTAAAGATGAAGAGGGGAGAGTGATTGTGGTACAAATAACGCTGCAGGGCGAGAGGCTAATTGTAGCTAATTGTACATGAACATGTACAGAGTGCTGTACGTAGGGGCTGACCGGGACTGGCTCTTTTAGGAATTATTTTGTCTTCGCTTGTTTTCAGCCCAAGCCGCACCCTTCCCAGGAGTGCTTCCAGCTTTGAGGGCCGGAGTGTGCCTGCAACCCCAGTGTTGGCAAGAAGCGCTTGTACAGGCGGCCACCAGTTCAGGTAGGCAGAATGCTGGGTTTCCACCCACAGGGGCTGGATGTGAGGTTGGGCTGGAGGCAGAATGGGGTGGGGGTGTATGTGGAATTTGTGAGAAGTTTAGCTGATCATTATCAGTGCTTTTTTCTGGGGGGGGGGGTGCAGGGGTACGCATACCCCTAAACATTTTGTGAATCTAAGTTTGGCCTTATTGAGGGGCAGTATTTCAATATGAGTCGGAAAATGTAAAGGTAAATGGATCCTTGACCATTAGGTCCAGTCGTGACTGACTCTGGGGTTGCGGAGCTCATCTCACTTTATTGGCCAAGGGAGCCGGCGTGCAGCTTCCGGGTCATGAGGCCAGGATGACTAAGCCGCTTCTGGCGAACCAGAGCAGCGCACGGGATTCGAACCGCCGACCTTCTGATCAGCAAGTCCTAGGCTCTGTGGTTTAACCCACAGCGCCACCCGCATCCCGTTCGTAGGAAAATGAGAGTACCCCTAAACACTTTTTAGAAAGAAAAAAGCACTGATCATAATTATTATTACAAGATAAGAAAGTCACATTTTTATAGATGCTTTTATAATTATAGACCTACTGTATTCTAACAGTCACCAAACTGACATCTAAATCATTCTACATAAAATAAACTTTAACCTCATGTGATACAGCTATAAATACATTCTAAAATGTTATATTAAATATTGTTTTAAGTTTCTGTATTGTAAATTGTAATACCTGCAGCACTGAAAAGGCTTTAAATAATTCTAGTTGATGTTCTCGTTTCATATATTTAATAAAGGGGGATCTTTCTCTACCTTTATGTTTGCCTTAAACAGACTGTTCTGTTAATTGAGTCATAGTGGCAACAAATTTTATCAAGCCATTCTTGTTGTGTTGGAACTATTGGAGTATGCCATTTCAATATTTTGGCAGCTGTTAACAAAGCCCCATCTAAATTAGAATGTTCTGATCTCACATCTTCCTTTAAGATACCCTAGAAGAATTATCAGAGAGTATGCGATACACCTGTTTCCCCCCAAATAATTATTGCATGACTGCCAAACACGTGACTTTCTCCTCACATCTTCAACAGGTTCCACAAACATCTGGAATGGCTTCTCTTGACACCTCTCTCTCTTTCTCTGTCTCAGGTCCGAGGCCCCAGCTCTGCACCCCCGGCAATGGTCAGGCAGCCACGACTCCCAGCTCGGACCCCCGAGTCGCGACACCAGCGCTGACCGGGCCTCCCTCTTCGCCGCTCGGACCCGTCGCAGCAACAGCTCGGAAGCCCTGATTGAGCGAGCCCCTTCAGATGACCCCCTGTTCCCTGCTGCGCCCCCTTTTAAAAGTGCGGAGGCCCTGACCCCTTCCATCTCTGGCCGCAACCCTCGTCCCCCTTACAACGACCTCCTTCTGGACTACTACCTGGAACGCAGGTGCTGGGGCGGCGGCGACCATCTTTCGCGCCGGGACGGGCCCCCCCAGCTGGAGTGGGGGGCCTTTCCCGAGAGCCCGCTGCAGCGCCGAGCCCGCCCGGCTGCCCGCACTAAATCCTGCGGCCCGCTGTTGCCCCCCCAGTCCCGGGAGGTCGGTTACGGGCCCCCGCTGCCCCCTCAGCGCAACTTCCACAAAGCCCTGGCCCTGGAGGGACTCCGGGACTGGTACCTGCGCAACGCCGGAGTCAGCCAGCGGGGGGCGCTGGAGAGACGGGGACCCTCGCATCCCAGCCACCAGCCGCTCCGCGGCTACTACGAGCCAGCTGCTGCCAATCCCGAGACGGGCTACTATGGGGCGCCAGGGGGGCTGCCCCACTCAGTGAGCTACGCCGGGCAGCCGCTATATGGCAGGTATGGGGCACGACTGCACTATTTGCCCCGGTAACTGCATCCGCCCCATTCATCCTGCCTGCCTAATGCCCGACCCCCTAACACTGCTTCCTCAGAGTCTGTCTGTCTTTCTGCTCTCTTTTTTTTCCGGGCGCTTCCACCACGCTGCACTTTTCCCCAACTGCTCGGGAATTATTGTGCTTTGTTTTCTGTTGTTGTTTCTCCCCACCCACTAAAAGTGCATTGTTGGGGGGGGGTTGGGGGTGGAGGAGCACCCTTTTGTTGCTGCCTCTTGGTCCATTTCCGAAGGATTTGAAGGGGATCAATTGAGCTGCCAGGGGGCTGGAGTTTGGGGTGGACTGTCATGGGATGAAAGGAAGATATCTATACTTCTTGCTGTGTTCCTCCTTGCCTAATTCTTTTCTTCTTCTTCTTCTTTTTTCTCTCTCTCCCTCCCTCTCTTTCCGCCTTTTGATGTCCTGCTATGCCCTCTCAAGACCCTTTGGGGAACTCCTTTACATGGATGACTCTGCTGGCCTCTACAGCTTGGACTCCACAGAGCAGCCACCCCCGGGGACATTGGTCTGACCCCCCCCCCACTCTGCTTTTTTCCCCCAAGGGGAAATGGAGTTTGGTCTCTCTTTCTTTTCTTCGCTGGTGCCTCGTGTGTGCGTGTGTTACACCATGTTGGGGGGGCGGGAATTCCCTGCTGGCAGGGTTTATATACTATATCTATATATCTGTGTGTATGTGTGTGTGTGAGAGAGAGAGAAATTGAGAGTGTGAAGGGGGGTTGTTGCATGTAACACTGGACACACAACTGGGGGGAGGCCAAGGATGCCTCTCCAGTTCTTCCTACACATTATTAAACTTTTCCCATTTGAGATTTTTTTTAAGGGGGGATATGTATTTGCTGTACCCCACTGCCACTGACTCCCCCCCAAAGGGTTTAACTGCTGCAGGTTGCACCCTCTTGTGTTCCCAAGGAGTGGTGCAACATTTCTGCCCTGGTGCTGTGGGTCAGGGTGTGGCGTTTTCAACACCAGACCCTGGAATGTATCGTGGAGGGGTTTGCAGATGTTTGGGACCAAAGGATGCATAGCGCAGACTGTGGAATTTCAGTTCTCTTTAAAAATGTCCAGGAAAGGGGGAAATAATCTACACCCACCCCATGAGCAATTTCTGTTCATCCCCCTGCCCACTTCTGACAAGGGGTGTTGTGGGGGAGACTTTTGCAGAAAAGGGACTCCAGGTAAGGGAAATGCAAGCTCCTTTAAAAAAACAAACCCTCCAGCTGCTTCCTGGCAGGTGAAACTGGGATGGGTGCTAAAGAATGAGAGTTCTTGCTTTCAGTTCATCTCAAATCAAAGGTGAGGAACATGTCTCTCTTTGCCCCCCACCCCCCGTCGTTGCCCAGAGGTTGTTGCATAACAGTGCCCATCACCCATGGCTTTGCTGCCTGGGACTTAAGGGAGTAGGGAACCCAACAAGACCTTTGAGGGCCACAGGCTTAGTGCCCCATCTATTAAAAAAATTATGTAGAAAGCGGAGGGGTGTCAGAAGCTACTGGCTGAAACGGCCGTCCGTTATGGTGGCTGTGGGAACCGCGGGGGTTTCTGTTACAGCTGCGAGCGCGAAATTTGACTCGGTCCACGGGCAAGTGTGGCTCCTACGGGAAGACAGACAGGCAGACTTTTCACATGTGGGAAGATCTCTGTAAACATGGGTGTTTGCCACACAGCAACCTTAATGTGCAGTGCTGCCTGTCCATGTCTAAAAAGCACAGGCAGAGAGACCCTATTGCAAACCCCATTCAGCCATGCCACTGCCCCCCGCCCCAGCAATGTTACGAAGAAAACAAAACCCCTTGCTTTCATTTAAAAGCTTTTTAAAAAATGTGGTGGTTTTTCCTCTTCACAACTGCACAACAAGTGGTCACGTCGTTTAATAATCTGTTTTTGCCCATTGAATCCAGATCATATTTGGGGGGGGTAAGGGAAGGGGGGGTGAAGGAGGGATAAAGGAGGGCTCTTCTCCCCACCCCCACCCCTCTCGCCACTTCCCTCTGTGACGGACCAAGGTTCACAGCAGCAGAGTCACTGTCTTGCGTGTCTTTTTAATATTCACTGCTGTACAGATTGTATATTGGGGGCCTGAATGTAAAACTGAGCACTGTGCATATGAAATGAGAAAGGGTTTCTATAATAAAGATTGTAAAGGCGAGCGAGGCTGTGTTGTGTGGTGGCTTCAGGTACTGAGTCAAAGTGTCTTGTGTTCTTGGTGCAAACAGCATGCTGCGGGAGGCGAGAGCAGAGATGGCAATCCACTCCTGGCCCTCTGGATTGTGTTTTGCTCTGCATTAACCGGGAATGGCTACTCTTTCCTGGTTCTATACATGGAGTCACTAAGAGAGCAATCAGAATTTCCCCCGTGTGCCGAGAGGCAAAGTGGTGCATCCACCTTGACTGAACAGGCCTAAGAGAAGCAACTACAGTGGTGCCCCGCAAGACGAATGCCTCGCAAGACGAAAAACTCGCTAGACGAAAGAGTTTTCCGTTTTTTGAGTCGTTCCGCAAGACGAATTTCCCTATGGGCTTGCTTCGCAAGACGGAACGTCTTGCGAGTTCTTGCGAGTTTGTTTCCTTTTTCTTAAAGCTGCTAAGCCGTTAATAGCCGCTAAGCCGCTAATAGCCGTGCTTCGCAAGACGAAAAAACCGCAAGACGAAGAGACTCGCGGAACGGATTAATTTCTTCTTGCGAGGCACCACTGTAGCTCCCAGTGACTTGACTAAAGTAAAAATTCGGAAAGTTTTTAGTTCATAGGTATCATACCCCTCAATATCCCGTTTTCTTTGAGCCATGCTCTCGTGTGAGATTGTGGTTTCCTCTGGGACATGTTGTGGGGTATGAGATGTATCCACCCACCCACCTGGTGGGCTGTGTGATTAGTTTACCCTCCCTGCCACACACTTATCTTGTTCTTGATGTCCTCAAAAGTAGGTTGGTTGCGGCACCAATGCCAAAAGTATTCTCTGGTCTGTAAATCCTTCGCTTGTAATTGCTACGCTTGGTGAAAACTCCGTAATTACTCAATGGGCAGAGGAAAAACTGCACCTGCACCAAAATTGCCACACACACATTTCCAGCCCTTCCATAACACATTGCAAGGGGCCCCTGCAACAAAATGTTGCAGTGTGCTCTCACTTCTTGGGAAGAGCACTCCCATTTCTGCAATGGGCCATTCTACTAGTGGAAGGACCATAGCCAGAATGGTAGCTTGGTGATCTTGCACCCCTGGCAGAACCATCCAGATTGCGACCCCTAGCCATGGACAAATTAGCTCCTCTTACCGCCTCTCCTCCAAACCCCACCCCCTCCACCCATTCAATTCACCCTTTATTAAAAACCTTTTCTTAAGAGGCAATAATTGATATTTTTATTTGTAGACATATTTATGGACATATTTTAAAGCCAATTTTGCTCCCCCTCCTCATCCTCGGCCCTGGTGGGGGCCCACCTCACCACCCCCTAGCTACAGTCCTGACCATAGCTCAGAGGTGGTAGTGTCACACCTCGGGTTACAAACACTTCAGGTTGTTTTTTTTTGGGTTATGGACCACCGAAACCCGGAAGCACCGGAACAGGTTACTTCCAGGTTTCGGCGGTCGCGCATGCGCAGAAGCACTAAATCATGCTTTGTGCATGTGCAGAATGTGGGTTGCAAACGCTGCAGGTTGCGAACGTGCATCCCGCATGGATCACATTCGCAACCCGAGCGTCCACTGTACAACTGTTTTGCATGCAGAAGGCTGATGATTCAATCCCCCGCATCTCCAGGTAAGGCTGCAAATCCTAGAGAGCTGTGACCAGTCAGTGTAGACACTGGGAGACTAGATGAGCCAAGACTTGCAGGTCTCAATGTTCCTTAGGGCTTTCTCATCCACCTGGCCTGTTTTTCTGTATTTATTTTCCAGCTGATTAAACATTCAGCATGCTCGTTGCATTTTTATTTTTTTTTTGTGGGATTACCTCCTCAAGGTTTTCCTCTCTTTTTTTGCGTTTCAGCAAACCTCAGAGTTTGCCGATTCCTCCCTCCTGGGCCCACATTTTGTGTCCGATCTTTGGCAGCACTCACCATCCAAGATCACTATTGGAGCAAACTGCTGTTGATTAAGATGCAAAAACAACTGTTTTAAGTAAAGCAACTCACTAATTCAAGTGTATATCCAAAATAGTGTCGTGGTAAGCACTGTCCTTTATTTTCAAGGGGATGCAGAAATGTAAAAAAAACTAGACATAATAGGTTGCAGTATATAGCTGCTTTTTTAAAAAATGCAAATATAACTCACACTTCCCTTGGTCTTTTTTCATGGCTGCATCCTGTCTGAACATGTGCACTGGATGAACTCTAGCAAACCCAAGCGCTGGGTGAAACTGAGTGAATGGGCTGGATCTAGAGTTTCTCGTCTGCCAACAGAAGGACTCCCTTGTTTGTGGAGGGGGCTGGGGTCCATGGAGCCGCCTTGCTTGAAAAAGGTATCAGGACACGGATTTCAGCTGATTCCTCCCCACCAGGACTGTCTGCCATGCTATTTCTCACAAGCATTCCGAAGCAACTTTTTAGGAGGCTGCAGTAATAAGGAGGAATTGCCACTCCCTCCAGTTGAAGCAAAATTCCACTGCACACAAACCAATGCCTTTCTCTTCTTGTTTTGTGCATCAAGTTCCATGTGTGGATCAGTTTCCAAAGCCGTCAATTTGCAATAGTGCATTTAAATACAATATCGAATTCTAGGAATTCGCAGGGCTCCCTAGGCTGTGGATAGCAGCCTACTGCCCGGAGTGCGGGGCGCGCTGAAGCCGCGGCTGGGGGGGGATAAATTTTTTTCTCTTTATTCCCCCCCCCAAAAAAAAAACTAGGTGCGTCCTATGGGGCGAAAAGTTGTATTAATAAGTTGGCACTGCTGCTGAGCACACAGATGGCTGAAACCAAAGCACAACCTATGGAGAGAGCCCAAGAAAGGACTCCTTCAGCTATGGATTCCTGGTCTTATACATACAGGGCTGGATTCAGCGAAACAGATACACTGTCAGGAACCAGAACAAAGAGTTCTGCTAGCATAACAGGCCTTGTCCTCCCAAATTGGTTCAGGCGACGGTTAGAGAACCCCTAGAAGAACGGGCAGGGGGAGGAGAGGGAAGATTGTCCCGTCCAGCAAGCAGAAATGTTTGCTGTCACAGAACGATCAAATTAGCACACAGTTTAATCGAGGGGCACATTGGCAGAACGGTCATGAATCGGGCGAGAGAGATTGAAGGAATCCACTGCTGGGCATAGGGCTCCTGAAAGGCAAGCGAGAGTAAAAGGAGGCGCGATTCATAGAGGTTGCAGTGGTTGCGCTTGCTTTTTCCTTCCTCATACACACAAAATTGAGGGGTACAGAGGCGGCCACCTCCCCTTCACACACACACACACACACACACACACACACACAGAGAGAGACTTAGTGATTAAGTCATTTTGTCAATCAATAACATTTTTTTTTCTGCAAAAAAAAGTGCCATACAGAAGGTTTTGAAACTGATTTCCTCCCATTACCCAATAAATGCAAACTGCATACAGAAGAAATGGAGAGGTACAATATCTGAACCCCTTGGACAGTTGTTATTTTTGGCAATGCTTGTAGAATCTCCAAGCTCCTTCATTTTATTAAAACATCCTACCCTTCAGCTACATCTCTTAAAGACACACTATACCGGGGTTTGGTCCATTCTCTGAAGTTTTGAATACTGTAAGGACTCCGCAAAAGACAAGGAGTCAAACTCTGCCTGATTGGTCTCTGGAAATGGCTAGACAAGCCTCTTCTGCTCCTCTTAAGAACCTCTCGCCCTTTGCCTGGGGGTTCCCTCTGCGGAGCGGAATGTATAGGTTGCTACACAGCTTCTGAACTTCGGAGTGTCCCTTCCACACAATGCATAAGATAAGGGAAGCCCACAGGGTTAATGAATTACTAGCCCAATGGCCAGAGACATGTGAGCTGTAGTTCAAGAAAAGGCTCCCCATTTCTGACTTAGCTAGAGCTTCTTCAAAATTACTTTTCCCCTTTCCTCCATCCAATCCGAACTCTTGCCTAATCTCCCTTTTCTGAAAACAAGAGGCCAGGTGTTCTACAGAAGAGCAGCTTTCTGCAGGCCCCACTTCCCTCTAGCTGCAATGTGGGGATCAAGTACTGAGTTGCACAACATGGCTGTTGAAAGGAGTACATGCTGTAGGTGGAGCACTTGGGAGTGTTTGGAGCTGCTATATAAATGCTAAGTAATGCTATACTAGTAAATACTAAAGTTCGGCCGCGCTTGGAATAATTAGAACGAGGCTCCCTTTTAATTGGTTGGCTGGCTACTGTTCTTTGCTCTAGGATCAAGTCCTGATCCTTGGGTCATTTGTTTTTTTAAATGTGTCTAGGCATACTACAGTCTAACATTTTACACCAGTTTTTTTTTAATAAAAAAGATAATACAGCCTTGTCTTTCATAAATCTTATTTTCAGCTGCTTCTCCCTTTCTCATGCACTGGAACCCTTTTAAACTTAAACAGGTAAAGAGTCGCAGTACTTAATACTTAACAGCCAGTAAGAAATACTACCTTGATTTCCACTCTATTTGCAGTTCCCCTTCTACTCTGCTATCAAGCCTCATTCATTGGGGACAGGGAGTCCCAATGGCCATCTGCTCTGATCCACAGGACACAGGCCGCCTTTTGCATGAGCTCATAGCTGGGCCGCTAGGTTGGGTTAAGTGAACAGACAGCAGACAGGCTGGGGATCAGAGAGGGGGAAAGTGAACAGTCAATGGAAGGAAGGTAGCATATTTCCAAAGGGAAAAGGGAGAATTAAAAGAGAATCGTCTAGGATCCGGCTTCCTGTTCCTGTCCTAGAGCTTCCAGGAGCAGACCCATGGGAGTGCGCTTGAGTCCGATGCTCTCTATCTTGTTCTCAATCTTGTTTTTGAGGTTCCGGAGACGCAGGGAGGCATGGATGAGGGTCACTGCAGTGGAGAAAGGGTTGGGGGAGGTAGAAGGGCGAAATAAATAAATTACGGTCTTACGTAAATAATAAACGTTCATAAATGTACCAGGCAAACATGTACATAGATATATAGGCCACATGTCTGAAGCTCCACAGGAGAGAAGCCATGGAGCCATTTTGACTCCCAGGCTGACCAGGTGTTTTTTCTGCAAGGTCAAATGGAAGAGCCTCCCCATTGTCTTTTCCTTCACAAATGTCTTAAGGGTATGTCTGTGTATGAATAGGGTGAGCCTGTGACTTGGCTCAGGAACTAAGTACTTATCATTACAAAAGACTGGCCAGGCTCCCCAGGGTATCAATGCAGTAAGCATTAACAGGTAACTTGCCAGACAGAAGGTAAACAAACCACTCAGATTTCTGCTTTAGCCCACCCTTTCTGTGATATATCTGGAGTGGTGGTGCTTTGACTCCAAGGTGGGCAATTTAAAATGGCTTGAGAGCAGTACATGTGAAATGGATCTAGGTTGACCACAAACTTGACATGAGCCAACAGTGTGACGCGGCAGCTAAAAAAGCCAATGCAATTCTGGGCTGCATCAATAGGAGTATAGCATCTAGATCAAGGGAAGTAATAGTGCCACTGTATTCTGCTCTGGTCAGACCTCACCTGGAGTACTGTGTCCAGTTCTGGGCACCACAGTTCAAGAAGGACACTGACAAACTGGAACGTGTCCAGAGGAGGGCAACCAAAATGGTCAAAGGCCTGGAAACGATACCTTATGAGGAACGGCTAAGGGAGCTGGGCATGTTTAGCCTGGAGAAGAGGAGGTTAAGGGGTGATATGATAGCCATGTTCAAATATATAAAAGGATGTCACATAGAGGAGGGAGAAAGGTTGTTTTCTGCTGCTCCAGAGAAGCGGACACGGAGCAATGGATCCAAACTACAAGAAAGAAGATTCCACCTAAACATTAGGAAGAACTTCCTGACAGTAAGAGCTGTTTGACAGTGGAATTTGCTGCCAAGGAGTGTGGTGGAGTCTCCTTCTTTGGAGGTCTTTAAGCAGAGGCTTGACAACCATATGTCAGGAGTGCTCTGATGGTGTTTCCTGCTTGGCAGGGGGTTGGACTCAATGGCCCTTGTGGTCTCTTCCAACTCTATGATTCTATGATTCTATGAAATGTCTATATAAGGGCGGGCACACCTTGGTTCTGGGTCCTCCTCCTTCTCCAGTGTGTGAAGGGGGCTGTTTTCCTCCAACCAATGGAGAACCTACAAAGGACCCTATAAGGGCTCTTGTGTCCCCCATAAGGGAATAAGGGCAGATTTTCGTTTATTACAAGAGAATTGAAGTGACAAAGCATGGAAAAAGAAATAACTTATGTTCTCCTGCTACAGATCTCTTCCTTCAAGAAGGGAAGCAGGGGAGACTAGTACCATGAGAGCAAAGGGAGTTGCAGGCAGTTCCACAGGAGGAATCAGGTCAGTCCCCCAGGTCATCATCTCGACTGTCTCTCCAGCTTTGTTGGAGCAGCCGCAAAGCAACCATGCCAAAAACAACCTATTAAAAGAAAGCTTCCTGCAGACAAGACTCCCAAGAGAGTCGGTCATCTGCTTAGTGATACAGTGAATAGGGATTCAACTTGAATTGGGAGCAGGAGATTCAAATCCCTGCTTAGGTTGACCAAATCACTACTAGCCTACTGACAAGAGTGGAATCTCCGCACATATAAAAAAAGCTGTGAAAATGCTTTTTTTTAAAAAAAAAAGTTTTGAAAAATATATTGAATTTGCCATAGCTCACCATCACCACCTGGTGTCACATTTGTATATTGCACTTTACAACACACTTGAAACGTTTTATTTGCAGCTGTATAGCCGAGTCCGAGGTCACTTGCAGCAAGAATAAAATAGCATGTGCCAGGGGCAGGTTGCCGGCACCCGGGACAGGGCAAGGATTGCACAGCCCCTGCTGGCCTCGGGAGCCCGGTAGTACTTGTGTGCCGGAGCCCAGTGGAGGATAAGTGTGGGGTTGCTGCCACTCTGCTCTTCCTCTCCACTGCACCCACCCTGGGTCAAGAGCTGTGGCCTGGTGGCGCTGGGCCAATGCTGAGCAAGGGGCCTCTGAAGCTCCCTGGTACACTTCAGAGACCAGCAGAGGAGTGGAACAGCACTACCACAAGTGCCACTGCTCCCTCCCTTTTTGGTGGGCGGTGGCAGCAGCGCCCTCCCCCTCGGACGGCCCAGGGGTGGGGCACAGACAGGTGTCCCTTCACTGGCCATGAGATGAAGGAGACGCCGCTGTCGCCACAGCCCTGAAGGCCCAGCTCCGGTGCAACTTGCCTCCCCCGTGGCTCCGACCTCAATGCGGGAGCCTGTCATGGGGGCGCTTAGCTGCAACCCCTCAAACTTGTGCTACTAGAGCCACAGCCCCACTACGCCTCTGGGATGTGCCCCCGGTGCTTTGACCTGAGATTCCGAGACATAGGATGGGGTCTGCAGGGCAGTGACGTTAAGAAATTCTCATGGATGGGCCTTTAATGCTGGTGGTCAACAAAAGAGGTTTAAAGACTGTCTCAAGGCAAATCTTAAAAAAATGTAGCATAAAGGTAAAGGTAAAGGGACCCCTGACCATTAGGTCCAGTCGTGGCTGACTCTGGGGTTGTGGCGCTCATCTCGCTTTATTAGCCAAGGGAGCCGGCGTACAGCTTCCGGATCATGTGGCCAGCATGACTAAGCTGCTTCTGACGAACCAGAGCAGCGCATGGAAACACCGTTTACCTTCCCGCTGGAGCAGTACCTATTCATCTACTTGCACTTCTTGCTTTCAAACTGCTAGGTTGGCAGGAGCAGGGACCAAGCAAAGGGAGCTCACCCCATTTGAACCGGCGACCTTCTGATCAGCAAGTCCTAGGCTCTGTGGTTTAACCCACAGCACCACCCGCGTCCCATAAACACCAACAATTTGGAAACATTTGCCTGCGAGCGCTCCAGTTGGAGAACAGCCTTTACCAAAGGTGTCATGGGCTTTGAAGACACTCAAACTCAGGACGCAAGGGAGAAATGTGCTAAGAGGAAGGCACGCTTGGCAAATCCACACCGTGATCAACTCCCGCCCGGAAGCCAATGTCCCCACTGTGGAAGGACATGTGGATCCAGAATTGGCCTCCACAGTCACTTACGGACTCATTGTTAAAACCGTGTTTATGGAAGACAATCTTCCTCAGCTACGAGGGATCGCCAAAGAAGAAAGACCCAAGTGGTAGTTCATTCATCCAGGGCAAAAAGTGCAAGGCTAGAGTACCCCTTTCCTCTCTACCACAAGCTTTCCTAAGAGCTGTAGGGAGATTTTCCATCATTCAACTCAATGAGTGTGAGAAGGATAAAGACAGGCAAACACAGCCTGGGCTGTCGGTACCCTTGCCTAATAAAAAATACTGTAAAATAAAATGCTGAAAGCAAAATAAACTAGGCGAAAAGAGCAAATTTGCATGATTCCTCTTAAATTGGATGGCTCTTTCTGCATTTTTAATTATTGTGCATACTTTATTTTGGATAAAGGAAGGAGCCATGCAGATCACAGAAGCCCCACGACTGGCTCCTACTCATGAAAAGATTTCCGCCGTTGCACCAAACACTTTCAAGCTTAACTTCTCAACCACCAGCACTAGAACTTTACTTTTTTTAAAAAGTGAAAGCTGAGAGACTCTGGACTTAATACCACATGATGTAGATTTTCTGGGCTCCAGCAGCACTGCAACATGCACTGAGCCCTAACTGGATCATGGAAACACCGCAAGGGAGAACTGATCGGTGTGTAAATATAGGACATTTTGTCTTACACACATATTACAGAAGGAAGCGTCTGAGCATCAACCTAGCCTTGGTCTTCGTAGAACTAACAAGTCAGACTGGAACACAGATTAACACCAGCCATCAATCAACCATGACAGCTGTTCAATGAACAAATTTAATAGCCATGCAGTGATGCAACTTGTTTTGATGTTCAAAGTAACAGGCAACTTAGCCAGTTGCATGTAGGAAGGTTTGTCTTCAATCTACCTACCTATGTAGAGGTTTGTGCAGAATGTGGGGTCCAGAACATTTGGGAGGTAGACCCCTGAGCACCGGGGCTTTTTGCAGAGGCTGTGTGTTTTCAGATTCATCTGAACCTCTATGAGAACTAGAGGGGTTTTTTTTATTTTAAGAGAAAGCTAAGATACTGTGGTTTCCTAGATACCCACATTCAATCCCACAGATTGAGGTATGTGTGGGTATGTATGAATGCTTTTAAGGATTGTATGAAATGTATGTTTGTATGTTTGTATATTCGTAACATGTATGTATTAATGTTGAATTATTTTAATAATAATAAATTATTTTAAAAATAAATAAATACTGTGGTTTCCATGCCAGAATAGATTCTACTCAGGAATGGTCAGAGAACGCAAATTGTTCTGCTTATTGCACTACTGAATTACCGTATTTTTCGCACCATAGGACGCACCGGACAATAGGACGCACTTTGTTTTAGAGGGGGGAGAACAAGAAAAAAAAAATTTCCCCCTCTCTGCCCAGCGCCCCTTCAGTGAAGCAGCAGGAGGCACTGCACAGAGAGGGGAGAACTTTCCCTCTTGTTTTCCCGCTCTAAAACAAGGTGCCGTTTAAGGTGCGTCCAGGCGGCGACCAGGGAAGCCTGGAGAGCGAGAGGGGTCGGTGTGCACTGACCCCTCTCGCTCTCCAGGCTTCAGGTTCCTTTCGACCTGCTCTTTGGGGCTGGCGGGGGGAAGCCCACCACCAGCCCCAAAGAGCAGGTCAGGGAGCAGCGGAAAGGCGCAGCAGAGAGGCTCCAGCCGGGAGAGGGTCGCGGGGCTATGGCATCTTCGCTCCATAGGACGCACACACATTTCCCCTTCATTTTTGAAGGGGAAAAAGTGCGTCCTATAGAGCGAAAAATACGGTATTCTATATTGAAGCTAAAGTTCCATGCAAACATTAACAGTGCACTAGATTTGCAAGATCTCAGCAACGAGACACAACAATCACATTAACCTGGATGCGCCCCTGCCATGTCTACCCCTCTTCCCTTTTGGGACTTACACGTTATGGGCAGAGCAATGAAAAACAAGAAGGTGGCAGAGCCATCAAGAAGAGACACCAGAAAGTAGGCAGAGCCGAGGATGGTAAGGAGGCAGGTGCCGGGGTAATTCCGCCGGAAGCGTCGCACGGGAGCCTTGTTTTCAGCCGCCCAGATGAAGCCCACAAAGATCAGCGTCACGAGAGCAGCGCTCAGCAGAGTCAACAAGGGGCGAAAGTACCTGCAAGGAAACGGGCAGGGTGGGAACTAGGAATGCAATGTCAATTCCATTCAGGGGTGTCCACTTGAATAAAATATTGTGGGGACCCAGGTCAGCCCCACCTCGCACCACCGATCACAGGACACAGGGCACAAACTCCATTTGAAGGGCGATGCCCATCAACTTGGGGGCTGGGCAGTCTCCTCAAATATTTTATTGTGGAGGCTGAAACCCCCACAGGCCTCTAGGAGTTGGCTCCTATGATTCCATTTAAAAACAATACAGTGGACGCTTGGGTTGCAAACGTGATCCGTGCAGGATGCAAGTTCGCAACCTGTAGCATCCGCAACCCACAGCGGTGCTTCTGCGCACGCACGGGTTGTGATTTGGCGCTTCTGCGCACGCTCAAAGTGTGATTTAGCGCTTCTATGCATGTGCGACCGCCAAAACCCGGACGTAACCCGTTCTGGTACTTGCGGGTTTCGGCGGTCCGTAACCCAAAAAAACGCAACCTCAAGCGTCTGTAATCCGAGGTATGACTGTATATCCTGTTAGCATGAGGTGGTCTTGTGGGCTGGTCCTTACTTTTAACACCTGTTTTAAGTAGCGGCCTTTACTATTTGGCCAGAGAACTGGTCATGGGGCAGGACTCTGAATGGAGGTGAAATGAGTAAGGGCGTTTCTTGCTCTCGTCCCCACCCCCTATCACCCTGTGGAATATTCCCCCTAAAGAAGCTTGTCTGCCACTGACTTTAACATCTTTCCGGCACCACGTCAATATTTTTCTTTTCTCCCAGACTCTTTCCTGATCACTGACTGTTCGTTTGTCATCTTCTGGTGATTGTGCTGATATTACTGGATGGTTGGAGAGTTTTAATTGCTGGGATTTAGTGTTTGATCACTTATAATGGTTGTTTATTGCTGCTTATTTTTATGGGATTTTGTATTTTGTTATGTGCACTATATTTTTTGCCGTAATTTGCCTTAAAACCCTTTTTGCACAGGATGATGAACAAATGCATAGAAGACAGATCAATAAGCTTTGTTTACAATAGATCACCATGAGTCCTGCTAAAAATAATGCAGAGAACCTTGGCAGAAATGATTTTGCAACACTGATTCTGCTATTTCTCGCTCCTCTCAGGGCTAAATGGAACATTGCAGTTTCATTGCTGGTATATGTAGCTTTACAGTCGCATCTAATCTAGGGTTGCCATACGTCCAGAATTTCCTGGACATAGCCGGTGTTCAGTTCTTGTAAACAGATTTCCGGGTGGAAATTGCTGAAATGTCTGGGAAAATCCGGCTATATGGCAGTCAATGTCGGTGGTGTAGATTTTAGCAGATTTCATTAAAAAATAGTTCCAAAACAAGTTCAACAACTTTGGGCAAAAAGAAAAGAAAAAAAAAGGGGGGAGCTCAACAACTTTTGTGTCCAGATTTTCACTTTTTGAAATATGGCAAACCTAATCTAATCTCTGTTCTGTCGGAGTGCCTGCCATTCACCTCTCCTGCAAGGACATCCTTTCGGTCCTCTTAATAATCCATTCTGGATTTCACCATCCTGAACCATTTGGTATCACCCACAACCTCACCGTTCACTTGGAAGGGATGACCTAGATGAACCTCAATCCTGGAAGAAAATTCTTCTTCTCAGAAGCCATGTTTCCAGGCCAATACCATTGTTATAAGAATTTTAAGGTCTCAGCTATAGAATAAATAATAATAAATGCACTGATTTCTAAATATATGAACCATGTGTCTGAAAAAGTATGGGAGAGCAATCCTGAAGCCATTTTGACTCTTCCAATGACCTCAGATATTCCTCTGCAAATGGGGAGGCAAATGGGAAAAGCCTTCCCATTGTCTTTTTGCTTACAAATCCTGTCTTAAGGGCGTATTTGTTTGTGAATAGGGTGAGCCTGTGACCTGGATCCAGGAACTAAAGTCTTAACCATCAGAAAAAAATGGCCAGACTGCCCAGGTTATGCAATCAGTGACCATCATCAGGTATCCTGGCAAACAGAATTTCTGCCGGAGACTGCCTCCTTCTGTGATGCATCTATGGTGGAAGGGGTTTTTTTGGGGGAGGGGGAGGCGGGTCTTGGGCTACAGTGTGGGCAATTTCAAAAGTCTATACAGTGGTACCACAGGTTAAGTACTTAAATCGTTCCGGAGCTCCGTACTTAACCTGAAACTATTCTTAACCTGAAGCACCACTTTAGCTAATGGGGCCTCCTGCTGCCGCCACGCCGCCGGAGCACGATTTCTGTTCTCATCCTGAAGCAAAGTTCTTAACCTGAGGTAATATTTCTGGGTTAGCGGAGTCTGTAACCTGAAGCGTATGTAACCTGAGGTACCACTGTATAAGGGCTTGTGCACCATTGTTCCGGGTTCCCCTCCCTCGTGCGTGCGGTGAGTGGGGATCCTGTTGAAACAGTTCCTTGAATAAAGATCAGGCCGCTTAGCTTCTCAAAATACTCTGGAAGGCCTCTGTTGTTTTCTCCTACCGATAGGGAACCCACTTAAGGACTCTATATGGGCTCCGGAGTACCCCATAAGGGAAAGGGAGCAGTTTTTCGTAAAACACTATGTATGTCTACTGGGAAGTAAAAAGGTAAAGATAAAGGGACCCCTGACCATTAAGGACGAGTCTGGGGTTGCGGCGCTCATCTCGCTTTATTGGCCGAGGGAGCCGGCGTACAGCTTCCATGTCATGTGGCCAGCATGCCTAAGCCGCTTCTGGCGAACCAGAGAAGCGCACGGAAATGCACCTTCCCACTGGAGCGGTACCTATTTATCTACTTGCACTTTGACATGCTTTAGAACTGCTACGTTGGCAGGAGCAGGGACGGAGCAACGGGAGCTCATCCCGTCGCGGGGATTCAAACCGCCGACGTTCTGATCGGCAAGTCCTAGGCTCAGTGGTTTAACCCACAGCGCCGCCCGCATCCCTAGTGGGAAGTAAGTTCCTATAAATTCCACGAGACCTACTCTCATGTAACTGTGTATAGGAGAGGGAATAAAGGATTGGGGGTGGGGGAGCATGTTTGGAATCCTGAACAGCCCTCCCCCCCGCAACAATTTGACTGCTAAGAAACACAGGATCTTAGGCTCTTGCACTGACAACAGCTTCCTGGGGTTGGACTAAATGTGACCCTCCCAATTCTACAATTCTATGATCGAGCTCTGGGCTCAGTTTAAGAGAAGCCCTACTGCCTGTACTACTGGGCCTGCTTGGCCACCCCTATGCGTTTAACCAGAGTCCCCTATACATGCAACCCTTTTCCCGGGTTGGAGAGGAGTCGTGGCCAAAAGCTTCAGCTTGCAATCTGTCATCTTACCGCTACAGGCACCACAAGAGCAATAAAATGAAAGGAAGTGAGGAGGGGAGGTTAGGAAAGAGGCGATTCCATCTTGCACATCTCTTTCCCCCTCCTACCCATAGGGATTTCTTTAATGGAGAAGCAGCCTGCAGCCCTGCCCTCCCTTCATCCCTTCTCTCTGGCCACGTTGGCCGTGCCTGATGGGAGTTGGAGTCCAACAACATCCAGCCGCAGGGACTCCTCCATCACCAATTTACAGCATCTGCAACCAGTGTAAGCCACCGGGCGTGGGTACACAAAAGAGAGCCAAGCCCATGGGAGTAGGGGGGGCAGGGAGGGGCAGCTATCCCCCCAATCAATAAAAATGCATAGCAAACTGAGGTTCTGCTCCAACAAAAGGACTGCTCCCCCCACAACAAAAATCCCAGCTACGCCCATGGACAAAGCCAGAACATGCATTAAATCCAGTGCCGGGATTTACGTATAAGTTAAAACTATAGTTTAGGGCCCCACTCTCTTGGCCACCCCCCAAAAAATATACTTCTTCTTAATTGTATTTTACTATTAATATAGTTCTTCTTAATTGTATTTCAGCTCAACAAATACATATTTTGTTATGTGCAAATGGCTTTAGGTCCATAAATTACCATATAGCGTACATATACAACACAAAAAACAGCGACAATTTGTTTTTAACAAAGAACAGCTGGACATATCAAGGGCCCCATTACCTTCAGTAGCTTTGGGCCTCATCAAACCTAAATCCGGCCCTCATAAAATACATATTTTGTTATGTGCAAATGGCTTTAGATACCTATTAGGTCCATAAATTACCATATAAAGGGTAAAGGGGACCCCTGACCATTAGGTCCAGTCATGACCGACTCTGGGGTTTTGGCACTCATCTCGCTTTAAAATTACCATATAAATCAACACAAAAAAAGGCACAATTTGTTGTTGACAAAGGACAGCCGAACATCTCAAGGGCCCCACTGCCTTCAGCAGCTTAGGGCCTCATCCAACCTCAATCCGGCCCCCAACTCAAGGCATTTGGGGTTTCACCCCGGATTTAACCCGCTTCCACCCCGCTCCTCCTTTGACCACCCACCCACCCGTCTGGCCCCCGAGGATGCGGCGCGCGTCTTTCGGGCGTGCGCCCCCGAGAGCGCAGGAGCGAGCGCAGCTTGCGCGGCCCCGGCGCCGGACTGACCCTCCGAGCAGCAGCCCCGCGCCCAGCACCAGCAGGTAGTTGCTCTGGTAGTACAGCAGGTTGTTGACGACGCGGTTGTGCCAGCGCTGCAGGTCTCGCACGTCCGGCGGAGACAGCCGGCTGGAGCCCAGCAAGAAATCCTCCAGCGCCCGCACCGGCGGCAGCCGCACCTCGGACATCTTCGCGGGCGGGCGGGCGGGCTGCGGGGACGGGACTACCAGCCCCAGGATGCACCGCGGCGAGCACAGGCCTCGCCGCGGGGAGAGATGGGAATTGTAGTCCCGGGGGTGGGAACGGGGCTCGCATCCAGTGACGCGTTTACGTATAAGGTGAACAAGCTATAGCTGAGGGACCCACTCTCTTGGGGGCCCCCCCCCAAAAAAAATAAAGGGGGAAAAGCACCTGGATTACATTTCCAAAATATAAGATAAAAAACAAATAAAATAAAAGCTACATACAGCAACAGTGGCAAATGGCTCGAGATACCTATTAGGTCCATAAATTACCACATAGCATATATTCAACGCAAAAAACAGGGACAATTTCTTGTTGACAAAGGACAGCTGGACATACAAAGGGCCCCATTACCCTCAGTAGCTCAGGGCCTCAGCAAACCTAAATCCGGCCCTGCTCACATCGCTTGGCTTCCGGGCAGTTTGTTCGTTTCGTAAGATTTGTAATACACAGCTTGGTTTTAAAAAGGAAAACACCAAAAAAACCCAAACCCATCCTCAAAGCTGGTTTACAAAGAGATAAAACAATAAATAGGGTTGCCATACGTCCGGACATAGCCGGAACATGGTAGTCGAACATGGTAGTCAAAAACAGTGCCAAATCGCTTTGGGGGCGATTTTCAAAAAAAAAAAAAAGGTCAACAAAGCTATGAAACTTAACTATAGCAACCCTACAATAACATCAAGAAAAACCCAACCATATTTTAAAACATGCACAAGTTTAGATTCTTATTATTTTAAAGCTTTATTTTAAGATCAGTGCAAAAGCGGCTGCAGTTTTGGGTGGGAATAATAAGCAGCCCACTGTGATCAGGGCGCTTTGCACAGCATGTGCCACTGAGATCAGCCCAGCTTCCTCTGACGAAGTGCATAGACTGCAGCTTTACCATGCATATAATGGGATTCCAGTACCCATCAATCAAACCGGACATCCAGCTCTATGGCCACTCTTTAATTGCCTTCCAGGAATTTTATATCTTGGGTTCTTTCTCAAAATACAAGATTCCTCTGTTCTGTAATGTTGCGATCCATATGTGGAAATTTCCCTTTATTTTTCTACATTGTTGATGTTTACAGTTTGCAACATTCATTTTATTCCCTTTCCCTCCCATGTTTTCCCAAGTGGCTCCACCTCAGTCTGGGTGTGTAATATATAATTATTGTTGGCTGAACATCAATTATCTTCTTTTGTTTATTAAAAAATATTCAAAGGTAAAGGACCCCTGGATGGTTGAGTCCAGTCAAAGGCAACTATGGGGTGTGGCATTCATCTCCGCTTTCAGGTCGAGGGAGCCGGCATTTGTCCACAGATAGCTTTCCGGGTCATTTGGCCAGCATGAGTAAATTGCTTCTGGTGCACGGAACACCATGACAGAAGCCAGAGCACACGGAAATGCCGTTTACTTTCCCGCCGCAGCGGTACCTATTTATCTACTTGCACTGGTATACTTTCAAATTGCTAGGTAGGCAGGAACTAGGACACAGCAACGGGAGCTCACCCCATTGTGTGGATTTGAACAGCTGGATGCAAAACTGCACCAAAAATAACCAGTAGAGAGTGTGAAGAGCAACATAATGAATGGATCTGTGTCTGGATTGTACCACTTCAGAAGTACAAGAGGAGATCATTGATGCAAACAGTTAAGCAAGAACTCTCTGCCCATGCAGTAGTAGTTTGTTGATAAGCGATCTAACCAGCCTTCTGGCTATGAATGAGAGAGAATATAAAGCAAGTTCCTCTGAACTTTTACTGTTGCATCAGATGCATTGTGGGAGCTTGCTAAATTGCACTTACTGGAGCCAAAATGCACAAAACAGAAATCCATGTGAAGAAAAAGGGTGTTGAGGGGGCAGGGAAGTGCACCTAATAGCATTGGCTCATGATGTGTGGCCTACCATTTTTCAAACAATACTTCCCCCTCTTCCCTGCCATTCTTCCACACAAAGTGATTATTCATTCCCTCCCGACTGATGCAAATGAATGACCCCCAAGAGGACTATTAGTCCTAGGCTAGGACTGGATTCTTCAGCCTCTGTCTTCCACCCCTTACAGAATGACAATAAAGCAAATGAGAAGCATTTGCACTTGAACTTTAATGATAGTTCTACCCCTTCTCCACCCTGCCCCCTCCAAATGTCTGCCAAGAGCTGGGAACCTGCCTCCCCAGCTTCCAAAATCCAGGCTGAGCAGACTCTGAAAAGTTCTCTTTACAAAAACTCCACCCCACTGAGCCTTCTCGCTGGTCCCACATGGGATGGGTAGCCAGGCAAAGGGAGCGCAGGAACAGGATACCCGAGGCGACAGCATCGAGAGGAGAGTTCTCTGAGGATCTATCCCACCTTGTCATAAAAGTCCAGTGGGATTCCCACCAGAACCTTGTTCTTTCCCAGCCTGGGTCCTTAACATGCCCCAAAGCAAATGCTCCCCCAGTTGCCCAGCATGCTTCTTCTGCCTGCCCATGGCAGGGGCTCAGCTGGGCTCAAAAGTCATCATCGTCACATATATCCAGGTAGACGTCAAAGGCCTCGCGGTTGCAATTGCCGTCTGGGGTAAAGACGTATTTGTGGAAAGTGCCATCGACGCAGATAGCTGTAAGAAGAGAAATAGAACTGAGACACTCTGGACACAGCAGGAACGATTATCCAAAGAGAGCTTACGAGGAAGGAAGTTCAAAATTGGGCCTCCCTCCTATGTCCGTGGGACGCGGGTAGCGCTGTGGGTTAAACCACAGAGCCTAGGACTTGCCAATCAGAAGGTCGGCGGTTCGAATCCCTGCAACGGGGTGAGCTCCCGTTGCTTGGTCCCTGCTCCTGCTGACCTAGCAGTTCGAAAGCACGTCAAAGTACAAGTAGATAAATAGGTACTGCTCCGGTGAGAAGGTAAACGGCGCTTCCGTGCGGTGCTCTGGTTCGCCAGAAGTGGCTTAGTCATGCTGGCCACATGACCCAGAAGCTGTACGCCAGCTCCCTCGGCCAATAAAGCAAGATGAGCGCCGCAACCCCAGAGTCATCCTTGACTGGACCTAATGGTCAGGGGTCCCTTTACCTTTACCTTACCTATGTCTGTGGCCGAGCTGTGGGAGTGTGGGAAGGGATTATAACAATAAACTTCACAACGGGCAATTTGTTGCTGTTCAGTGGCAGCCAAACCACCACCCGAGGCAGGCTGTGTCCTCATGTCTAACGTTAGGGCCGGCCATGGGGCACAGCCACAGCTGTTCTGCAGCGAGCTGTCAAGCAGCCAATACAGGGCAAGAGAGTCACCCACAGCCACCCATCAGTGCCACTCACCAATGACCGAGTTGACGTTCTTGGAGGTATTCCTGCCAAAGGCGCAGATGCAGGCAGACTCCGCTGGCACCGTGAAGCTGGCCAGACTCCACTGAGAATCCACGTACTGGCCTATCATGGGCCCGACCTTTCCCACACGGGCCAACCTGAAAGAGGGGGGAAGGAAGAGGGTCAGAACAGTACAGGCGGCAACACTTTCCCTCAAGCGCGTCGTCCAACTACCTACGCTGAGCGCCGATTTAGGCGGGTATCCTTCAGGGCAAAGATGTGGACGGTCCCTTTGTCACTGGAGGCACAGAGAAATGAAGAGTCGTGGCTGAAGTTAATGCTGTGGAGAGAAGAGAAGGTTAAGGTGATCGGTGAGAACGCCTGATTAAAAATCTCTTCCCCACCACTGCATCCATGCAATGACAAATTCCCTGCGAAAAGAGCAGGAGAGGTAAAAGTAGAGTCGCCACTGCAGAGCGTCTCCCCAAAGCCCCACAAAACTATCTGCCCAATGCTCCTCGATGTCGCTGGACTGCCATGGCCACCTGGCCACTAATAATGAGATCCAGCACCGAGGGCCTTCTGGCGGTTCCCTCATTGCAAGAAGTGAGGTTACAGGGAACCAGGCAGAGCACCTTCTCGGTAGTGGCGCCCGCCCTGTGGAATGCCCTCCCTTCAGATATGAAGGAAATAAGCAGCTATCCCATCTTTAAAAGACATCTGAAGGCAGCCCTGTTTAGGGAAGTTTTTAATATTTAACGCTGTACTGTTTTTAACACTTGATTGGGAGCCACCCAGAGTGGCTGGGGAAACTCAGCCAGATGGGCGGGGTATAAATAATAAATTATTATTATTATTTGGTTATACAAGCATTTTTAGTTACTACCATCTACAAACTATTTACAGTCCTTCTTCCTCTCTTTGGCACACTATACTTTCAGTCTAGTAATAAACAGTCCTGATACCGCAAACTCAGAGTATCAGCAGCACACTTCACCATATATCCAAACTAGCTGTAAGCAGGTAGGTAGCCGTGTTGGTCTGCTGTAGTCGAAGCAAAATAAAAAAATTCCTTCCAGTAGCACCTTAGAGACCAACTAAGTTTGTTATTGGTATAAGCTTTCGTGTGCATGCACACTTCTTCAGATAGCTGTAAGCAAGCATACTAACAGTGTATGTGTGCTCTCCTCGTGCCTCACATTGCAAACTCAACTTCCTCCTTTTAATTGCATCTCCAGCTGACATCAATTAAGCTTGGAGTGCCACTCCTACACATTGAAGAAACTTCTGGAACGCTTTTTTAAAGTTTCGAGGAACTATTAACCTATTTCGTGAAGAATGTATTCCTAACATGCGTGGCTGGGAGTGTGTCGTTTCTCACCAGTACAAGGTAGCTGGATCTGTTCCCCTCCTGAGCTCCACCAGCTTCTCCTTGGTCTGGGTGTCAAAGAGGCGGATGAGGGTCCCTTTCTTAGAGGCAGAGGCCACCACAGTTCCCTGCTGGTTGAGAGAGATGCAGGCGATCTCGCTCTGGTGGGCGTTGATCGTGAAGGGGGCAGAGGAGGTCCCAGGCTTGGTGCTGGAAAGATCCTAAGTTGGGGACAAAATAGTTTTTGGTCAAAAGAAGAAGCATGATCCAATATGCAGCCTTGCTTGCTCCATGTCACGTGACTGAGCAGCCGGAAGGGGGGATTCTAAATGAACTAGTGATTCACATACTAGCACTTGACTGGGAATATCAAGTTTCAGCACAGCCACAGACATGGGAGGCTGGTCCAGACAGAAAATGCCCCTCCAAACCCTATGGTTTGTAAAGACTGATCATGTGCCACATCATGCTTGCATTCTCCCTCCCCCCCTTGACCTCAGGATGTTTGTGTGCACTGGGCAAAACTCACCTGGCGATAAGTCACCTTATTACTGCAAGGACAAACCCAAGTATAGGGGCACTGCTTGGAGGAATTTCAGAAGCCTGGCGTGGTAGCAATGCTGATATTTGACCAGGGAAGATTTTCTGTTACCAGGGAGTGAGGCAATCAGTGCCCTGCATAGATCTTACTCATCCCCGTAAAATAAAGCTGAATACAATGGAAGCCACTGTGCAACTTCTGCTAGCGCAGTAAGGTAGAGGGGAGCAGTAGGGGAGTGGATGGCGTTGTGGTCTAAACCACTGAGCCTCTTGGGCATGCTGATCGGAAGGTCGGCGGTTTGAATCCCAGTGATGGAGTGAGCTCCCATTGCTCTGTCCCAGCTTCTACCGACTTAGCAGTTTGAAAGCACACCAGCGCAAGTAGATAAATAGGTACTGCTGCGGTGGGAAGGTAAACTGCTTTTCCGTGCTCTCTGGCTTCTGTCACGGTATTCCGTTGCGCCAGAAGTGGTTTAGTCATACTGCCCGCATGACCCAGAAAGCTGACTACAAACAAAAGCCGGCTCCCTTAGCCTGAAAGCAAGATGAGCACTACACCTCATAGTTGCCTTTGACTGGACTTAACCATCCACTTTTTTAAAGTGCAGTAGAAGTTCTGTGGCATGTGTTGAAGCTGTTCAATTCATCCCATATAATACATATGCAAACTGTTTACCTTGACCCACCCACCCACAACTTTTTATGATGCAGGACACAGAATTCTGAATTGTTTCAATACTAGGGATGTGTTCACACCCTGCCTGTGACTGCTTGACAATCCATCTATGAACATGGTTGCTTAACCAAGCAAAATAAACAATCTATCAATAAAAAACTAGAATCTGCAAATGAGCAAAAACACCCAATAACTGAGCCAGGAAACTGCAGTTCCACCTGCCAGCTTACATCCTACAACATGTCTCTGCAGTGGCAAGGGACTTCCATGTGCTCTTCCTCTCCTGCTCTCTCCAACCCCCTGAAAGCCCTCAAAACCAGCACCAGAGGGTTGGGGGGTCCCCTGGGTAGATTTTGGGGTACATGCAGGGTACTGCACCAGAATAATTACACTAGCAGCTTTGGATACAATCCTTGATGAGTAATGTTAATGCCCTTAACCTTTCCTGTACTACATGGGAATGGGATAAACCACCTTTGGTTCTGGATGAGCCAGGTTGGTTTTTTTTTAGTGATTAGAAAGATCCTTGGTACTGCTCAACAGAGGCAGTTCCAAACTGTTAAATGACAGTGATAATAAGCCAGCACTGACTAAGGATGGGTTTGTTGATGGTTATCCTATGCCTGCCTTTCCTGCCCTCTCCACTTACCACTAGCTGCAAACTGCCACATTTGTGCCCAGGGAAAACCAGGAGCTGCTTCTCCAAGCTGGGGCAGAGATCACAGAGTCCTGAAGTGGAAGGGAAAAGCAGACAACAATCAGAGCTGGGCTCGATTCTCGTACATGAATAGGACTGTGATGGGGTCTGCTGACTTAAGAAGGGGCTGTTCAGGTGAAGGTAGCAGGAGAGAGAGAGAAAGAAAGAGAGAGAGAGAGAGAGAGGGAGACTGTATGGGGCTCATACCTTTGGGGTTTTCCCGAGTGTCAAACTCAAAGAGCTTGGTGGGGTTATCTGGGAAGGAATAGACGTAGATTCGATTCCGCAACACAATGATGATCCTGGAATTGGGAAGAGCAAAATAAAAGTACAGAACTAAATGGATTGTAATTTAAACTGAAGGAAGGATAACAGGAAGATTTAAAGAAGGAACTATTGGAAACTCAAGGCAGTAGAAACATAAGATGATTAGAGCCCCACTGAACTTGAAGCATGGGAAGCCCCAACAAAAATTTATAATTTGGCAGAATATTTGGACTATATGATATGTATTTATATAATTTGGAATACTTAATGTGATCTGATTGGATTGTTAAAATGGAAAACTTAATAAAAAATATTTTTTTTTAAAAAGGATTGTAATTTAAACTCTCTCCCTGCACGTGTGCATCTATACATGCATATATATCTGAGAAATGTTCTGCAAAGGATGTGGCTGACTTTGCATGAATGGCAGAGCTGCTCCATTGGCTATAGAGCACATTTTTGAAAAAGGAAAACTTCAGTTCTTTATTACCACGGAGGACTCAGATGAGAACCCATGATCCAAGCTTACATTCTGGCATATATACGTTCAAAAAAATCTAAATGCCTCTCTCCCTTTCTCAAATTTGGCACATGCAGAATAAAATATGCTTCTGTTCCTAACACAGGCAGAAAAAGGTCCCTTGGAAAAAAATACACAAACATATAAAGTTCCCAAGACCTGATGGTGGTGAAAATATGAGGCACAGATAGGGCATGGCTATACAGACGTCATCCTCTCATTGCCACATTTACAGCATTTAAAAAACCTGTACACATTCATGTGTTCATTTTACTATAGTCCTGTTTTTTTATTGCAAGATTTATGTTGGATCCTTCTGTTTTTTTGCTGATGCTTTTGTTTTATTGTCATCGTCATCAAGGCTGTTAAATTGTTATGTCCACTCACTTCATACAACAGTCAATCGGTACACAATTAGTTGTGCTGTGTTGATATGGACAGCTCGGTTTTAAGCACATTCCTGGGGGCAAAATCTGGATTTGGAAAATGCCATACACAAGAGTACTAGAAATGAAGATAGTGTGCCTTCATTTATATCCTAATTTTTCCTCTGCTGTGAACATGACTCCATATACCCCATCCCAAATCAGCTCCAGAACCTGGTGAAACAGGATGATTCTTCAACATACTTGTCATGCCTCATGCGAACAGCCAGGGCTGGCTTGGTGAAGGTGAATTCTAGAACCAGCTTCTCTTTGCCCTCCTTCCCTTCACGGGCATCATCCCAGATCAAGACTACAAAGGAAACATTGGGGGTGTGAGAGAAGAAAATCATAGCAAACCAACAAGGAGATAACTTCCCCCCTCTTTGGAGGTTATAAGTATTAGGTGATGGAAGTGAAGCAATTATATATCTCCAGAAATCACAACTATGCCAGATCGCTAATGTATTTTTCGCTCCATAAGACGCACCCGACCATAAGACGCACCTAGTTTTTAGAGGAGGAAAACAAGAAACAAGAAAGCAACGCAAAGCCTCTTGAGCAAAGAGGCAGGAGCGCTCCCGCTGCGCTCAAGAGGCTTTGCGTGGCTATCCTCGAAGCCAGAAGAGCAAGAGGAATCGGTGTGCAGGGATAGCTGGCTTCTGGGACAGCTGCGCAGCCTCTTCAGGGCAGCGGGATTAAGGCTCCCCACTCCCCTGAAGAGGCTGCGTGCGGCTAAGCCAGAAGCTAGAACAGTGAGAAAGAGTGCTGTGCAGATCTCCCTCTCACTGTTCTGGCTTCTGCGATAGCTGTGCAGCCTGCATTCACTCCATAAGACGCACACACATTTCCCCTTACTTTTAGGAGGGGAAAAATGCGTCTTACAGAGCGAAAAATACGCTATGTTCTGAAAGCCTCCCTCCCTTCTTTCCCTTGATACATACCTGAGATCTCAGAGAATTTGGGGTTGCCACCTCCACCGACAATAGCAAGGAGATTGGATCGGTGTAACATTTCAACCAATCCCACACTGCCCACCTGTTCATGATCTGGCAGAAGGAAAAAGAGAGAGGGGTACGTTTAGGACACACACCTGTGTGTAGAAGAAACAGGTGCCCCACAATTCCATTTTCAGGCCCCTCCATTTCTTACCAAGGTGGCCTTTCTCCATGAGAGGCTCCACATTATAGATCCGAACCCCAGTCTCCATAGCACAGCAGAAGCAGCCTACAGTGGAAGAAGGAACGGATCAAACATGCCTGGCTATTTTGTATGTATATTTTTATTGTCACAAACCACTTTTAGGGTTTTTTAATTTTTGATTTTGCAGGGGCTGGAGGGAGGAGCAGCATATAAAATAAATGAAAGGAAATAAACACACGCTGAAAATGTAACACTTGAAGGTTTAGTCTGAATCAGGATGAAGCCCTGCAGTCAATGCTAGGGACCGGCCCTAAAACAAATGAAGCTATAAGCCTCCAAGCAGCAACAAAGGGCTTTTCTTTCACCCATAAGTAACCACTGCATACTTTCCAATCACTTGGGATTGTGAGAAGAGCTTTGAGGTAGGCCTGAGTCCCAGCACCTCACAATTTAGAAGTTAACCACAATGGAAAGCTTTAGTCAGAGGCACACACTGCCCTCAGATGTTAGGCTAACAGTGTCTCCTCAGGGCCCAAGATCCTTCAGTTCTCCAAAAAGAAAGGCTCAGTTTTGGGGGAGCTCATGACTCCTAGTAAAAGTGCAGTGGAGGATCCAAGCTGGAGATCCAGTAGTAGGAGATCACTTACTCTGATCTTGGTTGAAGCGAAGGCTGTTGACCCCACGTTGCTGTGCCATGATGAGCCTGTGGGGACACCCCTCAATGGGGTCAGGAACACAGGGGGTGCCTTCTCCCGCACACTGTTCCCCAATGTGATGGTTGCCATGACAGGGAGAGGAGGAAGTCAGAAACAGAAATCAACACAGAGGAACAATGCCAAGGAAGAAGAAGAGTTTGGATTTGATATCCCGCTTTATCACCACCCAAAGGAGTCTCAAAGCAGTTAACATTCTCCTTTCCCTTCCTCCCCCACAACAAACACTCTGTAAGGTGGGTGGGGCTGAGAGACTTCAGAGAAGTGTGACTAGCCCAGGGTCACCCAGCAGCTGCAGGTGGAGGAGTGGAGACGCGAACCCAGTTCCCCAGATTACGAGTCCACCACTCTTAACCACTACACCGCACATGAAAAGCAGCTCCAATACTTTCCTGTTACATTTGTTATTCTCATTGTTTCCCTGCTCCTCCAGCTTACAAATCGTCATCATGATGTCAAAGAAATAAACAACTATCTGACGTTTAGAAGACATCTGAAGGCAGCCCTGTTTAGGGAAGTTTTTAATGACTGATGTTTTAATGTATTTTTAATCTTTTGTTGGAAGCCGCCTAGAGTGGCTGAAGAAACCCAGCCAGATGGGATATTTTTATTTTTATTATCCTGGGACACCCCAATCTCTGACTCTGGTTACTGCCAGTCTTGTCCTCCTTATACAAGATGTTTTTCTCTTCCTGTTCAGATTCTCTCTACCGCCCATAACAACTCCCATGACACCCTCCCTTGGCCCCAGATCCCTAGTACTGCCTCTCACAGCCTCTAGCTAACCAGCTCTGTAATGGGATCCTTACCGGATTCTTCCCCAAGTCTTATTGTACCATAACCTGCACCTGTGGCTTCCTCTGATCCGTTTTCCCACTTGGGAGGTAATTCTCTGTAAATGCCCCTGCAACTGAGGCCCAGGAGAGGGCCTTCGCGATGGTGGCTGCTCCCAGAATCTGGAATACCCTCCAACTGGCGCCATGCAGTTTTTATTGTAATTATCTGTAAATTTTCCCATTAGCTCTGCTGCAAGGGGCCAGCTTCTTCAGGCCTCCTCCTCCCCTCAGCCGTCATCTGGGGGCAGCCATTTCGTCAAGCTGCCTCAGAGGGAGAGGAAGAGATATAGGAAGCAGGGTTCATTGCATGCGCTTTGCTGGCTCCATCAGGCGCCTCTGAACTATGTCAGCTCAATAGAGGAAGGACGGTCTAGAAATTGGTGCCTGAGTTTTGAGTTTTCTATTTTCCTCTTCCCTCCTTGTCCCTTTTCCTTTATGTGTGGCATTTTTATTTCTTAATTAGAATGTAAGCCTGTGGGTAGTCTTGCTTTCATGTAAGCTGCTCTGGGAGCTGTTTTGGCTGATGAGCCAAGGTACAAATGCTCTAAATGAATATACATTGAAAATGGAATATCTAGACAATTATATACTTAATTGTCTTAAATGATGTTTCTCCCCCTATGTTTTTGCTGTTCTTATTTTATCTGTAAGCCGCCTTGAGTCCCTGTCAGGGAAAAAGGTGGGGTGTGCATATATAAAAATATATAGGGGGTACACACACACACGTGTATATATATAATTGGTAATAATAAAGTGCCTTCTCTTCCCGCCCCCCGCCCCGACCTTACGGGGCACAGCCGGGGCCCCCAACCTCTTTTCCTGCCTCCCCAAATCCTATCACGCAAACCCCTGGGGTCTCAGTTCGGATCCAGGGGCGTCCCTTCGACCTCTTCCTGAGCCCAAAGGTGCCCGGAGCGCCCTGCCCTCCTTCCCTCCGGGCGCCCCCTCCTCACCTGAGGCGCCCCTTCTTCCCCTGCCTTGTTTACATGGACGTCGCGCTCCCCGCGCAGTCAACACCAGCCGCCCGTCCAGGCTAGCTTTGCCCAGGCCACCGAGAGGAGGCGCAGAGCGGCTCCCTATCACGTGACACAGAGGGGACTCTGAAGCCTCAGCAGTCATATTGGAAACTGGAAGAAAGGCCGCGGGGAGGGAGGGAACCTTCGGAGCCGTATCTCCATAGGGCGGCCATTTTTGAAACTGGAAGGAAGGCGAGCGGGGAGACTTCGGAGCGGCCATTTCTAAAACTGGCAACTCCGAGCTTTTCGGCGTTGCCGGCCGGTTTTGGCCTCGAGTTTGAAGCTTAAGAGGCGAGAGAGGAGATGCATAACCTCCCTTTCAGCACTGCTGCTCTGGCAGCAGGTACGTAGTCTGCTAGTGGCTGGGTGATTCCTAAAGCAGACACAGTATTTTTGAATCATCGGGTTGGAAGGGGCCACGAGGGTCATCTAGTCCAACCCGCTGCAATGCCCAATGTGGCACCCACGAACCCACGACCCTGAGATTAAGCTTATCATGCTGTACTTGACTTGAGCTATCCCAGGGCAATGTAATGAAGAGAAAGCCCCATTGCACTATGCAATGGAGTGGATACGGTCCCAGCTAGCTTCATGTAGAATTAAACCTGGCAGAGGAAGGGGTGGGGAGGGATTGTGCCTGCAGGAGAGAGATTTTCCACAGACATGGCGTAGCACTGATGAAGGCTTTAAGGGCAAGGTGGTGGCCCTGTTCTCTCTCAGCACCACACATTATCTAGTAGATACCACGGATTAAAATCTGGTCTGGAAAAGCCCAAGAGGGCTAAAACCTACTGTCAAATTACAGGGTGCTAAAGGTCCGTATAGTTCAAGCTATGGTTTTCCCAGTAGTGATGTATGGAAGTGAGAGCTGGACCATAAAGAAGGCTGATCGCTGAAGAATTGATGCTTTTCAATTATGGTGCTGGAGGAGACTCTTGAGAGTCCCATGGATTGCAAGAAGATCAAACCTCTCCATTCTGAAGGAAATCAGCCCTGAATGCTCACTGGAAGGACAGATCCTGAAGCTGAGGCTCCAATACTTTGGCCATCTCATGAGAAGAGAAGACCCCCTGGAAAAGCCCCTGATGTTGGGAAAGATGGAGGGCACAAGGAGAAGGGGACGACAGAGGACGAGATGGTTGGACAGTGTTCTCAAAGCTACCAGCATGAGTTTGACCAAACTGCGGGAGGCAGTGGAAGACAGGAGTGCCTGGTGTGCTCTGGTCCATGGGGTCATGAAGAGTCGGACACAACTAAACAACAACAACATCAAGGCAATATGCCTAAGGAACCAAGGGTCACAATGGCAGAGACACAGTTGCACCTGTCCTCAGAATCATACTACCAACCACACAAAGAGAAGGAAAAATATGAGGTTTATTTACAGCTTACAGCACAATTTAACTAAAAAGTAATTCATGGAAGTTGGTTCATTTGAAAGCTGGGTCCTCCCATGTTCATTTCCGCAGCAGATGAAAGCAAGTTAGGAAGACATGTATTTTCCACATGCCACTTTTAGGTAACCACTTACACAACTCTTTAGAGTGCACAGACACCCAGTTAAGATGACCAAATTTGTGCAGGTCAGCATTCTGAAGCTATTGCTATAGAATGACTTTAAGATAAGTGTACTTCCTTCTTTTGGGCATACCCTGGTAAATGCCTCATCTCTTGTCCTCATGAAAGACCATCAGTTTAGTACAAGGCAATGTGTATTCTCTTCTGCCCATGAATTGCTTGAAGATATATTCCCACAGACACTGTAAGCATAGGTCTATCAGCAACAATAGGCACCATTCTGGAAAACCCAGGATAGACACACATTATTTTAGATTCCATCCCTGAATGCTCAAAAGCATTTTTAGATTAAGAGCAAGCTGTCTCACCTACAGACACACACAATACCACTCTCCCTCCTATGTAGATCATACAAATTGCAGTAGTCCATCTCTAGAGCACAGCCTAGAGTTCAAAAAGAGATACCGAAAGGTATTACTGATTAAGGAGCCCCCGAGAATCCTGGATCTGTATCAGACAGATTTAGACTGCTTTGATCTGGGGCCAGCCTAATTGCTTGCTGCTCTAGAACAAGAGTTGACCCGCAACTTATTTGGCTGTGCTCTAGATTTCATTCACTGTGTATTTTCTTGCCTTTGGCAATCTTTGACACTCATGTTCTAGAGTGCTGTGATTGGTTTAGAAACAAGTCTGTGCACATTGCAAGCAGCCTCACAACTAGAGCTCACATATATATATATTAAAAAAAACACTCTAGAAAATTGTGGGGGTGATTTGAGCACCTGCCTTAAACATGGAGGCAGTCTTGTTCATTGTCCTCTAATGTGCTCAGCGTTCCACTCCCCGCCCTGAAGAAACAAGGCTGCCCCTTCAGTCTAGGAGTTCCTCTGTCCTGCAGATGTTATGTATTCTGGAGGGAGCTCAGTCGTCCTCTGATCCACCAACATAGTGACAGACAGCATCATACTCTAGCGTCAAGACCTTCTCATCTTCCTGCTGCAGCTGCACCAGTGCGCGGCTCTGCGCCTTGTCTCGACGAAGAATGCGGCCCACCTAGGTGGAGAGAGAGCAGAGAGTAATTCATTGCCTGAGACTGCAGAGGGTTTGGGTGTTTTTTAACAGATGCAAGCACGGGACGTGGGTGGCGCTGTGGGTTAAACCACAGAGCCTAGGACTTGCCGATCAGAAGGTCGGCGGTTCGAATCCCCGCAACGGGGTGAGCTCCCGTTGCTCGGTCCCTGCTCCTGCCCACCTAGCAGTTCGAAAGCATGCCAAGTGCAAGTAGATAAATAGGTACCGCTCCAGCGAGAAGGTAAATGGTGTTTCCGTGCGCTGCTCTGGTTCGCCAGAAGTGGCTTAGTCATGCTGGCCACATGACCTGTATGCCAGCTCCCTCGGCCAATGAGCGCTGCAACCCCAGAGTCGGTCACGACTGGACCTAATGGTCAGGGGTCCCTTTACCTTTACCTTTACCTAACAGATGCAAGCATGCACTGCTCTCTCCATGCACACTGCATATCATCACACACCATGCGTATATGTGTGCTTAGCTCCACTTTCCCTTCTGCCCTTGACTTTTCAAGTTAAGATTTCAACATTGGCATGAGCTTTATCAGCAAACACTGCCTGCTGTTTGCAGCTCTGGTTATGGGAGTCACTTGGACAGGGATAGCTTAGCCACAGCAGTGCATGCATTTGCATCTTCGCAACTGGATTGCTGCAGTGCAGGGCTGCTTTTGGGCTTGGTTCAGAAGCAGCAACACGGCAGCAAGGTTGGAGAGAACAGTGGTTAACTGTGAACATGCAACACCAGGTGTACAGGAGCTGCACTGGCTGCCAATTAGCTATCAAGCCACATTCAAGGTGCCTATGTGGACATAAAAGCCCTATGCACCAGGCCAGTCTTTGGAGAGCCTACAGACACCCTCTTACCAGGGCCACACCTGCTGACTGTGCAAGGTGTGGTGACGTGTGTGAAGGAGTTTTCTATAGCGGCACCCCTGCCCTTGCTGATGGGCTTTAGGCATTTTGTAGGCACATTTTTATTTACACCAGGGATTTGGTTAGTTGACCAATATTGTCACTCTTACAGTGTTCAGATGCCAATTTGGTTTATCATTGCTGTCTGGTTTTTCATAGTTTTATCATGTATCATATACTTGTATATTGCACCCCATTCTGGGATTGATTTTAATGAAAAGCTGACTATAAATTACATCTTCTGATCACCCAGACCTTGCCTACTAAATAATATTGGCCTGGCACATACCATCTGCTGTGTGTACTGCATTTTTAATCCAAGTTTATGAATTACTGTATTAGTTTAATTATGGTTTAGGTTTTCTTGTTTGGAACCACTCTGAATGTTTTGTTTTTAATATCAGAGCTTTATAAATATTTTAAAGGCACACTGACACAAATGTTAGCTTAGTGTCTCATTTCTTTGCAATATCAGCTATCTTATGGGATAACGTGTGGGGAAGGAAAGGAGAAAAGTCCCCCTCCCCTATTCCCCACTCTAGATTAAAAATGAACAAACCCTAACCATTCAACTCTGTTCTCCAAGATGTCTGCAGATAAAATTCAAAATACTGTTATTGCTTTCCATCAATCACACCTAGCACCCACTTATGTAGCTTATTCATCATCTTTATTGCAATAACTGTAAGACATAAGCCCACATCATTTTAAATAAATAAATTTAAAGTATTGCTTGCCACCTTGAACCCATGGGCTATAGAGTGACAGGGGAATGACATTTTTACATGCAAGAGGTGGCTGTGGTAAGAGATGGAAAAGCACACTACACATGTTCAGAGACACTGGGTTGTATTCAACCATCATACTTAGAGCAGATTCACTGAAATGGCTGGATCTGTTAGTCATGTCCATCAATTTCAGTGAGTCCACTCCAAGTAGGACTAACATTGGAACATTATTGTTAGGAATTTGTGGGCTGAGTCTTGACACTGAAGACCATTTGAGCAAAGCCTTAGCTCAAGAGCTACACCCAGGAAGCTGAATCAGGAATGTAGCCTACATGTTTCTGAAGCCAGGACAACAAAGAAGCCCCACCCTCCACTCCCACCAGTGTCGTTCTCTGTCCAGTGTTTTCTTGAATCTCTCTCACTTCATTTGCATAATTTGCATGTGTGTGTTTTTTTTAGAGTAGAATTGCGCAGCTCATATTCCAATATAAAGAGAAGCTCAGAGACCTCCCCAGCAACTCTCAGGATTCTCTTGCACCTGGAAAAAGTACTTCACTGTTGCTCCTCTGCCATCAATACCAGGTTCATTTCATGAGAGGCCCAACCTGTCTCGTGCTAATGGCTCAGGTCCCACCCATCGTGATCTGTGACTCACCCGGCCAGCCTGTTCCCCTAGCACCACCATGACCAAGTCCGAATCACTTCGAGGGATAACTGTCTCCAGCATGGACTCGTGAATTCCTGTGGAAGGAGGAATCAGAGAGTTGGAAGGAAGGGACCACAGGGCCATCTAGTCCAACCCCTTGCAATGCAGGAGTACTTTTGCCCAACGTGAGACTGGAACTTGTAACTCTGAGATTAAGAGTCTCATGCTCTACCAGCTGAGCTATCCCAGAGGCTACTACTTCAGCCATTAGAAGAGGTCAGATGAAGTAGCAACAATCTGGGGGGCCACTAGCCTGGTCACCCCCAGTTTCTCCATCTAATTACAAGTCACATTCTAAGACCCTCCTGCTACCCTTGGCTGAAGCTAGGGCTTTGGCTGCCATAGAGAGAAATCTCTCGCTTTCCTATAGGAAGGCCCCTTTGCAGCAGAGTCCACCTGTACTTTCTACCCTTCCCCCTCCAAGCTGCAGATGACAAACTGGATCCACTTGGGAGGGGCTCCAAAAACAAACTGGGGTTCTAATGGCGTGGGGTGAAGCACCCAGCCTTTTAAGCACTCTGGTCCTTACTATTTACTGCTTAAGAACAGGGAAATGTTCTTCTACCTTAACTATACGAGGGCAGTTTAACTACACAAAGACAGCCTCAGGTTCCAAGGGAAGGCCAGGGATAGGAACACACTCACCATCCAGAACGCGACCCTCTTCTGTTCGGCAGACACACGAGTCTGGCTTGAGGACATCTTCGATTACCATCTGGAGGGGAGTGGGGTTGGGTAGGGTGAGAAGCCAGCAGAAGATTTCATGCCATTTTGCCTCGTAAGATTAGAGCTCAGGTAAAGGCTTGGTCTTGGGTGCGTGGGGAACTCTGATCAAAAGGGAGTTTAACCTCAATACAGTAGAAAGCGTTCACATTCTGAAGTGGCACGAGCATCTCTCAGGACTTCATCACCACAGCTTTTAATGGGGGAGTGCAGAGAGGTTTTGATGCAACTGCTGCATTTTTATATAGTTGTTGTTTTCAAATAAGCAACTCTCCAAAAAAAAACCCAGCCCCGCTGTAGCCCAACGTTGGATGAAGGGTCCCCCACCCCCTCAAGACAATTAACTTTGGAAATCCATCCTATGGCCCAAATGACAGATGGCATGGGTGCAGACATGGCACACATGCTCTGCTGCAGCGCTGGCAACTGTTTCAAGGGACAGCAGCAAGTGGGGGGTGGTGCTGAGTGAGGCCTCCTATAAAACTGGCCCATGTTAAAAAGGGAACTTCCATGAAATACCTTGGTATTGTAGTATTTGCCTCCCTTGAAGAGCTTATCCACAAAGCGGACTCGCAGGTCTCGCCGCAACCAGTGAGAAGATCTGGAAGAGGAATTGCTATTGCTGCTGCTGCTGCTGCTGCTGCCACCGCCACCCTTATTCTGCTTCACAGCACGGTCATCTCTATGAGCAAAAGGCACAGAAGCAGTCAAGTATTACTGCCACTCATGAGGGATCGCCGCTAAAACCAGGGGCAAGTAACTCGTGGCCCTCCAGATCAGTGGCTGCTAGCCACGATGGCTATGCTCTGCCTCCACGCTCAGTATGTTCTGAAGATCAGTCACTGAAAACTGCAGCTGGGGAGAGTGCTCTCGTGCTTAGGTCCTGCTTGCGCATTTCCTTTGGGGCACCTGGCTGGCCACTGTGAGAACAGGATGATACACTAGATGGGCCACCCGTCTGATCCTGCAGGGCTTTCCTTATATTCTAGAACAGGTATCCCCAACCTTCAGCCCTCCAGATGTTTTGGACTACAGTTCCCATCATTCCTGACCACTGGTCCTGTTAGCTAGAGATCATGGGAGTGTTAGGATTTTTATCTCACCAGCTGCTCAGCGAGCTGCACAATGGTTGTTTATATCATGTGAGTGTCTGAGAGCGTGAGACAGGAAGTCTCAGCACAGTCTCAGTACTGTAAAAAGTTACTTTCGCTTCTGTGTGAAGTGTGCTCTTCTGTACTGCTGCTCAGAGAGAGCAGACAGGCTGGTGGATTCTCTGTATATAGACAGATGAATAAAGTAGTTTATAGCTACTGATTGTCTCTTTCTTCTGCAATGAGATGCCAGAAGACGAGTGTGTTCCTCTCAGGAGGGAGGGGTCGCTTATTACCGGTCTCTCTGGATGGAGGAAGATTTACAGCCAGAGGGTGGCCACCGGAGAGACACCTCGGTGTCTTGGGAAGGTGGTGGCCTTCCCGGGCGTTTTTCCAACAGGGAGTTGTAGGCCAAAACATCTGTAGGGGCGCAGGTTGGGGATGCCTGTTCTAGAAGCTGTTAGAATGATAGCTCCAATCACCTCTGACCACTCTGACCCACACAGATGAGTTTTGGAGTCCAACAATATCTGGAGAGCCCCAGGTTCCAGATCCATGGTTTAAACTGTACCAGATTGTATTGAGATGAAAAGCTTTGTTATCAAGTAAAATGCAGCCCGGGGGTTGGAGTAAAGGAATAATTTCCACTGCCTAAAGAAGCTCACCAGGTGCTGGGTGAACTCTCTCACACGCTCTGGTTCACACATAACACTAAGTCAAGATTTGCAGTTTGTTTCTCCGCAAGTGCCAGCATGCAGCTTGTTCATGGTTAAACCAGCGTTTATTCTTACTGTGCCTTAGAATGACTTGCAAACTAGTCCACTGTCAGCTTCAACAGCTGTCAGTTAACCTGAGGGGTCTTTGCAGCAAAGTCAAAAGATGCACAGTGGTTCTGGAAGAGGCTCCTCTTGAAGGCTAGAGACATTCTGTGAGAATCTAGCCTTGACTAAGCCGCCAGCAAAGAGGCTGCTAGTACAGTTGCTTCTCCAGAACTGGCAGCACAGTTGCCCCACCCTATACTGATGCCATTACCTCTCAGCCCCAGGTGGGTGCTTCCTCTTCCTCTCCTTCTCCTCCTTTTTGTCCTCTGAAGTTTTGTGTTCTGATTCATACTTGGTCCCATTCCTCTGTTCTGCCTCCTTCTCTTTGTGGGCCTTACTGAGGCGGCCTGCAGTGGGAGGGGCAAAAACAGCAAACTTGAGGGGACGCTCAGACTGAAAGGGGGAGGCTGCATAAGCTGTCTGCTCATTTGCAACCCAAGCCCCCAAAGCAAGACACAGGCAAATGTCACAAATCTGTACCGGAAACCCCAGAATAGATCACAAAGGAAGAACTGAAGGCAACATTAGGTGACCTCATTAGGGAAGGGAGCCAAAACTTACTCAGGTCTTTGGCCAGTTTATCATATTCCTTCTGGGTCACAGGTCGGACTCCGTGCTGGCTCACAGTTACTGTTTTCCCACCAATGGCCAATTTCACCATGACACGAGCATTATCTCCATCTACGCCTTCAATCTATGGAAGAGCAAGAGGGAAGCAAAAGGTCATTCAGAAAACTACAATGCCCAGAATGCCTTGGGTGTAACAAAAATGCAGAATTTGCAGGGTGGGTGCTAAAGTTGACTTCTACTAACATAACAGGTTTTCCCCTTCCGCTCCTCCCTCCCCTGCATGACCCTCAAAATCTGCTCTGGAGGATTGGCAGATCATCTGGAACAGATCTGGGGGGCACACAGAGGGCTGCGGAGGTGGGTGGAGAGAAATAAAGGGGCAGTTGTGTTGTGCAAGTGGAAGTCCTTTCTGCTCATGCACAGATGGAGTTGGATTCAACCCACAAATAGTACTCTCTTCCCAAAGTAGGAAAAAGACAGGCAAATATGGAAAACAGAGCATAGTTTTGTTATGATCCTTGCTCATATATTGGACCAAGCTCAGCTATCTATCTATCTATCTCTTTCCACTGAGTAGCCTGTAGAGCAGGAACAAAGAATAGAACCTATACTTTCTGCAAAACTTACAAAGCAAACCTCAACTCAAAGACCCAAAATAGGCTGACCCCACCAAACTAGTACAAAGACTTTGAGGAAGCCGAGAAGTCCCCACCACAACCACCTACAAATAGGTACCAAGAAAGACATCCCAAGGAAGCAATTAAAACCTGGAAAACCAGCTGTATCAGCCCACAGCCCTGATGAAAAAGGTAGCAGGATCCAGTCAGTCTTATGTCACAGGTGCCCTGTGGGTGGGTCCATTCTCCGCCTTCTGATTCGATTATGATGCACATAGTTATTTTATTTATATTCCACCCTTCCTCCCAAAGCAGCACAGGGTGGCATACAACAAGCAAAAAAACAAACCCTATTTACAACATTTTAAAAACAATTACAACATAGAAGCAGACTAGGAAAGATCTCTACCTAAAAGTCTTGTAGGAAATGAAATGTCTTCAGTAATTGGAAAAAAAAATTGCAGATAGTGCTTGGCTAATATTTAACAGGGGATAATTTTCCAAAGGATGGGTGCCACAGCACTAATAGCCCAATTCTTATATTGTGCAGAGTGGGTAAGATTGACTAGGAATATAAAGAGACGCTCTTTCAAGTATCCTGTTTCTGAGCTGTATAAGCATTAAGTTGGGTGGAAAGAGTCAGGGTAGAGGCTATATGCCTTCCCTAGTGAATGTTTATGCCTCTCTCAGGAGCCCCTCCTGCTTGCTCGAAGAATACTAAACCCCAGGTCAACACAGACCTGAGCACAAAGTGACAAATAGCAGGAGTTCGCAGAAAGAAACAGCTCACCTTCCCATACAGCTCCTTGTGAGGTCCAGCCTCAATGTAGACTGCACCTCCTGGAACCAATCCCAATGGCTCATCCTTGCTCTTGGAAGGCTCCTCGCCAGGTTTGGGGGGTCGCCGGGGTGCTGAGGATTGTAAATCCTGGGCTGCTGAGCGGTCTGCTCCAAGACCCAGACCCTTGGGTCGAAGACGGTGCTCGGGAGGCTTCACGTCTCTTAATGTGAGCAAGAAGAGGAGCAGGATGGGATGAGAAAGAAACACATCACTGACCCCGTCCAATTTGGGGCAGCGTTTCTACCCACAAGAAGACAACCCTGTACTGTTGCATAATGGACAGAAGTGGGCATGGAAGCAGTGGACTTGAATCTTGGCACAGCCACAACTCACCGGGGAAAGTTTCCGCCAAGCAAATTTGGGGTGTCTCAAAGGAGAGATTTCAGCATCCATGGGAACAAAGGTTGCAATGCTACAGAGCCGCATCTACCAGTGAGGGCTAGGCATGCCAAGCCAGAGGCATTTACAAAGGGTTTACCACAGCCCATCACCCACTAAGCTGGGAAAACCATTCTTTACTTTTGCATTCAGAACGATGCCAATTCTACCAAGTGATTGGCTACAGGAGGGGTGGAGAACCCGTGAGCCTCCCAGTCTTTAGGGACTCCCAACTCCCATCAGCCTCAACCAGCTTGGCCAATGGTCAAGGATAAATGGGAGTTGAGGTCCAACAACATCTGGAGGACCAAAGGTTCCCCATTCCTGGGGTACACACACTCTCTCTCTCTTTCTCTAGCAACACTGCTCCAGCTCCACCTTTTCTTCCCTTCTGACTGCCTCCAACAACCTTCTTAGGACTGCAGCTAAATTCACTTCGGCTCTGAATTACTTTAACCTGCAGAAGCTTTTTTCTAAAAAAAACTGCTTTATGATGTCTGTGACATGTGACAGGCCTCCCATAGGAACACATTCCCTAACCTCAAGCCCTGGAACTTTTTTTGGTGCAGAACCGAAACTATTAGCTCATAACTGGCTTAGAATATATTTTGGTAACTGACCTTGGACTGAGATAAGGCATGCTCCCTTACATATCTGTATTTTCAACTATAATCCTTCGGCTACACCCTTGTTCAAGCTGTTGCTGGCCCACACCAGAGGCTTAATGCTAAAGATCATACTAAACCCCTAGTTCAATACAACCTATGCGTAGAACTTTTATTAAAATACTAGAAATGGGTTAAAAATTACTCCCCACCTGCTTAATTGTGGCCATTATAAAAGTAGCTTCAGCAAGGATTAATGCTGTGGAGCATTCCAGCAAAGTGAAGAGAGTTTCACAGTTGCAAAGCAGGCCACTCCAAACACCCTGCTTTATGTCCTTGTGGAGTCCACCATGTTCAGTTATCACTGTCCCAGCAGTGCAGCCCACACAAGCATGCAGAAATAGGATGGAGTCCAAATCTAGAGTAGATTAAATTATTATCTGAACCTCAGCACATCCAATACCCTTCCTCTCCCTTCCCATCAGTTATTTGTGAACTGCCAGAATATGGACCATTAGCTCCTTGAGATTTTTCTGTTTATTTATTATTAAATTTCTATACCACCCTTCATCCAAGGATCACAGGGTTGTTTACAATATAAAAAGATGAAAGTAAATAACACAGTAACAAACAAAAAAACAAAAAAGGGGGGACTTAAGGGAGGGAACTCCCCAAATAGCTCAGCAAGGACTCACTGCTTGAAGGTGTTCCCAATGCCCTCGCCTGCTTTCCAGCCCATGCCCTTCAGCATGGCAAGACCATAGGCTTCTACTGGTATCTCTTCATAATCTGCCTCAGTTGACTAACAATGTGAGGGGAGGAAAAGAAAAAGAGGACACGTATTAAACTCTCCTGAATAGGAGCTCAGAAGGTTGTCCACAGAGACCCACCACCACTATTACCGATTCTGGTCGGAGGCTGACATCCACTTTATCTCCATCTTCGTAGCCATCAGGGACACGATTCTGCATGAGGAGGGGAATGGAAAGTGTAGGGTCTATCTTGGTGCCACTCTCCCACTGCTCCCGCGACTTCCTAGATTCTGAATGCAAAGAGATCAAGTTGTTTTTATTTATTAATTTATATACTGCTCACACACCAAAATGGCTTCTAAACATTTTACAAGTTGAAAGCCCATTATGAACTATCCACACGTAATAAAAACGTGCCACAAAACAATTCTATCAAAAAAATAAAATACAACAAGCAGGTTTAAAAGCTTAACAATTAGAGCAGTTAAAAGGATCAATTAAAACAGTTAGATCAACAGGTTCATGTTCAGGGGAATGATTGTCTAAACAGGTGCGTCTTGAAGAGCTAGCAGAATGACAAAACCAAGCAGCCTTGCATATTTCAGCAGGGGGGGCATTCCACAACACTGGTGCCTCCAACAAAAATGGAAAATGTCTGTGTTACCACAAACTGATAATCATCAAACCATGATAAAAACAATTAGGTTCTATTTCATGATTTAATGTCCTTACTGGGCATGGCGAAACAATTAGCTGAAGCATAAGCAACATACTGCAGAGCTAAGGCAAGAAACCTCAGTCAAGCAGTCCTTCCTAGGCCGGATGTGGGGTGGGACGGGACAAAGGTCCAGCATAGAGTACAGCTGTTTGCAAAAACCAAAAGATCTGGATATTTGTACTAACATCTTCATTTTTAAGGAGTGTCAACAGTCACCTGAGGTGGAGTAAGCAAGCCTGATGGTGATCAACAATCCTGACCTCAGCTTCACAGCCTTGGGAGTGCCTCCTGAACCTTGATGTTGCAATAGTGACCAGAAGCGCTTTTTGTCAACTCCACTGACAAGGACCATTTTCTACCAATTCAGAGTCACTTATGCCTCCATAGCCTAAGAGTGAGGTGACTAGCCTGTCTGGTTACTGTGATGACCAATGGGGTAAAAAAATCCAACCTGATGTTTTCTGCTCCAGTTCTCAAGGATGGGAGAAGGCTGCAATTCTAAGAAGGTGGAGTAAGGAGTGCTCACCTTCAATGAGCTCCCTGACTGCTTGAGCCTCTACGCAGCTGTTCCCATCCTGTTCCTGGGGTGGTGCAGGGTCCTCTGGCTTCTTCCATTTGTTCTTCTGGATCAGGGGAATGACAAGCTCTTTCGGTTGTGGGGCTGGCCGAACACTGCAGAGGAGCATACACCAATTAAGACCACACAGGGATAGCAAAGTACAATGGGGTGAAATTCTGACAAGCTTCATTCCATCACTCAACTGGTGCCCTCAAACTTGGTGGAAGAAACAGAAACTGCTTTGAACAAAACATATTGGTAGAGCCAGGACTACTGATTGGTAGTTTCCCTTGGGGTGGGGAGCAGGATATGGCCAACCCACTGCAGGACACTTTGACAGGTCAAAAGGGGTCACCTGTCAATCACCTGGCATTATATGATTTAGAGTGAACTCCTGGTTCTTTCTTTTGAATCTGCCACTGTTTGCAGTAGTGGCTCTAAGTGTCCTGTGCTATCAGATGACTGACAGATGAGCATGGCCTGGCCAAAACAACCTTTCAGGGCAAACAGGGAGGTCTGGTGGACTTAATAAGGCCCACCAGCCAGAGGTTCCCCCACCACTAACCAACACATTCAGGTAATTTGTTGTGTTACAAACACACACACACACAGCAATTTTGGACCACAACAACAACTGCAGAAGGACACAAACTTTTTCAAATTCCTTCACATGCACTGCAGAGGAACTTAAGGGGGAAAAAATAAAGGTTACTGAGCCTGCAAATGACTGACAAAAACAGTAATACAGGTAAGAATTGCATCTACTGTCACTTGCTGATATGACCAGCAACTAACACTACATTGTTGAAGATTAATGGTCGTCCTTTGCTAAGAAATACTTGTGTCTTACAACAAAAAATACTGTATACCTTTCACGACCCCATGTCACCCTTCCCTCTCCCTTCCCTCCACTGCCAAGGTGAAGAATTTAAGTTCATTAGGAGAACCCATCTCTGTATTTGTTTTGTGGTGGAAAGTCCAGATCACACATTGGGATGCAAGTGTTTTGTGCAGCAGCTGCAACAGATTGGCAACCTGTGGCTCTCCAGATGTTTGTGGGCTTCCTGTCGGCCTCAGCCATCATGGCCAAGGATCAGGGATGGTTAAGTAACATGAGTATGAACAGGGAAGAGACAGGCAGATTTCTCACCCCTGGTCCAGGACTGGGAGGTGTTTCTTTTTGTTTCAATAAAAAAATCGGTGTGCTGCAAGCAAATTTTTCATCTGAAAGTGTGACCCGGGGGTGGGGGGAAACCTGCGAACCAACACTCTAAAATAAATAAACAATCCAAAGCCCTGTGACATCCCCTCTGGCATCTCGGAGAGAAGGCGAAGGCAGAGCCTGGCACGCTAGCTTTCTGCATGCGGGGATATTTCCCCCTCCCCGCCTGTCTCTCTCCTCAGCCACGCCAGAAGCGGCACCACCGAGCCCGCCAGGGACAGGCGCGGCTTGGCCAGGCGCAGCCCAAACCAGCCGCTCAAGCGAGCGACTGAGGCGCCGCGCAGACGACCCCCGCCGCCTCCTCCTCCGACTACCTTTGCAACTCGCGCCCCTCAATGGCGGAGAGGAAATCAGGCTCCTGCTTCGCTTCGCCGCCGCCATCCTGCCCCGTCACGAAAAGAAACCGCCTCCGCCCGGTTGTCCGCGTGAAGCCGAACGACACCGGGGCAGCTTGCGCCCCCGCTGGCTTCTCGGCCCCGTCCGCCATCTTCCCTTCGCTTCCTCGTCGCTCCTTCCCTCCCTCGCGTGCCTTTGGCGTCACTTGCGTCGCCCGCTGGGCATCATGGGAGACGGAGTTCCCGGGCCCCTCCCGTCTCCGTGGGAGAGCAAGCGGGACGGGGGGAGGAATAACTATAACTCCCATGGTGCAGCGCGGCAGAGGGCTTCTCGACTCCCTCAAATCTGCGCAAGAATAAAGCAAAACACTACAACTCCCGTGCTTCCTTGCGACAGCCGGCGCAAGCGCAGTGATCCGGGAGGCGCGCACGGCCTTCAAACTGCGCATGCGCCACACCGACGCAGAAGAGCAAGCGGCGCCTCGTTTGCTGTAATACCATTTGCGCATGCGTGGTACGGGGCATAGTTACAGATCCTTGCATTGGCCATCCATTTCCGGCATGTGAAAAACAACCACCGCGGGCCGTTTTCAGCGGGCGACGCTTCCGGTATATATGGGATTTATATCTCCATGGGGAAAGGACGGCGCGTTTTGGGGTAGCCAGTCTAGGCCTCCTTTGGGACTCTGTGCTCTCTGACGTTGGTGGGGCAGGCAGACATTCAACAGATGAAGCTCTGTTCCATCGGTTGCATTTCTGTAGAGGGAAGAGCCTTCTTCACCTGTTGGTTTCTCCCTGTTACGACGCTAAGCATCTGCAGAGAGCTTGTTTATTTGTTTATTTGATTTAGGTCCCAGGGCGGTTACGTTAATATGAATCCTGCCTGTCTGCCTGGTGGTTGGCTTTCCATACCAACAGCATCTCTCAGATCTAAGATTTATAGTAGGGTGGAGTGGGGCCTTGTTTCTGGATTGCACCATTTCCACGCTGCATGTGGGGACTCGCATGATGGGCTCACCCTGCACACAGAAATGTGGAATGTCAAGGAGAACACTGGGATGGAGTCTTCCACACACACACACCTTGACGCACCGCACCACGTTTCTCTTTCCAAGGGGATTTTTTTCCCCCTAGAAAGATTTAATTATTTTGGTATGGAGTAGCAAATCATTCACAAGCCTGTCTCCACCTTTCATTCTGACGTGCTGCGGATTCAAAACAGCTTCATTTTCCGTTTGTGGTCACTTGGCAACAAGAAGCTGAGGTTAAGTCTTTACCCAAGAACCCTTTCACAGTGCTAGCACCCAATCCTGGAATACAAGAAGAATTAGGAAATAATAACAGGGGCTTAGAAAGCTGCCACGTATTGAGTCAGACCTTATAGTGGTGCCTCGGGATGCGAACGGGATCCGTTCCGGAGCCCTGTTCGCATCCTGAATAGAATGTAAGACGCAACTGTGCGTGCGTGGGTCACGTTTCACCACTTCTGCACATGCGCGTGACATCATTTTGACCATCTGCACATGCGCGAGCGGCGAAACCCGGAAGTAACACGCTCCATTACATCCGGGTTGCTGTGGAGCGCAACCCAAAAATACTTATCCTGAAGCATATTTATCCCAAGGTATGACTCTACTCTGAATGGCAGCAGCTCTCCAGGGTTTCACAAGTGCATTAAAAAAGTGCAGAACGGATTTTCATAGAATTGTAGAGTTGGAAGGCATCCTGAGGATCATCTAGTACAATGCAGGAATTTAAGCAGCTGTTTGTATGGGGATCAAACCAGCAACTTTGGTGTTCTACACAGCACTTGGAACAACTTAGCTATTATGAGAGATAAATTTCAAGGTGATGCTTATTCTCTGCTAACTCCCTAAATGGTCTGAACTCATAGTACCTCAGGGAATTATATATATAATTTGTACCCCACCCATCTGACTGAGCTCTGCCCTGAATAACATCCACGTAAAAGGTAAAATCTACAAGAGCTCTTTCAGGGGTGGGGCTGCAGCTTTGGAACAACCTCCCAAGAGTTTCTTTTACTTTTCAGAAAAAGGCGTTTCAGATGTATCAACTCTCCAGGGCTTTAAAAAGTACTCTCTGAGGTTCTCTGTTGCAGCCATTTTGATATTGATACTGGATTAGCTAATAGCTACCTACTTCCTCTAAGGCCGGCCTGTTATGCCTCCAGTTCATTCGTTATAGCAAGCCAGTGCTACTGCTTTGACCCACAGTTGATGTTCTTCCCCACACAGTGGCAAAGCAGGTCACAGACAAGTTCTTCTCTCGCATTCTAGTACCTGTCAGATAAGTGAGGATGGGACGTTCCTCCAAAGACAAGCGTGACATTTACTACCGCCTGGCCAAAGAAGAGGGGTGGCGAGCCCGTAGTGCGTTCAAACTTCTGCAACTGGATGAGGAATACCATTTGTTTCAAGGTGGGCAAAAAAACATGCATCCCCATTATATTACCACTTTTTCTTGCATCACTGAAGGGCATTAACAAGTGTTAGACACTCAAACCTATTTTTAATGTCATGGCTTAGACCCAGAACCTTTGAAGTGGAATATTAATACTTTTGCTTTGGTACCTCCTTCTAGCAAATAGCTTTTCTCAGAGGACCAGAGTCCTGTTTTGGGGGAGATAACACTACAACAAAAGCCCCATCTTACCACTTTAAACAGTCATGTATTCCCCCAGAGAATCATCTCAGGAGTTCTGCTTCCTAGTCCTTTTTTTCAGCCCCTTTGCAGAGGTGCTGACTGATCTTCTCTTGTCCTTCCTAGGTGTCTCTAGAGCTGTGGACCTCTGCGCAGCTCCTGGGAGCTGGAGCCAAGTTTTAAGCCGAAAGATCAAGTAAGCAAATAATTCAGCTCAAACATATCTAGTGGGTTGCAGCCCCTTAGAGAAGGGCTAGGCTCTCATGGGATCTATTTATATTCCACCCCACAGAGGAGAAGACATGAAAAACCCTGATGTCAAGATAGTAGCTGTAGATTTGCAAGCCATGGCTCCGTTGCCGGGTGTCATCCAAATTCAGGGAGACATTACCAAGGTAGGTGCTACCTAGTGCATCTTGGGGTGATGTCAGCCTTGAGCTTGGCCTCTACCCCATCTAAGCAGCAGAAGAAAAAGAGGCCTACCCAGAGAACAGTGTCTCTTTTTTTTTAAATAATATTTATTAAAGTTTCAAAAAATACAGAAAAGTACAGAATACAAAAAAAAGTATAAAGTTTTTAAGATATAACAAAAAAGTAAAAAATAAAAAGAAACATACAAAATAAAACAATTAAAAACACGTTAATTTTCCATAACCTATCTTGCTTACACTTATTTCCCCGGACCTCCTCGTGCCTCCCTTTTTTGTATTCCAGTTCAATTCGTTAGTTCAGCAAGTCCTTACCATTAAGCTTTTACCCATTTGTAAGACTTTTTTCGTATCTCTTAAAGCATTGCAGCTGGAAACCACTTAGTTTCTATCCAACATCCTTCTAAGATTCCTTAATTTTACAATATTTCTGTAAATAATCTTTAAATTTCTTCCAGTCTTCTTTCACCGACTCTTCTCCCTGGTCTCGGATTCTGCCAGTCATTTCCGCCAACAGAGAACAGTCTCTTTGCTCACATACCCACCTAACTCTCTGTTTCCAGGTCTCTACAGCTCAGGAGATCATTTGCCATTTTGAAGGGCAGCCCGCTGACCTGGTGGTGTGCGATGGAGCCCCTGATGGTAGGTGACAACCAGGCTCCCAGCCTTGTCAGGGGAATCAGGGAGCTCTGCTGGGCTTTAGATGGAAAAGCTGCCTGTATTAGCTCTGATATGTAATTCCTTTACTCTGCAGTGACCGGACTCCATGACATAGATGAGTACATTCAGGCCCAGCTGTTGCTCGCTGTGAGTATCTCCTGGTGTTTGCCGCTATATGTAGTGAGCAAACTCATCCACAATGGGTGCTGTGGGGGCTTTGCACTGATGGAAGAGCCGGTTGGCATCCTTCAGCAGAAAGTAGCCCAGGCTGACTGAGTGCAGCAGATCGGGAAGCTTGATAGAAGGAGTGTCAGCAAGTGATGGGTTTGACATCAGCCCCTGTGAGTCTTGCTGGGATCCACAGGCCCCAGAAAATGCCACACTATTCTGGGTCCTGACATAAGGCCTGATATCAGACAGGTTAATGGGATGCCCTCCAAAGGACCTATCTGGTGCCATGATATTCCCCGGACCTGGAAGATCTACAGATTGCTCCTAAGTGGAGCCTTCTGTGGTTAGGGCGGCTCTACAATCTCAATATGCAATTGCAAAAATAGATTTTCAGTACAGTATTTAGCATTTGGCTCTGGATCTTTGCTTTTAAAAAAAGGTATGCTACAGCTGTAGAAACAGATTAACAGTCACAACTTCTTGTGAATTCTCAGAAACCCAAGGAAGGTTTGACATGGCTGCCAGTTCTCAGTCGGGAGCTGTAAAGACTGTTCGAGATGATGCATTGGCAGGGGAGACGTTCAGTTCCCACTCACCAGCTGATCAATGCTGACTTCAAGGTGGACCCTGCTCATCTGTCACAATGAGCCACTGAAGGTGGAAAAGCCCAGGATCCAGTCCACTTTCCCACCCTGTCTTACAAGTACTGGGCCTTTGCTAACAGAGAGGAAAAGAGCAGGACCAGAGCAAACCCTTTCACCTTTTATCTAGGTTTCTTTTCCGGCCCAAACTGTCATGGGATGCTGGTGGCTTTGTTCCTCGCCTGCTGCATCTTTGTGCCAAAAAAGGCTTTTCTCTTATGGTGCTGATTGTTTCCTTCTGTTTCTTCCAGGCTCTGAACATCACTACGCATGTGCTAAAGAAGGGAGGGACATTTGTAGCAAAGGTGAGCCCTGCAGGTGATCAGGGAAGAGTTAATAGGCACTGCAGTTCTGCTTTAGGTGTGGCAAAACAGGGCTGCTGTGGGCACCGCACCAAAGTCATCACCCTGCAGTGGTGTTTCAGCACCTGCTTATTGCTGTTCACCTGAGCTCACCTAAGGCACCACAGCAAATAGGCTGAGGACTCGGTGGGCCTGTCCACTTCATCAGCCCTTAGCATCAGCAGTGGGCCTGGAGGTTTTTCAAAAGAGGAACAAGGTAACTTGAGCAGGAATACTGAAAATTTGTAAGCTCAACTTTTATTTCTTTTTATTTACCGTATTTTTCGCTCTATAGGACGCACTTTTCCCCCTCCAAAAATGAAGGGGAAATGTGTGTGTGTCCTATGGAGCGAATGCAGGCTTTCACTGAAGCCTGGAGAGTGAGAGGGGTCGGTGCGCACCGACCCCTCTTGCTCTCCAGGCTTCAGGAAGCTATCCGCAAGCCTTCGGAGCGTGGCGGGAGTGCCCCCCGGGCTCCAAAGGCTTGCGGATAGCAGCCTGCTTCCCGAAGCCCGGGGAGCACTTCTCAGCGCACCCTGGGCTTCGGGCAGATATCCACAAGCCTGCATCCCGGAGAGCGCAGAGCTGGGCTCTCCGGGCTTCGGGCAACTATCCGCAAGCCTTCTGAGCGCGGCGAGAGTTCCCGCTGGGCTCCGAAGACTTGCGGATAGCAGCCTGTTCTGGGGGCTGGGGTCGGGGGAAGCTTCCCCCGCCTCAGCCCCACACCTGGGGGGGAAATAATTTTTTTTCTTTATTCCCCCCCCAAAAAAAAACACCTAGGTGCGCCCTATGGGCCGGTGCGCCCTATAGAGCGAAAAATACAGTAATTAATTTAAAATATAATTCAGTAATGTGTAAGGAATAAGGAAACAGAAAAAGAAAAACACAACTGAGTAGGAGTTAAAATTAAATTTGACAAAGGGGGTACTAATTAGGATTTATGGCAGATTCAAATCTGGCCCATATAGCTAGTGCTGAAAAATTAACTCAAAAAGGTATAGTAGAAGACAGACCAAAGGTGATGTGTTTTTCAGCCACGTGGCAAAAATGTATTTTATATGAAAATGATAACAACGGTGTTTAAACACCTCTGGTGCAATAAGCCGCTATTTGGAATTCTTAATAACTCTTCACCTTCAAACAAGAATATTGCAAGTCCCAGAGGATAACAACCTGATACTTTCAAACAAAGCAAAATAGCCCGTTACGCTTCCCAGGGATTGTGAATGCAAGGACCCAAATTCGTGAGAGCTTGACTTGAACCCTTAAGGCAGGCATGGCCAAACTTGGCCCTCCAGATGTTTTGGGACAACAGTTCCCATCATCCCTGATCACTGGTCCTGTTAGCTAGGGGATGATGGGAGTTGTAGTCCCAAAACATCTGGAGGGCCAAGTTTGGCCATGCCTGCCTTGAGGCAAAGGTGGCCGTCAGTGGCATTGGGAATCCTCCTGATGTGCTTTCTGCTGACATGCTGAGGCAGGATCTTGTGACTTCGTGAAAACCCAGAGCAGGGAACTTGGGTTCATTTCCAGTGTTATCAAGAGTCACTGCACTTGGGTGCTGGCTGCATGTTGAGTCTGTTTCGGGCGCACCCTGGGCTTGTTCCCTCTTGGCACCTGATGCCGCTGAACTCAGTGTCTCCAGGACATCTGAATTACGCTCCTTCCCCATCTCTCATTGGCGGAGGATTCCTCTGCATCTGTGTCGCTATCCACAGCCTGGGTAATGTGGCGTAAGAATGCAGTTTATCCAGGCAAGATGATGGCATTTTGCTTCCCTGCCTTAGATATTCCGAGGGAAGGACATCACCCTCCTCTATTCCCAGCTGCGAATTTTCTTTCCTGATGTGACGTGCGCCAAACCCCGAAGTAGCCGCAACTCCAGCATCGGTGAGCGACCAAACAGCTTCTTGCAAGCCTGGTTAACTTGCAGCTTTGCCACTCATGGGGAAAACTGTACAAAGCGTTACAGGATCTGACAGCTTGTTCAGAATCACTGGAATCTCAAAAAATTATAATAATGAGTGGAATTCTAAGTGGCACTAAGGAGATTGCTCTGTCTGCGCGAGTATTTCTGCTTGCCCAATGAAACGATCTTCCCCCTCTTCTTCCCCTGTAGGCTGTTCTGGGGCCCCTCCCGACACCCCCAGAGCCTATCTGGGGGGCATGGAAGGGGAGGAGAGGCAAGGGGAAGCCATGTTGTGCTGGCGGGACTTGTTCTGGCTCTTGCTAGCGCAGCTCTTTAGTTGTATCTGGTCCCATGTTTCTAGTTGTCATTGTTGCAGGTGAATGTCTGGAAGCATGCAGGCAGAGGGGGAACGATGGTGCTTTTGCCTTCCAGCGTCTTTCTCATCGCCCTATTACCCATTGCTTTGGCAACTGTTTCCTCCTGCCTCCACCCTGCTCCTTGCAGCAACCTCTTACAATTAAAAGAAAGCAAATGAGCAGTTCTCCAAAAAGACAAAAGTGAACGCAGGTCAGAGAAGCGCACAACAGAATCTCTCGTGCTGTGGCGTAATGCTCTCTTAGGGCTTTTGATTTGCTTTGATATCTTTGGTGGAGGCCTTTTCTGCTTCAGTGCCATTTTTAAAAAACAAGTCATGTTTGTGTTGCAGCAGCTGCACTTGCAGTTTAGGCTAACTTTTTAAATTTATGCAAACACGTTTCCTTAGTCTCCTAGTTCAGCTAGGGACAAGAATCCCATTACATTGCGTTCAACGGGTTGCCATGCATTTGCAAAATTAGGACATGTGTACAACACATCTTCTGTGTACAGTGGTACCTCAGGTTAAGAACTTAATTCGTTCTGGAGGTCTGTTCTTAACCTGAAACTGTTCTTAACCTGAAGCACCACTTTAGCTAATGGGGCCTCCTGGTGCTGCCGCGCCACTGCTGCACGATTTCTGTTCTCATCCTGAAGCAAAGTTCTTAACCCAAGGTAATATTTCTGGGTTAGCGGAGTCTGTAACCTGAAGCATATGTAACCTGAGGTACCACTGTACTGTTGATGAAGGCTCGGTCTACCCAGTGTCGGAGGTAGTGGGCAGTTGTTTGCTCCTGCTGCTAAGCTAATCCCCAAAGGCTGTGTTTCCTCGTTTCCTATAGATGTGAGCGGCAGCCATTCATCTTTGCAGGTCATTCTCTCAAGGGCACTGCTGGCAAATGGGCTCTTGCCGTTGAAGAGCCTCCTGTCTATTGCATGAGTCATACGTCCCTCATCTTCGGCATCCCAGGAGTCAGGCTGTTTTATTCTGTCACATAGAACTCAGTGGAAACAATTTAGAACAGAGTCTGTGTCTGAATAGCTCCATGCTGGTTCTTGGTCATGCTCGTATTTGATGGAAGCTTGGAAATGGCCCGTTTATCAGAAGATAGGAAGCTGGATTACATCAGTGAGGCTACTGGATCCATCTAGCTTGGAGTTGTCAGCCCTGACTGGCAGTGGGCCTCAGGGGTTGCAGACAAAGGTATCTCCTAGCCCTGCCAGGAGATGCCAGGGATTGAACCTGGAACCTTCTGTTTACAAAGCAGATGCTCTGTCCTCTTTGCTGTGTGTCCCCCCACCTCCACTCTGATGGTTTTAGTGCAGAACATGCCTTTTCCCAGTGCAGGTTGGGGTTAGGCACAGCATACTCCTCACGGGGCTTGATAACCAACTGTATTGGGGGAACAGCAGGGGGTTGTGTGTGTTTGTGTATAATTTAGTGCCCACCCCAGAAATGATCTCTTTCAGCTTCTGCCTTCTGGAAGAAGGTACAGGGTTATAAAGACTAGGACTAAGAAACAATTTCTATCCAAATGCAATTTTGGTTTTAAATGCAGTGTAAGGAGTCTCTATGGGAGTGCACTATATTTTAAAAATGGGGTATCAGAGTTTTTAGGGGGCTAACCAGGCTGGGATAGCTGGGATACCAGGCTTGTTGGTTTTGAATGTCTTATGTAGATTTTAATTTTTTTTTTCAATTTCGTTGTTCTGTATGGGACAATGGCAATAAAGATTATTGTATCGTATCGGAATGCCAGAGCGGTGGTCACCAAAGCTTTTAACTGCCTTTTCATCCTTCCAGAGGCATTCGTTGTTTGCCGAAACTACAGCCCCCCTGAAGGCTATGTGCCAAACATGTCCAATCCTTTGCTAGATCACTGTTACGGTAAGGAACCTTGAAGGGGGAAGAGATGTTTCTGCAGCTTCCCGTTGTGCTGTGGGACGCAGGGCAGGGAAACTGAAGGGAAAGTGGGAGGTTTGAGGGCAGAGGCAAGAAAGTGTGGATGGAGGAGGGCAGGGGCAAGTTGCCTACTGGGGGATTGTGAGTCTTCGGTCCCAGGAAGTGATCCATTGTCGGATTGCTTCTCTTTCTGTTTTTTGGCAGTATTGAGCAGGGACTCTAGAGGCTGAAGCTGTCGTATGTTTCCTGTCCATAGAGTCAATGTCTTGAGAAGCCAGGCAGGCCCCATAGTATATACGCAATGAAATCAAAGTTTTCCATAAGTTCTGGATATGAAAAGAATGAATTTGCCTAGGGAAAACCTCAGTTTTAATCCAGTGCTTGTTTGTTATCTCCCTCCCCGCCCCCCGGAGGGGCAACTTCAAGAAGGGGCTGGGATAAGCTACCTGTCATCATGATATCAGATGATTGACAGGTGGCTGTCACAAGTTGGCCCTGTATGGTATGGGAAGATGAAGATACGGTTCGCTGCACCAAAAAGATTCCCCCGTATTTCTCCTTGTCCAATTTCTGGTATTTTTTTCTCTCCCTGCTTTTAAATCTTATTGGATTCTAAGTTTCTGGGCAGCGGTTGTGTTATATTCTATTACCTTCTGCATGATGCCTAGTTATAGCGCCTAATAAAGACTCCCTTGTTGCTGTTACCATCATTGTCATTGTGATCAGCCCAAGTAATGGAAGCCTTTTTTGCTGAAGCAGCGTTTTAGCAGGAGAAAAAGGCACCTCTGCCCTAAGCCAGGTTTCCTTTAAAAATATGTTCCCCAGGAGGACTGAGGAGTCTGAAAGCTTCTTAGCCAAAGAGAATTTTTAAAAAAATGTTGTAAGGATAATTGTAAATGAGGGGAATAGGATTAGGAATTGTAAAGAATTACAAAGGTGAATAGTGGGGGCAGGGTCAACCCTGGAGGGTCCATCTCTTTGCAAGCAGCACTTAACAAACCTCCCCCAATACAGATGTGGATTTTAACCAGCTGGAGGGCCCCAATCGGGTGATTGTCCCCTTCCTGGCTTGTGGAGACCTGAGTGCTTATGATTCCGACCGGACATACCCTCTGCAGGTAAGGCTGGTCTTGGGTGGTGCGCCTGGAGGCCAGTGGGAATGGGCGATTCAAGCGTGGCTCCATCTGTCTTTGCTCTGATTGAGGAAGCAGGCTTTTTAGAACCAGGGGGAGTCCTATGGGCTCTCTTCCGTCACGTGGTCCTTCCTGAATCGGTAGCTGCAAAACCACCATCTGGCCGTTGGCAGTGGTGGTGCTAAGAAGAGACGAGGCCTGCTGGATCAGACCAAAGGCCCAATCTTAGTCCAGCATCCTGGCCAGCATCCTTAGTGGCCCACCAGGTGCCAATGGGAAGCCCACCAGCAGGACCTGAGGGCAATAGGAGCCCCCCTCCCCAACTGCAATTTCCATCAACTGGTATTCAGAGGCATACTGTCTTCAGTGCAAAGATTAAAGTACATGGGTCCCTCTATTAGGGATTCCCAGTCCAAAGTCCCTGGTGCCTTGCAGTTATCAGCAGGAGAAACTGAAACAGGCAGCGTTGCATCCAATCCTAGTCCTACTTGGAGCAGCCTCAATGAAATTATTAGACCTCAGTCCCAGCTATTAATTTCAATGGGTCTACTCTGGATGAGACCAATAACGGGTCCAACGGTCAAGAAGGCGGTTTCTGCATGTGCTGTAGAAAGAAGTGAGGGGCAGATGGGGCTCATCCACCAGGGAAGGGGGTCCATCTAGGTCAGTGATGGCCAAACCTGGCCCTCCAGCTGTTTTGAGACTTCAATTCCCATCATCTCTGACCACTGGTTCTGTTAGCTAGGGATGATGGGATCTGTAGTCCCAAAACAGCTGGAGGACCATCACTTATCTAGGTGAAGGAAAACCTGTGCTGCCTTGTGGGATATCTTCGGGAGAAGAAAAGGCTACACAAATCCAGAGTGGAGTCCCTAAGATGGTTAGATTGCGCCTTGTACGCCTCCTTCCAGCAACTCCTGCAGCCAAGCCGGTGCCGAGCGTATTGCTCTGCTTTCCTTTGTACTACTTCAGCAAAGCCGAGAGGGGGGTCTTGTCATCTGGGCAGCCCAGGATCTCCAGACACATGGCGAGACTGGTGCTGCTACTGGTGCTGCTACTAAAGTGGTATGACTCCACCCCTGGAGTGGAGCTCCATTGTCTCTCAAGACAGATGGATGCCTACAAGTCTTAAGTAGAACTAGCATTGGCTACAACCCAAAGACGTAGAGAACGGAGGTGCCCATTGATTAGCATTGGAGATTCACAAAAAGGATAATGCTGGTTGATGGTGCTTAGGCTCCGGAAAGGGACTTGGACCACCTGCTTTAAGGCTCTCTTGCTCTCTTTCCCATTTGATCAGCTGGATCCCGAGAAGAAATACACTTACGTACCCCCGACTCAGCCTCCCATCTGCCCTCCCTACGAAGAGGCCTGCTTCTTGAAGAAACACAATCTGCTGACCAAGGAGCAAGTGCTCCAGCCTCAGCAGGAAAATGCACTCCAGGAGCAGCAAGAGCAGGGGGCTTCACGCTCACCCCTAGAGGCCGAGGTCACAGACGCCCTGGGAAAACTGTCAACGTGACATTATCACAGAAATGCGGGGCAAGAGATGCATACCGCCCCCTGCTGGTTCGAAAGACTTTTCATCCTTCTTGGTTTACCTTTTACAGCAGTGGTTCCCCATTAGCTAAGTACTGCAGACCCCCTGTTTTTCAAAAGCCAGGCCACGGACCCCTTACTTTTGAAAATTTTGATATCTCTATGGTAGTTTTTGTTAGGTGAATAAGAACGACAATAATATTTACAGTCTGCCCATCTGACTGGGTTGTCCCAGCCACTCTGGGCGGCTGCCAACAAAATATTAAAAACACAGTAAAACCTCAAACATTAAAAATGCAGACCCCCCTGGGTGGGTTACACAGACCCGCTGACATCCACAAACCACCAATTGGGAACCACTATTTTACAGAATTTCCTGTTTTATCAATACAAAGTCCCTTTCTCCCTGACCAACCAAAACCGTGTTGTTTTTAATAAAGCTTTGTCACTTGCTCAGAGCTTTTCTTTTGCTGTGATAAGTAGCTGGAATGTTTTATTGGGAAGACACACAGAGAGAGGTTCAAATTCCTGTTCATCCATCCAGGGCAGACAGGATTCTCTTGGCCTCCCTTCCCTCAAAGTCAGACTGTGTTCTGAGTGCTGCAGAAATTATTGATAATAATTTAACAAAGGCATATTGTTTCCCAGTACCACATGTCCTTCCAGGTTTTTGATTATTCTGGCCTCAGGCATACTGCTTATTTCTTTATCTTCTTTAATCTGACAGTCAGGACTTGCTATAGATGGACTGAAATTCCCTCACAGTGCTATTTATTCCTCATGGTAAACTCGTCCTTTCTCCCCCTGCTCCACTCCTTGCCAAGGCACGGAGTTCATGGTTGTTGCTGTCATCCTCCTCCATCATCCTGTTTTCCTCAGGTCAGTCCTTGTTTCTTCAGAATCCAGGTGTTTCCACAAAGGGAGGACCGTTCTCTGGAGATTGAGGGCTACACAACAGTGACCCCTTCACCATTCAGTTTGGCCACCTGGGCATGGATTTGGATTCCAGCTGGCGGTGATTCTGCGCCAGTACTTTGGCGCGAGGAGCTGGCTTTCAGGCCCTCAGCCCGTGGAGGCCCTGTTCTCAGGATGCCTGGCCCCCAGCCATCCACAGGCCCCCCCACAATGAAATCAAACCGGTCCAGCGGAGTGTGCTCTATGGTACACAGAGACTCCTCACCCAGGTAGCCTGGGTTGGCTCCCTCCATGGACGCGTCGTCTCCCAGGCTGCAGCGTCCAGACCGGGGACCCTCGGTCTGAGAGGCTCGATGGCGGGTGACCTGCTGAGTGTCCATCTGCGGCTCGGCTCTTCGGAAAGAGTAATGGGCAAATATGCCAATGAAGAACATCTCGACAGCCAGGGAATAGTAGTAGATCACTGGAGGGGTGAAGAGAGAATTAAGAATATGGTACACTCTGCAGCAGAGGTGGGGAACGTACGGCCTGTTAGGGATTCAGGTTTGGCCCAGGAGGTTGTTTTCCCCCAGACCTTGCCCACTCTCCCCACATCCAACATCGTATGCAATTTCAGGTGTCAGGTGGGTAGAAAGAGACTTGACTACCAGTGCTCTCCCAGTTGTGCATCGGCAAGGGAAAGCAGTTTCCTTACACCAGGCTTCCTCAAACTCGGCCCTCCATATGATTTTGGCCTACAACTCCCATGATCCCTAGCTAGCAGGACCAGTGGTCAGGGATAATGGGAACTGTAGTCTCAAAACATCTGGAGGGCCGAGTTTGAGGAAGCGTGCCTTGCACCTTCCTTTGATGCTTGGGCCAGACCAGCCTTCGCCAACCTGATGACCTCTGTAGGTTTTGGACTACAACTTCCATCAGCCCCAGCTAGCTTGGCAGGTGCCGTAGTTGCACTAGCGGAAGCCAGCACAATGATTCCGAGTAGCATAAGAAGAAGAAGAAGAAGAAGAAGAAGAAGAAGAAGAAGAAGAAAAAGAAGAAGTAGTAGTTGTTATTTATACCCTGCCCATCTGGCTGGGTTTCCCCAGCCACTCTGGGCAGCTTCCAACAAAATATTAAAATACAGTGGTACCTCATGTTAAGTACTTAATTCGTTCCGGAGGTCCGTTCTTAACCTGAAACTGTTCTTAACCTGAAGCACCACTTTAGCTAATGGGGGCCTCCTGCTGCTGCCGTGCCCCCGGAGCATGTTTCGGTTCTCATCCTGAAGCAAAGTTCTTAACCCAAGGTCCTATTTCTGGGTTAGCAGAGTCTGTAACCTGAAGCGTATGTAACCCAAGGTACCACTGTACAATAGTCTATTAAGCATTAAAAGCTTCCCTAAACAGGGCTGCCTTCAGATGTCTTCTAAAAGTCTGGTAGTTGTTTTTCTCTTTGACATCTAGTGGGAGGGCGTTCCACAGGGCGGGTGCCACTACCAAGAAGGCCCTCTGCCTGGTTCCCTGTAACTTGGTTTCTCTCAGTGAGGGAACCACTAGAAGGCCCTCGGCGCTGGACCTCAGTGTCTGGGCAGAACGATGGGAGTGGAGACGCTCCTTCAGATATACTGGACCGAGGTCATTTAGGGTGTTAAAGGTCAGCACCAACATTTTGAATTGGACTTCCCCCTGCACACCTCCACAGCCTCCCCAAATCTGCTCCAGGGGGTTGAGGGAACCCCGAGAACTGCATGGGGGGAGAGGGGCACTGTCAAGCATGCAGAAATGTTTACGCTGATGGAACAATCTCCTTAGCTCTACTGTGAATACAACTCTTGGGGTGCAGTAGGTTAGTGAAGGCTAGCCCAGATGACGCCCTGCCCCTTGCCCAAGAGCCAGCTTTTTTAAGGAACTATTTTCCCCGCGCCCTCCTCTGCCCCCTGAGAGACCCCGCAAGGGGGCAGGGAACCTCTCTGGCGTGAGACAGCAAGGAAGGCAATTGCCCCGAGACGGCAAGTCAGAGAGTGAGGTTGGCTTGCCTATCAGCCAGCCACCCTCAATGGCGCCTGCTGCAGGCTCCTGGCCTCCCTGAAGCAGCTTACCTTGGGAGCGTGTCACCGGGGAGAGAGGCGGGCTGCAAGGGATGGCCCCCACTGCCCCCATGGTCTCCAGGATCCCACTCTGCAGGCCGCAGAGGACGAGAACCAAGATGATGCAGACGAACTTGGAGCGCAAGCTGTAGCCGTTGAGTGCTGGCTTGGTGGCTTTGTAGAAGAGCAAGTAGCCATAGAAGGATAGGAATGTGGATATGGCAATGATGGCGTAGATGTAAGAGTTGAGGTTGGTGTAGCCCACCTGGGAGAGAGGGATGGGCAAAGGTGAGATGTCAGATTCTGGGACTCCCCCCAGCAACATGTGTTTGGGCCCAGAAATGGAAACGAGAAGAATTACCGACGAAAGAAGAATGGCAGACGAAATTAATGGACTCTGCAGAATTAGATAAGATGACAGGTAGGATTTGAAACCTGCAGGACCAGAGATTCTCAGAGGACTGGAATAAATATGTGAACTATTTGAAAAGCAATTGTAGTCAACAGATTACGCTAGTAGGATTGCAAGAAGTTTTGTAAGGAGGAACATATGAAATATTGCAAGGAAGGTTATGAAGAGAGTTATTAGTTAAGAAAACTAAAAGTAATAGTGAAATTAAGAAATGTAAGTTAAGTGAAAAAGATTGGAAACTTTTCAGATGTGATTGATGGAAGTCGAAGAATTGTATAAGATATGAAATTAGGTTAAATGATTGTTGGAAATAGTATGTTAAAAATAAATAAAAAGTATATTAAAAAAAGGAATGTGGAGATGGCAATGATGGCGTAGATGTAAGAGTTGGGGTTGGTGTAGCTCACCTGAGAGAGAGGGATGGGCAAATGAGATGTCAGATGCTTTGACTCTCCCCAGCAACATGTGTTTGGGCAAAATCCTCTGTCACTTGAATGGCATTTTCAGAGCAAGACTTTTGAGTCCAGGGCCCCACTCGGCAGCAGGAGAAAATGGGCCCACCCAAAATGGCTCATGCCATTTTGAGTAATGCACATTAGCTCCTAAAGAGCCACAGACACTTACCCATGGACACAGTAAGGCTGTTAAGTGCAGAATCTAAAATTCCCTAACTCCACTGCTGAATGGTGCAGTGAAGATCAGCACATTTGAGAAAACAAAAAACACAGTTCAAGGTCCTGAAACATTAGCTCTCGGGAGTATATTTAGGTTGTTTTGTTTAGGACACCTTTCTTAGTTCCTTCCTACAAATTAATACCACAGGGTTTTTTGAAATATTAAGCGGGGGTATAGAAATGTTTTAAAATAAATAATGGAAAAGGCTAAGCTTCAACACTAGCACTTTGGTATAATCAGAAATGTGAACAGCTTGCCAAACTGCATATAAATAGCAGGATACAATAACCATAGAAAAGCTCAAATTTCTACTGTAGCTAATTCCCATTCTGATCCATAGCCTAATCATGAAATCACTGGTTCAATTTATCTGCCTTTAAATTAACAGAGAAGATGGAAAATGCCGTTGCGCTCTTTGACAGCAGGGATCATCAATGTTTTTAAGGCACATGGGCAGATGTGAATTTTTGAATGAGTGTGGTGGGCACCACACCTTCTGAGCAGGTATCACACACACACACACACAGAGAGAGAGAGAGAGAGAGAGAGAGAGAGAGAGAGAGAGAACTCACACAGCATTTCCAAGGGATGTGGGTAAAAGCTGGATCCAAAACAATCTGAGCCTTGAAAAGCCCATAGAGCTAAAAGAGGACGTGGGAAAGAACACCACTTTTCTAACTTCCCCTTTCAGGTCTATGGATATTTCAAGGGAGAAAATGTTAACGAATGTTAACCACCCTCCATGCTTCATGGTGGGGTGAGGGGTGTGCGTGTTGAGATAAATATTTTGTGGGCGCCAGCGGAAGACCTGAAGGGGACCACTTCATATACATCTCTAACCTAATATAGTTCCATCTATGGAAATCCAGAGGTGGTCTGGGGGCCAGAACGGGTGGTGGTTCTCCTTATATCACCCAGGAGTGGCCCTTGCTCTTCCCTCTTTGCCTGTTAACCAAGACAACACAACTCTCTGAAATTGCTTCTCACATTCATTTCCTTCCCACCTTTCAATTTATGTCCTGCACTTACTTGAACTGGGGGCTACTTGCAAGCTTCCATTCCCAGGGCTGTGAAATTTTACTGTGCTTTTAAAATCCTGATGAGCAACTTTTAATTGATACCAATCCACAGTTGCCCCATTCCCTAATTGCCAGGATGCCCAGGTTGGTCCCAGCCTGGTGCTCAGGAACATAACAGCATTTTCATGGTAAAATCCAGCGGCGATACCAACCTTGTTCTATGGTCGTCATCCAAAGAAACTGCTGCTAAGGTTCAGCCAAACCTTCCTATCATCATGCGCACAGAATTTGAGCTGCCTTGCCACATCAATTTGATATGTTTGGCTATAATTAAGACCAGCTTTGGTCTTAACAATGCCCAGATTCAAGTCAGCTCAGTCCAATGGAAGCATCTATCAACAGACCGAAGAATGGGCACCTGTCGCTTTCCTCAGGAAAAGCATCACTGAGAATACCAAGTAATCATTCTGTGCTTAATAGACATGCCCAAGGTGTGACTTAATTCCCTTCCTCTCTGCCTGTTAGCCATGAATTTCACAGCCAGAATTACTTACATCGCCATAGTCATATTTCTCATCCGTCCAGAGGATAAGGGTGACGAAAAAGAGGATGGTCCTGATGACAGAGAGCTGATACACAGCCAGCGTCATACATCGCAAATTTGTTCTGCAGAAGGGAAGAAGCTGGTGGTTTTCTTTTCTTTTTAAAATGTTTTTAAAAATTATTTAACATAATTATTACAAAATATAAGCAAAATATTGCAAATACATACATATATATTTGAGATAAGCACACACATATATATAAAGAACAAAAGAGAAAAAAGAAAGAAAAGAAGAAAGAAAAAGAAAAAATAAAGAAGAAGTAAAGTTGGAAGAATTTCTTCCAAATGTATTCTACAAATATCTCAATAATAAAATTTCATTGACTGATTTCCATCGCTTACACTGCACTTCCTATATACAACCAGTGGGCCATGGTACCCTGGGGTGCCTTGAATTATGGTCTGGGGTGCCGTGGGCAACTCTGGCCTCTGTCCCTCTTCCCTTCCCTTTCTGCTCTGATGCCCTCTCATGTCTCTGCCTCCCAAAGGCTGGCACAGCTATTTGTTGCAGCAGCCCTGACTATAAGCTCCCCAGGTGAATGGTGCCTCTGGTTCTGGCCACACATAAATTAAAGGTAAAGGTAAAGGGACCCCCAACCATTAAGTCCAGTCACGGACTCTGGGGTTGCGGCGCTCATCTCGCTTTACTGGCCGAGGGAGCCAGCGTTTGTCCACAGACAGTTTTTCTGGGTCATGTGGCCAGCATGACTAAGCCGCTTCCGGCGAAACCAGAGCAGCACATGGAAACGCTGTTTACCTTCCCGCCAGAGCGGTACCTATTTATCTACTTGCACTTTGGTGTGCATTCAAACTGCAAGGTTGGCAGGAGCTGGGACTGAGCAATGGGAGCTCACCCCGTCATGGGGGTTTGAACAACCGACCTTCTGATCAGCAAGCCCTAGGCTCTGTGGTTTAGACCACAGCACCACCTGCATCCCTTACATATAAATTAGATTACACATAAATTAGATTACATAAAATTGTATTTTAATACTTTGTTGTATTTTAATACTTTGTTGTAAGCTTCCTAGAGTGACTGGGGAAACCCAGCCAGATGGGTGGGGTATTAATAAATAATAATAATAATAATGATAATAATAATAATAATAATAATAGATTCATTAAAAATCTAAAACTAAAAGCAGCATAACTAAGCAGCAGAACTAAGAAAATGAGACACTGAACAGGAAAACCAGAATGAATTATGCAAAATTAGGAAATGTGATTTGCATAATTTTTAGAGGTCAAATAATTCAACCTGGCTCAATATTCTATATGTATTTAAAAGCACAGGGTTCGCGCAGCCATGGAGATAGGAGAAGAAATACGGTAAAAGGCATATTAGGAGGACAGCTCTAATGTGAAGGACTGAAAGCTTCAAGCTGTTGTACAACATGAATGTGTGTGTTTGTGCAGGACCTTAAGGAGAAGGCTTATCACCATCTGTCAGGTGCTAGGCACCACTGAGAAATAAAAACAAAACCACAAGTCCTTGCCTGCGCTTTTCATAATCTAAACATGTGAGGCAAAAGGAACAAGGAGATGTGGGGAATGAGGAAACTTTGCAGAGCCTGATGTAAGAAGGGGCGGGATGCATTTAGTTGAGGTGTTCTGGATCAGTTGCAGATTATAGGGTACAATAAGGAAGCTATAATGTGCAGGACCAACTCTGACACGGCACAAAGGCAGCCTCTTCTTACCTGTTGGCAGCAATTTCAGGAAGGCAACAACAGCAGCAACAGGGGAAAGGGTTTGGAGAAACACGCTGGCTCTCCAGTTGCTGGAGCATTCGGTCTGATCCACCAAAGAAATCTCTGATCAGTGCAAGGAATTTCCAGAGGGTGATGGAGTGGTAGCTGCAGGAACAGGAGAGTTACACACTATGCATCTGCTGGATCAAACAGGCAATTTTGTGGAGCTGGAGAGGTCTAGTTGGTGGAGCAAGTTCAGACCTTAGGCTTAAGTCACCTTTTGTTTGTATGATATACACAATATCCTTCCTTGAGTTCTCAGGCTGAAATGTGGTGCACACGTTCAGGACACAAGGCTACAAGGCCACATCCATTTTGAAGAAAGGTGTTTCTGCATAATATTTGTTGTGAAGGTGGAGAAGGGGAAATGGAAGGTGGGATGAACAGCCAGAATGACGCTATTCTATGGTCCCAGTGAAGTGGTCATTGTGCTCTAGTAGCTATCAGTTTAATAGACCTGGGTCCAAATGCAGCTACATTTGGGTGGTGGGAAATGATCCAGCGGTACAGCCAGCCAGTAAATGGAGTAAGTACCTTGAGGGAATCTAGAACTGTACCTGCAGTAAACGTTCCATAATGTGGCATTGGGATTCTGGAGGAGAATCTGTTGCAACTTGAGTTTGCCCACCGTCTTCATGAAGGAGACCACCATGCAGTCATTAAAGGTTTACAGACTCCTTCCCTAAGGTGATGGCAAACTTCGAGGAAAAACAATCCTGAAGTGGATACCTTCAGGTCTTCTTGGCAGTAATTCCCTCAGGATAAAGGTAAAAGGACCCCTGACCATTAGGTCCAGTCGTGGCCGACTCTCGGGTTGCGGCGCTCATCTCGCTCTATAGGCCTAGGGAGCCGACGTACAGCTTCCGGGTCATGTGGCCAGCATGACTAGGCCGCTTCTGGCGAACCGGAGCAGCGCACGGAAACGCCGTTTACCTTCCCGCCGGAGCGGTACCTATTTATCTACTTGCACTTTGATGTGCTTTTGAAATGCTAGGTTGGCAGGAGCAGGGACCGAGCAACAGGAGCTCACCCCGGGATTCGAACCGCCAACCTTCTGATCGGCAAGTCCTAAACTCTGTGGTTTAACCCACAGCCCCACCCGCGCCCCTTAGGATAAATTACATTTAATCCTGCTCCTTCCACTGCCTGTTCCCACTCCCATCAAAAGAAACTCACATGGAGGCCACAAAGTTACAGACGAAGGAAGTGCGAGGGATGAACAAACCGATGAGGGAAGTGAGACTGAACACCTGTTGGATAAGGAGATGGGATATGATATTAAAAGATTTGCACCTGGTTTGGATTGCAATTTGTCCCTAAGCAGTGCATACCTTTACACAATCCATTTTATGCAAAGCACATTCAGCGCACATTTTCCCCCACAAAGACTTTGGGGTGCTATAGTTCACCCCTCACTGAGTTACGGTTCTCAGTAGCCCTTCACAAACTACTGTGCTCAGAATTATTTGCAGGGGGGAGCAGAAGATACTGTGAATGTGCTTCAGAAGTGTCGTGTGTATGCAGCCTTCCATTTAAGCCACTAGATGCTACCACAACATGAGACTGCAAACGAAGCCAGCTAATTACACATTTGTGTGACACAGTTATGTGTGACAAGTACCTAGGGAGAGCTGCAAGCATGGAAACATTGGGTTGCAGGCAACTAACTTTTACTCAGGGTAAACTTCTTGAAAGGAATGGACCTAAGTTAGCCAGGATCCTAAATCAGCTTCACTGTGGTTTCTCAGCTGGATTTCCTAGGAAGTGAACACAGGGTTGCAGTCTTAAGAGGCTGAGACGCAAGAGAAGGCTGCCTGCTTCCTTTGCCCATTCTTACCGGATAGACCCCCAGGATCCAGAGCGAGAGGCTGGTTCGGCGGGAGCTGTTGCCATGGCGCAGGAAGAAGCCCATCTGCTCCAGGAAGAGGCCGACCTGCACAAGGCCCAGGAAAACGGGGACTAAGAAGATCCAGATCTGAGCCTTGATGACTGTGCGAAAGGGACAGTGGCGAGTCAGGGAATAAAAGCGCAGAGATCCCTCACGCAGGAATACTACAGAGCACCTTATCTGACCCGGAAGCCTTTCTTCCTGATCCCATATATACAAGGGCTGGCTGGGCTTTTTCGTATGTGAGGAGAAGGCACTCTGCACATGGTCAAAGGCACTCTGTTCTTACTGCACCATGTCCCATGGCTGAGTCAAAAACAGAGTAAGTTCTGAAGCCCTTTCCTCTGCCTTTCCGTACCCTCTGGCCAGCCCTCCTTGCTTCCAACCACAGCCGCATCCTGGTCATGATTCTCCATCCCACAACAGCTTCCCCAACCTCACCTTGAAAGATCTCCGATGACAAAGGGAACTGACCCCCAGAGAGAGAACAATTTGAGGCGCGCGCCATTTTCCTCTCTCCTAGACAGGTGCCTCCAGGTTCTCCCCACCCCCAATCAATAATCGCTTCCTTTCCCATCATTAGTCACCACATTAATCATTGACACAAGCCAGGCACAGGTGTCTTGACAACAGGGCCAAGTCCAGCTCTCCTCACCTGCCAGGGAATCCTGAACCAGGGCAGCTACATATTGTGCCATAAGGGCAGACCCACACTGTATATTTAAAGCACATTCAACACACATTCTCCCAAAGAATCGCGGGAACTGTAGTTTTCCCTTCACAGAGCTTGTTTCCTGCAACCTTAACACCATAATAAATTGGTTACTCCTTTAATGTGCCACAAGACTCCTGTTATATTTTACTGTCTCTTATCCAGTGCTGCTCTGAACACAGTGAGGGTCCTATTCTCTGAAATCCTGCTGCCTTGCTGCCCAGTGGGCTCTCCACATAGAGCCCCAATGACTGTATGCTGTTTATAACTATGGAAGTCAATTTCACTGGACTTCCAATCACCATTCTATTAACAGTCCACACGTGTACAAACCTTCATCCCTTTTAAATGTGGATATTGTATTAAACAGTAAGCAGTAAAGCCAGAGGAGGGCACTGCAGTATTTCCCCCCATATGTTTATTTTACAAGTAGCAAATCAAATGCAACTGAAAAAAGCAAAATAGCATTCTTACCTCTCATCCTTTTTCTGAACCTCATTGTTTTACTGGAGCAGCAGGAAAACCAGTTTAACACCAGGACATTTTGGCCCACTGAGAAGGAATTGGGCTTGGTTCTCCCCGTTTCAGAAGACTCTGAGGGGTGACCAGATGCAAAATGGCACAGAACTCCTGCGTTTTTAATAGCAGCAGATAAAAGTGAAGCACAGCAAGTGCCGCTTTTCAGACGCCTTCACAGCCAGCATCATCATCCAGAATCCCCTCTTTGAAAGCTTCCCTTTGCTTCCACATCTGTTGCATTTTGGGGGTGCAGGGGAAGTATACCCGTGGCTTCACTTTTCTTCCTCATTGCCACCAGTTCCAGACATCACACAGAGTGAGGGAGAAAACTATTGTAATATTCTAAACAGAAGTGATGTGTGTGTTGTCAGATTTCCAAAATTCTCTTTTTTATCCTAATTTTTTATTAGTTTTAAATTACAGTCCAATAATAAAAAGGTAAAGGACCCTTGACAGTTAAGTCTGGTCACAAATGACTCTGGGGTTGCGGCGCTCATCTCGCTTTACAGGCCGAGGGAGCCAGCGTTTGTCCACAGACAGTTTTTCTGGGTCATGTGGCTAGCATGACTAAGCCGCTTCTGGCACAACGGAACACCGAAACCAGAGCAGTGCATGGAAACACTGTTTACCTTCCCACCAGAGTGGTACTTATTTATCTACTTGCACTTTGACATGCTTTGGAACTGCTAGGTTGGCAGGAGCAGGGACCGAGCAACGGGAGCTCACTCCATCGCGGGGATTCGAACCACCGACCTCATGGCAAGCCCGAGAGGCTCAGTGGTTTAGACCTCAATCATCCATGTTTTTCCTTCGCCAATGATCTTCTGCTGTCGTGGGGGCTGCCTCCATTAAGGCAGAGCAGAACCGGAAGCCAGATTTCCAGAATTCTCCCCCACTTAACCTGCTTATCATTTTTGGTATTCAGGGAGCATATTAACGTAAGCAACTGCCTTATTATAGCTGTATTCACACATAGCACCAAGCCATTGTTTGTTTTAACCGTGGTTTGCTCAACAAACCATTGTGTCATCTCACAGATGAACAAACCTACCTCATCTTGTTTCTCCTAAATTTGGATTGTTTTCCAGCTGCTCTAGCCTCATGCCTCAGCAACTGAAATGGGTTGCCTGAACAAACCATGGTTAAGCAAGGTTGTTGGGTTTTCAGACATAATGCCAAATCAGTTATGAAACTCAAAGTGCAGAAAGCTTGTGGGGCATTAATTAAATTCTATTTTACGGTGGGTGGCCTGTTACTAGAACCTGTGTTGAAAATCTTTGCCAGTAAAGTAGTCTCCCAGATGCTCTACGGAGTACTGATATGGGGCATGTATCCAAATGTTAACAAAGCCTTAGAAATAGTGCAGAACTAATTCCTCAGGAAAGTGCTCTTGCTCCCCGATGGGACCCCAGCTGCTCTTCTCCGCGTGGAAGCGGATGTGACAACAATACGGGCTAGAATTGACTATCTGTGTCTAAACTATGTGAAAATACTTCAATCTCTCTCGGAGGAGATTCCCCGCTATGTCCCACACAGAGCGAGAACACACCAAATGTTGGAATGATGGCATCCAACACCCCTTGACCCAATATCAGTTACATGATCTTCAGGTGATCATGAAGATGGAGAAGAGGCACTTAAGAGATTGTCTCTTCAGGTCCGATGCAGAAAGGGATTTAACCATGATTGCCTCTACCAAAAGTTCACCATGGTTCCCACTTATCAAAACAAAGTACATCTGAGCTAGTTATCTGACAAAGCTCCCACTTGCCATACTAACAATTGCTTTTACAGAATTACGATTCCAATCGATGCTCTCGGCGGTGGTGGATGGTCAGTATGGCAAAGTACAGCACAAGGAAAGACTTTGTCTGTGTGGGCAACCTTGCATAGAGGACCTGTACCACTATTTATTGCAATGCCCGCTATATATGGAACCAGGGGACCGATTTATAAAACCCCTGCCTATGAATGGAACTCACTTGAACAGGGCGGAAAGGGTGAAATGGCTGCTGAGTGATACTGATGACTTCATAACTTATAAAGTAGCACTATATGCATTGGCAGCTAAGAAGATCAGGAAAAAGAACTAGATAAAATAGCGGTCAATTGCAAAGGTGATCCGGACATTTAAGCTGGCACATTCTATCTGAGAACTTCCTGCTATTCTATCATATGCAACAAATAATTTCTAGAAGATGTGACTGTGGTTTATTGTATTTGCAGTGCCTGATGTATTTATGGTTTTTATGGTTATTGTTTTTTTCTTTTTGTTTCCTTTGTGAATGATGCCATGGCCTTTGGCTAGTGCAATAAAGTTTATGATGATGATGATGAGTTATGATACAACAGACAGAGTTAAGAATCTTACAGACAGATATCTAACCATGGTTTCACTTGGTGTTTTGTTACCAGAAAACAAGCCATGGCTTAGGCTAGGTTCAGGTGTTCAACCAGGCTAAACAAATAATGGCTTAATGTTACATGCAAGCCAGGCCAATGAATCAAAACTAACTCCCCGAGTCCTGTCCATACGGGCTGGCGGGTGCTCTGCAAGGCCTCATGTAGAAAGTGTTTCGCTGCTTATAGTGCAATTAATTCTAACCCTGTCTACTCAGAGGTGATGCCAACTGAATTCAATGGCGTTTAACTCTAACTCTCCCTGTCAGAGTATATTTGACGCAGAAGGTGAATAAAGAATGGATATTATTTAAAGAGTATTCGAAAAATTACTGTGATAACAAAATTCTCCTGGCAGACCTTGAATGATTCTTGTAACATATTGGCTAATAGAATAGTATGAAAAGTTCTAGGAAAACAAAAATAACAACAAGGCACTGTGGGTAAAACGACAAAATAAGAAACAGTACAATGAGAATAATCGGAAGTTAATTTTATATACTTCATCTTTTTTCTTCCCCCCCCTTTCCTTTTCCTTCACTTTTCTGTAAAATACGTGTAAGTTGTGTATCTTGTTTGTAAATATTGTATTATTATGTATTGTCATGTAGGTTGATGTTGATTGTTCAATAAAGTTCAATTTCAACTCAAAAAGAAAAAAAGAATTCAGTGGCGTTTACTCCCAGGCAAGTGGAGTTAGGCCTTTTTCAGCCTGCAGCTCCTGTGCTCTGTCTATAGCCCCATGCTCCAAATAGTCCAAAATAGGTAAAGCACAAGAGAATCCTTTTGACCACTAGCTTTCCAAACTGCTTTGTAGTTTTGCCTCCACAGATGCAGCAGAACGCTGAGGTGGTAGACCAGGCTTCACCCCACTTCAGACTGCAGGGCTTTGAGTTGCATTTGTGATTTGCTCCCCCACTTAAAAGGTCAGGCTGCTCAATACTGTGGTATTTTGTACTTGTAGGGAGTTTTGAAAACCAAAAAACATGGGGAGCTTCAACCCCACACTACCCTAGTGATCTGAAAAAGTAGAATCAATTCTGTCACTGCGGCTCTTTGCCTCATCTTTTCTGCTCACGGAACAGCTTCTAGGGTGCATCCATATTTAGCTTTTTCTTCCAAGTGCAGTTACCGTATTTTTTTGCACCATAACACTCACTTTTTTCCTCCTAGAAAGTAAGGGGAAATGTCTGTGCGTGTTATGGAGGGAATGCCTACGGGTGGCATGCCTACGGATTTTCCTCCTCTGAAAACTACATGCGTGTTATGGTCGGGTGCGTGTTATAGAGCAAAAAATACGGTATGTTCTGAGCTGCAGGATTATTCCAAGGGTGACTACCGTCTGCTTCTGCCTCTTCTTAATTTTGACCACCCATTCCTTTTGCAGGTACAGGTATCAAACTCACAAACCTTTGTTGCAATAGAAGGGATTACATCAATGGTAGTTAACTACACCACTTAAACAGCTGTAAGTTGTAGAACAGAACCTGCCAAATAGTACTGGGGCTTTTGTGAGATGATAATGTCAAGATGAAAAAAAGGAATCCATGTTTAAGATTTGGTGCCCTGTAACGGGTGGCGCTGTGGGTTAAACCACAGAGCCTAGGACTTGCCGATCAGAAGGTCAGTGGTTCGAATCCCCGCGACGGGGTGAGCTCCCGTTGCTCGGTCCCTGCTCCTGCCAACCTAGCAGTTCAAAAGCCCATCAAAGTGCAAGTACAGTGGTACCTCAGGTTAAGAACTTAATTTGTTCCAGAGGCCTGTTCCTAACCTAAAACTGTTCTTAACCTGAAGCACCACTTTAGCTAATTGGGCCTCCCGCTGCCGCCGTGCCACTGGAGCACGATTTCTGTTCTCATCCTGAAGCAAAGTTCTTAACCCGAGGTACTATTTCTGGGTTAGTGGAGTCTGTAACCTGAAGCGTATGTAACCCGAGGTACCACTGTAGATAAATAGGTACCGCTCCAGTGGGAAGGTAAACAGCATTTCCGTGTGCTGCTCTGGTTTCGCCAGAAGCGGCTTAGTTGTGCTGGCCACATGACCCGGAAAAACTGTCTGCGGACAAACACCGGCTCCCTTGGCCAGTAAAGCGAGATGAGCGCCGCAACCCCAGAGTCATCCGTGACTGGACTTAACTGTCAGGGGTCCCTTTACCCTTAACCTACTCAAGGGGCCTTTTGATCTATTCACAATCAAGGGAAGGTGCAATGTTCCTTCTCTCCCCTTGCCTTTGATGCAAATTTTTAGGTGTAGCCGTGACTCTAACCAACAGTAATAAGCAGCGAACCCGGGAGTATAATTATTCCATTTTATAAAATTCTGAAATATAGCTTTTATGGTATGTATTCTGAGCATCTACATATAATCTGGCATGGAGTTAGTAACTTGAGCATCTGAGTTTTCGGGGGTGGGGCAATGGAACAAGTTTCTAGTCCATATGGTTGCAGAGGAATAAACAGGAATTCCACTGGTCTTGAATAGGCAAAGCTTCAGTTCACTGGACGGCTCCCATTGATCACTCTGCATGTCTATAGTTTCCTGCCCCTCAGCCATCCAGCCCTCCGCTCCCTGTCCTTTTATTCTTTCTGCAAAAATCCCTAAGCCTTTGAAAAGCGAGATCTTGGAAACAGGGCCAGCCCAAGACATTTTGGCACCTGAGGCAAACCACAAAATTGTGCGCTCCCCACCTGCCAGGGAAGAACGGGCGAGTGAAGACCTACATCAGGAACAAGGAGGGATTCAAGATCTACTTTGGGAACAAGGGGGGAGTGCAGTGGCAGCAACAGCAGGCGATGTACAGTGGTACCTCTGGTTGCGAACAGGGTCCGTTCCGGAGGCCCGTTTGCAACATGAGCAGAACGCAACCCACGTCTGCGGGTCACCATTCGCCACTTCTGCGCGTGCATGCGACATCATTTTGCACGTCTGCTCATAAGCGAGCGGTGAAACCCGGAAGTAACTCTTTCTAGTACTTCTGGGTCGCTGCGGGATGCAACCTGGAAATGCTCAACCTGAAGCAAACGTAACATGAGGTATGACTGTATTTCTTGGAGGTTGGTTCTGTTGTCCCTGTGGATCCTGCCACCTGAGGCAGCTGCCTCACCTTGCCTCATGGGTGGGCCGGCCCTACTTGGAAACGCAGGTACCATAACCTCCTTAATCTGCATCCCCTGCCCTTCCCTCAGAGACAGCGAAGGGGAGACGACAGAAACCCACATACAGTTTAAAAGAGACGGTGATTACAATCAACCAATCATCAGACTTTACTGAAGAAAGAGCCCATAATCCCAACAAAAACCAGGGATGCCATGACAGCAGCCGGTGCAGTTCTGACAGTCAGCCGCAAGGGAGCAAAAGGAGCTAATAAGAGAGCATGCATGGGGAGAATGTGGGGCAACGGCTCTAACATAAAACAATCACATTTTAAATCATACAAGGAGGAGAAACGGTGCTGCAACTTCCACAACTGGTCATTAAGGGGAGCCCCAAGATGGGCAGACAATTTCCCAGGGGGGCGGGGGATGTTGTGTCCCCAAACCATCATGAAATGGGGGCAGAAGGAGGGAAGGAAGTCTAAAACCAAAAGCAAGACCACCTCTGTGTGTTTGGGCCACCTTTCTCAGCAGCCCCTTTCCACATGGGACCTGATTTTCTTCCTTTTGTGAGGGCATAGGGTCAGGGCCTGCCACGGCGTGGCAGAACACAGTATGCCCTGCCCAGAGGCCCCTTCCTCCATAAGTGTCCCGAGAGGGGGGAAAGGGGCCAGCCAGCGTGTCCAGGGGTGCACAAGCCCGGGACGGCATCCGACTTCCTTGAAGGAGACGAGGTCTGCTGGTTCCGCCTCTCCTTCCTGGACTTCTGCCCCGTCTCCTCAAGTCGGCACAGAGGACGCAGCTCAGCTGATGAGGCGGTAGAAGACCCAGGAGGCGAAGGTTGCCCAGTGGCTGGCCCAGCTCAGCTCAGACCATTTGTGCATGGTGTAGGACATCCCGTAGCCCTGCAGGGTAAGGAGAGAAAGTTATTACAAATGTAAGCTTAACACAGACAAAGAAGGAGGTGCTGAAAGGGAGGGAGACTCCAGGCATGCAGGTTTAGCTGCCCCCCCCAATGCATCACAATCTTTCTGCAGCAATCAGTGGGCCCAGCCTATGCCACAGAACGGCATTTATTTTCTTTTTCAAAAAATAGTGTAATTTGTAAGTAATCCCTCTTCCCCAGAAAGTGCAGGGCTTTAGTGCAGGTTTAGTGCAGCGCAAACAGTTTTGCCATGCTGAGCGCTGAGCCTAGGGGGCGCTGCAGGGTGCCGCAAATATGATAGAGTAAATTGAGTACAGTGGTACCTCGCAAGACGAATGCCTCGCAAGACGGAAAACTCGCAAAACGAAAGGGTTTTTGGTTTTCTGAGTTGCTTCGCAAGACGATTTTCCCTATGGGCTTGCTTCGCAAGACGGAAACGTCTTGCACGTTTGTTTCCTTTTTCTTAAAACTGTTAATACAGTTGCGACTTGACTTCGAGGAGCAACTCATAGCACGCGGTGTGGTAGCCTTTTTTGAGGTTTTTGAAGACTTTGGTGATTTTTGAAGCTTTTCCAAAACTTTTCCGACACCATGCTTCGCAAGACGAAAAAAACCGCAAGACGAAAAAACTCGCGGAACGAATTAATTTTGTCTTGCGAGGCACCACTGTAGAACAGAAGGCAAGAGGCATAGGGCTCTGGATTTTGAGCTTGCAGAGGGCACTGTGGAAATTTGAAAGACCAAAGTCTGCCCTGCTTCTGGGGCCTCCTGCCTCGTCCTGCTTCTTCAATGTTTCCACTATCACCTCAGTGTTCCTTTTTGATTCCCCCAAAAAGCTCAACAACTTTGGTCCACTTTTCTCTTTAAAAAGCTCAACAGCTCCTGGCAATGACAATGGCCGGTCTTTTTATATTGTGAGTAGATCGCAGTCTCTTGGGAGCTGGATGTGCCTGTCCTAAAGTATGCTCAATAAACACACAAGACGTAACCGGCTGCTTTTGAATAAATAAGGTATACTATTCATTATATCAAATTGTAGATTCCAACCGAAGTCTCATAAAGTTCATGAACTGACTAGAGAATGAACTGATCCACTGGGTCTTCTGCTTTTTTTGTTGAACTTTATGAGACTTCTGTTGGAATCTACAATTTGATATAATGAATAGTATCCCTTATTAATTCAAAAGTACAGCCAGTTACGTCTTGTGTGTTTACTGAGTATCTTTCACGTAACCATAGGTTTGTTGTTGTTGTCCTCAAGTATGGCCACCACAACGGCCCAATGAATCTGGGCTTTGCCCCTTTTACCTGCTCTTCCACGGAGTCGTCTGCATCCATGTCAAATAACGAGCCGAGGTAGGACAAGTGGAAAATGGCGAGCGCTCCAAAGAGCAGGTTGAGGAGGTAAACCCAAAGACTCTGCAGGAGAAGAAGAAGAAGTGGAGGCTCAGTCCAGGTGCACCCAACCAGGAATCACTCTGCTATAACCGGCAGGGATGGAACCAAGCGAGGAGTAATGAGCACACTTGGCATGTTCAGCTGCACCCACCCCCATCCTAAAAAAGGAACACAGGAGGCAGAGCAGAAAAGACATCCGCATGAGACCTGAGGCACCAGGAAGACCATACAGTCATACCTCGGGCTACAGACACTTCGGGATTTTGGATTGCGTACTGCTCCAAACCTGGAAGTACCAGAATGAGTTACTTCCGGGTTTTGGCACTTGCGCATGTCCAGAAGCACTAAATCGTGCTTTGCGCATGTGCAGAAGCGCTGAATCGCAACCTGCGCGTGGGCAGATGCGGCGCTGCGAAAGTGCTTCCCGCATGGATCACGTTCGCAACCCGAGTGTCCACTCGAAAAAACAATCTCTCAAAGGACCTGTTGATGGCATTTTACCATTCTACTGTGGAGAGTGTATTAACTTATGGTCTCTGTGTGTGGTTTGGGGGCTACACAGTCAGGGAAAAAACTATGCTGTCCAGGGTTGTAAAGCGGAGAGAATAACTGGGTGCACGCTTCCCACCTTGGATCAAATCTATGCTTCCTGGTGCCATAAGAAAGCTGCAGAGATAGCACAGGATAGTGCACACCCTGGAAATGATCTCTTTCAGCTTCTGGCTTCTGGAAGAAGGTATAGGGTTATAAAGACTAGGACTGAGAAACAGTTTCTATCCAAATGCGATTTTGGTTTTAAAAGCAGTGTAAGGAGTCTCTATGGAGTATATTGTATTTAAAAATGGGGTATCAGAGTTTTTAGGGGGCTAACCAGGTTGGGATAGCAGGCTTGTTGGTTTTTGAATGTCTTGTGTAGATTTTTCAATTTCGTTGTTCTGTATGGGACAATGACAATAAAGATTATCGTATCGTATCATCACTGTATATATTGAGCTGCCAGACCATTGGTGTGGCAGCATAAAGGGGCACCCGTAGATCCTCAGAACCCAAGGCCCATCTCACCGTGTTGTGGCGATGTGAACACCCTGGCGGGCACCTCTTGGAGAGTATGCAGGCATCAAAGATGACGGCGAGCCTCTTCCGGAGAACTAGGCAGAAAGAAAGCGGTGGTCCCAGTAAGTTAGCGAAAATGTATAGAACTAACTCAAATCTCTGTTGGAAATGTAAGGAAAGAGGGCACCTTTTAACATACATGGTGGAATTGTAAAAAGACAAAGGAATTCTGGGAAATTATATATAATGCATTTTTAAAAAATAACTTTTTTTGAAAGACCAGGAATTTTAGGTGCATGTTCATGTATGTGACTACAGCTGCAAGGATGTTGATTGCCCAGTGATGGAAAGAAGACAAGATACTGACAAAGTCGGAATGGAGGATGAAATTACTTGACTATGCAGAGATTGCAAGACTGACAGGGAAAAACAGAAATCAGGAAGATCAAAACTTCAATAGACAATAGGACAAATATAGATTGTACTTAAAAGAACAGTGTAAACACTTGAACTCTTTGGCAGGCTTTGAATGACTTGCAATGTTACATCAACTTTGGATATATTGGAGAACTGTAATTCGGATGAACTATAATATGCAGTTGATTAAGATACTTAAAGGACCCACGGAGGCGAGGAGGGAAGTCCTAAGATTTGGAAGAATCTTGCTTTATTTTAGATTTTATTGAAAAATGTTAATTGTGATTTATTTTGTAAAACCAATAAAAATTATTGAAAGAAAGAAAGAAGTGGTTGCATGTGAGAGGCTGTGCTCAAGAGCTGTATTTGCTGCTTAAAGCCTAAATACAGTGGTACCTTGCAAAAGGCAAATGCCTCGCAAGACGAAAAACTCGCAAGACGAAAGAGTTTTTCGTTTTTTGAGTTGCTTCGCAAGACGAATTTCCCTATGGGCTTGCTTCGCAAGACGAAAACGTCTTGCGAGTTTGTTTCCTTTTTCTTAAAACCGTTAATACCGTTAAAACCGTGCTTCGCAAGACGAAAAATTCGCAAGATGAAAAAGCTCGCAGAACGAATTAATTTCGTCTTGCGAGGCACCACTGTACTGGTTTTAGGATCATGGCTTGTTAACTGATTGTGGTTTATTCAAAGCACAGTTTCCTGTACTTGGATTAAACTGATCACTGTGGTTTGTTACATACGGCAAAAGAAAGCTTTGAATGCCATCCCCGCGAGTGCAAAGGAGGGACCAAGGGGAGGAGGGGGCATGCATGTAACAAACCATGACCTGTCTTTATGTCTAAACTGGGCCAATTTCTGGGTCAAGGCTAGATGGAGGTAAAGAACCACCCGGATTTGGTCCTCAACCAAAGGAAAGAGGGAACTCACCGTGTTCAATGTAAGTGATAAACCCCAGGGAGAGCAGCACAGCCGCCAGGTGGAAGCTCAGCCCCTGGGAAGGAAGAGGAAGAGAGGCGGTTCTTCAGTTGGAGCAGCAATCTCAGGACAGGGGTTGTGTCTTGCTTGCATTCTTGAAGAAAACTAACTGCTTTTTAAGGGTCTCCCCCTCCCAAGAAGAGGCTTAATGAAGCAAAGGCAAATGGCAGTTCTGGACCCCCATGTAATAGTGCCCACTCCCCTGAAGTCTTGCTGATTGCAAGCAGCTCTTTTTGGGGGGTCTCAGAAGGGAGGATGGGACGCAGGTGGCGCTGTGGGTTAAACCACAGAGCCTAGGACTTGCTGATCAGAAGCTCGGCAGTTCGAACACCCGCGACGGGGTGAGCTCCTGTTGCTCGGTCCCAGCTCCTGCCCACCTAGCAGTTCAAAAGCACTCCAAAAATGCAAGTAGATAAATAGGTACCGCTCCAGAGGGAAGGTAAATGGTGTTTCCGTGCACTGCTCTGGTTTGCCAGAAGCGGCTTAGTCATGCTGGCCACATGACCTGGAAGCTGTACGCCGGCTCCCTCGGCCATTAAAGCGAGATGAGCACCACAACCCCAGAGTCGGTCATGACTGGACCTAATGGTCAGGTGTTCCTTTACCTTTACCTTTACCTTTACAAGGGAAGAGCAGAATCTCTTCTGGGCTGGCAAAGTCATGTGGAGTCTCTTTCAGGAGAGATCAGGGAACTCAGGACCATGGGCAGCTGCCAGTGGGCCCTCCCATCTGCAGCTCTCCCTCCTGTTGCAGCTACAGAGTGATGTTGCTTCAGCAAAGAGCTGAAGCCTTAAGGCAGCTGGCAAGACCTATACAGTGGTACCTCGGGTTACAGATGCTTCAGGTTACAGACTCCGCTAACGCAGAAATAGTACCTCGGGTTGAGAACTTTGCTTCAGGATGAGAACAGAAATCGTGCTCCGGTGGCGCGACAGCAGCAGGAGGCCCCATTAGCTAAAGTGGTGCTTCAGGTTAAGAACAGTTTCAGGTTAAGAATGGATCTCCAGAACGAATTAAGTTCTTAACCCGAGGTACCACTGTACTGCAGTTAGCCTTGACCTCTTGAAGGTCTGCTTCTACAATCGCTGGCTTCTACATGGGGCTGGAGATGACCAGGGATTCATCCTCTGAGCTCAAGGAAGGTAAATAGGCCCTGTCCTTACAATGGGAGGCCACAGAAGGCCCTCAAGGTTCCTCTCTGAGCGGATCAGCCTGTCTCATAGACATCTGCGTCTTCCTTAGGGCTTGGCAGGGGATCACAATGCCTCTTTTCCATATATAGCACTTAGAGCACCCTGGAGCTGTCACCTGCTGCCATTTCCACCTCTGCCTGGCAGCCATTTGGTGCATATTGGGAAGGAAACTGATGAAGATCAACAGGTTTGTCCTGAGTAGCCATTAGTGAAAGGGAGGGATGGTCAGGCCAGCTCTGCCTTGCAGCAGGGCAAAGCAACCTACTTTAGACAGCACCCAGAGGCGGGGTGAAACACTGCCAAAATGCCTGGGGACTAGTCCATGTGATTGTGAGCTGCCTTGGCGCCTCTTACAGGTAGAAAGATGGGGCACAAATGTTTGAGATAAACAAATCAGTACATGTTTCATCATGACAGGGTGCGACCAAGGAACGGGATATAGTGGCTTCTGTAAAGGGATACTCACATGTAGGAGGGCACTAGCTGCATAGGTTACAATGATTGCTGAAAAGGTTCCCAGTTTCAGGGAGTTCTTGAAGACATCTGGAAACAGGCGGAGAAAGTTAGTGATGGGACAGAACGTTCTGCTTCCTACTGGATGCCCTGGCCAGCTTTTCCCCACCTCAACTGAGATGCAGTAAAAGGCATTTACTTCAAGCTACTACGTTTACCTGTTCCAGGCACTCGGCCACTGAGTTTCAAAGTATTTTCTGGAAGCTGTCACTCCTCTTCTTCCCACATAGCACTGGATTGGTGGGAATCTCTCATACCTGGCCAGTTCTAGGGCATGACGCTTCCACAGACTTAAGAATCTGAACAGCCTTGCCGTTTGAGATTAATTTTGAGGGAAAGGAAAATGTGGCTCTTCCCGATCTTGCTGGACTACAACTCCTATCACCCCTGATCACTAGTCATGCTGGCTGAGGCTGATGGCATTTGGAGTCCAACAATATCTGGAGAGTACACGTTCGCTATGTATCTTGTTTCAGCATTCTGTTCCCAATACTGGCCACCTGGACACTTTTGGGACGTCTTCCCTTTGTCATTTAACCATATCATATGGAAATCATAGGTAGACTGCCTCCTAACATGGAAGCTCCATTTAGCCATCCTGCCAAGCAGCTTTGGATGGGCTCATCCTCCACAAATCCGTTCAGACTATTTTAAATCCATCACATTTCATGGTAGAGAAACTCCACAGGTTAATCACACCTTGTGTGAAGAAGTACTTCCTTTTTCGTCAGCCCAGAACCTACTTAAAAGGGGCTCCTTTACCTCTTGACTAGTGAGAGGAAAAGAGATTTGGATCTGTCGAAATGTCCAGCAATTGGATGAGAAGATAACTTAGTCCATTTCAGGGCTCACAGATCTGAAATCTTTTCCCCACTCCCCAATCTGCACGTGTGGATCAACCCTACTATATTATCTCAAGTCTACCCCCAGGATTTGTAAATACTTAGAGCAATAGAGAGAGGAGTTCTGGGTATTCTACATCCCCCTTCCCAGTAGTAAGAGAGGGGTGAAGACAATGGGAGACCCAAGAACCTAACTATGCTGGGAAGCATCTTCTGGGGGGGCCACAGGTTCCCCATCCCTGCCGTAAGGGGTCACTGACCTCCCTTCCTCAGGGAGCCATTGTCAGGGGCGAGTCAGACACAGATGCCCAAGGCTGAGGGTCCTCATGCAGCCTGTTTCTAAGGCTCCACATAACTAACACAGCAGGTGTACACATCCTTACAGGAGTTCAGCCAACGGGACATGGGCAGGTTCCAGCTGGTGACAACCTCCACCATGGAACGGGGCAGCTCCACATTCAATGGGCGAGACACTGTCAGATCCCTGGAAGGAGGAGGGAATAAAATCATTATGAAGGCCAGAAATCAGGAAGCATTTTTTGATAGGGATTTGCCAAGAAAAACAAAGAATTTATTTATGTATGCTACAACAGCGGCAAGAGTCTTGATTGCACAAGGATGGAAGAATGAGGAAATCCCAACGAAAGAACAATGGCAAGAAAAACTGATGAACTATGCAGAGCTGGCTAAATTGACATACAAATTGTGGGACAACGACAACTGACTTTAAGGAAGAATGGGAGCTTTTCACAAATTATCTAAAAAGACAACAAAATGAACTGGACTCCTTGGCAGGTTTTGAATAAACATCTGCAAACTTATTAGGTGAACATATGATAGACATAATAAAGATACAGTCATACCTTGGGTTAAATACGCTTCGAGTTGAGCGCGTTTGAGTTGCGCACCGTGGCAACCCGGAAGTAACGGAGCGTGTTACTTCCGGGTTTTGCCGCTTGCGCATGCACAGACGTTCAAAATGACATCATGCGCAGAAGCGGTGAAAAGCGATGCGCGCGTGCGCAGACGTGCCGTTGCTAGATACGTTTATCTCTAGAAGCGAACGGGGCTCCGGAACGGATCCTGTTCGTATCTAGAGGTACCAATGTATGTACAATTTTATAATATGCAGAGAGCGATATGTGCAAAGAAATCAGAGAGGGGAGCTGAGGGAAGTCTTCGGTGGGAGCGACAGGGAGGGATGGGGGGGGGAAATAATGTAATTGCTTAAATGGCTTGACAATTTGTTATGTTAAAATTCTTCAATAAAATTTTTTAAAAAAATAAAAATAAAATATATTTTATTTAAAAAGAAATAGAAATCAGGAAGGGGGGAATCTTTGGATTCAAGGAAAGTCTCCACTGACCTGGCAACAGGAGGCGATAATCCGAATCATGACTAGCCAGAAGTAAGTCCCACTGAATTCAACGGAGCTTAACTCCCAGGTAAGTACAGTTCAGATTGCAGACTAAATTCAACTGAGTCTGAATCAAAGCCATTATTATTAATAGCTACCCACCAAAAAGCAAACCAGGGAGGGGGGAACCTGCCCACATTTAACACATTTGCAAAAACTATTCCAGCAGACTGGGCTATGCATAAAAGTTACTTTAACACCTGTTTTCTGATTTACCTGTTTGTGGGATTTAAGGAGGTTACATTTTTAGGTATAGTACCCTAGGCACCCACCCCACCTCACCTCTCCCCCCCCCCCCTTGCAACAACACTCACCATTTCAGGTTGTCTTTCTCCTCCGTGAAGCCAGACCCTGCCAACGTGGCCGTTGTTTCGGACAGGAAGCCCACAAAATAGTTGCTGAAGTGGAAGGAGCTAGCGCTCTCGTAAGCCCGAAGCCAGCTGCATTGCAACAGCAAGACACAAGGATGTAAGAACAGTCCCGCTGGATCAGGACAAAGGCCTCTCTGAGCTCACAGTGGCCAACCAGATGCCTATGAGAAGCCTCCAAGCAGGTGATTCCCAGAAACAGGTGTTCACATGCATACTGCCTCTGACAGCGGAACACAGCCTTATTCCCCCATGAATTGGTTTAATCCTTTTCTAAAGCCATCTAATTCCATGGTGCTGTATGAAGAAGTGCTCTCTTTATTTTATTTAGATAGGCAGAACAATTAAAACACCAAGAAGTAAAAACCAGGTAATAGAAAAAACAACACAATGGAACTACAATTAGTATCCTGGATACTATGGAACAGCACTGCAGGGCTGCAAAAAACACGCTGCCGTATTTTTCGCTCCATAAGACGCACCTAGTTTTTAGAGGAGGAAAGGGGGAAAGCCCCAGTTTTTTGAGGATCAGCTCAAAGTTGTGCAGCTTCTTTTACAAAGGGGGAAAATCCTGTTTTTATGGGGTTCAACTCAGTTCTGCAGCTTCTTTAGGAAAGGAAAGGGAACCGTTGCTACAGTTTCCAGACAGATAATCTGACTATCAGCCAGTCATTTGTCACTGGGGAAACTAACAGCCTCCGTCTGCAGAACATTCAACAATGGAGGCCTGGGCAAGGGGGCGGGGCCAGAAAGTGAGCCACCGATCGTCCACACATTCGCTCCATAAGACGCACAGACATTTCCCCTTACTTTTTAGGAGGAAAAAAGTGTGTCTTATGGAGTGAAAACTACAGTATGTATAGGGTATACAGTCAAACCTCAATTCCTGAACAGCTCTGTTTTGGAACGTTTTGACTCCCAAATGCTGAAAACGTGGAAGTAAATGCTCCAGTTTCAAAAGTTTTTTGGAAGCTGAACGTCCGATGTGGCTTCCGCTGAGTGCAGGAAGCTCTTGCAACCAACTGGAAGCCGTGCCTCGCTTGTCGAACATTTCGGAAGCTGACTAGGCTTCTGGAACAGATTCCATTCAACAACCAAGGTTTGACTGTACTTGTCTTTGTAGGTGGTCACAGTCCCAAATAAAATGCCTCTCAAAGCTGGGTTTTGAGAGAGGAGGTCCAACTTAGCTATCCTTACAACCAATAAACACCAGAAGAGGCCACCAGGTACCTTTGACTCGAGAACCCTTAGCAAGACCCTTACACCAGCAAATCTGACACACTTTGCCCAGCAACCCTCCAAAGCAAAGGGAGAATGAGAACTCCAAGAAGGGGTGATTTCTAGCTTAATAGCCACTTTAAAAAAAAGAGGCTAAATTCTTCATAGATCACCTGTTTCATACTTGATGAAAAGACAGACAACAGAGTCAGAGCTGGGTCTGAGAAAATAAGCTGCAGAAACAATCACCAAGATTTCCTGAAAAACGCAGGTCCGAAAAGCTGCCACTACTAGGCACAACTACCATCTGTGGTAGTCCATGCCCAATATGCAGCAACCCCACCAGCACTGCATGGGCAGATTTCAGTTTACTCTTCCCATTGTAACAGGTGCACTGTATCATCAGAGACCCACCTGATGCACCAGTTCTTTAACTCTGGCTGAAACTGAGCGGAGTTTGCTTCATTGGACTCTCAACTCTCCTTCATCAATATTTCTGCCCAGATCAGCCTCCCTCTCTCAGACTAGATGCTGTCCCTCCCTCTTCCGACAGAAATCCTTTGTACTTTACAATAAAGAAACTGTTGGGAATCTGTGTACGTACAGCTACTCACACAGAGTCAATTAAGGTTTGGCAGACAGCCAGAAGGTCATGTGAAGGAGTAAGTTTGCCTGGTGATAACAGAGACATGGAGGTAGCTCCCTGATTGGTCAAGCTCTCTCAAGGGAGTGATAATTAATGGCCTACTAACTGGAATGTGTTAGTTCAGGAGTTCAGTGTTCAGAGTTCTGTGTCAGTGTAGGAGCTGTGAGTCGTGTCAGAGAGAGCTAGCAAAAGATCCGTGTTCTGTTCCTGTAAATAGTCCACTGTATATAATAAACACCTAACTACAAGTTCCTGGTTCCTGCTTCGTCTATCTTGTCTGCAGCCAAGTTGCCAATTGCTTCCGTGGATTCTGCGTGTACTCTGCTGGGTCTGGCTAAGGTCCTGCAACTAGTCTGAAAGTTGCGAAACACCAATAGGTTTTACCAATAGAAACCGCCCCTTTCAAGTTTCCAGACAAGCCCATACAAATGTGCTCATAAAAGGTGAGCATTCTGAGTGGGCCTTACGTTCTAAGGACAAGTGCACTAAAAGATTGAATTTGCACCATTTGAAAACCGCTCACCAGAGTGCCAATGAGCTTCAGGCACGGCTGCTCATTCGTTGCCTTCTAACAGATCCAAAACACAGAAGAAACTCTTGACTGCCCAATGACCAAAGTGACCACTCTCAAAAGTAGATTGAAAACGAGGGTGTTCTCCAAATGGAGTAAGAGGAGAGGGTGTTGGAGCCAAGACTTTGACGGAGCCCCTCCAGATTTTGAGTGTTGTTCTGTAAAATGGATTTTCTGTCAATTGCAGCCTCTCCAGGGTGAGCTTCAGAAAGGGAGCTGAGGGATCAGCTATGCCACCTTTGAAGATCAGGTGTATATCCACTCCTTATATAATCGAGGGTGAGCAATGGGGGTTGACGACATAAGATTGGCAGTATAGATGCCCCCCCTCAGGGCCAGATCATAAGAAATGTTTCACAATAAAGGGCAGTAATGCAGTGTGAGGTGGCAGTAAAAAATGGGGACAGTTAAACTATATATGAAACGAAAACCCCCCACCAGGGTAAACATAAACCAGAACATTAAAAGAATATAAAGAGAGGGCCTTGATGGATATCACTTGGTGGCTCTGCTCTCTTTCTTAGCTCCTGGGGGGCGGGCTGTTGCAATCCAAAGGTTCTTGCTTTTAGAACGCCCCTTCTGCTCTTCCCAGGGCAAGGAAAACAGACATGCACAAACATACTGTTTTATCGTGTTCTTTATCCCAGCTGTTGTCAGCTGGGATCAGATCCTTGCAGCCCTTCTGAGATTTCCAGGCGTACTTTGGATAGTAGCACACCTGCATCTGTTAGAGTAGGTGCGGTATAGAACTTATATTTATGCCAGAAAGCCAGCTTGAAAGGGAAGCCCCCTACCACTTAACACTCATGCCCTTTTGCAGCAGTAATGGGTCTAAAACCCGGTTACCCCCTTAACTTTAATCTTGAAAAATCAGAATTGTGCTCTCCCCATATTTCATCATGTGAACATTTATGCACACCTTCAAGTGCTGCTCCTTTAACTTTAGAATCATAGCACTAAGTCCTGTGTTTGGCTGCCCTCCAGCCTGATAAACCTGTTCAATGTCTAGAGAAGTCACTTTGACTGGTAATTTCAAGTCAGTGAGCCAAAGACACAGGTCCACCCCTGCCCTCTGAGAAGATCCTGGGATCTGTACCCTATGTACTACTGCTCCTCCAGACGTAACTGCAAATCTCAAGCCACAATTTTTCGTTTCTCCATTTTTCTTAGGTGACAGGTGCTCATGCCAAAGATCTCCCTAGCAGTTTTAGTAACCCCAGACAATTATTCTTGATTCACGGAGAATTTCTGGTTAGTAGAGACAAGAGCTACATGCAGGTCAGCAGATAACTCTTAGCATCACAGTTCTGATCCCTCCGACGGCGTTAACTCTGAAAATGGGGATTTGAAGCCTTTGTCGGCTCAATGCCAATTGCATTCCCTCTATGAGCCAACCATCCTGGAATAATACTAGTTTGGAATAACTGCTACTTGATGCGTTAAAGGAGCTCTCAGGGGCAGAGCATAAAATAGCTAGACAACCGTCTTGCTTGGTATGAAGCCACGCCACATCAATCCTGAATCTTCCAACATTCAGCTTCTCTGGCTTGGAGCTCCCATATTATGGGAGAGGAAACAAAACTTCTCCCGGTCCACTTTCTCCCCACTGTGCCTGAAGTTCTCCACCTCTACCCTGTCCTGCTGACTTACTCACCTTTTCTCTAAACAAAATAACCCCAAATGTTGTAACCTCCCCTCCCTACAGGAGCTGCTCCAACCCCTTGATTATTTTGCTTGCCTGCCTTAGAAGCCAGTGAACCTCTGCAAAACCCACACGATGGGTCAGAGAAGAAACAGATGACCCCATGAAGACTCACCTCACCATGGTGCTCCTGGCAGAAGCAAGGAGGGAAAGAACATGGCAGGAGCGAGAAACAGAGAGGAAAGAATAAAGATATCAGTAGATATTGGGGTATTGAGGTGTTCCATATAGACTGAACCACAGAACTATAAAAAAAGCCACAGAGAGCCATGGCTGGCAGTGCCAATATGCTGAAGATTTCAGTTGTAATTTGGACAGCTTTGGTTTGCATTGAACAAAGCCAGGCCTGTGGGTATTGTATTGTATGATAGTGTGCAAGTGCAGAAATTTCATTAACAGCTCTTTCATTAAGATCTGCATGACAAACTTGTCAAACAGAAGGCGCTTTCTTCCTCTGTGCCAGGAAAAGGCAGGAGCCCTGGCTTAAAAACATAATACAGTGGTACCTCGGGTTACATACGCTTCAGGTTACAGACTCTGCTAACCCAGAAATAGTACCTCAGGTTAAGAACATTGCTTCAGGATGAGAACAGAAATCGCACAGCGGTGTGGCGGCAGCAGCGGGAGGCCCCATTAGCTAACGTGGTGCTTCAGGTTAAGAACAGTTTCAGGTTAAGAACGGACCTCCAGAACGAATTAAGTACATAACCAGAGGTACCACTGTACTTGCATCACTGGATCAGAATAAGCTTCCTATTTCTCATTGTGGCCTCCTAGACACTTCTTAGGAGCTCACAAAGAACAGCATAAAGGCAGGGGTGTGCCAGAGGGGCTATAGCCCTGGGCGTGGATTTTTGAGGGCACAGGAAGCAGGTGCCCCCAGTGCAGCAGGGCGCTCTTCTCTCGGCGGTGGAGGAACCAACCCTCAGGGAGAGGAGCACTGGGCTGGGCCTCACTGGGGGCACTGGCATGGGGGGCACTGGGTTCATGCCTGCCCCGGGCACCATGAAGTCACACAACGTTGCTGCATAAATATGGTGGCCACACGCTGTTGTTTGATGCCAGCATTTGGTACTTTCAAGGCAGGCTGCCTTTACAGACGGAGAGTCTTCCATTGAGCTAAGTGCCTTTGTAGGTTGTGATTAAGGTTCTGGCACGAGTGCAGACTAGGCCTCACTGCACAGAAAGAAGTGGAGTGCTCAAGGCATGGAATAAGTCACACTACACAAGACTTGGGGAAAGAAAGCCAAGCCTTACTTCAAAGCCACCAGGTGACACAGACCTAAGCAGGGCGAATTGGTGAAGACCACAGAAATGTCAAGCAAAGCAGCCATAAGTGGCACTGACTAGACAAGGACAGCAGACACACCGGACACAGGCCAAGACACAGTGAGCACAATGAAAGCGAGTCAATGAAGATACGTCGGTTGCTGGGCCTCACAGAGAAAAAACAAACCGTGTCTGGAACATGGCGAACAGACTGAGGGAGCCATGACCCCACGGTGCCTCCCGTCAAGAGACAGAACAAATGGGTTGCCACTGATGGAAGCCACAAAAGACACGTGAAGGTTAAGAATGCAGCTGTGCAATGAGTGAGATGATGCAGCCCGGCAGCCAGAGAGATGCGCTGGGGGGGTGTTACCTGCTTCTGCGCTTCCTGTGGCAAGTAGCACGATCCCAACAGAGAGAGAACCGGGAGGGAGAGGGCAGAGGAAATGAAGCAAAAGAACGCAGAAGAGAAGGAGAAAGAAAATGAGCTCATCAGGCTTTCGGACATTCCAAAAAATATTTAAAATACCTGCCCTTGAATGCTCTTACACTGTTTAACTATGTGGCAGGAAAAGGTTTGATAAAGAGCTGCTTCTCCCAGTATGGATGGAAAAGGCCACAACTGCTGAAATTCTTTTCCCTGGGCCAGCATCCACTGAATTCAAGGAAGTGCAACTGTTAAATGCCTCAATATTCCTGGGATCCTCTCTTCGTTCACTGTACCAATGCAAAATTTTAACACAGAAGAACTGGAAGGGGCAACTGGGACGAGAGGCTGCACAACAGAGCTTCACTGACAAAAACCCCACACACCAAAAACCAACCACTTAGCCCAGTAACTAACTGGCAGCCACTTTTGATAGGCTCTTCCTTCACAGATTTGTTCAAACCACTTTTGGCTCACCGCATTTCATGGCAGAGAAACTCCATAGTTGATTGTGCCTTGTGTGAAGAAGTACCGTACTTTTCCGTTATAAGACTCAGATTTTTGAGGGACTCAGATTTAAGAAAATGAGGGGAGATGGCACAGAGTTGTTGAGGTTTTTTTTTTGCAAAGGATTACCCAGGGTTGTTGAGCTTTTTAAGCAGGGATTGCCGAAAATCGCTCACCCGCACACGTCGCCAAATCTGCCTCCCGTCTGTCCCATCACTGGCAGAAGCTGCCAATTGCCCACCCAACTGCCAGAGCATCAGCCAATCAACATCACCCATTGACACAGCAACCAATAACATGCACAATAGCTGCTGACAGCTGCAGCATCAACCAATCAAACATCCACCCTATGATGACCCCCAATTTTTAGCATGATTTTAAAAGAGAAAAAACATAGTCTTATACACGGAAAAGTACGGTACTGTTTCTGCAGCGTCAGTCTTAAAACGGGATCCTGCAGCAACATCGGGAGGGCCACAGGTTCCTCACACCCACAGCCAAGGGCCACAGCACCCTTATCTGTTACGGTTATTCCAAGGCCCAATAACTATCCCAAGGTGAAGATACCAGGCACTTATCAGAGCCCCAGCATGGGGAACCTGTGTGGCTCTCCAGAGGTTGTGAAACACAACTCCAATCATCCTCAACCACTGGCCTCCTGGGAGCTGATGCCATCCAACAACTAGACCAGAGCTTTCCAAACTTTTCATGTTGGTGACACATTTTTGAGACATGCATCATTTTGTGACACAGTCATTTGGTTTTACTAGCAAACCGGAGGTTAAACTAATGTTTTTCCAGCCCTGGTAGGAGCGTGCGGAGTGTTCGTGTGACACACTTACACACTTCACCAGACACAATAATGTGCCGTGACTCACAGTTTGGAAAGCTCTAAGCTAGAGGGCCACAGGTTCATTACTTCTGTCCTAGTTGCCAAATGGCTTGTGGATGTGAAAGCAATTCTCTCAGGGCCTTAAAGGAGAAGGCTGGAAGCCCTTCTGAACTGTATAGCCAGCAGCAGAATGGCTATTGGTCAGAGTTTAGAGTAGCTCACCCTGTACAAAACATACCCCTCTCTGTCCTCTAGGTGCGAAACAGCATCACAGATGGAAGACAAATGCCATATTTTGGCCCAACAGGCCCAAAGATCATAACGTTGGGCAGGCCTGAGCTAGAAGCTGAAGTTTTAGAACAGGGGATGCAATACTGTTACATCATGAGAACTTTGCCCAGAATTGTATTTTCAGAAGCTTCCACAGCAGGAAACATATTAATTAGTCCCCATGTTAATTAACCTAACCCTGGGTCAATGAATCCGGAATAGCTTCACCCACAAACACTCACAGAAAGGGGGAGAACATTCAGCCTGTTCCTTATGTTTAGCCACTCTGATTCCAGTCACAAGGTGGCAAAAGAGTGTTAAGGGGCAGCTAACCTGCATTAAATGACCTGATATATATGGTCAAGGACCATATCCCATATACCCTATTTCACCTTCCTCCTCCCCCCTCCAGTATTTGCAAGAGAGCTTTTTGGTTTTTGTAAGAGCTTAAAGTAAGTGGAATACATCTCTCTGAATGATTCAGAGGCATAGAGGAAGAGAGGAACTCGGGCAATAATGTGCACTTGCCTTTAAAAACACCCAGTAATTAAAAAATATATTAGGGCCTGCCATTTCATGGGAGGCCTGTTCTACAGCACACTTCCCATCAGGGTTAATCTGGCCTGTGAGGAGATCAAAATCTCCATTAGCTTACTGGCTGGATTCCCTAACACAGGGGTCTGCAACCTTTAAGACAAAAAGAGCCACTTGGACCCGTTTCCGAAGGGAAAAAAACTGGGAGCCGCAAAACCATTGCGACATTTAAAGCATGCGTGCCGCTGCCCTCCGATCTGACAGCGGGCGGGAAGGTGACGTCGGGACGGTGCGTGACTAACGCATGCACCGCCCCCATGCAACGTCACAGCCAGTACAGCGCCCGCCACAGTGGGGAGTGTTGGGGCGCACAATGCGCCTCCTCCCCTCGCTAATATCCGCCCCGGAGCCGCGGCAAAGGTGTAAAAGAGCCACATGCGGCTCCGGAGCCGCGGGTTGCAGACCCCTGCCCTAACAAACCCAATGGGCCAGCTGTAGGGAGCCTGGGGCTGAGGTCAGAGCATCTCTTTGGAGCAACCAACTTACTTCCTGAGTAGCTTGTAGCTGTAGAGGGGTATCAAGTAAGAGAAGAGATAGGGGGCCACACAAGTGGACATGATGAGGCACACAAGGCAGAGGAAGAAGCTCAGGCAGACCTTCTGGAGCCAGGAGAAGCTCTGCAGGAGAGGAGAGAGAGAGAAAGACAAAGAAAATACCATCACAGGCGTGTGACTTTCACACTGTTTTCACATCTTAGTATGAATAGAAATGAGAGACCCTTTTCATGTCAACTCATCAGATATAAGGCTGGTGTTTGTTGTTGTTGTTGTTAATATACTGCCCTATACCCAGAGAACTCAAGGCGGTCACAGAACAAAATCAAAATGTGTTTGATCAAGCGATGCAGACCCTCCAAGTCTTCCTATTTTCCAGGAACAGTCACAGATTTACAAAAGCCATCCCAGATTCTGATTTGATCCCAGAATGTCCTGATTTTCCTTAGTACATCCTTATTTTCACCAGAGAAATGTTGGCGGGTATGGAGTTATCCAACCCCCAAGCCATCTGAAGGCAGCCCTGTATAGGGAAGTCTTTTTAATGTTTAATTTAAAAAAAAATGTTTTTATTTATGTTGGAGGAGGGACATGGGTGGCGCTGTGGGTTAAACCACAGAGCCTAGGACTTGCCGATCAGAAGGTCGGCGGTTCGAATCCCCGCGACGGGGTGAGCTCCCGTTGCTCGGTCCCTGCTCCTGCCAACCTAGCAGTTTGAAATCACGTCAAAGTGCAAGTAGATAAATAGGTACCTCTCCGGCGGGAAGGTAAATGGCATTTCTGTGCACTGCTCTGGTTCGCCAGAAGCGGCTTAGTCATGCTGGCCACATGACCCGGAAACTGTACCCTTGGCCAATAAAGCAAGATGAGCGCCGCAACCCCAGAGTTGGCCACGACTGGACCTAATGGTCAGGGGTCCCTTTACCGTTATCTTTATTTATGTTGGAAGCCACCTAGAGCGGCTGGGGCAACCCAGTCAGATGGGCAGGGAATAATAATAATAATAATAATAATAATAATAATAATAATAACGGAATAGAATTCTTGGGTAGGATGGATGTGGGTTTCCAATATTCAAATATGGTGCCCTTTTACTGAAACCCCCAACTAACCAGGCCCTGTTCCCCATGCTGTGCCAGGAATAAATACACGATATTGAGCTCACCATTCTCCTGCTTTCCACGGCCTGCTGGTAGGTGCGGAAGCGGAACCAGGGTCCAAAGATGACAGTCCCAATGAAGTAGATATATCCCATGAACTCTACTGGGGAGGGGATGGCTGGCACCTCGCCCCGGTCCAGATCAAAGCCCAGCGACACAGCCTTCATTGCCACAATCATCTGGGCACCTTGTGGGAGGGAGCAGACAGACACGCAATAGAGATTCAGTGCTTCAGTGCTTGCCGGTAACCTATGGACCTCATTGCCCAAGATGTGACATGACTTTTGAAAAAGTATCAGGCAAATGGAGAGAAGATATTACCAAGTCCATGGTGGCTGAATGGGACCGCCAAATAGAGGGGAATATAATTCCTTTTAATGGAAAATTCAGGAGCTGAGTGCCAGGAGGATTGTAGACAAAAGAGAGCCACTGAGAAACAAGGAGCCAAACTCAAGAGTCGAAGAAGTACTATATTTCAAAACCCTAAAGAGAACCCACCTCTCTGCAAAAAAACCCCCAAACCCAATGAGAACCAAGCATGTTGTGTTAGCCGCAGAATGTAGTGACAGGTAGAAAAGATAAATGGAACACATGGGGACATGAGATGCTCTGCCTGGAGGAAACACCTGGCTTATCCCACCCGCCTTCGGAAAACAACCGGTTTCCCTTTGAGACCCAGTCAAGGCCAAATCCCAGAAGCCCTGGCTGCCTCACAGTCCCTTCGGTTCCATTCCCACTTCCCAAAGCCAGGCACAGAATATGGGTGTCCTCTTTGCTCAGAGCGCCCTATTATCTGTTCCCTGCAGAGTGATAAGTACGAACGCTGCACTTGGAGCAAACTTTAAGTTTTTGGAAAGGGAGCACATTCCACAAACACATGCGCGCGCGCACACACACACACACTGACTAGCCCCAGCAAGCTCCAACGTCTTATCCTACGATCCCCCAAGGCTTGATCAGGGCCTAGAAAGAGAAGATCCACAAAACACTCACCTCTCATCTTATGCCAGCTCACGGTGTCCACCATGTGCATCTCCCTGCAAAAAGGAAGGGCGGGGGAAGAAGGGGAGAAGGTCAAAGATGGGAAATGGTTATGATCCCTCAGGTGGCGCAATGGGTCAGTATGTCTGGCTGTGAACCAGAAGGCTGGTGGTTCGAGCCCACCCAGGGACGGCTGTGGGCTGGATTCCTGCATAGTACGGGGTTGGACTAGATCAGGGGTCAGCAAACTTTTTCAGCAAGGGGCCGGTCCACCGTCCCTCAGACCTTGGGGGGGGGCGGACTATATTCTGGGAAAAAATATGAACCAATGACTATGCCCCACAAATAACCCAGAGATGCATTTTAAATAAAAGGACATATTCTACTCGTGTAAAAACACGCTGATTCCCGGACCGCCTGCAGGCTGGATTTAGAAGGCAATTGGGCCGGATCCAGCCCCCGGGCCTTAGTTTGCCTACCCATGGACTAGATGACCCTGAGGGTTCCCTTCCAATTCTTTTAATATGTATATTAAGTAGTGGTTTCTCCTATCACCAAGCTGCCAGCTTTGCTCCACAGTTGTCCAGATCTTCTTAACTTCTGTTGCACTCAGATTCCCATTAACTACTCTCTTCATCCAGCCAACCGTTTAGGACTATAGCAACCTGTGAGCAGCCCTCCCTCCCTGCTCCTCACCCGCACTCACCCCATGAGCAAGTAGATGAGGATGGTGATGGAGAGGAGGACGCCGCGCTGGGTTGAGTGGCGACACAGGAACAGCACCAGGTAGCACAGGAGGCTGAGGAGGACGACCCAGACCATCTGCAGCTGGAAGAAGTGGTAGAGGGCATAGAAGCCGCTAGCGACTGTGCTCAGGTGCTTGACGTAGGATGGCAGAGCTGCGAGGAGAAGGCCAGAGAGGAAAATGGAGGTCAGGTGGAGAGAAGGTCAGGGAACATAGGAAGCTGCCCATGGCCCCATCTGCACTATACATCTAAAGCAGTATCATAGCACTTCAACAGTCATGGTTTCCCCCAAAGCATTGTGGGAAATGCAGCTTGTTACGAGGTGCAGAATGTTGTCAGGAGACCCCAATTACCCTCCTAGAGCTACAATTTCCAGAGTGGTCCATATATATATATATATATATATATATATATATATATATATATATATATATGTAATTCATTTTTCTTTTGCATTCATTACATACATCTCAAAGTCTTAACATTTACTATGTATTCCTTCCTCCCTCCCCTCCTAGGCTTCCCCCAACTTCCACTTCTGGTTTGTTTCTCTTTTCTCCCACTTTGCTACCTCCTAACAGAAAAAGTTATTAATAACATAACATCAAACCTAAAAACATAAAAATAAAAGTAAATGCACCATAATATTTCTCTATCTTCTAGACATTTTCTAATACTAATAGTGTGAATGTTTATTTAAATCCTGCCATTAAGTCTATCGACTTTCTTTATTTCTGCAAGTATAATATAAATGGTTCCCATTCTTTTTCAAAGTCACTGTTGTCTTTTTCTCTTAGTCTGTCATTTTTGCCAGTTCTGCACAGTTCACCAACTTCTCTTGCCATTGTTCTTTAGTTGGTATTTCTCCAGTCTTCCAATTTTGTGCAATCAACATTATTGCGGCTGTAGCAGCATCCATAAATAAAGTCCTCTTTTCTTTCGGTATGTCTTGGCCTAAAATACCTAGTAAGAAGGCTTCCGGGTTTTTTTTTTTATACAAATGTTATTTTCAACGTTTTCTTAAATTCATTATAAAAAGGTAAAGCCTATTGGGAAATGATATATAATGAATTCCAGAGTGGTTTTAACAGTCAATCCCTATCCCTGGGAACGCTGGGAATTGTAGCTCCGTGAGGGGAAAAGGCGCCTCCTAACAGCACTCAGCACCCTTAACAAACTACTGCTCTCAGGATGCTTTGAGGGAAGCCATGACTATTTAAAGTGGTTTGAAATGGATGGTTTGGAAGGGGCATGGACTGTTTTGTCTATCTGGCCCAGTATTGCCCACTGACATGGACAGCAGCTCTCCACAGTCTCAGGCCTTCCACATCACCAATCCCTGCTCCTTTTAAGTGGGGATTTGAACTTGGAACCTTCTGTGTGCAAATCAGGTGCCCCATCACTGAGCTATGTCCTCTCCCTCACGATCCCTCCTCCAGACTCACCAGCTGTGTATTTACCTTGGAAGAGAAAGAAGACACTCAAGAGTCCCCTCCCGGGTCATTTTACGCTACATATGAAACAGCAGTTGTAAGAAGGGTAGGAGCTGTAACTAGAGGGTGAAAGAAAGCTGGGGCTTGCATTAGGACCTGGTAGGCAAAAGCCACTTTGAAAGGGGAATGCTGAAAACAGCAGGTCCACTACAAATAAAGGGAAACGCTTGAGCTTTGGGTGGAGGGAATGACGCTTCGGCTCCTCTCTCCCTGAGCATCAGTCCCGTCTGCCTGGAACTCTGCCCTCCATTTAATCTCTGCTGTTGCTTACGGTCCAGGGATGTAGCTTAGCCATGACATTCAGACTGAGAGAGAGCTGTGGTTGTTGCAGCAGGAGGAAAATGAGGCACCATGTGTGTGCCTAAATCCCCAGCAGGTGACCAATGGGGTGCCATCCAGATGTTTTGGGCTACAGGTCCTATCACCCTCGACTGTTGCCATTAATAATAATAATAAATTTTATTTATACCCCACCCTCCTCAGCCAAGACTGGGCTCAGGGCAGCTAACACCAGGTAAAAACAATTGATTAAAATACAACTTAAAAACAAGATTAAGTACAACATTAAAATGCAGCCTCATTTCAGTAGAAACTCAAATCAAAAACTTTTTGGGGATGAAAACATCAAATCTTCACCAAGGCCAACTATCCAGACTGGTCCTATGTGGGCCAGAAAACAGCCAGGGAAGTCCCCAAATAGGAGTTCCATCACAGAAGGAGAAAGGAAAAAGGAAAGAGGAGGAGGGGATCAAGTAGATTCCAAGCCATCTGCAGGGCCATGTGTTCCCCAATTATTATCAAATCTAGTGGGCGGGGGCATGGAATCCCAAGACTCATTCTCATAACATCAAACCATGGTTTGGCATTACTTCTAAACAGTCTTCTTTCCACTGTGATGCAATTGCACAAAGCAAGAGACCTGTGGGAAGGTGGATTTAGATGCAGATCATGAGTGAAAGCAATATAGGGTTGTAATGCAGACTTCCTTATGGGTCTGATGAATGCCCTGGAGGACTGCGTGCCTAAGATTGTCTGCACTTACCCAATCTCCAGAGGAGACGGCACACGAGGCACAAGAGCAGAAGGGTCCAGACCTGCTCAAAGCCTTGCTGAGCGGTAGGCAACACGCAGCCGCTCAGGAGCTGCTGGTAGAACTCTTCCCGGGTGAATGTGGCCATGGCCGCAGCCTGGAAGAAGCAGGAGACAAAGGGATGTCAAGACGGGTAGGTAGCTGAGAAATCCCCTCCCCATAGCTAGTGTGCAAGCTCTAGCACATGTGCCCGTCTCCAGAGGCAAGGCCAGGTGGGATTTCCAGGCTGCTGAGATCCATGCCAGCATGCGCTGATTTGGGTACTCAGGTTGTATAGAGTTGCAGAACATGCATATCTGCATTTTACTTTAAGCCTCCACCACTCCCTCTGAACACAGAGCAAGCTAAGGATTAGTTTCATCACATGCTTACTTCCACAAAAGCTCAGGTAGGTGTTCTGAATCTGCCTAGATCCTGGAATCATCTCACAATGGTAATTCTTCTTAAGCCAAGCAACAGGCACAGCAGTGATGGGCACATTGCACATGTAGCAATGGTGCACAACCCACCCACAAAGCCGCACTGTACTACATTTTTTGTAGGTCCTCTGTTCTGTAATAGCATTAAAGGAGCAGGGGAAGCCACCTGTTTAGGCATTCTCTTGATAGCAGCCCTTAACATTCTTGCAATGGTGGTAAAGATAAAGGGACCCCTGACCATTAGGTCCAGTCGTGACTGACTCTGGGGTTGCGGAGCTCATCTCGCTTTATTGGCCGAGGGAGCCGGCGTTTGTCCGCAGACAGCTTCCGGGTCATGTGGCCAGCATGACTGAGCTGCTTCTGGTGAACCAGAGTAGCACACGGAAACGCGTTTACCTTCCCGCCGGAGCGGTACCTATTTATCTACTTGCACTTTGACGTGCTTTCGAACTGTTAGGTTGGCAGGAGCAGGGACCAAACAACGGGAGCTCACCCCATCACGGGGATTCAAACCGCCAACCTTCTGATCAGCAAGCTCTAGGCTCTGTGGTTTAGACCTAGGAAGCTCTTTACTGAACAGCATCTCCAGCTCCACCAAAATATGGACCAAGGCCAGGGGTGCCAACTTATATAAAATATTGGGGGCTCCTGTGACCACGGATGATGGACAAAAAAGGGGGGAAAGAAGGAAGGGAATAGCTAGAGGAATAGTAATCTATGGTGCAGGAGAGATGGCCGATGAGAAATATGTGATGGATGAATAAATGAGTTGAACGGCTGAAAAGTTGCATATGGAGGGATCACGGGTACATAAAGGGCGGCTGCGGCCTATTCGGTAGCCCGCCGGCTGGAAGATCCAGGGAGTGGTTTTGCAGGCCGGGGATTTCCTAGGTGCAGGAAGGAAACGCTGCCTGGGGAAACGCATGGCCCATAGACAAAGGAAAACTGGTCGTCGGGATTCGAGAGAAAATCAGATCGGGATCCTCCTGCGCGGAAATCGCTTTCCTTTCCCCCTTCCGGCATGCAACTCTGGGGGAAGCCCTTTCCCCTTCCTCCCTCTCCCCAGGACACACCGGCCCGTTTCCCTGGGGGAGACAGATTCTATCTAGGAAGGGGGGGGGATCCCCTTAAAAGATGCCCTGACTCCGTGGATCTCGACGTGCCCTCGAGGGATTGACATCTAGGAGGGGGCAAATCCTAGGCGGATTCAGATGCCCTTTCCCTAGCTGCAATGCGGGAGACCCGGGAAGAGGCCCTGGCCCCCCTCCCCCAGCGTGCGCCCTCTCTCTCCTTTCCGGCCAGATGTTCCCTGCAGCTCCAGCTGCGCTTCTTAAAGAGGCAGCCCCTGGGTCGCGGCGAACTCACCGATGCGCCTCCTTCCACCACCCTCCTTTTCCAGCTCTCCGGGGACGATGCGAGTCGGGTTTTCTCCCTTACCCCCACCCCCACCCCCCCAGCTGGAAACTGGGAAAGGAAGGGGAGGTCGGCGCTGGGAAAGAGGAGCAATAATCCCTTTTAAAATTGGAGGCGGATCGAGTCGGGAGGCCAATGGGAATGCCGGAAAGGAACAGTTGGATCTCCGGAGTGACCAATCCGAGGGAAGGGATGGGGGAGGGTGCAGGTGGGCAGCCAATGCGGAAGAGGTGCAGGGAAACTAAAATAAGAAAATACAATAAAATAGCTTCGTATTCCCGGGTTCGACTCGTGTTTGCGCTCCTGCGAATCCTTCAAACGATTGGGGAGGAATCCGCGGTGCGAGCGCGCATCCGCGTCCACACGCACCCGGTGGGACAGGGGGCAAAACTGCCCGGCAGCATTCTCACCAAGCTACACACCCGTGAATATTTTAGGGAAGCCTTGGCAGTTACAACCAGCCCAGAATTTATGGAAGTTTGCGGTGCAGATATGGACAGGAGTGAATAGGAGGAGCCGGGGGGGAACTAGATGGTAACATTTGGAGTAGAATGATAGAATCCTAGAATTGTAGAGTTGGAAGGGACCCCACGGGGTCATCTAGTCCAACCCCCTGCAATGCAGGAAGCTCAACTAAAGCGTCCATGCCAGATGGCCACCCAACCTCTGCCTAAAAATTTCCAGTCCATCACCTTTTGAGGGGGACCTTTACATTGACAAACTGCTTTGACTGCCAGAAAGTTATTCCTGATATTTAGTCAGAATCTCTATTCTTGTAAATTGAATCCATTGGTTCCAGTCCTAGCCTCTGGAGTAGGATAAAACAAGCTTGCTCCCTCTTCCATGCAACAGCCCTTTTAATATGGGAAGATGGCTATCATGTCAACGCAGCCAACTGCCTCAACCGTTTCCAAGTACTTACGACATGGAAAATATTCCACAGGACCTGGATATTAAGCACACAATGTATGGAAATTTAACTCCTCCAACAAGAACAATAAAAGGACAAGAGAAACCTGAAGCTATTTGGGCTAATTAGTACAACTATTAATTTTACAAACCATCAGTGTTCCTTTTGCAATTTATCTTCAACTGCGTTTCCTAAGGGAGTGATTTTTATAGAATCCACTCGTAATCTTTTGTCAGTCAAGCTCCTTGCAGGTGTGACATGGCAATCTCTACTGTAGACAAAACACTTACGGCAGGGCTTTTGCTGACAAGAGTTCATTAGGTGAATCCCACCCATAGTATCCAACCACATCAGAACAGCATAATCTGTGCCACAACTGGAAAGCAGGAAAATATGCTGTGTGCAGTGCAGATAAACCAAGCACAGTTTATTGATTTTATTTTATTTCTAAACTGTATATTCCAAGAAATCTCCAAGCACATGATATAGCATCAAGAAATTAGACTTCCCAGAAAACATCTGCCAATTTTAGAGATGGAAAGATAGTACTACATTTGAGAGGTATAATTCCTCTGCCCCCACCTGTTAGATTATGGCTATGTTTGCAGACCCGTTTACTGTGCATGATGTGCTTTCCCAAGGATGCAGAGATTTAGTCACCAACACACAGCATCAGATACAGTCCATCTCTATCCTGTTGTTTCTTATTAAATACTGTATTTTGATGTGCTCCCCCACCATACAGCTTCAATCTGAATTGAGAAAAAGAATGACCTTGCTGTATTTTAAGCCAGTAGCGTGTACACAGGATGTAACACAGACTTCTCTGTGTAGTCAATACCAGTAACAGGAAAATGCTTGTATACCGGTACTTCCCATATACCTGCATATCATATATTTAAAACACATTTTAAGCACATACACACACCAAGAATCTTGGGAACTGTAAAGGTAAAGGGACCCCTGACCATTAGGTCCAGTCGTGGCCGACTCTGGGGTTGTGGTGCTCATCTTGCTTTATTGGCCGAGAGAGCCGGCGTACAGCTTCTGGGTCATGTGGCCAGCATGACTAAGCCGCTTCTGGCGAACCAGAGCAGCGCACGGAAACGCCGTTTACCTTCCCGGCGGAGTGGTACCTATTTATCTACTTGCACTTGACGTGTTTTTGAACTGCTAGGTGGGTAGAAGAAGGGACTGAGCAATGGGAGCTCACCCCATCGCAGGGATTCGAACCGCCGACCGTCTGATGGGGAAGTCCTAGGCTCTGTGGTTTAACCCACAGCGCCACCCGCGTCCCCTTGGGAACTGTAGTTTACCTCTAAAAAAAACTACGATTCCAAGCACCCTTAAACTTAAATGTGCGCACACTGCCATTTTCATCCAGCCCATTCCTCAAGGACAGGGGTTAGCAACCTTTTTCAGCCGTGGGACGGTCCACCGTCCCTCAGACCTTGTGGTGGGCCAGAATATATTTTGGGGGAAAATAATAATGAACAAATTCCTATGCCCCACAAATAACCCAGAGATGCATTTTAAATCAAAGGACACATTCTGCTCATGTAAAAACACGCTGATTCCTGGAGCGTCTGCGGGCCGGATTGAGAATGTGATTGGGCCGGATCCGGCCCCCGGGCCTTAGGTTGCCTGCCCCTGCTCAAGGAGTTCAGGGCAGCATTTATATGTCCTCCTGTGCCCATTTTATCCTCCTCACAACAATACTATGAAGTGCTGGAAGTAATATAAAAAATTAGAAATTACTTGAAAGAAACAAATAGGCCTAGGATTAAACTAAGTTATAATTAAATAAATGGGATTTAGAATGTTAAGAAAAGTGAGTAAGATGGACTATGACTGGAAATTGTTTTAGTTTAATAATGATATTGGAAAGCTGTTACTTTTAACTACCAGGAAACTCAGAAGGGAGGGACTTGAGGAAGTCAGCCAAGATGTTTAAAAGGTTGGATTTGTGAAGAATTAAGTTTGTTGTTATTGTTCATCTGTTTATTGTTCCCTTTTTTCTGTTTTTGTGTATCATTCTGCTTTGTGGTTTTTGTTATCATTGTGGAAAATCTAATAAAAATTTATAAAAGATGAAGTGCTGGAAGTTGCCCAGAGTGGCTGAAAATCTGCTATCCACCTGCACTTTTAATTTGCCAGAGTGCCTCTGGGCAAATTAAGGGGGCAGAGGACAGGGGTCTACTTTTCAGCACTCTCCTATTCAGCATTCCCAGCCACTCTGGAAGTGAAGCGGCGAAAGTGGCGCAAGAGCTGAGGGCGAGGCAAAATCCTCGGGCCTCAGGTAGGCAAACTAGTTCTACGGAAGGAACAACCGACAGATCTAGAATATGAACTCACATCGCCTCAGCCGCTCCGCAACCAATCATTATGCTGAGCTGCCCGTGACGTCGATATTTACGCTCCCGTTGGAAGCCTAGGTGGTCGCCCGCCTCCGACTCGCTGCAGGATGATTGGGTGAAGTGCTCGCCAATCAACACCAAAGGGAAACCCTATTGGCTGTGGAGGTAATAGGGCGATATCAGCGGGGGAAGCAGCTGCTGAGCTGCAGGTTCATTTCTTCTGCAGGCGCCTTTGTGGACGGAGGGCAGCGCTGGTAAGTAAGGGCTCGGAAGTGCCTATATTGCTGTTGGTGGGGAAGGCGTGCAGCGGTGCAATGCATTCTCATCTCTCTTCCTCACCTCGGGTTGTGGGTGGTGGTGGGGAAAGCACTCTGTGCATGCCCAGGGGCAATGCGAGTTCGTCTCTGATGAATGCGAATCGGGAGAACTGTATTCTTTTTTGGCGATCACTCTTAGCGGAGTAAGATTGTCTTCCATAAACACGGTTTTAACAGTGAGTCTGTAAGTGACTGTGGAGGCCAATTCTGGATCCACGTGTCCTTCCACAGTGGGGGACACAGGTTTCTGGGAGGGTGTTGATCACAATGAGGGTTTGCCAAGCGTGCCTTCCTCTTAGCACATTTCTCCCTTGCGCACCTGAGTTCGAGCATCTTCAAAGCCCATGACACCTTTGGTAAAGGCTGTTCTCCAACTGGAGCGCTCGCAGACCAGATTCCCAGTTGTCGGTGTTTATACTACATTTTTTTAGATTTGCCTTGAGAAAGTTTTTGAACTTCTTTTGTTGACCACCAGCATTACGCTTTCCATTTTTAAGTTTGGAATAGAGTAGTTGCTTTGGAAGATGATAATCAGGCATCTGAACAACATGACCAGTCCAACGAAGTTGATGTTGAAGAATCATGGCGACACTGGTGACCTTTGCTTCTTCCAGTACACTGGCATTAGTTCGCCTGTCTTCCCAGGTGATATGTAAAAAATTTCCAGAGACACTGTTGATGGAATCTTCTGACGATCTGGAGATGGCGGTTATATGTGCTCCATGTTTCACAAGCATACAGTAAGGTTGGTAGTACCTGTACAATAGCTTTGTAAACAAGCATTTTTGTTTCCCTGCGAATGTCCTGGCCCTCAAACACTCTGCACTTCAGTTGGGAGAAAGCTGCACTCGCGAAGCTCAGGCAATGCTGGATTTTGACATCAGTGTCGGCCCTTGTGTAAAGCTAACTGCCCAGGTAGGAGAAGTAATCGGCGTTTTGCAACATTACTTCATTGAGTTGGATTTGTGGCGCTGCAGAGGGGTTCTTTTGTGCTTGTTGGTGCAGCACTTTGGTTTTTTGGATGTTGAGCGATAAGCCAAGCTTTTAGTAAGCTTTTGCGAGGATATTTAAGATGGTTTGGAGGTCATCCTCTGAGTGTGTGCACACTAGGTTGTCATTTTGGACTCACAGCTGTGCATGGAGGCACAGGTCAATTCTGTGTCCAGGGCAGCTATCTACCAGCTCCATCTGGTATGCAGGCTGAGACCCTATTTCACCTGCCCTCGCCAGAGTGGTGCATGCTCTAGTTATCTCCCGCTTGGACAACTGCCATGCGCTCTATGTGAGGCTACCTTTGAAGGTGACCCGGAAACTACAACTAATCCAGAATGCGGCAGCTAGACTGGTGACTGGGAGTGGCCACCAAGACCACATAACACTGGTCCTGAAAGACCTACATTGGCTCCCAGTACATTTCTGAGCACAATTCAAAGTATTGGTGCCGACCTTTACAGCCCTAAATTGCTTCAGAGAAGGAGCATCTCCACCCCCATTGTTCAGCCCAGACACTGAGGTCCTCCTCCGAGGGTCTTCTGCTGGTTCCTCCACTGTGAGAAGCGAAGTTACAGGGAACCAGGCAAAGGGCCTTCTCGGTAGTGATGCCTGCCCTCCCATCAGATGTCAAGGAAATAAACAACTATCTGACTTTTAGAAGACATCTGAATGCAGCCCTGTTTAGGGAAGTTTTTAATGTTTGATGTTTTATCATGTTTTTAATATTCTGTTGGGAGCCTCCCAGAGTGGTTGGGGAAACCCAGCCAGATGGGCGGGGTATAAATAATAAACAATAAAGTGTATAAATAATAAAGTGTAGTATCATGGCAGTGAAAATAATGAATAGAATTCGGGCAATAACACAACCCTGTTGAACACCTGATCTCACTGTGAATCACACTGATCTCACTGTGAACACCTGATCTCACTTTGAGAACCATTGTTATCTGTGATTGTTGCTGTCCTATTATCATGGAGGAGCCAAATGATGTTCACAAATTTATCCGAACAGCCAATTTTCAGAAGGACAGTCCACAGGGCATTACAATTTACAGTGTTGAAGGCCTTAGTCAGGTCAATAAACGCCATATATAGGGGTTGATTTTGCTCTCTGCATTTTTCTTGAAGCTGCCAAGCAGTGAAAATCATGTCCACTTCCCCTAGAAGGTCTAAAACCATTTTGGGATTCAGGAAGGTTCGCTTCGGCTATTGTTAAGAGACGCTTTGCTAATATCTTTACAATAATTTTGCTGGCCGCAGCTAATAAATGCCTTGATAGTTTCCACAATCCGTTCTGTCACCTTTTTAAAAAGAGATTGATAATTTTGGCATCCCTAAAGTCCACTGGAGTCTCCTCTTATGAATGCCATCTCTGACTCCTGGAAAGATTCCATCAATGGTGTCTCTGGAAAACAAATTACATATCACTTGGGAAGACAGGCAAACGAATGTCAGTGTACTGGAAGAAGCAAAGGTCATCAGTGTTGCAATGATTTTTGGATGTGTTGTTTGGATGCCTGATTATTGTTTTCCAAAGCAACTACTCTATTCCAAACTTAAAAAAGGAAAGCGTAATGCTGGTGGTCAACAAAAGAGGTTTAAATATGCTCTCAAGGCAAATCTAAAAAATGTAGTATAAACACCAACAACTGCGAATTACTGGCCTGTGAGTGTTCCAGTTGGAGACATCCTTTACCAAAGGTGTCATGGACTTTGAAAAAGCTCAAACTCAGGGAGAAAAGGAAAAATAAGCTAAGAGAAAGGTATGTTTTGGATGATCTTCACTGTGATCAACTTCCGCCCAGAAACCTATGTACCCACTGTGGAAGGATGCACGGATCCAGAGTTGGCCTCCACAGTCACTTATGGACACACTGTTAAGACCATATTCATGGAAGACAATCTAACTTGACTACAAGTGATCGCCAAAGAAGAAAGAAGTACCTGCTGCACAGCAGGTGCAGTGTGGTTTGGGGAAAACAGTCTCATGGGCCCAATTGGGGCCTCTGGTGGGTCCAGTTTGACCAGAGGTTCCCCATCCATGCTCTACATAGTTTTATGTGGAAGGTGTAAAAATATTGTGATGACCAGGCTGCTGCGTGTTAGGAAGGCAGCCTAGAGAAATCTTCATCTGGAGGTGGTTTCCTGCTTCCTCTAAGTGATCTACTACTTCTGGAGTCACCTTATCTAATGGAGGTTTGGAAACAAAAGATTCTTAAAGGAAATATATTATGGATTACTAAACAATGGGGACCTATATGTAAATCTGTTGGCTAGATAACACATTGATTTATTTGTATATGTAGTCTTTCCACCCTTTTTGATATGGGCTACAGTTCTAGTTTTCTGGACACCCCATGACCTCAAATTACATTGTTCTGTGTACTTCTAAGTAATAGTTCAAACATTTCCCATAGTTGTGACAATGGTAACTCATTAGCCCAGAATCCGTATTCATTTCACATGTGCTTTCTAGTGAATTAACATTACCAACTCTGTTTCTTTATTGCAGAGCGAAAGAGCATTCACTGGTTTCAGCAACTTGGTTTAGTTCTCCTCGAGCGTCATGGGGTTAGAAGCGAAGCACCTTGCTGTTCCCCACCCTTACTGGCCTCGAAACTTGGAGCTCCAGCACTACATCCCCAATGACCGCCCCATGTGGCAGATATTGACTTTCCTCTTCTCTGTCTCTGGGTTCCTGCTGATAGTAACTTGGCTCATAGCAAGATGGCAGAACAGGACAGCTGCACCGTTTGGAACATGGCGCTCCTTGGCTATCTGCTGGTTTGCTGTCTGTGGCTTTATTCATGGTGTCATTGAAGGCTGGTTCAGCCTGTACCACAAGGAAATCGCAGGGGACCAGTCTTTTCTTTCACAGCTCTGTAAGACTGACTTGATGGTGGGGGGATGAAGGGCATGTATGCAAAACACCAGAGTTCTTCTCCCAGTTCTGGGGAAAGTATGTCGTAGCAGTTAAATAAGGGGAGCATTATATAGACTCTATCATTAACATTTTATTTTATTTATTCAGTATCTATCCCACCCTTTCTCCCAAAACCAGCAAATAGAACAAAGTAGCATTATTATTATTTTTTGCAGAGATGTAATATGCTTAAATTGGCTTTGTTTCCACTTGGAAATTGGTGCTGAATTCGAAAGTCTGAACAGTTCTCTTTACCTAATTGCTAGTTAGTGAAATACACAAGCTTTTCAATTCATGTGAAATTTTGTGCTTCTCAGCTTATTATAACCAATGTTGTGCCTTATTTTCTCTCCTCACTATGCTATAGGGAAGGAATACGCCAAAGGTGACAGCAGATACATCATGTGAGTGTCTGCTTTGAGGCGGTGGGATAGCTGTTTGTCTATATCGTAATGGAGGAAAAGGATTCAGTCATGCAAAGATCCAGCACTGAATCATTAGAAACAGAAAGATTGGTGTGGGGGAGCACTAACAGCTTTAAAAGGCTATAGATGCATATTTTAAGCTACATCTTATAACATGGCGGCCCATAAGGAGGTAAAGTGGGACAGCCTTGCATGGGATTACCCCGAGTCATTTCTCTTCCGTTTCCTCAGCAGAGCTTGCATTTGGGGCGAATAATACTTTACCTGAGAAGCCACTGTTGTTGGCATTAGATGGTTAACATTTTGCTTACCGCCTGCAGGGTGAAGGCTAGTTGTTAGTTAGCAACTGTTGGGTGTGTGCTAAAAGCTTCTGGGGTAGCCATGTTAATCCGTTGCAGCAAAAAACAAGAAAATTTGCCTCCTTGTGCCTTAAAGAAGAAGACATTTGTTGTAGCCTAAGCTAGGCTTGGAGAAACTTGGGGCTGGGGTATCAAATGCAGCCCTCGAGGCCTCTCTGCCTGGTTCTCAGGACTCTTCCCCAGGTAACCCCTCTGCTCCCCAAAACACACCCCTTGAGTTGTTCTGCCTGGCTGGAATGTGTCCCTGGACTCTTGCGTGCCTAGATGAAGGGGAATCTCTGACTTCTGTGCAGTTGCAACGCAGCCTGTTGTACAAAGTCACATCCAGAAAAGCTCTGCTTGCTTTTCTTTCTGGCCCCGCACACCAGTGGAATGTGGCCCCCAGAAAGCTTTCTACAGGGTAGTGCAACCCTTGGGCCGAAAAAGCTCCCCCCCCCCAGCATAAGCATTTGTGGACTCAAGTCTGTTTCTTAATAATGCTTCAATGCATCTGATATTGGAGCTGGGGAGGTGGAAATGTGAAGAGTGAGACCAGAGAGAAATGCAGTGCAAAAAACAGTTTGGATACTTCTTGACCCCCAAGTGATTTCTATTTCACTTTTGTCCCTACAGATCAGACAATTTCACAGTTTGTGTGGAGACCATCACAGCCTTCGCCTGGGGGCCCCTCTCCATCTGGACTGTGTTAGCATTTCTTTCAGACCAGCCCCATCGGTTTGTGCTGCAGCTGATTGTGTCGCTGGGTAGGTATATGAGGCACACACAAGGACAGATTTCTAAATATAATGACGGCCGAGCTCAACTGCATCCCAATCCCCTGTTCCTTTTCACCACATGTTCTGCACTGGAAGAATGCCTGAAAAGGTTGCTGCATGCTCCTTGTGTTCCTGGCATCCATAACCCCTCACCCTTGTCTTCTCCCTCTCCCCACCCCAAACAATTAAAAAAAATCCCAGTTATCTCTCACACACTCAATTGCAACCACTGGAAAACTAGGAAACTCATGGAACTAGGAAATTCGGGCTGTGTATCTTTTTTTGTCTGGTTCTAATCCAGACGTGGGGAACCTTGGGCCCAGCGGCCAAATGTGGCTGTCCAGATCTCTTGCGTCTGGCCCTCAGGGTTCTCTCCCAGGCCCTGCCCACTCCTGTGCCAGACCCTTCACTGGCCCTGCTCAACTCGCTTCCTTGTGTGCTTTTGTGTCTCTGGAACTGTGGTCATGCTTTTCACTTACCTGGCTGGAGAGATGTGTGTGAAAACTTCTGAAGTGTTCATGACTTGAATGTAGCCTATGGGATAAAATTAGGAGTTGAAGTTGTTCCTCCACTCTAGCCACACCCATTGCTGGTAAGTGGCCCCCAGATGGTTGCCCATGAAGGGATGTGGCCCCTTGGGCTGAAAAGGGTTCCTTACCCCCTGCTCTAATTGGTTGTCTTGTCTCTACCATTCACTGCAGGCCAACTCTATGGAGACGTTCTGTACTTTTCTACTGAGTATCTCGAGGGCTTCAGTCACAGTGAGATAGGGCACCCGATATACTTCTGGTTTTATTTTGTCTTCATGAACGCTTTGTGGATCATCATTCCTTCCATCCTCATCCTGGATGCTTGGAAGCACCTCAGCGCTTGCCAGAAGATAACGGATGCTGGCAAATTCAAGAAGCACTGACCTCTTGCATAGTGGATCATCATGAACACATATGCCATTGGAGAAGCACTGGAATAATTCAGGGATTGGTTGGCTACTTTCTGGTGCCTTGTCTAGGTTTATTTCGTCCACTGCCCCCATCAACTAGGGACATTCTCCAAGTATCCACCAATTACCCCTCCTCGGGATTAAGTGGAATGGCCTTCTGTATCTATTTTACAGCTGCTGGAATATGCTCTGTCCTGCAGCCCCTTCCAGAAGAGACTTCTATCAAAGACCCCTGGAACTGAGAGCTGGGGCAAGGCAGGGAGAGTGTGTTGAGGGGAAGCCCTATTGAATTTGGTAGGTTTTACTTCTGAGCAAATGGGTTGCAGGTCCCATTATGGATAGCCTCCATCATGCAATTCTGTATTAGACTAAGCAGAGCAGTGCTATGAAGACTTCATATAGGGCTCTGTGTGACTGCTAGACCCTGGGGTTAGGGTTATATCTCAAGCTAAATGAGGCTGCAGAGTAGAAGCAGCCAGTTGTTTTAATTTCTGTTTGGGATGCTTGTGTATCTAGTTGTGAAGGTAGCACAAAATCCACCATTAATAATATTACATTGATTTCACATCTAGATCTCTTCTTAAGAGGGGCCCTTTCTCCTGCTTTTGAAACAGGTTTCTTTTCTGTAAACTATGCTCCTAAGCATTCCAGTACATTTTCAAAGGAACACCTTTAGTACCTCGCATATGCTGCTGAACTCACTGGTTTTGTAAAATGAGATACAATTGTTTTTTTAATAAATGATGATCCACCTGCTTCCTTGTCTGTTGAAACTTTGACCTGTGTGCATGGCAGGTGGGGAAGTATGTAAGGAGGCCAAAAAGAAGCTCTGCTTGGTGGAAATCTTCATGCAAAATTCTATGCGATGTGCTTCTACTTATGTTTAACAGTTGCCTTAAATCAGTGGTGGCGAACCTATGGCACGCGTGCCAGAGAGGGCACTCACATCCTTCTCTGTGGCCATGCACACCGTTGCCCCAGCTTCCATGCTAGGCGCTCGAGCGTCCAAAGCCTGCAGCCCTGGTACCATAGCTTCCATGCTGGGGGTAGGGAAGGAGTGAGGAGGAGAGGAGGGCTGGGTTAGGGTAAGGATTAGAGTTGGGACGCGGGTGGCGCTGTGGTCTAAACTACAGAGCCTAGGGCTTGCCGATCGGAAGGTTGGCAGTTCGAATCCCCACAACGGGGTGAGCTCCCTTTGTTCGGTCCCAGCTCCTGCCCACCTAGCAGTTCAAAAACACATCAAGTGCAAGTAGATAAATAGGTACCACTCCGGTGGGAAGGTAAACGGCGTTTCCATGCGCTGCTCTGGTTCGCCAGAAGCGGCTTAGTCATGCTGGCCACATGACCCAGAATTTGTCTGAGGATAAACGCTGGCTCCCTCAGCCTATAGAGCAAGATGAGCATTAAACCCCAGAGTCTTCCGCGACTGGACCTAACGGTCAGGGGTACCTTTACTTTTACCTTTACCTTAGGATTAGAATTAGGGGTTAGGGTCAGGGTCAGTGTTAGTGTTGTTTTATGTTTTCTTGTCATTTTGATTGATTTGCGGTTGGTTTGCTTTTTTCAATTAGTTGTGTTGCTGCTTTTCCACGGCTTGCAAGTTTGTTGGCTTTGTGGTTTTCTGGAAAGTTTCAGTTTTTACTTTGAATGCAGCCCTGCAGCCCCAGCACTAAGTGAGGGAAAGCTGGGCCGGGGCTCCACTTCTGAGAGATCCCTGTCTCCACTCCTGCTTGCAAGCAAGTAGGAGTGGGATCGGTCTGCTCCGCTAGGCAGCGTTGCTGCTTGCACGGGAACAGGAGCTGGATCAGGGCTGCTCAGCTGGGGACGTGCAGGCTCCGTCACAATTTCTGTTGAGGGGTTCGCGGCTGCACTCCCCTCAAGGAAGAAGTTTAAAGGAGCCCCCACCTCCACATCAGATCCCCTCCAACCCCGTGAAGGCAGCCAGGCTGAATAGCTGCTGGGGTTGGGGAAGGTGGAAGCAGCCTGGAAGCTGCATCTGAGAGCCCCTGCACCACCTGAAGGCAGCCAGGCGCTCCTCAGCTTCTGAAAAAAGTTCCAAAACTGGAGCACTCATTTCCAGGTTTGAAGTGTTCAGTTCCAAGTAGTTTGAGAACAAAGCTGTTCAAAAACTAAGGTACCACTGTATTTATTTCCCCCAATTTGAACTGTGTTTATTTTTCCCCCGGTGGTGATTTTCTTGTGTCACAATGAGAGTACCCATAAACATTTTTTTTAGGAAAAAAGCACTGAGTTATACCATAAAATTATATATCAATGCAATAACCTTTATGAAGGATTATTTATTACAACAGCAGTCATAAAGAAGAAACGTGAAACACAGAGAAAATGAGATACACAGGTTAAATTGCCGAGTTGGCACTTTACAATAAATAAGTGGGTTTTGGGTTGCAGTTTGGGCACTTGGTCTCTACCAGCCCTGAAAGCAAACTACAAAACTAAATACTTGTTTCTGCACTAGTAATTTCTTCAAGCATTGCCCTCCTCACAGTGCAAGGCAGTAATCCCACTCTGGGGGTTACCAGACCATGGATAACAGGGGCAAGACTCCTAGTTCAGGATCAGCAGTGGCTGGCGAGAAGCGCTCTTGGGTCTTTTTACACAAGCACAAATCCAGGTTTCAGCATGCGTGCCTTCAAGAGGGAGCTGCAAGTATAACTAACGACAAAGGTCAAACAGAAATTCAACAGGTGAAGCTTTCACTAGAATGCCAAGGTGGCAACAGAGGTGGGGAAGTTTTGCTTGCTGTTTAAAAGTAGGAGCCCTGCCAGAAAGAAATAAAAAAGGCAAATTTTCCTATAGGAATAGGACTTCAAGGCCATGCCATCCGTTTTGGCTCCTCTGTCGCTTGGCCCCCCTCCTCTTCCTCACTGCCAGCTATTAGCTGCTTTCTCCCTGGTGGCAAGAGAGACAGAGAGCTGCAGCAATGGGGATGGGGATGGGGAACCTGGGTCTCTACAGGTGCTGCAAGAACTACTACTCCCATTATCCCTGACCCTCGGCCACGCACTGTATAATTGATTAATCTATATGGTGAGCCGGCTCAAATATATTTAATCAGTTAACACATGCAGACTATAAAGTAAAGTACACTGGATAATTTATTAGAGCACCAGATTCTATGTACTTTGCCTTATATCAAGGCAGTCCCAGGCTTGCCTGCTTCTCAGCACCCAAAATCTATCAATGTCCAAGAGTATCCAAAAGCAAAGAGTTCCCCGCTGGCTCCAAAACACAAAGCAACATCCTGGCTCTAAGGATGGCATGTTCAGGGCCTCTTCTGACATCAGTAGCCCATGGGCAAGTCCAGAGTCCAGCCAAGACTATGGGGAAGCTTCCTGTTGCACCCATCTATCAAGCCACAGGAGACCCAAACAGGTCCATAGTTTCCACCACCAAGGAGAGATGCTTCAGGAAGGAGCTGATGGATACACGCAGAATCCGGGCTTCATCTGCTCTCCATCGACTGCAAAAAAAATAATATATGTATATATACTTTGTGTAGACCGAAACTTGTAGTCAACACTTGCACTACACTTAACAGTCCAATATCCTCATTCTATTCCAGTCCCTCATTCTATTCCAATTTATTCTTATCATGGCAGCACCTGAATGCAAAGGACTCAACAGAGAGGAAGGGAGGAATTATTATTCTCCTCTATATAGTATCATCAGCTTGTATAGCACTTTACAGAAAATACGAGGGGCTAGATCTCTGCCCTGACAGGCTTACAGCTGAAATTTGGCACAACAGAGGAAGGAGAGGGACGTGGGGGCAGCGAAGGAGGTGATGATTTGACTGACAACTGCTCTGGTTTAGTTAGAGGCCTGGCTGCTGTGGTGTCCCTGCTCCAAGGGCTTCATGGGAAGGTGAGCGGGAAGGCTTGAAGGAAATAAGCGAGGAGGATGCACTGAGAGGGGGTACCAGGCATATGGGGCACCAGGGAGGAAAAGGCAGAGATGTTTCGGGGAACAGAAGACGTCTAGAGGTTGAGGAGGTACAAATAATAAAATAGTTGTTGTTGTTTAAACCCTGGTTCAAGTCCAACATGCCATCCAGTACGGCGCCACCTTGTCTCTCATCCTCCTGCAGCTTGTGCAGGAGACCTTCCAGCAGGCTGCACCCAGGACTCAGAGCCCACCATCTGCCCCGACTGCTGCCACATCTTGCCTCTTGGAGTAGGGGGCGCCTGGCCAATACTCACACATGCAAGATGTCCTCCGTCACATCCAGTTCCTTGCTGATTCCTTCTTTGCGGGGCTCAGGTTTCGGGTCCAGGGAGCTCAGCGCAATCTGGGCCAATGATGATGATGGGAAAGGGATCCTCAGCTCACAGATGTTGGGGGTAGCGACAAGGAGCATAAAACGTACAAGAAAATTACACACAGAAACACACGTGCACACTGCCTACCTTTCCAACAAGAGACACTCTCTCTATTCAAGGTCACCATTGTATTCTGTGTTTAATATTTCTGGGAGAGCTTCTAGTCCGTGGTTTTCGACTGAGGAGCTCTGACATGGATTAGAATCCCTGCTTATCCATGACTGTGGATGGAGTAACTCAAGACCAATGTTCAAATTGCAGGGTGGAGGGCAGAGGGGGGCCACTTTTGTGCTGATCTCTTTTCCCTCTATTTTTAGAGGGGTTTTGCATCAGGGAAGCAGGGGAAGATATGTTATAACTAGAACAGGAGGGGGCCCAGGGCAAGTGGATTTCATTAAAGGCCTTCCTACCTCTTTCCTTTCACCCCACTCCGTCACCATTCTGTCGTATTTGCAGTTGTTAGTGGTCAAAAAGCATTAAAGGGCAACTTATCCCCATTTCACTGCTCACAAAGAATCCTGGGCACTGTAGCTTACCCCTCACAAAGCTACAAAGTGCCCATAATACTTTGCTGGTGAAACCCTAGCAACCCACTACCTTGATTTCGCAGCAGCTCTAGAAACGCAACTTGCTTCATTTAGTTCTTAAGGGGGAGAGATAGATAAAGAGAGAGAGAGAGAGAGAGGTTGCATTGGAAGTAAGCAGGGACACCGCAGGGGCTTGAACCCCGTCCTGGAAACCAGGAGCGCCAACCACCAGCGTCTTTTGCTTTTTTTGGGCCAATGCAACAAGGTGAAAAGCAAAACCTGAGAGAACACTCTGAATACAGAATGTTTTCTCAGGAAAAAAGAAAACCCTTAAGAATTATGAAGTTGCAGACAGAACACAATCGAGAATTGATCCCTTGCCATTAGCAAACTCTGCCTTTATGCTCACCTTTTTGTTTGTCCCTCTGAAGTGTGAATTCATGGGCCTGGAAGTTCCTTCCGCTGGTCTGTGAAAAGCAATCTGGACTCATTACTTTGTCCCCGGCCCTTTCCCGCCAATTCAAGAGAAATGTTTTTGGAACACAGCTGTTCTGACTGACCTGACTTCTGCAGGAAGAGCTGGCTTCCCCTGAGTGTGGTGGGCTCTTGGACAGAACTGTGAAGAGATCAAGCGGGGGGAAATGGAGAAGCCAGCACAATAGGATTGTACTGAAAAAGATCACTGAATTGTGGAGTGTGAAGTTCACTTGCCGTTAAGTTTCTTGAAGGCTTGCAAAATTCTTGTGTCACTGAGATGCACCTGGAAGAGACTAGGGTTTTCAGCAGCCCTCCCCTCCAGACACAGGAGCAAAAACAGCCGGTTACCTAACGCAGCGCAGTCAAGACGCAGGTGTCTCTCAATCCTGCACTGCAGATGTTCACTTGATGGATCAAGAGCTCTGACACTGCCTTTTGTCAATGGAGCAGATCTGCTTCCGGCACAGGTAGCTCTATGAGGTCTGTAAAAATAAGAGCTGGAACAAAACAAGGCTGGCTGTCCCACCAAAAGATGTACCTTATTGTGTGGTGATGGCACAGGAAGGGGCCTCCCCTGCAGTGGTGTCCCGATAAGAGAAGTCCCTCCAGGTAGAAGCACGGAGAGCGACCGCATTAGGCTTTCGAGTTCGCAGCTCTTCTGAAAAACTGATTGAATAATCAACATTGCTCAATACAAGCTCTTTGGAATATTTAGTTTGCATATGTGGGTATGATTCCATTTAGAGCCTACCTTTTCTCCATCAGGCTCAGGGTGCTTGAATGGTCCCCCTCACTACGACCTGAAAGAATCTTTGTACAAAGAATTGCAGGCAGAACACAACAGGGGTTTTCTCCTCAGCCAAGCACAAGATACTCACCTACTTGACTTTCAGCCAGAAGACACACAACCGTATTGCTGCTACAATTAGATGCAATTAGATTCAATTAGAGCATTTAGAGATTAATTGTTAGTTATTAGTGCCTCTCACCACCTCTGATAATTCAAAAGTTTTTTTACTAGAAGGTTGGATTGTAGTTGAAGGTAAACAAGTGAGAGGTTACAGGCAAAGGAAGCAGTTTCCTACACCAGGTTTTTAAATAAATTACCTTAGGAACAGAAGTACTGGTGAGGACCCAAACTAAAACCCAGCAGGTTTTCACCAAAAAGCCTGTCATAGAATTTGGGTCAAATTAAATTTTGAATCAAGTCTCAGCATATATGGATCATCTTTCCTGCATTCAAGAGAAATAACGGTACCCCAGGCAAAGAAAATGGGGAGCTACATGCCTCCTTTATCTACAGGATTGAGGGGTACAGACCTCTCTTAGAAAATGTTTCACAAATGTGGGTTGTTATTATGATTTTGTGTGGCCACACTCTGGTCATTAGTGGAACAATCAGCCACCCCCTTATCTACGAGTCAAAATGGCCGGAGAGTCAGGATTCATAAGATTTCCAATATTTTCTCAGTCATTTCAGCCTTACCATTAGCAGACAAAATCTTCTGCCCTTTATGTACAGGAAAAAATGGTCAGGCTCAACCTTCCGTTTAGTAATATGGATGTTCTTAAACGTTTGCTGAACTTTCTTTGCTTAGAAATGGCCGACCAAATGGTGAAAACCTCTACTCACTCCAACGCCTCTACCAGGCCGTCTCTACCATTCCCACCAGTAGATTCACCCTCAAAATGCCTTATTTGCTTTTTCACACTTAAAACAGCCAGGCAACTGTTACAGACAAAGGAAGCAGTTTGATGCATAAGATCTTAAAATGGGTGTTCTAAATTCTACATTAGGAACCGTAGTATGGATTTATGGATTTATACACATCTGAAGGAACAAAAACTGAACAATATTTTGGTGACCCTCTTCTGCAGTTGCCCAGTAACTACAATTAGGTATAATACTCTCACCCTTGGTTGCTTGCTTTTCACTGCTTTACCTCATAGCTGTCAATGTTTCCCTTTTTTAAAGGGAAATTCCCTTATTCCGAATAGGATTCCTCGCAAGAAAAGGGAAAAGCTGACAGCTATGCTTCTCCTTGTGGCTTTCTCAGTTATTTCCCCCCTTTTTTCCCCTCCCAGAAACAATTCTTGATCCTAATGGCTTCTATACCTTTCCTTGATCAATAGTTACTTCGCTTTCATTATTTTTTAAATTCACCACTCTGAAGTGGCTCCCTGAATGCTTTTCTGTTGCCTTGATTCCAATCAGGAAGGGTGGGGTATTATTAAAATACAATAATAATCACAATCACAATTACAATCATAATCATGCCTCTTCTTAGCTTCATATGTCAAATGCCACCACTTTTAGGCCAGCTGTTCAAGAGGGTTTGTTATTCTACTCCTTGGAAGACACATTATGAATAAATGAAGTTCTGCCCATTAGCGAAGCAGCTTTTCTATAGCCCCCAAGAAGCTATCACAAATGCAATGCAATGCATTTTTGTCAACAAGGCAACCTGAGCTAACCTGAAATTAAAAGGAGCTATGTTGTCTTCTGCCCCTCTGCTTTGCTCTTTCTCACATGCACAGCTTTCTTTCCCCCCGGATCCCCCTACCCTTCTCACTTCTAAGTCTTACCTGTGTTAAAATCTTCCCAATCTTGGCTTTTCTTACTTCTGGAGTGAGGCTGGAGCGAGTGGTCGCAGACCAGATCCAGGTGCTCTTGGAAGAAGCTGCTGATTTTCTGGGTCCACTTCCATCAGGGTTTAGGCCTGCTTTTGGCATGGAAAGGGCCTTGGTCGCCCTGCACCTCTGTTGAGAGACAAGGGAAGGTGCTCAGTGACCCGGAGTGCCTTCCATCAGCTTTGGCTGGCGACCCAGCTATGCCCCTATCTGGACAGGGATACCTAACAGGGATACTCATCTCAAAGGAATGGCCAGACTACCAGGAAAGGCAGTCAGATGAGGCATTATCAGATAACCTGGCAGACAGGAAAAACAACAACATTTAAATTTCTGTTGTAGACCACCTTTTCTGTGATATAGGTATGATGTTTGTGGGGGGTGGTCTTGGGTTACACCCCTTCTGTGATGTCTGTATGATGTATGGAGGGGAGGTCTTGAGCTCCAGGGCAGGGAATTTAAAATGTCTATATAAGGGCAGACACACCTTGGTTCTGTGTCCTTCTCCATCCTCCTGTATGTTGGGGAGCACCCTGTTGCAACAGTTCAATAAAGATCAGGCTTACTAGCTGCTTTGCTTCTCAATATTCTCCGGTTGGCCTCTGTTATTTTCTCCTACCGATGGAGAACCTACAAAGGACTCTATAACAGCTCTTGTGTCCTCCATAAGGGAATAAGGGCAGATTTTTCTTTATTACAGCCCATCACTAGGTTATCATACTTGACAGTTCAGAATGAATCCCAGACTGTTTGTGTGATTTTATCTACATAGATCCACAATGTAGCCAAGAAGCTTCTGTTCCAACCTAGAGATTAAACCTCTTGAGATCCTCCTCAACTTCCAGGTGCTAATATGAAGGTTTAACAAAATTTATTAAGACTCCTTCAAACGGGAAACAGGGGCATCTCAATTATTGCTCTGGGGCAGGGAGAGGCAGTTCTGCTAGTTTGCACCCCAAACTGGCTGTGGACGAGGGCACCTTATTCCATCCTCAGGGCACTTTTGCTTCTATTCTAAACACTTCTATTATTATTATTTTTTAAAGGCAAAGCATGAATGTTTAAATTAATATAGATCTACGTATATTTTAAAAAGGAGGATACAACATTCAATGTGCCAAAAGAAGGTTCTTCAATCTGATGAACTGCAAAGCCGGTAGGAATCTGCATTTCAGATATGAGTGAAGAACCTGCCATGACTACTCTTTAAAGAGTGGGTTGAGTACGATTCCATCTCACACAGTCCCCATCCCACTGGCATAGCTGTGAGAAAGAAGTTGGAGGCTTTTGCTTCTGTTTCAGATTAAGCGCAGCTTGCCATGTTGTTCAAACCAGACAAACTAGGCAGGTTGAAACAGGCCAACGTCAAGCCAGAGTTTACCAAGTTAGCTAGTTTTAACTAACCCTAGTTAGGGTTAATTATGCTGTGTTCACATGACAGGCGAAAGTGGAGTTGATCTGAAGTGGGTGTTTATGATCTCTTATTTGTGGCTGCCCTGGAGAGGGCATGGAAGAGGCCAAGGCTCAATGGGGCTCATTCTTTTCTGTTACGCCATCTGTAGCGCATGAAGGGGGTGGAGTGGCAGTGGCATCCTTTTGTTATTGGTGATGGGGCAGAGATGCAGTGGGTCCAGGTGGCGGCCAGGCTCAGGGTGGGTGGCATGGATGCCTGCAGGACACCCAGACTCTCAAGCTGCCACCCCACCCTGCTCACATGCCCCTGCTATGCTAAACCATGGTTTAGTGCTCTACCTGAACACACACGTTATGCCTATCTTTGCCCTGTATCTCAAATCTACTAAGTGCTGAGGAAGATATGTGCAGCAAATAAACATGAATGCATGTCTGCTGCAGGAAGGTACTGTTTCTGTTGAAAGTCTCCCAAAATATTTCTGTCCCTGAACCAATGCGGTTGGAGAGAAATAACAAGTCTTTTTTTGGAGAGCTGGAAGCAGTTTGAAAGAGGATCACTTCTTATCGTGTACATAATAATAATAATAATAATTTATTATTGGTACCCGCTCATCTGGCTGTGTCTCCCCAGCCACTCTGGGCGGCTTCCAACAAAGATTAAAAACACATTAATATGTCACACATTAAAAACTTCCCTGAACAGGGAAGATATACCACCCAACATTTCTCTGATGAAAATAGGGACATTCGTGGCTTTCTCAGTTATTTCCCCCTTTTATGCTTCCCCCAGAAACAATTCTTGATTCTAGTGGCTTCCAAACCTTTTCTGGTTCAATAGTTACCATATTTTTCGCCCTATAGGACGCACTTTTTCCCCTCCAAAAATGAAGGGGAAATGTGTGTGCGTCCTATGGGGCGAATGCAGGCTTTCGCTGAAGCCTGGAGAGCGAGAGGGGTCAGTGAGCGAAGTCGCGCCTGCCTCCCGATGGCTGCACAGAGCTGCCTGAAGCCTGGAGAGCGAGAGGGGTCAGTGAGCGAAGTCGCGCCCGCCTCCCGATGGCTGCGCAGAGCTGCCTGCATTCCGAAGCCTGGGGAGACCGGCGCGACTTACCACTGGCCTCCCTAGGCTTGCGGATAGCAGGCTGTTCTCAGGGCTGGGATTGGGGGAAGCTCAGGCTTCCCCCGCGCCAGCCCCGCGCCTGGGGGGGAAATAAATTTTTTTCTTTATTTCCCCCCCCAAAAAAACTAGGTGCGTCCTATGGGGCGAAAAATACGGTATTTCTCTTTTTGTGCCTTCAGTCTTCTCTAACTTCAGGATACTGAAGTGGCTCCCAGACTGCTTGTCAGTTACCTTGATTCCCAACAGGGAAATGGGTGGGGTATTATTAAACTACAATAATAATAATACTAATACTAATACTACTACTAATAATAATAATAACAACAGCAATGCCTCTTCTTAGCTTCATATGCCAAATGCCACCACTTTTAAGCCAGCTGTTCAAGAGGGTTTGTTATTCTACTCCTTGGAAGACACATTATGAATAAATGAAGTTCTGCCCATTAGCGAAGCAGCTTTTCTATAGCCCCCAAGAAGCTATCACAAATGCAATGCAATGCATTTTTGTCAACAAGGCAACCTGAGCTAAAATGAAATTAAAAGGAGCTATGTTGTCTTCTGCCCCTCTGCTTTGCTCTTTCTCACATGCACAGCTTTCTTTCCCCCTGGATCCCCCTACCCTTCTCACTTCTAAGTCTTACCTGTGTTAAAATCTTCCCAATCTTGGTTTTTCTTACTTCTGGAGTGAGGCTGGAGCGAGTGGTCGCAGACCAGATCCAGGTGCTCTTGGAAGAAGCTGGTTTTGTGGATTCTTTTCCATCAGGGTTTAGGCCTGCTTTTGGCACTGAAACTGCTTTGGTCGCCCTGTACCTCTGTCGAGAGACAGTGACCCGGTGAGCCTTCCATCAGCTTCGGCTGGTGACCCAGCTATGCCCCTATCTGGACCAGGGATAGCCTGACTCCTGTTGTCTATGCTCTGGGAACCCGTTCTTGGGTTGTTGTTTTTGTTTTGATTTTGTGTATTGGATATTTTATGTGAACTGCCCTCAGACCTTCGGGTATAGGGCGCTATATAAAATAAATAAATAATGATGATAATAATAATAATAACTTCGGCAACAGAAACACCAGCCTTCTTTTTATGAAATGGCTTCTCCAGTTGCCTTTTAAAAGAAAAGCCTTCTATTTTCTGCAATTATTCTTCACTCTGCTTGAAGCAGACTTCATATCCACCCACCCTTTCCTTTGTTCCTTTTTACATCCAAAGACTAGTTGGTCGAAAGGTAAATAAACTTGATTTCGCCCCTCACATTCCTTCATTTGTCTTTTCTAGTCATCAGGTGTATCTGCTTTTCTTGATTCTCTTTAAAATCTTCATTTTGGTATTTCTACGAGTTTTCAGTTTAAATTTTTCTCGGCTAAGCTTTCTTTTGGGGGCTTTCTCAAAGTCCATCATCTGTCCACAATTTACTCTCCCTGTTTTATTAGGATTAATTCTTTGTTGGTCTTCTATTTACTTTCAGTTTCCCTTTCATTTAAAGGGTATTGCCCCTCCTAACAATTTTAGGGAGTTACTGAATTAAGATTTCTATCTATCTGTCTATCTATCTATCTATCTATCTATCTATAAGCAATATTTAAACTTGCCAACTAGGGAGATCACAAGTGAACATTTGTTGTATCTCTTTTTAAAGTTGTAAATAACAACTTCACCTCTGACCAGTGAGAGGGCTAAAACCAGTATTATAGCCAGGGACAGTCTCACTCACTAGACTCTGGCTCGCTCCTTCCACCACCTGTCAGTCATAAGGACACAGAAAAAAGTCCCTCGGCGCAGTAATACAGTGGATACAAATGTGTTTGTTTTCATCATGGGATCATTGCGCATGCGTGAGAAATTAGTGCTGGGGTTGCTGGGGTGCCAACTTGAATAAAAAATGGGGGGCAGTAAGCCCTGCCCCACATAGTCACATGACACAGCACACAGCATTTAAATGCCAATGCCAATCTACTTGGGGGGGTGCCTGTCCCCCTCAAATATTTTTTTGGGGGGGCCTTAAGAAGAGTTAGCTCCTAAGCCAGGGTATGTGTCATTTCTGGATCTATGTCTTTGCTTGCTTGGCTATGTGTAGCACCTGCTGTGCCTTTGAACGGCATTTTGCCCATGTATTGAAGGAAGGTGAGGACAGGTGACCTCACCTAGGCCCGAAGTCACCCCCCACCAAAGCAGGCTCAAAGCTTCTCAAAGCTTTTCAAAATCATTTTCTCAGCAGCTAAGCATCAGAAACATTCCGCTCTGCTGTAACAAAGATAGAGAACAGTCCATTGTTTCTCAGGCCTTTCTCATGTCTTCTGGCCTTGCTAAAGAACCACATTGCAACTTACTTTCTGTCCGGGAACCATGCCAGCACAAGAATGAAACAACTGGAACACACTGAAACCCCCTCACCCCCTTTCCTGCCAAGAGTCCACAATAGTTCCAAGACAGCTTTCTGTACATGCTCAGGGGAACACATCATGGGGCAGGACTCCTGAGGGAGGAGAAAGGAGGAGGGAACTGGGAAGGGGTATATATGTTTGTGCACATGATTGTGAACTCGTGCATGCTTTTTGTGACTTATCACACTTGCTCCTTCTACCAGTTCATGGATGGTAGAAATAAAAGCCTTTTCTCCGAAACTATTCCTTGAGTGTCTGTTGACTCCCACTTCCCTTTCCCAGGCACAATATTTTTCCCACCCGAGGGCAAAGCCTCATAAGGCTACAGTATCACACTCATCTGAGCATTAAAGATTTTGGTAGACACTGCAGCCTGAGTTCAAATTCTTCATTGAGTGGGAGCCAGGAAACTCTCCTCCACAGGGTGCTTTTCTGGAGGGTCTCCTGATCCTCCCATAGCCAGTTTTTGGGGGGCTGGGGGGGGATCTATGCTCTTCCCTTTCCCTATAATAATTTCTACCCAGTTGTCATTGAAAGTGGCAGCATGTATTAGATTAATTCCCATATATAGATTTAAAAATAATAATAATATTAATTCCTTTTGCCTTCTTAATCTTCTGAATCAATATCCAAAAATGTTCACAGCAGTCCTGGTCAATCGTTTGAGTAGTATTGCTCCAACATCTGCCCACTTCCAGTCTTGTGGTTTTTGAAGAACTTCCGAAAAGTGTAAGTAACCACTGACATAATATCAGAGAGAAATAACAAGCCTTATTTTTTTGGTGAGCTGGAAGCAGTTTGAAAGAGGATCACTTCTTATTGTGTACACTATCATAAGAATATACCATCCAAGATTTTTCTGATGAAAAGAGGGACATCCTATTCAATAATAATAAGAAGACTAATTTTATTATTTATATGTATACACCATGTTACCTCTTAGCTGTTTAGCTACAATGGCTGGAGATTCTATTTAACTGTACAGTGGTACCTCGGGTTACATACGCTTCAGGTTACATATGCTTCAGGTTACAGCCTCCGCTAACCCAGAAATATTACCTCAGGTT